AATAACTAAGTTTAAGAAAAGCTATACCTTAGCCTTTAATTTAAAATTTAAAATTAATTTATAATTTAATTTAATTAACTATAATTAATTAAATTAAATTTTAACAATTTAGGCTATAAAATATAATTATTAATTAAGGTTTAAAATTAAATTTAAAATATATAAAAAAGCTTCTCTCCTATGTATAAAAAATATTATATATATATAATTATATAAATTTTATTTATTATTTTAAGTTACTTTATTAACTTCTTTAATAATTTTCTTAATTTTTTTACTTAGCTTAGGGTTTTTAATACTTTTTAGTTAATTTAATTTATATTTTACTTTACTTAACTTTATTTTTTTTTAAAGTTTTTAATTATAAGTTTATAATTTTATTAAAATTTAGTTATTTACTTAGTTATTTTACTTAAGTTAAAGTTAAATTATAATTATTACTTAAGAGCTTTTATAATAATTAATTTTTTTAATAAAAAGTAATTAAGGTATATAATTTTATTAAGTAGTCTTTTATATTATAAAAGTTATATTTATTAATAAAAGGTTTAATAAAGCTATAATAGCTAGGTTAAAGAAAAATTATACTTTAGCCTTTAGTTTAAAATTTAAAATTAATTTATAATTTAATTTAATTAATTATAATTAATTAAGTTAAATTTTAAAAATTTAAATTATAAAGTTTAATTATTAATTAAAGGTTAAAACTAAATTTAAAATATATAAAAAAGCTTATATAATAAAATTTAAATATAATATAAATTTTAAATTTATAAATTATAATTTAATAACTTAATTAAACTAAATAAAATTATTTTATTAAGTTATAAAAAATAGTAATAATTTTACTTAAAAATAAATTATATATATAATATAAAAAACTATTTAATAAAATTATATATTATATTAATAATAACTTAATTTTAATTTAAAATATATAATAAAATAACTAAGTAAATAACTAAATTTATAATTAATAAAATTATAAATTTATAATTAAAAGTTTTAAAAAAAGAAAAATTAAAGCTAAATAAAATAAAATATAAGTTAAATTAATTAAAAATTACTAAATACCTTAAGCTAAGTAAAAAAATTAAGAGAATTATTAAAAAAACTAATAAAGTAATTTAAAATAATAAGTAAAATTTATATAATTATATATATATAATTAATTAAACTAATTAATTAATTAAAAGTAAATATAAAGGTTATATTTATTATTAAAAAGTTTAGTAAAGCTATAATAGCTAAGTTAAAAAAAAGCTATACCCTAGCCTTTAGTTTAAAATCCAGAATTAATTTATAGCTTAACTTAATTAGTTATAATTAACTAAATTAAACCTTAAAAATTTAAGTTATAAAGTATAACTAATTAAGATTTAAAACTAAACTTAAAATATATAAAAAAGCCTAAATAATAAAATTTAAATATAATATAATTAACTTTAAGCTTATAATCTATAATTTAATAATTTAATTAAACTAAATAGAATTATTTTATTAAGTTATAAAAAGTAATAATTATAAAACTATAAGGTTACTACAAGGTAGCTAGTTTTATTACTAGTTTAGTAATTAAGGTAAAAAGGTGTAATAAGGTGTAAATAGCTTTAAATAGCTTATTATTACTATTTAATCTATGTGATTACTAGTATAGGAAAACTCAGGAAAACCTCCTCTATTTATATTTTATTTTCCTCCACAAGCAGCCAGAATTATAGTACAAGACTAGTACCGTTAGATAGCCCTGTTTCCTAGCTATCAAATGGTATAACTTATGTAGTCCTGTTCCTTCCAGTAGTAGCAGAATCGTTGAGTATTCAACAAGTGTTTTGTTGAGGATTTGTGTAAAAGTAACCTTTTGCCATAAATGACGAAATAAGCGATTTTGAGTAATTTAGCCAGACTCCCCCCTTACAATCTTGGAGACCCGCTTTTTTAAGCGATTTGATTAGCTAAAAACGCTTATATAAGCAGGATTCTAGCATTCTAATTGCCTGAAATTGGGATAAAAGTGGGTCTTTCGAAATTTGATTTAGTTTTGGGATTTTTGGAAGTTAGCTATTATAGGGCTTTTGGGTACTGTAACCTTCTGTAGGCTAAGGAGCTTATAGTTACTAAATAAGCTATGCTTAATTAAGCAGTGGTTATTAAAATAAGTAGGAAGCTAAGCCTAAATAGGCAATTGCTTATAAGCTATAGGGTAGGTTATAAAATCATAAATTAAGTATAGTTATAATTAAGGTTATAAAGGGTTATAAAAGGCTATAGGGGATAGCTAATTGGAAATAGCTGTAGCTAGCGCTATAGGCTAGCTATAGAGCTCTAAAGAGCACTAAAATAACTACTATAACTATAGCTATAATATTAATAATAGCTATAGTTTTATAATAATAATTTTACTTAAAAATAAATTATATATATAATATAAAAAATTACTTAATAAAATAATATACCTTATATAAAAGTAATAAACCCTTATAATAATTATTATAAAATAAGTTAATAATTAACTAAAGTTTAATATATTAATAGTTATAATAGTTAAAAATAATAAAAAACTAATAGTAATTATTACTAAAATAATAATTACTATTATAAAAATTTATAATTTTAATATTATTAATATTATAAAAAAAGTTTACTAAAGCTTAAAGAATAAATAAAGTAAAAAAAAATAACTTAAATTAATTATAAAAAAGAAAATATAAATTAACTAAGCTATTACTAAGTAAAAGAATTAGTAAAGTATTAGCTAATAATTACTAAATAAAGGTTTAATAATAATTATTTTAATCTTAGCTCTTAAGTAATTTATTTTTTATATTTAGGAGAGAAAGGTAAATATAAAGGTTTTTTTATAATTAATTCCTTTTAGGTAATTTATTTTTTATATTTAAAAAAAATTACTTTTTATAATTTAATAAAATAATTAACTTATTTAGTTTAATTAAGTTATTAAACTATAAATTATAAACTTAAAACTTATATTATATTTAAAATTTATAATTTTTTTTATATATTTTAACTTTAATTTTAAACTTTAGTTAATTATACTTTATAATTTAAAATTTAACTTAATTAATTATTATTAATTAAGTTAAATTATAAATTAATTTTATATTTTAAACTAAAAGCTAAAATACAGTTTTTTTTAAATTTAATTATTATAGTTTTATTAACTCTCTTAAGTATAAAAAATAAACTACTTAAGAACTAAAATTAAAATAATTATTATTAAACTTTTATTTAGTAATTATTAATTAATAATAGCTTAATTAATTAATATTTCTTTATAATTAATTTAACTTACTTTTTTTTACCTTATTTACTTTTTAAACTTTAGTAAATTTTCTTTATAATATTAATAATATTAAAATTATAAGTTTTTATAATAATAATTATTATTAATTTATTATTACCTTTAATTATTATAAGGGTTTATTATTTTATTAAATAGTTTTTTAATTATTATTAATTTTTTATTACTTTTAATTATTATAATCATTTATAACTTTAGTTAATTATTAATTTATTTTATAATAATTATTATAAAGGTTTATTATTTTATTAAATAGTTTTTTAATTCTAAAAATATTATATATATAATTTATTTTTAAATAAAATTATTATTACTTTTTATAACTTAATAAAATAATTAACTTATTTAGTTTAATTAAGTTATTAAATTATAAGTTATAAGCTTAAAGTTTATATTATACTTAAACTTTATTATTTAGGTTTATATATATATTTAAGTTTAATTTTAAACCTTAATTAATAATTATATTTTATAACTTAAATTTTTAAAATTTAACTTTATTAATTATAATTAATTAAATTAAATTATAAATTAATTTTAGATTTTAAATTAAAAATTAAAATATAATTTTTCTTTAACTTAATTATTATAGTTTTACTAAACTTTTTAATAATAAATATAATTTTTATAATTTTATTAAACTTTTTCTTTTTTAAGTAAAAAAAATATATTACTTAAAAACTAAACTTAAAATAATTATTATTAATTTTTTTAATAAATATTAATTAATTATAATTTAATTAATTTATATTTTTTTATAATTAATTTAAATTACTTTTTTTTATTTTATTTATTTTTTAAACTTTAATTAATTTTTTTTATAATATTAATAATATTAAAATTATAAATTTCTATAATAATTACTATTAATTTTTTATTACTTTTAATTATTATAATTACTTATAATAAACTTTAGTTAATTATTAATTTATTTTATAATTATTATAAAAGTTTATAATTTTTATATAAAATTATTATTACTTTTTATAACTTAATAAAATAATATAACTTCCTTAATTTAATTAAGTTATTAAATTATAAATTATAAACTTAAATTTTATATTATACTTAAACTTTATTCTGACTTAGCTATTGCAGCTTTACTAAATCTCTTAATAATAAATATAACCTCTATACTTAAACTTTATTATTTAAGCTTTTTTATATTTATATTTTAAATTTAATTTTAAACCTTAATTAATTATACTTTATAGCCTAAATTTTTAAAATTTAATTTAATTAACTATAATTAATTAAGTTAAGTTATAAATTAATTTTAGATTTTAAACTAAAGGCTAAAATATAATAAATTTAATTATAAATAATAATTTAATAAAAAAAGTAAATAATAAATAATTACTAATAAATTTATTAACTTTAATTATATATTATATATAATCTATATATTAGTTTTTATAATAAATAATTTAATATATATATATATATATATTATAAATATATATAATAATTTAAGATTTTTTCTTTTAATAAATAAAATTTTCTATTATATTAAGGTTTATATATATAATAATTAAGTTTTACTTATAAATTAAAGTGTGGGGCAATACACTAATTATGCTTCTGAAACCAAGGAAGTGGGATATCACAAGCTTCAGTGTATGTCGCAACTTCAAAATAAGCACTCACCTCACATATACACTAGGGAAATATATTCAAGATGGATTTCTCTAAATTCAGCAAGGGTTTCTCGTAAGTCATCCCCTCAGAAGTAGCTGTTAAGCAATATTTAACATGTACCACTTTGGCAGTGATCTCAGTGCGCAGATTACTCCGTTTGCGTCACGGACCTTTCAGTTTACCAAGGAGCAGTTGGGCCAAGCAGATGATCGAGTATGTGATTCGCAAAGCCAAGATTATCGCACAATATGGAAATGTGGCACTGATGGTTGTTGCTATAGACTGAGCTTCCTGCCGACTACATCGACCTTGAGAAAAAGGTCGATGCGCTGAAACAAGCCCACCAGAAGATGCTTGCGGTGACGTCTGTCGCTCAAACCGCGCCCGGAGGGGTAATGCTTTGCTAACATGGAGAATTGAACAGTTCGCAATATACCAACGAAGCCTATGACTATCCTCCCAACATCAAGGAGACATTTCAAGACCTTGGCCGAACTGTGAGTGAGAAGGTCAGCCTTCTATCTTCGGCTACATCTACTGCAGAGGCCCAAGCAGCTCTCGTGGCTCCAGCATCTGCGAAGCCGCAACCGAAGACTTTCAACCATGCCATCTCTCGTGCGAGCTTATCCAGCAGCCAGCTCCTGCACCAGCACCACACTGGTGCTGGCGAAGATCCTCTGGCAACAGCTCTAGAGAAATATGCACTTGCCATGGAACGAGTGGGCGATGCGCGCCTTGCTCAAGATTCACAAATTCAAAGCCGGTTCCTAGCAGGATGGAACACGACCCTCAATACCAATCTTACCTTTGCGGCACGTGCTAGAAAGAATGTTGAAAATTCAAGATTGACTCTCGATGCTGTCAAAGCTCGCGTAAAGGGAACAACCTTCAAACTAGGCGGTGGCCACGCTCGAGCTGATCGTCCCGACGAAGCAGAGCTCAGCGCCGATGCTCAAGAAGAAATCGAGAAAGCAGAGGATGAGTTCGTGACACAGACCGAGGAAGCGGTTGGCGTGATGAAGAACGTAAGTGGATTTGTTCCCCAGCGCCAGAACACCCGCGGAAGCTAATGACCCTGCATCTATAGGTTTTGGACACCCCTGAACCACTTCGTAACCTCGCCGAACTTGTTGCTGCCCAAATGGAATACCACAAGAAGGCATACGAGATTCTAAGTGAACTCGCTCCAGTCCTCGAGACCCTGCAGACTGAGCAAGAAGTAGGCAGCACCTCTAAATTTTCAGCACTATAATAAGGAGCTGGCTGACATTGAGGGCGTTTATTAGACCAGCTACCGAAGAAATCGTGATATGGCTTGAGGAATATCTAATGCTTTAGTTGCGTGATACAAGTAGGATTTTCAACGTTAGTTTGATGAATGCCGCATAATATATACCTTGCTTGTTAGTTCTGAGGCTTGAACACGACCCAACTATAGAATAAGGTGCAATAAGATATCAAACGTGGATGAAAATGAAAGTCACTTGAATGTATAGCGTAGAAATTCATTATGGGATGGGGCGTGCAACTTTCTAGTACCATGTGAAATTTGTAATTCTCCACAACTTTATTCAATTGGCATCACAGTAAAAGACCTACATGACAAGGCAAGGAGAAAAGGAGAAAAAAAAAGACAAATACCATTCATGAATCTCGAAAATACCCCATATGAGAGTGAAGGCAGATCTCACACTCAATATTCTCGCAGTCTCAACCAATCACGTAGCGATGTTCAGTTCGTTGTCGCTGGCGTCTCAGAAGCGGATGAGAATCCAAGATCATCAGTGAAACAATTCCCACACCGTGGGCTCGATTTCGAGAGACAAGAGAGAAAATACCAGTCTGGGTCTGAATATAAAGAACAGAAACCGAGGCTCCGGGAAGATGATCGCAAGGGCCATCTGGACGTCCTCTTACGCGCGACTGAGCAATTCCTGGCTCAAGGGGAGATCGCGAAAGCAGCGAAAGCGTTTGGAATCGTTCTTCAACTGAGGCCTCGGGCTGAAGCCATCGACATTCGTCTCCACGACCTCTGGGCAATTGGGTCGGAGATTCTGATGCGGCAGAGAGAGCAGCTGAAGGAGGTTGATGAGCAACTATTGACTGGCAGCAATGGCATTCAAATGGTGGCATCACGGTGGGGTTCTTCCAGCAACATGAGCGAATTGAAGTCGTACTTTGAGGTATTGATTCGTCAGTACGCATACGATCATAAAGCGCCACACAAGCTCTCAGCTGTCGACTTCTGGCTGGCCCTGCTTAGCTGCGAGTTAAGCACCATCTACGCAGAGCATCTGAGGGGCATCGCTCATCTGGAGGCTGAAACGAGACTTCAACATGGGGTGTCTACACGTCATGATACTGTTCTGTCGTCGTCGCCCAATACAAATGAGTCTCTTGGTGGACACTCCGATTTTGAGGCCGTGGACTCTGGGCTGCAATATGAGGCAAAAATGGACTGGGCAAATCAAAGAGAAGCAATTTGCCAACGCACCTTGTCTGGCCTACGAGATATTAACCAGAGGACGGAAAAACTAGTCGACCAATTGCCTTACTCCAAGAACGAGAGCTTCTTACAGTTAAGAGAGATAACGTCACTTCTCTCTATTGACTTGAGTTTACTAAATTCTAGCACCTCAAGGTCATAGCACCACAACTCGTGTCAAGTCTTTGAGCTTGGCTTGGGTTGCTAAGTTTACAGGCTTTGCATTCCAGTTCTTCTCCTCCTTCTTCTTCTCTACCCCTTTTGGAATACTGGGTATGATAACTCTGTCCTCTCTTTAAGAGGGACACGAAGGAGACGCCCGTGGATGCAACTATGGGCAGCAAGGCAAGACGTTGGGGAGGACTGCCTCGTCCGCTTCCCTTCCTACTTGGCGGCTTTATTTCGGAGCCCAGCGCTGCAGCAATAAAGCCGTGTTTGAGCTTCCAACTACGACGCACCAGTCCCCTCCTGGACTCCAAGATGCCTGTCTGCCCACAAAATTGGCCGAGGATGACTCCATCTTATGGTGTCGAAGCGGCTCGTGCGTGTCATCCATGCTATACTTGGTCGCCCATGATTCCAATGTCTCCGGGCTGAACTCCCGGGAATCTGTATGGTTTACATATACTGGAGTTGATGAATCTTGCTCACTGCTGGCTGCACGAGGCTTACTTGGCGGATCTGCTTTTGCCCGCGGGATAACGGGTTTCTGCCAACTGGGAAGCTGTATCGGTTTGCTTTTGTCCGTATGATTGGCTAGCGACGACATGATATCGCGGTGAGCAGTCAGTCGCTTCAAGTCCCAGAAAAAAATGTTGCCTGCTGCATTACAAAATGCCAGCACCGGATTCTGGTTGGGCACATGATGGAGCTTGAAGCGCATGAAGAACTGAGGGCCGCAGTTTGGAGTATGGAATGCTAATAGCCGTGTATACTGGACCGGGCACTGGGGGGATGTTAACGGAACGAAGGCAGACCGCGTGAGTCGTCCAGGATCTTCGTAATTTGTTGGGAGTACATTCTGTGGCGTAGGGGCAGTACTCTGGGGTGGTAAAGGATCATCTGAGGAGAATCCTTCGATCTTCCACAGGACAATCACGTTATCGTGACAAGCTCTAGATAGGATGAGATCTCCATAAAATGAGACACTATAGAACAATTAGCACTGCTCTAATATTTTACTGTTTGATTATCTCACCAATCGACAATGCCGCTGTGCACCGCTGAGGTTGAAAAATGAGGATAATGAACCTGCAGGGGCGTATCGATGGGTTCATTGGGGAGATCAGGAATAGTCCACTGCATGGTAACATGGATCAGTATTGTACAGCAAATTTGGGCAGACCACCTTCATACCAGGTTTATAATCTGGTCGTGACCGCCTGATAGAAGATAGCGGCCAGTTTCGTGGAAAGCCTATGAGGTATCAGTAGAAGCCTTGAGATGGGGTTATGGTGAAGCATCTCACCACACTGAGCAGATTCCAAGAGTGACCCTCTCCGGCGAGAATGCATAAACATGGTTGACTCCTATGTTTTTCTTCCACACTCCATATCCGTACACTTGTGTCGTCTGAAGCTGAAGCGATGATGTATGGGTTGACGGGGGATGTGGCTAAATCATTAACGTCCTTTGCTTCGGGTGAGTTCATGAGGCCCAAGGTGAAAAGGTGAGAGAAGACGAACCCCGCCATGGCCGACAAAGCACTATAAAATGAAACCTTTCAGTCCAAGTCCGATATCTCGCGTTCTAACTGTTGCGGTGCCTACCTCAACCAACCGGCCATCAACTACGTCATATATCTTAACCTTGGCATCAACACCGCCAATGCAGATATACGGCCTGCCATTTACGGCATCCATAGTCCAAGTACAACAACAACTGGCGGCCTCATCCTATGACTAGTTTAGTTATATTCACTTTGTGATAGAGGACACGTCACATACATCGTCGTCTCTTATAACATTGATTACATGACAAGGATTGGCATCACCAGTGTCTTTTGTGAGTCGGCATATAACAATCTAAGGCACTGCGTTAGGAAACAAATAACCTTATATTGCCTGATGATGAGTGACGCGATTGTTTGACTAGCTTTCCGTGGAACTTACATGCTTTTTGCTGATAGCAGCAAAGACAGGTTCATGGTCTAGGGGCTGGTAAGGGCAGAATTTGACGTCAAAGAATTCTATCCATTTTTGGACGGTTAATCTTTCATAAACCGCGGGTAAAATAGAGCTCTGGGAGCGGAATTGGATGCTTGCCTGCAATGTTATCATCACTGCCGAGGAACCTGGTGTCATTCTGTACCTCTGTTAGCCATGGGCGATGCGTATATGTGGTTGATACTTACCTCTAGGGAGAAGGAAGTACGTAATTTGGGGAGCTCAAAGTTCACATCATCGATGCTAGCCATCCCGTCTGGTGATTTGATTCAATGTCGCTAAAAACAGAGCGGTATGGCACGAGTTTTAATTTGTGTTGAAGCAGTGAAATGTCGTTGGACGTATTCTGCCCCACATCAATTTTGTCAGCAAAATTTAACAGCAAGTGAAGTAAAGTGAGTAAAGTGAAGTCAGATCGCGATTTTAATCCACAGCGAGATGATAAAATGCCCTGGAAGCAAGTAGTTGCAAAATCTATCTAGAAAAATTGCTATTTTTGCTAACTTTAATATACCGAAAACACCACGCTATGCACTAAGCGGAATTGTTCATGGAGTACTTCAACTACCCGAGACGAAAACTTCACCTAAAAATGAAATAATCATCGTGAGCGAGCTATTGGTATTATTATGACAACCAATCGTTATCAGCCATTCCTAAGAGATTGGACAATAGATATATGAAGAGGCGCTTGAGTTACATCTAGGAATATATATATATGTTTGTGCGTGTATATGGCGAGATGGATCCATCCAATAATTTTTGTGAAAACAGTCATCAGCTTGCTTCTCTTGCATAGTCGTTCCAGGTTGTAATTGAATCAGTTGGCAAATCGAGCTCCCATCTTCCTCCACTCCATGCCTGCAGTCGACTCAAGTGTCGTATTGTCGGGCGTCCATGAGGGCAATTCCAGGGCTTGTCCAGCTCTCCCATGTGGTTAACAAGTGAATACATCTGGCTTCTCGTCATGGCTTTACCAATCATAATGCTGCTTCGACATGCCCTCATCGCGAACATCTTTTGAACCTTCGAAGGGCGAGGGATATACGAGGACTCGGTCGATTTGTCGCCTAAAAGAGATATCAATTCCTCCAAATCTTCTAGTTTGAATGTGACTTCGCGGCTGAGGGGTAACGAAGTCAACTGGCATCGCGATCCCACAGCGAAACGCCCTGTTGTATCGATGTCTACTTTAAAACCATTCGCATTTAAAGCGGCTGAATTCTCCAGTATTATCTCCTCTTCAAGAGCTGTCAGTTGAAGTCTCTTGGGATGCACAAGGCGCTGTGATTGGATCTCAGTGGTATTTTGGAGCCTTTCGTAATTGTATTTCTCATCAGATGCGTGCTGGTCAATGATAAAAAGTTCATCATGCTTTCCCTCTCCTTCGGAGCCCAGACGACCGGCAGGCTTAACGGCTATGATAAATCCAAGATTGAACTGGCCGATAATCCTCATTTTGGAAAAATCACCCTTTGAAATGATAAGAGGGAGTCTAGATTCTGCATCGCTGGCATCGATTGGCTCCACAGAAGAGGCGTTGTGCGCTGAAGAATTAGACTGAGAAGTATGAGGACGAGGACGCCTATTATGCAGTAGTCGGAGCTTTCTCGTTTCTACATGTAAGCTTTGTATATAACATGCCGTAATATCCTTTCGTCGCATGGGTTTCGGGGGCTGTATTCTGGACTCTGCGAGAAGAGTTCCTGTATTGTCGCTTATGATCGGAGGACTGCCGCCTGTTGGTAAAAGTGTAGGTTTGGCTTGCTGAATATCGGGCTCTATCTCCAGAGACTGTTCATCATGTTGAGATTGCCTGGAAGAAGAAGAAGAAGAAGAAGCATCATTGTTGATGGTTCTAGCATTCCGCTGTATCCGTGTAGGTCGTTGAACGTCAGGCTCGCTATCTGATTCATATATTTCCGGACGAACGAGTTTCTTTGCTTCGCCTTGTTGTGGCGATATGGGACGCAGCATTTCCGATGCGAGAGATTTGGATTCATCCTCTACATCTGTAGCTTTGGCTGGGCTGTTTACGTCTCTTAAAGGAGTTACTACCTCCCGAAGATCTTTGACGCCGGCATCCTCTACGCAAATATCGGGGGTAACAGGACTGGAAGAGCCGGAAACTTGTGCATGGACGTTGAAATCAGGATCATGCGAAGTCTGATGTTGGCTTAAGGCGGCATTGACACTCGAAGTGGCCGATGACTCCTCACGTAGAGGGGAGTGGTTCACCAATATGGTTTTCAAACGAGGAGTTTCTGGGGCGGGTTTCTCTGGAGAAGATGGTATGCCTCTCCTTATCACTGATTCGGCATCGTCATTTAGATGCAGTTTGTCCTTCTCATTACGTTGCGACCTCGTCTTCATCAGTTGCGATGCCGGAGAAAATCCATCATCCGACTCTGACACTTCGCTGTCTCTCGTGGGGCTGATGTCCTTATCTTCGTAACTGAGGTTGTCTTCTACCTGGGTGGTAGTATGAGCTGTAGACGGTGACCTGTCGAAAAATCGAGGGAGTTGTCCCGGCTTAGTACCTTTACCATGATAAGCTTGCAGTTTCACATTCTGAGTCGATGTCGCAATCGATATACTGTCTTCATGGGTATTAAACAACTCAGACAAGGAGGTACGAAGAGTATCCAGGAGGTTGCTTTGGTCATGCAGTAGAATGGACCGCTTATCGGGGCTGACGTTCACGTCGTACAGCATTGTATCTAGTTGGACATCGGCGAAAATGAAAGGCGACTGTGAGTTATTATATGATCGATAAACTTCGTTGAAGGCTTTGGCCAATTGGGGCAGTGAGCAGGGTCGACCATTAACAAAAAACATTTGTCGATCGGGGGTCTGTCTACCCTCTCCATGAGCAGGTTTTGAGACATGACCAACGATGCGAACATCATGACTATTAGAAGCCGATTTCTCGCCAGTTCGTACATCAGAGTGAGTACCCGAGGGCTTGAGTTCTAAGTGAAGATCGAGAGGTATCAACGCTGCCAGACCTTTTGCGCCAAAGATATTGATAATGTTCTCACGAGTAGTCGCGTTGCCTTTCGTGGAAAAGAGTAATATTCGTTTCCCTTTTGTAGGTTGTTGTGATACGGAGAATTTCACGTTCGTCAGGATGCACGCATACTGATTAAGTAGAGTTATAACCTTGTGCCATTCCCTCTTGATATTACGGTCAAGTTCTCGGCGTCGGACAGGCAAATTGTGGAATAAGTTTTCCACTGCGACAGTTGTCCCTCGCTGGGCTGCAACGACGGTTGTGCTATCCAGTTCTCCTGACGGGTGAAAGGTTAGTTTGGAACCTTTGGGAGCTTCTTGTTCTAGGCACGTCGTCACGGTTAGAATCGACAAGGCACATAAGGATGCCAAAGCCTCTCCACGAAAGCCAAAAGTTCGTAATGACTCTATGTCAGAGTAGGACGAGAGCTTTGATGTGTAGTGCTTGAGAGCGACAGAGCTATAATTTGCAGGCGAGATCCCGGATCCATTGTCTTGAACCTCAATTGAATCGAGTCCTTGGTTTTTGAAACGAACGTCTTCACTACAAGTTAGTCGAGAGACAGGTCAAGCATCATTGCAGCTAATTGGCACACCAACCTATGATCGTTGCCCCAGAGTCAACGCTGTTCTCGACCAGCTCTTTAACTACAGAACATAGGTCGACAATGACCTGGCCGGATTGGATTTGATGGACCTAGCAGCCAAAAATTAGCCGGATGCTTGCATGTGAAATATGAAGAGCTTACGCTGCGGCCATCGATTTGTTTGATCGTGGCCATTGATTCCGGCAGATGTAGGTATGAGAGCGCTGAAGAGATGTTGGAACAGAGTAACGGCGTGAATGACGGCACAGGATAAATACGTCCTAGCGCTTTTGGCCAATAACACTGCGTTTGTACCCACAATAATGAATAAAGCGAATACCTTAACATAAATCTACTTTGATATCATTACTTTACCTACCTAACTATTAAGCATAAATAATATTCTCAATAAAATCTTAGTGATTTAGATCCATCATAGCAGTCGAGTATAAGTTAATTTAATATTCAAATAATGATAATTTGGACTTGAAGTCATGTTCAACAAGGTAATCGGCAATAGTGATACAACGAGTGTATTGTCTTGGAATTTTGAATTATTTACTAGGTAGCAAGAAACTATAAAGTATACAGCTTCGTATTTCATGACGATTGCCGCTCAAAATATGTCCATTGCCCTTGAGCTGGCTTTTCATCCAGATTTTCCCAGCTGTGGCCAGTGTCAGCGATGACAGGTACTTTGCATGTCAAAGGAGAGGTATTGCTTTCGAAATAACTTACACTTGGGCCTGTTCCATAGTCTCAATTAGCTGTAATTCGCCCTCCGCTACCTGAATGACCTCTTCGATGAGACCAGCACCTAGTTGTTGCTCCAGCTCCTTGACCCTGTCTCACTTGTTAGCTGTCTGGTGAAGATTTATATCGTGGCCTTGGGCTCACTGTTCAGCTGTAAGCTGGGGCTCATCCTCCCACTGCAGCTTCTCGTCGTTGATGTTTTGATGCTCCGCACCGTCAATGATCGGATCGTTGCTGCCCACCTGGCTCTCGCCATTCCATTCCTGCGACCGAACGTCTCCGGCATCATGCTCAATGCCAACAACAAAGACGCGATTGCCAAACTTGTAAGTCCTAGCACTACTACCATCGATCCGATCACTGGCAGCCTCGAATTGGTGGGGATATTTTCGCATCAGTTCCTTCGCCTTTAGAGTCCACTCCTCATATCCAGGCGGAACGATCTTTTCGACTAGACCCATGCGATGCTTGGTCGTCGCCTCGACAGATTGGCGGTATAGAGATGTTTCGGGTATGGATTGCAGCCTGTTCAGTGTTGTGCTGTACAGGTATAACAGAGTAGATCGGGGTGTTTTGTGAGTCCATAGTCCTGTGAGCCCGGTAGGCGTACCAGGCTCGAGGTAGCTGGCGAGAGCTCGAAACGTCGGCCGCATTTTGGGCGAATGTCAATTGAGAGCCAATGTGAGGCAGTGCGCAACTGAACTTTGGTTTCGCTATTCTCTTGAACCGCGGGGAGAAGTTTTGAGTGTAAATCCAGCTGGTTGTAGAGAGGACCCACAATTTTCATTCAACACCTGGAACTGAACGGAGTAGCGGCATATTGCTGCAAGTCCAAGTTCATGTAATTAAACAGGTATAAACACTTCTTTAAACGGAAATTTAAACAAAATAGCAATAAGAAACAGAATTCAAGATGTTTAACATGTATATGAAAAAAGAGTTTTTTTTTTTAAAAAATAATAATAACAAGAATTCTCTTAAAAACAATTAATATAAAGCTATGTATAAGGTTAATGTTTTTCTAATTTTATTATACTATTATTAGTGTATGCATATCTAAATATTCTGCAATTGAATCTGAAGGGTTTTTTCCATATATAAATCTCTTTTAGTGTTAGCGCTTTTTGCTTACCCACCAGATGACGCGCCTCGATCGGTGTCTAGAATTACAGTGCGCGATCTAAGCTCGTAGCATCTTTAGGAGTGTTCTGGGGTGCAGCTTCGTACTTGAAGGTCGTCAGTTGCAGTGCCACTCGTTCTCCATCAACAAAGCAGTCGTCCTCGGATCTATCCTGTGATCACGATTCAGCAAAATGGCTCAAGGGTGAGACTTCCCGGCGGTGATGCAGAAAAGACCGGGCTAACACAATGTATCGTGCGTCTACAGATATTCCATTCTCATCGGCCTCGTGGTCATCGTTGCGTTGAGCGCGGCGGCCTGGTTTTTATCCCCCAAAGGCGAAAATCAAGTGTCAGTCTGTTGCGCCCCATCACGAACTTTACCAATGCTAACAGTTTCTGTTTAATAGCTTATGGCGGTCATCTTTGATTCTGGCCATCGTCAGCTGCTATCTCATGTGGCTAATTACTTTCCTCGCCCAACTCCACCCACTGATTGCACCACGACGAAGCGACTTGCGAGAGGAATTCCTGGGACATAGTACCTAGAGTTGATTGCTGGCTATGACAAGCGTAGCCTCAGGCGCATCGGGAAGATTGGCGTTAGGGTTTCTACTTCGTTCACATCATCTTGTATTGCTATCGAGTTTCTCACTGGGAGTCGCCTTCCTCACCTGCAAGCCATCATTGATTATGAGTGTACAAGTAGGTGCTGAAGTGGCTTGAGACCGGTTTGTCTTGTCGAGACATCGAATAAGTTTGTGCTTACGCTGGTTACAAAAAGCTAGCAACATGGTATATGCAATGTTAGTCCGATTAATATACATTAATTTTGTTGTCAGGAATCACTTCATCACTTCATCCCACAGCTAAACGGCCAGCCCAGTCCCTAATATACTTCATTAGGGCCCAAAGAGCTTTGCCATCTGCAGCAACGCTGCTGTCACCGATGGAGTCTACATCGCCGAGACCAGCAGATACCAATATCAGCTGGCCCACAGCCCAGCGCACAGATGCGCCGGCAATTGCTAAGAAGCAGGCAACATAGTATTTGCAATCAAGTAGAATCCGTAGGGCTTCTACGTTATTTGCCACGACAGCCCAACCTAGGGACCTTGCGGCAGCGGGCACATCATATTCCCAGATGACCATCAAGATTGGAAATAATTTGGTCGAGGACGAGACAAGCAAGGCTGTCGATACTGAATTCGGGCGATTGTACCGTGGCATTAGCCCTGTAATATTCAGCGGCGAGAGGTGAGAGGATGTAAAAAATCGGATGCTCAGATGGAAAGCGATTGTGGACAAGGCACAGAGGACCACTACAGTAGCATTGTTAGTCGACGGTGTAATGAAGAGAAAGATACAGAGGACCGACAAAAGAACATGTACTGAATCACAATCGGCTGTTGAGCGAGCGGTCCTAATCTACTCTCGCCAGGGCTAGACGAGGGAATGGTTTGTTTCTCTATACGTGCCCAGGTCAAGTAGACATCGAATAGCAGGAGCAACACCCCCAAACGGATGATAGAAGGCTGTTGAAGATATTAGCATGTGGGCATGCTGTTGAATCTCGCAGGCGAAGGAGGGAGGTGGGGTGGTTAACATACGTCGAAGCGATCGCCATCCCGCATCAAGGTGTTGTGCAGCAAATGGCGATAGACCTGTAGAGGTTCGGTTAGAGACGATATGTGCCATGTGAAGCGATCCGAGTCAAAGTACCTGGGGTTTAATGAGGACCAGGTCGATAAAGAGCACCACGAAGTCGTGCTCTACATATTTGTCACAGAAATGGCCACATTTCCGGCAGACAGTGAGGCGAATCAGGTGCCCATTGGACTTATCATCAGCTCCAGAATATTGCGTCCACAGAGTTTTGACAGGATACCGGCACTCTATACAGATAGGCATTGGTATGGCGAGAAGTCGCGTAGCTTCGACATGGGAAATTTTATTCGTGGTGTATTGCTCAGTGTCGTATGCGACTTTGCGTTTACACGGGCGTCTAATCGGATTGACGATATTCAGGTCGAGGTGCTAGTAGGTAGTCCACTTTGTGCCTGGACTCTGCCTGTGTCGGTGCGATTAGCAGCTGGAGCTTAAACTGCATTTTTAGTAGCATGGGACCTACCTTGCTGTTTGCGGATACGGATTTCATAGTCTAATTTGGCTCACGTAATCTGCATAACATGCTTGTTGGTACCTAGTAGTAATAATTATTAAAACAAGAATTATATTAAGATTTGTATCAACTGTAATATTATTATTAAGTAGTAAATAATACATAATAATAGCTTGTTTAGTGAATTATGCTGATTTTCTTCAAGAACGATACGGAAATAGAGAGAAATGCATGAATGGCCTAGACCTTACCCAGCCTCTCTCTACATTAGTGTGTATATCGATTTCTAAAATGACGCGAAATGCTCCCCCAACTCTATCTAGCTGGTTTCCCGCGATTTTATCCACTTAGTGCTCTGCGCCTCTCTCTGCTCGCTTTAATTGGACCAGATGACGGCGGAATGGGTCGCATTCGGCCGTGTGACTTTCTGTTTTAATTTCACTACTTTTTCCCAAAGTGCTATCACCTTATTCTGGCCGTAGCAACCCATAGCCACTCACAGCTTCGGCCTCACCAAAGGTCTCTCTTCGACCTTTCCCATGACGAGGCGCTCGTCGTCTGTTGATGTCGGTGGTAAATCCTCCCTCGAGCTGCAAAACCCAGATGCCGAGTCAGAACACCGCCTCAATGGCTTAATATCCCGGCAACCATCGACTTCAAGGCAACTCAGCGGCGTCTATTCGAGCCAGGCGAATGGCCATCAGCACCCTGCCAGCCATGCAGCAGTCGCATCCTTTCCACCATTATCGCTCCCTACTTCGTCGCCCAGTATGACCACGACCAAACAGCCGCCCCTAGCAAGCTCGGGGGCGCGCAATCGCAGTCTTTGGTTCATGTCGGTTCTGTCCTTTTTTGTTGCCACGGCTGGTGTTGGCCTCCTGTTCGCTATCTTTCGGTCGCTCACGACCCGCCAAATTGAGCCCAAAGGATGTCGAATGTCGTATATGCGACCTTCCTACATTCATTTCTCCGAATTCGATACTGAGCACACCCGTTTTGCAAGCAAATACTCCCTATATCTCTATCGCGAGCAGGGAATCGATGGCGGTCAGGTTGGTTTCATATCCCCCTTCTCGGAAAACGGACATAAGAAAGCTCACATCATGGCAACAAGTTGCGCGGAATCCCGGTCCTCTTCATCCCAGGTAATGCTGGAAGCTACAAGCAAGTCCGGCCAATTGCTGCAGAGACTGCCAATTACTTCCATGAGTATCTTCAGCATGACAGCAACCAGCTAGATTCTGGCATCAGGACTCTTGATTTCTTCACCGTCGACTTTAATGAAGACATCACTGCATTCCACGGCCAGACCTTACTTGACCAAGCTGAATATCTCAACGAAGCCGTCCGATACATTCTTTCGCTCTACTCTGAGCCACAGAGAGCCTCCCGAGATTCGCATCTACCCGATCCTACATCCGTCCTAATTCTTGGGCATTCGATGGGAGGAGTTGTCGCAAGGGCAATGTTGGTTCAACCAAACTACCAGGAGAATTCGATCAATACCATCATTACAATGTCAGCACCGCATGCACGCCCTCCAGTTACATTCGACGGCCGGATCGTTCAAATCTATGATGAAATCAATGACTATTGGCGGCGTGCATATACCCAAAAGTGGGCCAGCAACAATCCGCTGTGGCATGTCACTCTGGTATCAATCGCTGGTGGAAACTTGGATACTGTTGTGCCGTCCGACTATGCCAGCATTGAGTCGCTTGTGCCCGAAACTCATGGATTCACTGTTTTTACATCGGGAATACCAACGGTATGGACAAGCATGGACCATCAGGCGATTCTCTGGTGCGACCAATTTCGAAAGGTGCTGGCCCAAACTTTGTATAGTATCATTGACGTTCACCGAGCCTCTCAAACGAAACCCCGAGCACAACGGATGAGAGTCTTTAAGAAGCGACTTTTGACTGGGTTGGAAACGATTGCTGAGAGGACTCTGTCTCTAAATGAGCCGACGATCCTCCTTACATTGGACGACGCGTCTAGTACGGTAGTGCCAACCGGGGGCCGACTAATCCTCTCACAGCTAGGTTCTGAGGGTACGCCCAAGGCCTATCTCCTTCCCGTGCCACCAAATGGATCGCCTGAGCCAAAACGCTTTACTTTGTTGACTGATGCTCAACTTAGCGCACCTATCTATAGCAACCAGCTGCAAGTCCTCTTGTGCAGCGTTTCTCCCGTTCAACACACGAGTGTCAATTCGTTCTTCTCCTCTACGATAGATCTATCGAGGAACGGTACTACACCGACGAAGTTGGCATGTAAGGATGCCGCATCTGACACGGTTCTGCTTCCAGCTTCGACAACAAAGATTCAGGCCCCTTTCTACCTGGACGGAGAATCCCAAATATATCCCTTTTCATATCTACAATATGATGCTGAGCATCTCTCCGATCATCAGTTTGTTGCCGTCATCGATAGAGCAACGCAAATCAGTCAAGGCTTTGCTGTTGCAGAATTTAGTGATCACTCATCCTTTCAAAAGAAGGAAGACATTAGCCTCGCTCGTCTTCTCACATTTGGTCTATCATTCCGGCTGCCCGCCGGTCGCCCTATTGCCATGAATATCAACATTCCGGCCCTCAAATCAAGCCTGATAGCCTTCGACATGGTGATAAAAAATCAGCAATGCGTTGGAAATCAACAGCTGTTTGCGCCACTAATCCGCCAATATATTCAAAGGCCCTACGAATCGAAATACTTCGTCAATGCCGTGGCGACTGGGATAAGCTTCCATGGTGTTGCCCCATACATGCCGCCTCCATTAACGCCACCCAGTGCCGAGGGCCTAGCTTTTGGGATATGGTCTGATCCGACGTGTGAAGGGCCCTTGGAAGTCGACATTTATGTGGATGTATTAGGAAGTCTCGGCAAACTGTATATGCGATATCGTACAGTTTTTGCAGCTTTTCCTCTACTCATCGTTACGTTGGTGATTCGGAAGCAGTTCAACGTTTACGACACGACGGGCACCTTTATCTCCTTTTCCGAAAGCTTAGATCTGTCCATGCGACAGTCAATTCCGCTTCTACTTTCTTGTCTAACTCTATTGTCTATTTCCCCCAGTGGAGTGACGACTTTTCTCGCCACGCTTGTGGACAACAACCAGGCGAATCCAAATCTTTCTTCGAACATCAGCTTTCATAAGAACGACCTTCTCATTGGTACCGACGACCCCTTCTTCATCTATCTTGTGCCTTTTATTGGCATTGTATGTATCGGCGTCTGCACTGTCTTGCATTGCATTCTTCTTGCTCTGACAAGAATTCTTGGAGTCGCATATGCCGTATTCACGGCAATTCCTGCAATCAACGGCAATAATCTGCTGAGCCCATCACCGATGTTTGCACCATCTACTCCTCGGCGAAGGGTGATCTCGACGATCATCCTGTTATTTCTGGTATCCACCTTCATTCCGTACCAATTCGCGTACTTGGTCGCTTGCCTTGTACAGATTCTCACCGTTGTTCGCGCTCTTCGCATATACGTTGTCACACCTTCAACGGCCAACTCCAACTATTATCACTATTCGCACTCTATTCTTCTGCTAATGATGTGGGTTCTCCCCATCAATTTGCCTATACTGGCGGTCTGGGTTCGAAACCTCGCCGTTCACTGGCTCACACCGTTTTCTTCTCATCACAATGTGTTGTCTATAATGCCATTTATATTACTGGTGGAAAATTTGACAACAGGCAAGATGGTTCCACAAGTGACATCTGGATTTCGCCATATTACCAGCGGGCTTCTTTTTGGCACGGCGCTTTGTGCTGCAATTTACGGCGTTTCACATGCATACATGCTCCATTACTTGGTTAATGTAGTAGCTGCATGGCTCGTCATTTTACACTCTTCTTCGGAGCCATGGTCATTAATGAATTTCGGTACTTTTTTAGAAGGGGATGTGGATGAGTTGGAAGAAAAGCAGTAATTCATACTGAATAATGTGGCATAGATGTTTATATAATAAGCGTTACTCCAACCACTATCGCTTTATGCCTTATAATTAATATACATTATATAGATAATTGTAAGATATCAATATATATATCAAAATTTAATTACATTTTACTTACCTTTAATATAAAATACTGTAATAATTAAATAATAAATAAGTATAAAGTATTACTTCAAGTATATAATATTATTATATTATGTATTAAATTAGTAATTATTTAAGACAATGTTTTTTTTGCCATATATATATTTTTTTTTCTAAACTTCGACGCTAGTCTACTTTAGCCTAAATCATATGCTGAATCATTACATCATACCCTTTCGAACTCCTCGGCACGCGGTTCTTGCCGTTAAAACTCCCGAATTCATCAGCCTCTCCCAATGCCCAACCGCACAGCCTCGTGGCTGCGCTGGATCCTCGGAATGGGCGAGCGTCGAAAGTTAGGAGATGTCGCTCTGGACATTGTCCTGTTTGCTGGCATGGTAACTTACCCTGCGTCTCGGTTTGCCATTGTACTGACAGATTGTTCCAGATGACCGCTGGTCTCTACGTTGCTCGCACGTTTTTGAATCCGATCCTGAGCAACCTGGTAGACCCCGATAAAGAGAAGCACGAACAGGCCAAGCGTCAAGCGAAAGCCCATCTTGACCGCCTAAGTCGGAGACGACATATTGATGGCATTGGAGATCATGGGACGGACGGGGCGCGAGGAGGCTCACGAGTCGAAGAGCTGGTTCTGAATGAGTATGAGAACCTAATAGCGCTTGAAATGGTCGCGCCCGATGATATACACGTCGGCTTTGATGGTGAGTTTTGGCCACCAAATCTTCTCGGGGGATCTACCATTGACTCGAGGTGAAACCTGAATAGACATTGGCGGCCTGGATTTGATTATAGAAGAGCTGAAAGAATCCGTCATTTATCCATTGACGATGCCACATCTCTATCAGCACGCCGCTTCGCTGTTATCCGCACCGTCTGGGGTTCTGCTTTACGGACCACCTGGCTGCGGCAAGACGATGCTGGCGAAGGCTTTGGCCAAGGAGAGCGGCGCGTCCTTCATTAACCTTCATATATCAACACTTACCGAGAAGTGGTATGGCGACTCCAACAAGATCGTTCGAGCCGTCTTCTCCTTGGCTCGCAAGATGCAACCCGCCATTGTGTTCATCGATGAAATAGATGCCGTCTTGGGCACGCGAAGGAGCGGCGAACATGAGGCCAGCGGCATGGTCAAAGCCGAGTAAGTATTCTCTCAAATACCTAGTAGGCGACACCGCTACATTGATGCAATGAGCACTGACAACATGGAAGATTCATGACTTTGTGGGACGGACTGACATCGAGCAATTCTTCCGGCGTTCCAGCACAGATTGTTGTACTTGGTGCCACTAATCGTATGCACGACATTGACGAAGCGATTCTCCGACGAATGCCCAAGAAGTTTCCCATAACGCTACCGAATCTGGAACAAAGGCGCCGAATCCTGCAGCTGATTCTCAAGGACGCCAAAGTGGATGCCGACAGTTTTGACTTGGATCATGTGTCGAAAATCACCGCTGGTATGTCGGGGAGCGACATCAAAGAGGCCTGCCGCGATGCCGCGATGGCGCCCGTGCGTGAATATATGCGACAGCACGGCCGCGATGGCCCCTCCAAGAGACCAGTTGATCCAGCCCAATTCCGCGGGATCAGGACTGATGACTTTGCCAAGCATCCAGGTGATCAATATTTGATAGATGTGCTCCAGCAACGTCAAAAAGGATCTAACCATGTACCAGCTAATGATGCGTACGGAGATATTGACGAAACGTTTATTGAGCCCCAGGATTAGACGCCGAGGCTACTTCACGACTTGGAGTAACAGCCCTTATTTTGATTTCCTACTGCTTTTTCTGTCTTCTTTCCCTTGCTCTCAGTTGCCGGAGTAATCTTTCATGTCGGCTAGCGTATACGTCGCGGAACTCCAATCACCATCTCAAGATAGTCCTCCTCGCACCTCTGGTATTGATCAAACAGTGATATAGCACCCTGATGGAACTTTTAAGGATATACAATATAAATTACGGCTAATATATGTGTCTATGAGAACTTCACCAAGGCTTTTTGAGAGTCCAGTTATATGGAGAGCTGGCCACGCCAAGTATTTTGTTATTACAGATGATGAATACATGAGGAGCAAACATGTAGAGAGCCAGCCGAATCTTGGATTTCCATAAAAAAAAAACCTCAAAGTTTCCTTCAGTACACCACGTAGTCTCTTGTAGGTCGACCAGCCCTTTATGCACGCTTGCATCGATAGAAGCACGCTTTCCAGTTTGCCTACCATCATATCTGAAGACTGTAAATAGCTTTGACAATCTCAGGGGGGCGCCACCGTGTTGGGATGATTCTCTAGCTCAAAGGTATGTCCAGATTTATGCTGCTCATATCTCCGTTGATGCCAAAGAATTGAAACCTATCGAATCGTTAGCTGCAAATACAAGCAAATACTCTCCCGCCACACAAGCTTACCAATCTTCTACATTAAGGGTTGTCGGCGCAGGTTGTCCCTGTGCAGAGCTCGTACCCCAGCTATCAGGGCTTTGGCCGTCCTGCAGTCCGCCGTCGAAGCCAGGCTGCCACAAATTAGACTGCCCTTGGAATCCAGACATCGGCACGATGCCAGCCCCTTGGCCGGAACCTCTGTACTGGCTGGCCTGTATACCCGCCGCTATACTGCCTCCGGGCATTTGATTCATCGCGTTCTGATCCAGAGTCTGGTGTGTTTGAGGAGGCGAGAGACTGGGGAAAGCCGGCATGCTTGAGCTTTCGGGGAAAAGCTGATCGGGCTGGAAATTCTCCCATAGAGATTGCGAGATGTTTGGCGAGTTGCGGGTGACCAAGTATAAGTCAGGGGGGGTTGCCGGGACGGAAAATGAAGGGTTGAATGGCGTTGCAGGTCTCGTCTGAGGTCGCGAGTTGGTACCACCCATGAAAGTATCCGTGCCGGTCTGGCGAACGGTTGGAGATGCTGCAGACGAGCGCTGGCCGACATTGTTGTCATTCTTGGTCGCACTGGGGGTTTGCGGCCGAGATCTTTCGTACGACTCTTGCGGGGTTGGAGTATTGCTCGTAAAGTCGATGGCCATGTCGTCGTATTTCCGCTTGGATGCATCTTGCCTGTTGAGCTGCTCGAGCTGGTCAACTGTTTGCTGCATCTTCCGATGTCGCTTTCCTCCCGCTTTCTGTAGCCGCTCTTCAAGCACCTTGTTGCCAAGGATGGACTCGAACAGGGTGTAGACCATTTTCCCCACGAGCCAGACGCGAGAGACCTCCTTCATTGCCTGCATGCATCTGCGCAGCCTGTCCTGCGTCACCTGCTGTATAGATGGCACGGGGGAGCGCATTTGATAGACGTGCATGATGAGGGCGGAGAAAAGACTATACACTATGAAGGCTGGGCAATAACGAAGCTGGTTATGCGCCGCCAGGTTCTCAACTATGGAGGTAATCATAGCCGCCGCTTGGAAGGCAATGTTTCTTGATGGATATGGAGTATCGTTGGGGAACCGAGGCGAGCCGCTTGGCGGCATATGGGCTCGATGCAGGAGACACAGAGTCGTATAGTAGTTGGAATGAAGGAGTGCGGACCAGAAATGATGGCGAGGCATTTCCCAGTAGACAATCTTGGGGCAGTTCTGAAGCCAATCAGCCAAAGCCATGTCGCTGTGCGTAAGGTCGATGGCGTTCCGTTGCCTTCCCTTGGAGGCGACCGAATACTGCTGCGACAGGACAAGCCCCATGATTTCACAGAGCTTGACGTACTGGAGGAAGAACTGCACATGGATGGGGTCTGGCGGGAACTCGCTCGCTCGGTCAGATTCATCTTCATTGAAATCATCCTCAGTCAACATTTCAACGTCCGAGTCATCAAGATTAATGTGAACTGGGCGACCAAGAGCAACCGCGACTGATCGGTCGCGCGTAAACAGCGTCCACCAGATGCGCTTCCAGAGCCGCTTATCAGACTTGCTCAGCTGCGACCGTTCAACAGATCGATGCATCCCCGAGCCCTGAGCAACAATAGTCGCGACTCGGCTCCAGTAGAAGACGTTTTTGGTGACATCTTCAGGCCCTTCCCAGTACCATCCCATCAGAAGGAGGGACTGTACAATGGTGACGCGGTCGTCTTCGTAGTTGGCATCGTACAAAGCTTTAGCCCGTTTATAGAAAGTCAGGGCAGCCGGGGTAGTTGAGCCATTTGCGTCCATGAGCTGGGCGTTCTGGCAGACTCTAGAACCGGCCAGAAGGACGGCCTGGAGGAGGAGGAGCGACGGCGGATTCTTAGGATCCCGGTATTGTCGCATGAAGCGAGTGCGGTTGATGACGGGGACAATGGGATGGACCCATTGGAAGTAGGCGTCAATCAGCTCGTCACATAGTGACCTTGGAGGCAGTAGAAAGGCACCTCGTTGGTGAAGGATGTCGATCTCAACGTTATCGAGCTCGGTCAACCTCGCTCGCGACCCCCTCACATTCTCGGGTAGCGGATAGTGAACGACATCCGCAGAACCCTGGCGATCGTGGACGAGGAGAGTGAGATTCGACGATTCGCCGAGGTATGCAACACGACCGGCATCAGTGATGGGGGCTCGTGTGAACTTTGGCTTCATCACCAAGTTCAGATATGTACCATTATCAACCTCCTCTTTCCTAGCCTGAGCTTCTGTAAGAGACGTCGGAGGGGTCCCATCAGCAGTGTGTGATACGGTAGGGGCCGAAGATCTTGGAGAGTACGAGGCAGCGGCGGAGCTGAGAGGGGTCTGCCGTGACGGCTCATCAGTATTCTCGCCGCGGTCGCTAGAGAAGAAAGACGGATTGTGGTCAGTATGAGGGGAGCGCGAGCAGAGAGCAGCGAAGCTTGACACGGGGACATACCTGTCGGAATCCTTGCCTGCTTGCGCCCCAGAGGCCTGGGTCTTCTTGCGCTTCGGCGTTGGGATGCGGCATTCTATCTGAAAGGCGACGCAGTTGGTACATGGCACCCCCAGACTAGCTGCGTCACATCGAACCTGGAGGCCATCGGGTTAGCATGCAAGAGCACCCATGGAGAATAGCGCAAGCTTTGTCGAACATACTTTTCGAGCGTGGCATGTCTATCGAGTGGTTAGTTAGCAGGAGTCCATGTAGAATGCCAATAGCCAAGTGGTCAGCGGCCCCGCTGGGATGCCTCGGCTCATGGAGAAGTGAGGATTATGCGACCTGCAAGACAATACATACCTCGCATGCTCGTGACGCTCGTTGTCTAGAAACACCACAAGGGTTAGAAATTTGCCCTTGTCACCAAAATCACGGCCATCATACCTTCTAAAGCTCATCTGGTTGGCGGCGGCAGCGGCGGCGGCGGCGGCGCTCGCGGCAGCCGAGGGCAGCGGAGACGACTTGGATTGCGGCTGCGATTGCTGCGGGCTCGCTTGCGACGTGCTGTCGCCAGAAGGTCCTTCGACGTCCATGATGCGGGTGATGTCGCTGAAATGGCAGGATGCGAGAGATCGAGGGATTGTCCGATGGACAGGGAGGGGTGATGGTAGGAGGAGGCGAACAACCTCCTCCCGGCACGAGGGTCGAGATCAAGCTGTGAGCTACGCAAATGGGCGCCGGGCCAGGGCATTCAAGCTCAGAGCGCATACACCACCAGTGCGGGAAGAAATGGTTTGCAGATGAGAATCGGCAAAGGGGCCGCAGCTTGCTCTATGATCGGACAGTAGGGTCAAACCGGCAGAGCGAACGCAGGCATGTTACAACCTTGGTTCAACTCCGTTAGCAGCTCGGCGAGGCCACACCCCGTTTCGTTGCTCGTTACGTTTGGTGCCTGCGGCTGATATAGTCGGTCCTAGGTCCCTTTCCAACTCTCGCAGGCAGGCAGAATGTGTGCGTCGGCAGATTCGAGATGGCCTCATCTAAATGTTGCAATTAGGAAGCTGATCAGCGGCATTCAGCACACCTCAATCTTGGTAAAACGTGAATCGCGCTGCCTCGGCCGATTTACAAAGCACGTCGCCCTGCGCTACCTTTGTACTAGTCCGTCCACCTCCACGGCTTAGCCAAGGCAATCTACTTGCAGGTACAATTGCTGCTCGGTGGTGCGCATAAACAGATTCCGGCACGGCACGTAACAGCGTGTACATGACACCACTAGAAACGGAAAGATGATCCCTTGAGAAGATACTTAATGAAACGGAACAGATATCAAGCGTTAAGGTACCAATTCCTTTGTTTTTTTTTGTGTTTTTTTTTTCTCTCGATCAAATTCTCTTTTCCATGCGATTCCGCTTCCCCGCGAGCTACCCGAATAGTCTACCAATCCGCCATGACAAATTACTAAAGCACTTATCCATGAGCTCTCACATGCTTCCGTCTTAGGCAAGGCATATCCAAAGGCAGGACTCCGTCTTTCATACTTAGTAGTCAATTTCCAACTAATACGGATATATACACATGCTCGGCACAAGCTCCCATTAATAACAATACTCGGCTGCCATGATTCTAGCTCTATTTTTATCATGCGATCCTAATCCAAACGCTCCATTAGTGACTTTATTACTCTGGCGTAGAATTTGGGCGCCTGATTTCGAGGGAACGTAATCTCTTCAGTGAGGTAGTCGGGGAGAGCTTCTATCAAATCGCCATCGCGACTGGCGTCGAGTTGCGGACGGTATGCGAATTGCACATCTTCGTAACTCTCGGCTGAGTCCATGTCCTCCAGCGCAAGCTTGAAGTGGAGAGCTATTGGACAACTCGTTAGTCATGTATCCTCTAGTTGTAAACAACTTGTATCGACTTACTTCCGTTGCGCCCAGTCTGTATGCAGTCGAAGACGTCTTCCTTGTCAATGCGGCGCACATCTCTGACGATGAGGCCTGTCAGATCAGCGTACAAATCTTCTTTGTTTTGAGCAATCTGTTTGTTTTCCTTTTCCGCAAGCGCCGCCCGGTTCCCAGGCGCAGATCCTTTGTTGTTTGGTTCGATTTGCCTGCTCGCTGCTAGTTTTGTGTAAAGCGTTTTCGTCTCGGATTTGGCCTGGGATAGTGACTGGTTCGCCTCAGCCAGCTGGGCGCGCAAAGCATCTGCCTCGGTCTCGCTTTGGCCTAGCTGTAGCTGCACCTTCTCTGCTCGCTGGATAGATTTCGATTGCTCGGCTACCTCTTCCTTGAGTTGCGCGATCAACTCATTGGCCACTATCGCAGATGTTAGCTCGCAACGCCCTTGCTATCTGCCCTTGTGGTTCTGGTATTATCGTACCTCTCGTGTTTTCCTCGGCTTGAGCCTTGAGAAGCTCGAAGTTTTGTTCGGCCTTCTTCACGCCTAGCTCCTGAAGCTCCCGATACCTTGCTTCCAGTTTCGAATATTTCTTCTGTAATTCGGAAAGTTGTCGTCGGATGTCGTCTCCATTTGAATATTGGTCCTCCGAGCCGCCCACGCCATCGGCATCTCCATCCTCGTTTGAACGGCCCTTGGAATTGTTTATACCTTCTCGATCTTTGGATGCCTTGGGTCGACCTCGTGTCTGCTTGGATGGCTTGGACTGATCCAAGGTTCTGGCTTCATCGTCTACTTCGGATGCGACACTAGAGTCTGGGGATATGTTGCCATCATTCAATTCGTCGTCGAATTTTCGAGCTCGCTTTGCGGACCTCGCTTTCGCGTTTGCGCCGCGAGGTCCATTTCGCGTCTTCTTTGTCACTTTATTCGCCGCCGCTGGCCGATCGCGCATTATTCTTGCTTTAGGCTATAAATTTTGGCTTCACTCAATATCAGCTATGAACTGTTGGGCTCTGATATTTTCTTCCAAGATATGAGGTTCTTGATTGACCAACGCGCGGTTGATCGGCGTTGATCTAGAGATGTTGAGTGGTGTAAGTCTAGGTACCTTGATGTTACGGGACCTGGTTGTCATGCCTGCGGTAGAGCTAGAGCTGTCAATTGACACCCGAGGCACTGTGCAAGCTTGAGTCAGTGGATATTTTAGGCGATATACTGGTGCTGCTGCTCTTGTAGCGCACAGTGTGTATATTCCGGGTACTTTCCACCTCTCCAACCACAAAAGCCATGGCCAAACGCTGAGAGTGAGGACTTAAGGTAAGGCGCAGTTTGCATGGCTCAGGTACCTAGGTAGGTAGGCACGTTTTAAGATGAACAGAAATTTGATCAAGTTTTGGGGCTCTAAGAATAACTCCTGAAACCATAATAAACAGCATGCATTTCCTTGTGATGATAAGTAACTCTAGGGTTTCAAATGTGCATATATGCAGAGTAATCCATAACCGGGCATAAACCAATAACGTTGTGTATCAAATTCTATCCTGATCGCTTTATGCTAGAATCGGCATCCGCTATACTTCCAAGGAATGGCGATGGTATTTGTGAATCAAACATGTCAAGGCGTGGTGTGCCCTCGGCACCTGGCGTCGGCGTCAGCTCTATTAGGTCTCCAGTATCCTGTCCGGCTGTGCTCCTCTGCCGTGGAATTAATGGGGCCATGGAACGTTTAGCCCATGCCGTTCGAAGCCAGGTCTCAACTGCGGCCGCGGCTTTGTCTAAGCCGTTATTCTGATTATAAGGTGACTCCGTATCTCCCCCCTCTTGAATGGCGCCCTCAACGATCCCAGCAGCCTCACGGTCAAACCCGAACCGTGCCATCTCTGAGCCCATCACCGACATGGATGGCAGGTCGTCAATGTTCAGGCCAGGAAAATGCTTCTTGGCCCACGAGTTAAAGTAGTCTTTGTCCGGGCCGGGAGCGCGGATATTCCTGCTCAAGGAGCCAACACCACCCGAACGCCGCATCCACGCTGGTCTCATATCCGGCCCATCGCCGTCTCCATGGCTGAGAATAGATTCACGCCTGCTCAACGATGGTGGCTGATCGCCCACTAAGCTCTGTCGCCTGGGTAGCGGCGGCTCTATCTGCTCCGTGGTATCAATGCTCTGTCGCGGTGTTGACGAGAAAGACACGGCCTTTTTCCTCCGTGGTGGGAAGTAGCCCATTTTCTGGCGCGCAATACGCCCGATTTCCACCGGCTCGGGCAGTGAGTCTATCTTGACCCATCTGACGTGCGACCACGGCATTGCCTCTTTTTCCGCGGCCTCGTCTTCCTGTGTAGCTCTTTCACCCGATAATTTGGAGTGGCCACTGGGTGTAGTTTGTGGCGCCATTGATCCGGTTGTTGCTTCGAAGAAATCCGTGGCACCGTGGTCTTGATTGCCTGACGGGGGATCACAAGGACGGCCTCGTACTTCGCAGGCATCGACTGGAATAAGGACCCATTTCCGAACCTGAATACTGTCCCTGGACCAGAGGCCGTTCGCTTTCCTAAACGCATCCTCCATGCACTTGTATCGAAGGATAATTCCAGCATATGTGTCAACAGGCAGGATTTTGTGGATGTATACTAGGTACTCTTCAGGCTGTGAGTTCTCTGAGGTAATTTCGTCCGAATTTCGACGTTTATACTTCCCCGAGACATCCAGCCCTCCACTCGGGCCTTGGCTGTTTTCCAAAACGCTAGCTTTCTTGGCGGCTATCAGCGCAGCGTCTCGCTGGTCTGACGATCCCGCCGCCACTCGGTTGGCTGCCCTTTGGCTTCGTAGAGCGGGAGAACTCCCCTGGTTCTGGTTGGGGTTCTTGCTGGCGTTGCCGCTGATGCCGGGTGGTAGTCGATTCCAAAGTGAAGAAGCAAAGTTTTGGTCGGACTGAATGTCTGATCGTGGCCGAGACATGTCGGCCGGGTTCTCTGCGACGGAGAGGAGAGAGGATGCAAATCCCTGGACTGATGACCAGCTGTGAGCCCAGGAATCTCCAAGCACCTGCCCTAAACTAGATGTTGCCTCTCTACCTTTGGCAGCGGGAGTCCTCTGTGCCAGATCACCATGGTTTCTTGTGATATCCTCGCGACTGCCATGATTGAGGGGGCGACGATTGCGCGAGCGGACGGATCCAGAGCCCGTGGTCCCAGCCAGGGGCGCTGCGGAGGATGAGGATCGGTGCGGTGACGACACTCCCGGAGCATTGCGGTCGGCCATGGCGACGACCAAATGATCGAGGATAAGTCTCGAGCTCGACAAAGCCTTTTCATCAGACTTATGCGGCAACGTCAAAGGCTCGGTCGTTGTTCGTGGCCTGTAGCTGTAACGCTATGTCATGGGTCGGCGGAACCGGGGAATCAGTAATTAAACCCCAAGGCCCTCGCGAAGATCTCTATCTCGGAGCCGTCTGGCTTCTCTTCCGTCATAGGGAATAGGGGAAAAGAGAGTCGCTAGGCTGATACTCGGTGTATACATCGCTTCTCTGCCAGAGCAATGGTAAGACGGCCCTGGTGGTCTCCTTCTGTCGCAGCTCTTGGCCACGCACTCATTATCCCGATACCTGTAAGATGCTGGCACGCCCCCACCATGCTTGAGACAGCAGGGTACCGGTGCATTCCAGCCAAGTACCCAGTATGTACGAGGATGTGCATGCAACGGATGCTGCGAGTAAGCAGTGGCAGAACACAGTGCCAATAAGTCCGCAATGTACCTGCCTGGGAGGGAAGGTACCTCCAGCATTTACTGGGCAACGCGAACAGGTACCTACTAGCAGGTACCTACCCACCTCCCACCTCGCGTGCAGGGGCATTTCAATTTAGAGATTCGACGCGGCACGGGTCTGGTAAAAGCATCCATCTGGAGATTTCTTTTGTTCGCTCGCTATTTCGAGACCAGTGCCCACGATGGACTCGTTTATGCTTCAGGACGATGGTGTGAGGGACCGCATTCGCCAGGCCGAGGAGTTTCTGGTTCCCAGTGAGCATCAGCCCTATTGACAAGCCAGTTTCTCCCTTCGCTGACCATTTTGTTTGTTCAAGACGATCCCCATGCTCGCAGTTATAGATCAGATATTATTTTGATGTTACGCAAGAACCAGCGTCGCCTTACCGTCAACATTGACCACGTTCGAGATCACAATGCCGAATTCGCACAAGAGATTCTTCAGAAACCCTTCGACTATACTCTTGCCTTCAACCATGCCCTCAAGGAAATTGTGCAGACGCTGCCTCAAGCCAGGCCTGACCAAACGGCGAGGGATACTGTTTATTATTGCGCGTGGGCTGGAAACTTTGGCCTCAACGCCTGCAATCCCCGCACGCTGTCTTCGCAGCACTTGAATCACATGGTATCTGTGGAAGGCATTGTAACCAGATGCTCCCTGATTAGGCCCAAGGTTGTGCGAAGCGTTCACTACAACGAAATCAAGGACAAATTTCATTTTCGAGAATACCAAGACCAGACCATGACCAACGGAGTCACTACTTCTAGCGTCTACCCGCAAGAAGATGACGATGGAAACCCTCTTACGACGGAATATGGTTTCTGCACCTACCGTGATCATCAGACAATATCGATCCAAGAGATGCCAGAACGAGCCCCCGCTGGTCAACTCCCCCGCGGTGTTGACGTCATCTTGGATGATGATTTGGTTGATCAAGTAAAGCCTGGTGATAGAATCCAACTTGTTGGCATCTTTCGCACGCTGGGTAACAGGAACGCCAACCACAACAGTGCGCTCTTCAAAACAGTGGTTTTGGCCAATAACGTCGTCCTTTTGTCGTCCAAGTCTAGTGGCGGGGTAGCCACTGCCTCGATTACTGATACGGACATCCGCAACATCAACAAGGTTGCCAAGAAGAAGGATCTCCTCGGTCTTCTCTCACAGTCACTTGCCCCTAGCATCTACGGCCATGACTATGTCAAAAAAGCCATTTTACTCATGCTTTTGGGAGGAGTGGAAAAGAACCTCGAGAATGGTACTCATCTTAGAGGTGATATCAATATCTTGATGGTTGGCGATCCTTCTACCGCCAAGTCCCAGCTCCTACGATTCGTCCTCAACACGGCGCCATTGGCTATTGCAACAACGGGTCGCGGTTCTTCCGGCGTCGGCTTGACAGCTGCGGTGACCACAGACAAGGAAACTGGAGAACGAAAGCTGGAGGCTGGCGCTATGGTCATGGCTGATCGGGGAGTTGTATGTATCGACGAATTCGACAAAATGTCAGACGTTGATCGAGTGGCTATTCACGAGGTCATGGAACAGCAGACGGTTACCATCGCCAAGGCAGGTATTCACACATCATTGAATGCCCGCTGCTCTGTTATTGCAGCCGCCAATCCCATTTTCGGTCAATACGATCCTCACAAGGACCCCCACAGGAACATTGCGCTGCCAGACTCCCTATTGTCTCGATTCGATTTACTCTTTGTTGTTACCGATGACATCGAAGATGCCAGGGACAGGCAAGTTTCTGAACACGTATTACGCATGCACAGGTATCGCCAGGCCGGCACTGAGGAGGGTGCGCCTGTTCGAGAGCAAACCTCCCAATCCCTTGGGGTCTCTGCGAACACTCAGGCTGGGTCACAACGCCCAACAGATGTTTATGAAAAATACGACGCAATGCTGCATGCGGGTGTGACCCGAACATTGGGCCGAGGGTCCAACAAAAAGACGGAGATCCTAAGCATACCATTTATGAAGAAGTATATTCAATATGCTAAGCGGATCAAGCCTGTCCTTTCCCAGGAAGCATCGGATCGAATCGCCGACATCTATGTTGGTCTTCGAAATGACGATTTGGAAGGTAACCAAAGGCGGACGAGTCCTCTCACAGTTCGTACTCTCGAGACAATCATCCGATTAGCTACTGCTCACGCCAAGTCACGATTATCTAGCCGGGTGGAAGAGCGAGATGCTATTGCCGCAGAGGGTATCTTGCGATTTGCGCTCTTCAAAGAAATCGTCGAAGATAGCTCACGGAGAAAGCGTAGACGTACACAAGCTGCCGGCCTAGCCTCGTCCAGCGATGAGAGTGGTGATGATGATAGCAACGAAGAAGGCGATGAACAAAGCCAATCCACCAACCAACCGAGCAGAGGTGCCTCCCGACAGCCAACTACGCGCATGCAGACTAGAAATTCAAGGCTCAATGGAACAAACGGCTCTACAAGCCAGAAATCGGGCCGCCAAACCCAGGCAGTGGAAGCCGACATGGGTAGCAGCTCTCATCCATCTCACGATTTAGATACGCAGAGCTCCTTCGCATCGACACTACCCGCTTCTCAAGTTCTATCTCAGACCCAGGGTGAAGTCGAGGATGAAGGTCTAGCTAGCGCCGCCAGCAACCTGGAGATTGAGGATGTTACACTCACGCCTCAGCGATTATCAACCTTTAGAACCAACCTGGGGCAGTTGCTCAACACCAGCGTGTTTGAAGATGATTCAGCCCCTCTCGATGCAGTGATTCAAGCCATCAACGATAGAATTGGTAGCAACGATGGAGGGGCTTTTAGCAAGCCCGAAGCTGTCCAGGCGCTCAAGAAACTGGAGGAAGCAAATCACATCATGTAAGTTTTTTTTTCTCCAACCAGCTACGATGATCACTATCTCTGGCTAACCAGCACAATAGGTTTGGGGACGGCGATGTCATCTACAAGATTTAAGATTTAAATGACAGGACATTTGCTGTGGTGTTTAGGGGCGGGTTCTAGAGGGCGACGGGATAGGATGGAATATTTAACCAGGTTTCTTATGTGGACACGTCCAGGATACTGCAAGGTGAAGCCCGGGGAAATCATGAGTCACAGGTTGATGAGAATAAAAGCTACGATAATGGTATGTACGTAATATGATTCTAAAGTCTTGCCTCAAACTCGCGCAGTCGGTCTAGCACAACGCATCCGTTCCAAGTCTCTGGTTTACCCTCCTCGCGTTCCAGGGTCGGCATGCCCACCTGTTGCACCGCGAAACTAGCTGCGACATTTCCCCAGACAGCAGCTTCTTCGTAGCTCTTCCCCCGAGCCAAAGCAACGGCCAAAGCGCCGAGAAAAGTGTTGCCGCCACCCGTAGGATCGACGACGTCGCTGCTGTCTTTGAAGTAGGCCGGGATCCATCGCTCGACTCCGGGGTCGACTTCAAACTCGTCGCGAACGATGCCGCCATCTTCGTCGCGGATAAGATCGGCCAATAAGGCCGTCATGTCGATATCGGGTCGCAGTCCGCCTCGTGTATAATTCTTTTTTCGAGCCGTTTTGGAGGTCTGGCCAGGTCGGCGCTTGCGTCCGCCATTCTTGACTACATAGCAGCCCTTGTGCGCAGCTCGCACAACAATGGCGAACGATTGCAGCGGCATGCTGTCCAGAAGCTGCTCACAGTAGCGCTCAACAGCCTTTGTGGAGATGTCTCCGGTTACAGGGTCCAAGCCATCGTCGCCCATGAAACCAGCAAGCTCGCTGTGGTTTGGGCTGAGGACGTCCACCAAAGGCAGGGTGTTGGTGAGGTTGAGGAGCTCGTCAGGTGTGCAGAGGTCGGGCACAGGCTCCCAAATGAAGATGGGCTTGGTATATGTATCGGGCGGCGAAGCTTCCTTGCGGCGAGAGATGAGGCTGGTGACCAATTCCTGGCAGCGATTCGGGGAGCAGACGAGGTGGAAGGACTTGGACTGGATCAGATTGGGCGGCAGATCGTCGCTCGTGATGCGTTTCTTGGGCGTCAGATACTTGAACTCGCGCTTATCGCCCGGGCCATCGTACCCGTTCCATCCTCGAGTGGTCAATCGCTTGGCATCATGGCGCACCACGGCCGAAGTGTTCCAGCTGTCGATGAGCGAAGTGACAGACGGCGGGAAGTCGGAACCCTGGTCGACAATCCATCCCACCGTCGTCGAAAGCGGCTGGGGAGAGAAGAGGCGAGCGCCAAGGGCGGCGTAAGAGCCGCCACCTCCGAGAACGTTGTTGCGAGAAGGCGTTGGAGGAGGGAATTCAATATCATCTTTTGACGTGAAATCGCGTGGACACGGTCAGGTCAGCCCCAGGCTGTTAGAGGCTAACATGGCCGTAGCGGGGACGCCTCACCGATAATGAGCATGCCAAAGGTCACAAAGTCAATGTCGGCATTTTGCTCCAGTTGCTGCTCGGACTCCTCAGTGGGATCCGAGTCTATGCGAGACCCCATGGCCAGCTTGGTGAGAGAGAGGTTTGAAAGTTGAAGATGAGATTTTGCTCAACGAAACCACGGCAACAGGTTTATCGGGCGGCAGTGACCTGATGTGCCTGCAGGCGACCAATCGAGGTACCTAAGCGCAAAGTACAGAGTACTAAAGTAAGGCTAACGCGGAGGCGCGCCATCTAGCGGTGCGCAGAGCAAACTATCGCTTGCCAATTATCTAAGTTGCGTCGAAGATACATGCTGGGTAAATCGACGCTTGTACCTTATCTACCTTTAAACCGATAAGCTTATGGACCTGCCTTGATACAGGTAGGTACCTCTGTAAATGTTTCATGGTGGTAAGCAATTGATTCACGCCCTTAGCCATAGGTACCTCGTCTGTATAAGCAAAACCGGGCGCAAAGTAATGTAGCTGCTGCTACCAATGTCGGCATCTCCCAATTGCCTACGTGATTGAGCCCAGAATCCTCTCTGCAAGATGCATCAAAATGGTGTATTATATCTACATTTTATACCAAACGTGCAGCGCCTACCAAAGGAAGAGTCTATACAGTAATGTATGTGTATACGTATAACAAAGACCTTTATAGCTTGGCCTTGGGGGGCTCCAGTGTAGGAACCAGCAAATCTCGCATCTCGCCCGCTGCCTCGTTAAGATAGTAGCTCATCCGCTCGCTTCCAAGACCCTTTGATACAACGTTGAAGTTGATGCTGCAGTGATTTGTTAGCACAGTCTCTCTGCAAAGTGTTGGCAATCGGTCTTTCTTACCTGTTCTCATTGATCATGTAGGCAATTCCAAATCCTCCATCAATCACCTGACTCCAGCCGTAGCCGTTGAAGAACTCCGAGCTGAGCTGAGAGGTGGATAGATACCACGACGAAGAGTAGCCGTATGAGGGATCCTTGTAGATGGCTGGGACTTCCTCACCAGGCTCAAGGAGCTTCTTGAGACCAAAGAGGTGTCTGTCAACGCCCTTTCCATCTGACGCGGCGGAGATGTACTCGAGGTGAGCCGCAATGGCTTTCCGGAAGAGGGCGACCCGCGACTTGTCATCGACCGAGTGGTCTGCCATTGATTTGCACCAAGCGACTGATTCGTCAGAAACACTACGGCACGTCTCGGTACGACCCAGCTGGAAACGTCGAGTGGCAGCAGATTCATATGTTGGTCGGTTCTTGCCGTACATCTTGAAGTAGGCAAGCTGGATGATCATCTGTACGTATGCGTCCGGTGAGCACTTGAACTGCTTGATGAGGCCCTTTCCGTAGGCCTGGTACGCCTGGACAGCAAGCTGGTGCTGTCCAATGACGTTGTTGAAGTCGGTAACGGCACGGTCAATTTCGCTTTGGATTTTGGGCGTAATGTCAAAGTTGATGGGCTGAGGTTCGGGCAAGTCAGATCGGACGTTGGGGTCTGAGAGATCGATCTTGTTTCCAAAGATGAGATCATTGATGTAGTCGTTCAGGCGATGTGTCGGCGTGCCATCCATCATCGAGTGCTCGCCCATGAAACCCGATGTGCCGTTGTCGTTGACAATGAACTGGAGGGGCTTGTCATACCAGCGGTTGGCGCCATCGCCATGCCAGTACTGGTGGGCGCGCTCCTCCAAGGTAACGGGAGACGCATCGTCCAGGCAGACGACAAAAGAGGAAGACTCAATGGCCTCCAAGGCTGCCTTGTTCTTGGGGCTGGCTGAAATCAACAGCTCGCGCGCATCGGCCCAGACATCTCGGTTTTCTGAGGTCAATGCTCCCACGGGCGAAACTCGCTCCGCGATTTCGTAGACACGGTTGAACTGGGCCTCGAGCTCTGAGGCGTTGAGCTGCTTACCAGCAACCTCATGTTGAATCTTGAAGAACTGGTTCTTGCGAATCGCAACAATGTGCTTGTTTTCTTCGTGGGAGAACTTGATGGGGTAATCCGCGGGCTTGGCCGCAACACGGCTCGCGTTGAACATCCACTTGTAGCTGTCCATGCAAATAGGCAGCTTCTTCATGTACTCCGGCTCGAGGCTGCCGCTGTCGACGAGTTTCTTGAACTCGAGGACACCGCTGGTGAGCGCCGCAGCCCGCTTGGCGGGGTTGCGCCGCTTGGGATCATCCCTGTGCGAGTAAAAGTAGCTGACATACGGCACTACCGGGTCGCGGTAACTCAGGTACGCAGCATCGTTCCACCACTCGTACATCCAGTTCTTTGTCTTGGGGTCTTGGGCCTTCTCAATGAGCTTCTGCTGGAGTTTGCTGCCAACTCCGCCGGGCTTGATGAACTCGGTGACGGCGGCTGTGCTCTTCTCGAGCTCGCTGGCAGAGATGATGGGGTGTAAGCTCTTGAGATACCGCTTGGCGGTCTCTTCGAGGGTCGGAACTGGGAGGCGAGGAAGCGAGTCTTGGAATCTGAGCATTGCGCCCTTCGACTTGTCCTCGACATAGCCTAGCGTTGGATACCGGTATTAGCTCGGAGCAACAAACATTTCGGAGAGAAGAGCAAGCCGTTGAGGAGTAAAATCATCAAGGCCATGTCGGTCTCGCACGTGGGAGGAACATACCGGCAGGAAGCGAGCTGCTATTGCGTTTAGGCGGTGCCATGGCGATGCGATGGGTCTGCCGTAAGCAGGCGTGTAAGTTTAGCAAGTCCCAAAAGATGGTATGGAAAAGAGCAACAAGAGTCTCTTACAGAAGAGATGGCAACCCGTCGAAAGGTGTTTGTCGGTCTGTGGGAACGGATTGCTGACAACATGGCAGAATGGACGGAGGCAAAGGGGGGACGGCCGTGTCCGAGGCGGCGTGGTGTTTATATCGGCTGCTGGAGATCCGCTCAGATACCGCGGCTCATGGGATCGGGTGCCGCAGAATGGGAAACGGTGCTCGGTGCAATTTCGCTGCTACAGCATTCGCGGACAGGACTAGCAATAATATGGAAGCAGAATCGTCAGGGTATTGCCTAGCCTAGCCTCCACAGAACAAAGCGACAAGAGTCTTTACCGGGCGACGGAAGAGTGCAATGGAACCGCAAGAATCATATAGAACAGACTGCTGCTTCATAAATGCGGGCAGTTTTGGGGCGCCATACACGTCCAACCCGCGGCCACATGCCAGATGCAAGAAATAACGCTGGGCTAGGCCGCCGCTTACCGCCATCGGGCCTTCGGCTCCACTGGACCCCGGATATGACCAGTCCCACGAGCCGAGGTTAACAGCCGCGGTACCGAAAATCTGCTGGTACCTGCGGCAGCTTGTACATCCACCAAGCAGAGGAGCGCTATCGATAACGCTACGGGGCAAAGGATTCGAGGCCAATACAAAGGCACTAAAGTGGGAGCAGCGGCATCTCCGTACGTCCTTTGGAGGACCGATGTGGCTTGGTTTAGCATAAAGTCGAGGGGTGGCCACCATCAGAACATGAGATGCCTTCTCGAGTACCTACCGTGGTGGGAAATTGGGAAATACTGCCGCCGACGATTGTTGACCGCTTACTGTGATGGGAACATGAAATCTGTCGCCAACTCCACTTTGCTTTTTGCTGTGCTTTTGCTTTTGCTTTGCTTTGCTGTGCTCTTATCGCTTGCTGCCCTGGATCAGCGCCTCTGGTCATGCGGGCACCTCGTACTTGTGCTCTGCCCAGCTCTAGCCGCCTTGCCGTCTCCGTAATCCGGAGCAAAAAGTATGGAGTACAAGTACGAGTACGGAGCACGCACTCTAGATTATGGCAGCTTGCTACGTAACTACTACCAAGGTGGCTGGCTGCTGGGAGCTCATCTCATCCATCACCACTTGACATTCTGCTCTCGAGAGCTTCTTGAGCGCAAACTGCCGGATAGCGCACCAGCATCCTCGTCGCGCTCCAGATAACAATGTCGCATGTTCCCTGATCGCTACGCGTTTCCTGTATTGACTGATTATCCATACCTATTTGCTTATCCTGAATCCTGGACTCAGGGGCATCGCGAAGCAGTCGTAAAACTAGACTCTATCGCTGCCCTAGTCGCGCTTTGCTATCTAAGACACGAGAATCCATCGCCGCCTCACGTAACACCCCCGTGCGACTCATCTTCTAGAGGCTCGATCTCTGCTCTTCAGCTCCTAGTAACCTTCTTGTTACTTTACATCTTCTTGAAATAACGTCGCTATGCATCAGGAGCAAGACCTACACCGTAGGCGGCTTATCGCCACGGTCGCCGCGACGGTCATCTCCCTGGCCTGCGGCACAAACGTGAGACACCACCCTAAGTCGTTGTTTGCGGCATCCTAGTACCAGCCCGTACACGCAATCTGCTAGCTTCATTCGTCTTGTGCCAAAGGTGCCCTAAATCAGAATGTGTATGGCGTCAACTAACTGTGAGGCATCGAAATAGTACGTCTACTCGGCATGGGCGCCCCAGTTCGCCGAGAAGCTCAGGCTTTCCACAACGGAGAGCAACTTGATCGGCCTGTTCGGTAACCTGGGCATGTACACTCTGGGCATTCCCATAGGCATGTTTGTGGACGACCGTGGATCAAGACCTGCTGTGCTTGCCGGCGCCTTTTTCCTGGCTATTGGTTATATCCCCCTCTGTCTCTCTTTCGAGAAAGCCGCGGGCTCTGTCCCTGTGCTCTGCTTCTTCTCCTATCTGACCGGGTTGGGCGGCTGCATGGCATTTGCAGGTGCTGTCAAGACATCTGCTCTCAACTGGCCGAACCATCGCGGAACGGCTACGGCCTTCCCGCTGGCTGGATTTGGGCTCAGCGCCTTTTTCTTCTCCTTTCTCGGCGCTGTTTTCTTCCCCGGGAGCACCAGCTCCTTTCTGATGCTCCTGGCATGGGGCAGTTTTGGCCTGACCTTCTCCGGCTATTTCTTCCTCAAGGTATACCCTCAGGTAACCTATCAAGAGGTGCCCACTCAGGCACCCGCATCACAACCTTCTCGAGAGAGGGCGCGCAGCATAACCGAACCTGGTACGTCGTCCAATCCTGATGTCGTTGATCCAATCCTGGACACATCACCTCGGACCCCTCCAGCACCCGACGCCAGTCGCGCCGCTATTTTCAGTGACACCGAAGCTGGTGGAGAGCCTCTGATTGACGAGACATCATCTTTGATGCCCGAGGTTGTAACTGCCGACATAGTTGGGCGCAGTAGTGTTGATCAAGACGTGTCTCATCGAGTAGATATACGAGGTGTAAAGCTCCTGCTCTGCCTGGACTTCTGGCAGCTGTTCTCCATCATGGCAATCCTCGCTGGAACTGGCCTCATGACTATCAAGTACGTATTTCGTATACACCCCTCGTCACTTCAATGTGTCGGTAATATTAACATGTTGTCAAGCAATATTGGAAATGACGCAAACGCTCTCTGGAAACATTACGACCCCTCGGTCGACGAGCCGTTCCTTGTTAGCCACCAGCAGATACATGTATCCATCCTCTCCGTCTTCAACTTTGTTGGAAGATTGCTAAGTGGTAAGACTACGTTGACTCACTTCCAAGCATCCATATTCTCTCCACTGTCCAACAATTTGGCTAATTCGTCTTACAGGAATTGGCTCTGACTATCTGGTCAAAACTCTTCGTGCTAGTCGTATCTGGTGCCTCGCCGTGGCCTGTCTCGTCTTTCTTCTGGCTCAGATCTGTGCCCTGCAAATCGAGATGCCGCACAAACTTGTATTTGTTTCAGGCCTCTCCGGTCTAGCCTATGGTTTCCTTTTCGGCGTCTTCCCCTCCATTGTTGCAGAGACGTTTGGCATCCGCGGGCTGAGTCAGAACTGGGGTTTCATGATGTTGGCTCCTGTTGCCTCCGGAAATGTATTCAATCTGCTGTATGGAAGGATATACGATCACCACAGCATCGTTGAGCCTGATGGCACGAGATCCTGCGACGATGGTATTGCATGTTACCGCGGCGCTTATACTGTTACCGCGAGCGCATGTGCTCTGGGATTGGTCATCACCCTGTATATCATTCACCACCAGAGGGCTCGGTATCTGAAGGGGAAAGACAAGCTAGACGAGGAAGACTGAGGTGTTTTGGTACAAGGTCCTTGGCATAGACTGGAGGTTGGGTTATGAGTTCTGCTAGCAATTGTAGTAGTGAGCCTATGGCGGCTACATTACACTACACCCTTGGATATATTTTTAGATGTTGGATTTTTACATTGATAGCCAATATTCTTTTGCATTTGCATTACCCTAGCGAATTCTCAAATGAAATTTGTCTATTCTCTATTTCTTAACCGCTGACCTACCTGTGTGCACTGGACGCCTGAAATTAAATGCGTGCCTGTATGATGACGTTTGTATGCATTTAAGCGAGCCCCTTATCGCGGTGCCAATGTACATAAGCATGTGCTAATTTGCACCTAACTCTACACGAGCAGTTATGTCATCTTGCTGGTCACGGGTCTGTCGTCAGTAGACGCCTCATCCCGTTTCAAACCCATCCTAACCCAAGCACCATCAACCGCTTTCATCGCGTGTCTGCGATCTGTCGAATCTTCAACATATGCGCCGCTAGTTTACAAGATGGGCGCTCTTCTTTCTCTACCGCTGCTCGCGGTACCCAGCATGGGCACGGTACGTTCATATCTCTCTTTGCGCCATGGAGTCGCTTGAAGTCGGGATCAATACCCGGCGGTTCAATGCCTTTGTACCATTAGCGATACGACCTACTCGTTGACATTTGACTCGCTGACTTGCGTTCTATAGGTAGTATCTTGCTTCGCCAGCTGCTGCGGTGCGGCAACATGCTCCATGGTCTGTAGCGCGTGTGGCAAATGCGGTAACAGGTATGACACCCGTCTCGCCGCAAGCTGTTTTGACGCTTCGCTGACAATCTTGCAGCATAGCTACGCGTATCGCCTACGCTCTACTTCTCCTCGTCAACTCCATTTTAGCATGGATTATGCTCACGGACTGGGCCATCGAGAAACTCCAACATCTCGCGCTTGATTACGTCAAAATCAACTGCCCCACGGGACAGTGCTATGGGTGGCTGGCTGCCCATCGAATCAACTTTGCTCTCGGACTCCTACACCTCATCTTCGCCGGTCTTCTCTTCGGTGTCAGATCCTCCAAGAACCCTCGAGCCGCTATACAAAATGGTTACTGGGGACCTAAGATCATCGCCTGGCTGGCATTGATTGTCATGTCCTTCCTCATCCCGGACAAATTCTTCATGTTTTGGGGAAACTACGTCTCCTTTGGGGCTGCCATGCTGTTCCTCATCCTTGGTCTTATTTTACTCGTGGACTTGGCACACAGCTGGGCCGAATACTGCCTGGGACAGATCGAAGAGACTGACTCTAGGTTCTGGCGAATCGTCCTTGTTGGTTCAACCCTGAGCATGTACTTGGCGTCGATTGCGATGACAGTCGTCCAATACATCTTCTTTGCCCAGGGTAGCTGCACCATGAATCAGACCGCCATCACTGTCAACCTCATTCTCTGGCTGATTATTTCCGCCGTGTCAATAAACCCCACAGTCCAGGAATACAACCCTAAGGCTGGGTTGGCTCAAGCCGCAATGGTTGCCGTCTACTGCACCTATTTGACAATGTCAGCTGTTTCCATGGAACCTGATGATAAGAACTGTAACCCCTTGGTTCGCGCTCAGGGAACAAGAACTACATCCGTCGTCATTGGAGCCATTGTCACCATGCTTACGGTTGCTTACACTACGACTCGCGCTGCTACTCAAAGTCTTGGCTTAGGAGGTAATGGTAACGGCATTCAGCTTCCCGAAGATGATGAGCATGACTTGGTTACGCAGCAGCCTATTCATCGTCGTGAAATGCGGGCAGAAGCTCTGCGTCGTGCCGTCGAGGAGGGCAGTCTACCGGCCGATGCGCTACTCTCTGACGACGAGAGCGACGATGGCGCGAATCATGCACATGATGATGAGAGATCAAGCACTCAGTATAATTACTCAATGTTTCACATCATCTTCTTCCTAGCCACGGCATGGGTATCGACATTGCTTACTCTTAATTTCGAGGAGTCTACTCGGGACGGCCAGTTTGCCACGGTTGGCCGCACATACGGTGCAAGCTGGGTGAAGATTGTCAGCGCTTGGATCTGCCATGGAATGTATATCTGGACGCTTGTTGCACCGATTCTGCTTCCTGAACGGTTCGACTCTTAAAATTTCGCCGTACTGGATTGTACGTCGTTTCAGGCCGAATAGCGTGATGTATTCTTATTTGCAAGGCTACAGGGAGGGCCCCTTGGCTTACAGCATCTTGTACGCATCGAATTCGAAACAGCCACTTAATCGTATGATTTCTGGCAACCGTCTAGGGCTCTTTGAACATCGGGCTGGAATGTCTACTTGCTGCGGCATGGTGGCATTATCAGAATTTTCAAAATAATCCCCCTCCTACCAAACCAGGGGTTAGTCTGGTCGTGAAAGGAGAGGGCTTGTGTTCTCAAAAACAACTCTGCAAGATCAATCTATTTCGAAATTGGACAGCAAGGCCTTTTCGATACTCGTATCCCAGGTGACAGAGCTCAGAATGCCTTGGGTTGGGGAGGGGTCAGGTGAAGCGTTATTTTCGTTGTTAGGCGTTATTATATTAGATTCTGCTTTTGTTGGCGACGACCAGATCGGGGGAAAGATGCATACTGCATCTGTACATAGGAACCCATCTCGTCGAAATAAATTAGTTACTCTAAATGATCCAAGTCCATGCTTAATTCTTTTGTCCCTCTATAGCCCCAGCAGCCTTTGCAGCCGCGCCCTGATTCGATCCAGCCTCTTTCACGCTTCCGCGGTCTTTCAAGTCTTGCATCTGCTGTTTGTCCTGTTCCCATTGAGTATTGGCATCACCAAACTCTTCCTTGATCTGCTGTTCCTTAATCTTTCGCTCTTCTTCTTCCTTCTCGCGAGCAATTCTTTCTCTTTCCATTTCCTATGGTGAATTGTGGTTAGTACGGGCGACTACGAAAGGAAGGGGTGCCAGAAATCACGTACTTCCATGTGCTTGATATCGTCAACACTAGGTTCATACAAATGCCAAATAGTATAATGAGGCAATCCAACAACGGAGAACCGCATTCGTTTCGCCATCTACATGGACGCATTAGTCAACATTCCAAAATTCTGAAAAGATGCAAACTCACCTTGCCAAAACCCTCCGTTTCGGCGTGCTTCTCGAAGCTAAAGGCGGGGAAGTGAACACCGGTACGGAAGACCTTAGCCTTTGCCAAAATACTGACACCTCCAACTCCGTCAATTTCCATTTCCATATCCGGGTCGCCGTATGGATCGCGCAAGTAGGCCAGATGAGGTCTCCATGTTGCATATTCGGCATAGCCCTCGACAATAACGGCATCTTCGTCCAACGTGTCGGCCAATGCAAGCGCGGTTTCTGATTCTTGCCACGAGTTCAAATCGTAGGGCTGTTCGCCGCCGAGCCAGTCTGGGAGGGGACGCCAAACATCTGTCGCTTTGTTAGTACAAGACAAGAGAGAGAATGTGAGTGAGTGCAGGATTGGCATACTGGGAACAATCACGTCCTTGTTGTGTCGCATCAAGTCCTCCAAAATCGTAAAGGGTGCAGTTTCAACATCCACATCACGCCAGTATACCCAAGAATGGTACGGCCGTAAAGCAGCGCTAAGGAGCCAGTTGCGCGCTTGAGCCATGAGCTTTCTACGGCTTGCCTGAGCTGCAAATCCGTGACGACTTTCAACGTCTTGGTTCACCTTTTGGCCAAAGTCCTTCTCGATGATTGAGATTTCTCCATATGGCTGTTTGGGATCCGGATCGGCTTGGATGGCCTCCAAATACTCCACGAGAGATTCCAGCGTTCGATCTTTGGAGTCGGAGACGAGGAAGGCAAGATCGATCAAGTTGTGAGGGTACGTGAAGTTTTTCAGATGGGAGAAAAACATTGGCAGATGCTGCTCGGCATCTCGAAGAGGCACGCAGAGAAGAATACGCTCTTCACGCTCCCAGCCACGGGCGCTGCCCTGGACGTTGGTGAGGTCATAGTATCGGACCGTTTCAAGTTTCAAATCTTCATATCCAGAGAGGAGGCCGAGCGAGATGAGAGAAGCGACGGATTTGGGCTGTCCGAACCAGATGATGACAAGGACAAGCAGAACCACCGCTATGCCTAGACATGTTTGCCTGCGCTTTCTGTGGTGAGGGAGAGTAGCTCTCGGCTGGAATCTGTGAAGGAGTCAAGTCAGCATGCCAATTGATTTAGATCCCATGCGAAAGGCGAGAAGCGAGGAGATATCCATCACCCACCTATGGGGGGAAATTTCGAAGGTGTCGGCACGTGGATATCCATTCGAAAACCCGCTGGACTGATGCCGTGGCATCATCTTGGAAAGGCGTTAGGAGGGTTATGGCACCATGAATAGACCCTCGGTGAATCGCGTACTGCACGCGGGGCGGCTTTTACCACCTGCGTGATGGAATTGGATTGATCAAAGCTGGTGGTTTTGTGACAAGACAGGAGGCAAAGCCCAAACGTAACGTGTTGGAGTGCCTCGTATCCAGGGAAGACCCCTTGATCCCATTGCGGCCATTCCACAAAAATCCTAGCACCAAATCTGCTACAGTATTCTCGCAAAATTTCACCAAGATAGGCACCGTGTTTAAACAGGTCGGGTGTCTATTTATAGAGCATACACAAGATTTGTACGTATGTGATTTGGAATCTTGAGAAGAAAAAATCACTCTCGAGGGTTTATTTATTATTGATCTCTATTATTATTGGTTATTTATTTGCTTGCTCTAGTTATTTAGCTATTTTTTAAACTTAAATAGACTCTGAATGTTTTGGTATCTACTACGAATATTGCATTTCTTGCGGAAAAACACCGGCTAGATTCGGAGAATGCGTCTGCCTATTAGGCACCCAAGAAAGGTTAGCACCTATAAAGGAGTACGGGCCACTGCAAGTGGATTTCTGCATGTTCCAGGTAGCTGCTGCTAGAGCACAATGAACCCCTCCACGGAGATTGATTAAGTGGTGCCAATCAGCAAGTTATCACGTACTACCTAGGCCAGGAGTCTTTGGTTCGTCACTGTCATTCTGGCCACGAATAGCTTCCTTATGTTGTTGTATACTCTTATCAACTACCTCTAGCAAGCTGCGACATAGCCTTTCCGACTATACACGCGAAGCCATTATTTACATTTGCCACCATGGCAGCCCAAAACCACATGCATAACCTCACCACCCTCATCAAACGGTATTTGGATCCCACGCATACCGAATCGCTTCAACCTTACTGACTTGATTGTCTGGCAGACTCGAAGCTGCAACCTCACGCCTCGAGGATATCGCCTCGTCGACCGAACTTCCCAAAGATGTCCCCGGTCTTGGGCAGCCTGCGACTCCTTTGTCGGAAACAGCTGTAGCACCAACTCCGCCGCCCGTTCAGCAAGAGCCGCCTCAGGAGGCGCTCCCCGAATCCATAGAGGATTTCGATGCCTTTCTAAACACGAGCGTCGGCAAGTATGTCAGGCTCAGCAATGAGCTCGGAGGAGTTGTCGCCCAGCAGGTCCATACCCCCGTTTTCATATCTATAGCCCAAAGGAACGAGCTAGGAGAGCTGACTGATGTGTTGCTACGCAGGCCTCTGAGGTCCTCAAGGGATTCCAGGAACAGCGCAAGTTTTTGCTCATCGCCACCAAGGCTACGAAGCCGGCTACCTCAGGATCTAGCCTGGTCGTCTACCAGAACTTGCTCAAGCCCATCACCGATGCGCTCATGGCTGCAACTGAGCTGAAGGAATCTAACCGACCCGATCCGATGTATAGCAACTTGAGCGCTGTTGCAGATGGTATCATGGTTTTGGGTTGGGTGACGGTCGACCACCGGCCATTCAACCATGTCGAAGAGTCTCTGAGCGCTGCGCAATTCTTTGGAAACAGGGTTCTAAAGGAGCAAAAGGACAAGTACGTCTGACGCCTACTAGGCACTATGATCGATCAAGCAACTAATCAGTCGTATCGCAGCGATCCTAAGCAGGTTGAATGGGTGCAGTCTTTCTACCAGATCTTCCATGACCTCGGAGACTACATTAAGCAGCACCACGCTTCTGGCGTCGCATGGAACCCAAGAGGAGAGCCGGCCGATGAGGTTGCCAAGTCGTTGGATTCTAGTAAGCCATCACAGCAGCCGCCTGCGACCAGCGCTCCCTCTACTGGCGGAGCTCCGCCACCACCTCCTCCTCCCCCTCCGCCTGGTCCGCCCCCCATGCTAGATATACAAGTTCAATCATCAGGCCCCTCTCCTGCAGCGCCTGCTGGAGGATTTGGTGCGGTTTTCTCCGAGCTCAACAGAGGTGAAGATGTGACGAGGGGCCTGCGTAAGGTAGATAGGTCGGAGATGACACACAAGAACCCATCTCTCCGTGCAGGATCTACAGTCTCAGATGCTCCCCGATCAAAGAGCCCCCTTCCGGGCAAGAAGCCCAAGCCTGAGAGCATGAGAGTCAAAAAGCCATCTAGAAAGGTCCTTGAGGCTAACAAGTGGACTATTGTAAGTCGCCTGGCCGATAAACACGATGAAGCTATTGTTTACTGACTCGTATATAGGAGAACTTTGAAAAGGAGCCTCAGCCAGTGGAGATCGAGGCGTCTCTCACCCACTCCGTACTGATCAGCAGATGCAACAATACCACCATCGTTATCAAGGGCAAGGCAAACCAAGTCACGGTTGAAAACTCCACCCGGCTATCTCTCGTTGTTGACACTCTGGTCTCCACGGTGGATGTTGTCAAGGCAAACAACTTTGCACTTCAAGTCCTTGGCACAGTGCCCACCGTCATGCTGGACCAGGTTGATAGCGCACAGGTCTATCTTAGCAAGGAGAGCTTAGCCACCAAGCTGTTTACAAGCAAGAGCACTGGTATTAACTTGAACATCCTGTCTGGACCGGACGACGATTATAAGGAAGTGCCCCTACCTTCTCAGATTTGCTCCTACTACAGCGAAGAAAAGGGCGATCTGGTCAACGAAATTGTAGCCCATGCTGGTTGAGTGCTCAAATGGATTCTACGTAGAGAGGGTATATACGGAGCATATACATACATTACTATATTCATGTAGAAATAGAGTTGAATGTGGCTTTTTTTTTTTTTCTCGATGAGGGGGATATGCAAAGGTTATATTGACCTATTAAAAGCGCGCGCGTCTCTAGCAGCTGTTTGTCGGTGTTCAGGTTGAGGCAAACAATCATGTTCATTGTTGGTTGTTACGACTTCTACTACTCCGTACCTCCAAACAAACAAACAAACAAGCAAGCAGGCAGGCAAACATTCTCCTACTGCCCCGTACTTCTGACTCGTGCGATGCTGACTCACTCCTCCACACTTTCATGGTGTTTCGGGTAAAATGAGGCAAATAGCTAACTACCTAAGGCGTCTAACTGGGGCAGGAAATCGAGATGCTGCCGGTATCGCAGCGCTACGCCCTAAAGAGTAATGCAGCCCCTCTACTGTCATTCTCCAGAGAATTGCGACTTCACCTGTTTGACCAATTGCCTCTCCACTGCACCTACAAACTACTTGCCCTGAATTGCTTCTCGAACAGCATCATTATTCAGCTTCCTTTTTCCTTTCTGCTAGAAAGAGGAAATCGGAAGTATCAATTCATCTCAATTATCATTGGCCTGCCTGCTTCTTTGGGCTGTTTTGCAGAATAACAGCTTCTTCGTCATTGTCATCGGGCTGTACGGGACTACACAGTATATGCTGTAGTCAAGCAATCTTGGTCAAACGACTTTCGCATTTTCCTAATTGCAGCCCTATCATCTTGCATTTACAAATCAAATATGGCAGCTCCCTTGCCCGACGGCCAACCCGGCAAGTCTGCCAGTCCCCTTCAGCGTCTCGACCTTGACGGCCACAACCTCCCACCGTCACCGGCGCCTTCGAGTCCTCGAAACGGAAGACGCCGCTATGCTCTTGCGACTGAGCTAGTATATACCGAAGGAAAAGACCAATATGGCGCCTCCAGCACTCCAATTTATCAGTCTGCAACCTTCAAGCAGACCTCGGCCAGCGGCGGCCAGCAGGAATACGACTACACAAGATCCGGCAATCCTACACGCACTCACCTCGAGCGCCACCTCGCCAAAATCATGAATGCGAACCGCGCCCTAGCTGTCAGCTCTGGAATGGGCGCTCTTGATGTCATCTCGCGACTTCTGCGTCCTGGTGACGAAGTTATCACCGGCGACGATCTCTATGGTGGTACACATCGATTGCTCACGTATCTGGCGACCAACCAGCAAATCGTTGTATACCACGTCGATACAACAGACGTCAACGCCGTCAAGGCACGTCTCTCAGAAAAGACAACCATGGTTCTCCTCGAGACCCCTACGAATCCTCTTATCAAAATCGTTGACATCCCATCAATCGCACGGCTGGCGCATGAGGTCAACGAGAAAGCCCTGGTGGTGGTGGACAACACAATGCTCTCCCCTATGCTATTCAACCCTCTAGACGTGGGTGCAGATATTGTATACGAATCGGGAACCAAATACCTCTCTGGTCACCACGACATCATGGCCGGTGTGATAGCATGCAACGATGCGGCAATTGGCGATAAACTATACTTTACAATCAACTCAACTGGCTGTGGATTGTCGCCCAACGACTCATTCCTCCTTATGAGAGGAGTCAAGACGCTGGCTATCCGGATGGAAAAGCAGCAAACCAACGCACAGGCTATTGCCGAGTTCCTAGAGTCGCATGGTTTCCGAGTGCGGTACCCTGGTCTCAAATCTCACCCGCAGTATGATCTGCATTGGGCTACTGCCAGGGGCGCTGGCGCAGTCTTGTCGTTTGAGACGGGCGATGCGGCCGTCTCACAGCGCATCGTAGAGGCAACCCGTCTGTGGACCATCAGTGTCAGCTTTGGATGTGTTAACAGTCTCATCAGCATGCCCTGCCAGATGAGCCATGCCAGCATCGACGCCAAAACCCGAAAGGAGCGACAGATGCCCGAGGACCTCATTCGCCTTTGTGTCGGTATTGAGGATGCTAATGATCTGATAGAAGACCTGTCTCGCTCCGTAAGTTGTGCTTTTGAAGCTCGTACCAGTCTTGTTTTCCCCGTGACCAATTGACTAATATTACTTTTCAGCTTGTTCAAGCCGGGGCTGTAACCGTCACACTCGACGGCTTCCATGCCAATGAATCAACCCAATCGTTGTGACCGCCTAGGACGACTAGCTAAACTGATGGAATAAATGAAAGCAAAAAGAAAAAAAAAGAAAAGGAGCTATGCATTTACTATGTTGTACGTTACGAACCTATGGGGTTGATTCGAAATAACAGGGCTGGATGTGGCCTCCTAGCACGAAGGAGCTTCCGGATCATACCTAAGCACGAAGCACACGACTTGCTTCTCAGGGAAAAGGGAAATGAGAAAGTGAGCCATTGAATGGCAAGGCAAGGGGTTAGGCAACAGCTTACTTGATGAACATGATTAAAAGATAATTTCGGGCTTCTACATGTCACGTAGTACTTGAAGGTGCTGAGGGGGCGACTCCCACCTGTGCTTGGCCGGCTCTACAGCACCCGGCTTGCTGCCGTATGTCTACCAGACCCAACATGAACGGGAGCCAGCATGGTGGTGAAATTAGAGCTGGGAATAAGGCACAAATAGCGCGAAACAGCAAGCCAAGTCCAGCGCTAAAAGTCATGCATACTTAGTTTAAGCATTCTCGTCCAGGGGGTGTGTGTGGCCAAAGGATTAATTGATTAATTAACCATCTCACCCAACACTGGTCGGGGTATTACGGGAAAAGAGTTTCGAAAACGCCGAAGACAAGAAACAGAAAAAGAAAAAGAAAAAGAAAAAAAATCTACCTCGTATACGCCCCTGACATGCTACAACGGACGGACTCGGTGAAGTCGGCATCTCTACTCTTGATACTACATCTAGCTAGGCCAGCACGGACAATGTCCATCTCAGCGACCTGAAGCAACAAACTCATGATGATCTTGTGAGTGAATAATCACCGTCATCTTCGGCTCATCACAAGGATTTCTGGTGGTGGAGCGCAGACCACACCGAGAAGCTTAGGTGGTTAGCTAGTGGCCATCTGTCTATAGTTAGCATCTGCATGTCCTCGCTCAATTTACCGCTTTGGACGAGAGAATGAGTTATCGGGCATCAATGGTGATGTGTACCAGTGAGAGACTGACTACTTGTCCGTATACCCACGAGATATTACTAGTATGATTGATGTCTGGACTGGTGTAGTACTTAGTAGGTACCTGTAGTTACCCAATATGCAAACGGGCACCTCGTAATATGTAGGTACTTGGGCCAATGTTGCTTCGGCGACTCCGCTTCTCACGATCAGCATAAAGCCATCCATGCCGTGTGCCGTTTATGCATACTCGTAGTGCTTTGTTTGCATCTCGATTCCCATACCTTATCCACAGACTAAGCTGAGCGTGTACCCACCACCAAGCATGGGTGCTGGGGTTTCTCGGGTCTAGATGGCAGAACTCCATCATCCATGCATCCGGGCTGGAGAATTCTTCGTCATTCTGGCGCCCTCACAGCCACCGACATTTGCAACAATTGGCTGACGGCCGCAGCCAATGTTTACTATTCGTCGCCGATAGTCGTCTCCTAGGGTTTCCCCCAGCCGGGACTTTGTCATCAAAATCCAGATCCTGGCCGCATCCTGCCCGGTGGTTGGCAGCAAGACCGCGAAGCTGTAACACGGCTGCAAGATTCTGGTGCCGAAGCCCGACAAAGAGGCATCGGGGGGCCACCTGAGCGTGCCACGTCGTCGTGCCCCCTTGAACGGCCTGCGCCACGAACAACAAGAGAACCATTAGCACTTCGTATATAGCCTATTTATTGCCCAGAGCTGAAGCTGCAGGATCGGGACCTTGTTTTTTCTTCTTCTTCTTCTCTCTGTGCTTGGCGGCCTCCAGCCCTTACTGCATTGCTGCTAGTACGGTACGGAGTTGGACGTCTGGGCCACCACACTTCTCCCATTGCAAACTGCTGTTGCATCAGAAACAACAGGGGCACGAGAGAGAGGGAGAATAGAGGCCCCACTTGCATCGACTCGATTGATTCACAGCCGTTTCGATGGCCAGCCCAAGCCATCGCCGCTTAGGCTCTCATGGCCAGCAGCGAAGTCTTGTGCAAAACGACGCCCTCGAACCGGGCCCTGTCTACTCCAAGGCCTACGGCGGCGAAGACACGCTCCCACCCCCAAACACCAGCCATCAAGCCCACGGCCACGGCCACGGTCACCACCTTCACGTCCACGGGCACAAATACAAGCGTACTAGGTGGCGAAGCGAGAAGGGGTCCGGCATGAAGCTGTTCAGGATCAAGTCGGGCGGCGAGAGTGGCCGCGGCGGCATTCACCCATGGCACTTCCTTAGAATCTGCTTTCGCTCGTCGTGCAAGGCCAGCGCGGCCGTCAACGTTCTGTGGCCCATTGTGCCAGTCGCATTGGCTGTTCGATGTAAGTTTCTTGCGAGCTGGAGCTGGAGCTGGATATGAAGCTGCAGCTTTGCCCATCCGGCGATGGCAATGGCAACATCTGGCGCTTCAATTTGGCGATTGCTAATGCCCAAAACTCTCGTCGTTTCTTAGATACCTTGCCAGATGATCACATTCTCATCTTCATTCTCTCTTACATCGCCATGGCACCTTGTGCCAATCTCATCGGATTTGCTGGTCAGGAGTTTGCGCGCAAGGTTCCCCATGTTTTCGGCGTTCTCATCGAGACAACGGTCGGCTCCATCGTCGAAATCATCCTCTTCATGGTTCTGCTCCAAAAGGATCAATTTCTCGTCATAAAAGCCGCCATCCTCGGCTCCATTCTGGCTACCATGTTACTCTGTTTGGGTCTTTGCTTCTTCGTCGGTGGAATATACCACGAGGAACAGACTTTCAGCGACACCATTAGCGAGGCTGGTAGCGGTTTGCTTCTTACTGCGTATGTTGCTCTCATCTTGTTTGTTTGGCGGACAAGAATTCGTCCCACATCTTCATTCATTTGACACGAGCTTATTGGTGATTATAGGGGCGTGGCGTTGGCTATTCCCACCGTATTTATGCGAGGCCTGCCGGATGACAACACTTTGAGCCCCGATGAGATTGCTCACAAAACCCTGAGCATCTCGCGAATCGTGTCCGTCCTTCTCATCATCGCCTATTGTGTATACGTCTTCTTCCAGGCCCGGACCCATCACGGTATCTACCATGCCATCTTTGAAATGGACGAGGAGCGCGACCGCGACGGCCATAAGGATGCCGCCAAGGACAAGCTCACCATGACAGAGTGCATCATTGCATTGGGCATCGCTGTAGCTCTCGTCACCTTGATTGCCATCACTCTCGTCATGCAGATTGAACATGTCATCGAAAAGTCAAAAGTATCCGATGCTTTCATGGGTCTTATCCTGGTGCCCCTCGTCGAGAAATTTGCCGAACACATCACAGCTATAGACGAAGCATGGGATAACCAGATGAACTTTGCGCTTTCCCACGTCTTGGGTGCCACTCTTCAAACTGCTCTCTTCAACGCTCCACTGGTCGTCATTGTTGCCTGGGGCCAGCACAAGCTTTTGGACTTGGAGTTTGGTATTTTCGAATTGGTCATGCTTTTCCTTGCTATTTTGACCGTTGGTCGGTTTTTGCAAGACCAAAAGAGTAACTACCTCGAGGGGTTCCTCCTTGTAACTCTTTACGTGGCTGTCGCAGTATCTGCTTTCTACTACCCTGATCCAACGGTTCATGGAAGTGGTGAGGGTGTTGGTGGCGAGCCTACTAACACAGGCAGTGAGGGCGGAGGCGCGGAGCATAAACTGCGATTCTTTTAACTCGGAACCACTGTTCCGTAGCACAGCACAGCGATGCAACAAGTATCTGACATTTGTTTGTGGCTTGTTTAACTCATACTCGGGCACACGTAAGGTTATTGGAGGAGTGTATCGAGATAATGATGGCATAACCATGCATGGCGTTGGACAAAAGGGGGTTTGAGGGCATGTATAGGATTTCAGGATTTTCTAGGGGAAAACAGATTACCTTTTATTTCTCTTTGTTGTTAGGTCTGTGAGCGATGTGCAGCAATTTCCAGTTTATAATACAAGCTATGTAATAAGACCTACCATCGGATTGACTTTGGATTAAACATCACCTACAGTAAATGTTGTCAATCTTTCAGTTTACTATACTCGTAGGAAGCAGCAGTTTCATGGTGTGGGAGTTGGATACTCGATGATACATGCTTGAACTCTTCTTACCCTGTAAATTTGGCGTAGTTTTTGAACTTTAGGCCCAGTATGGTTTAACTTTGCCCAGCTGTTTCCCCTCTGAACTTGCTGCTCGGTCGTTGACTTTGACATTGCCTATCGTTTCAAGATTGGTCATTCGATTAAGGCATAGATGAAAAAACACAATATTCTGTATTAGCTGGTATAAATTCACTAGATTCACAGAATATGTCATTTAGAGAAGGGCAGACGGGAAAAAGGTCGACATGATTGGCCGATACATCACAGGTACTTGTTAACCATTTTTGACCTAGCCCCCCAGGAACACACTCTACACATTAGGCTAAGCTCAATCTCGCCGTCACGTTATTCCGGCTGCCAGTGCCCGTGCTTAGTTTAGCGCGGCATGGCGAATTAAGCTCTTGATGACGAAGGGTGGTATTTATCCGAGTTTCACTCTATCGGAGTTCTCTAGCCATCCATTCCACACATAGCCTTAGTCTTAGCCTTGCGTCAATCTCGTGGCGCAAACCACCAAGGTCTTTTGCTTCTGGCTACCTGATTTGGCTGACTGCTTAACGACTATCTTGTTCTTGTCCGACTAGTTTCCTCGGACGCACCGATGCTGCTGGTTCGCCTTGCCCAACAACAGTGCCGAGTTCCAGGGCAATATATCCCTTAGCAGTGCAGCGTTACGCTCGAATGTAGTACCTCGACCAGGATCGGCTGTCGCAACCCAGACTCACCCTACGGGTTGCCATGGATCGCGCAAGGAAGCGTGCGTGTTGAATATGTGACCTTGTTGACGGCTAGTTCGTGGGCTGACAGTGAACTTACAGGAGAGCTCCGAGCTCTGAATGAAAAGGCTTGGGATGGCGACAAAGGTATAGCACGGACAAGGGACAAGTTTCGAAATGCTTTTGGTGCTTGCTAGCTAACCTCTCGACCAAGGGCTCGTTAATGTCAGCAGCTCGCTTGATTCGTCGCTCAAGAAGAATACGGCATTTATAAAAAGGCTTCGGACTGCCATCAGCGCCGCGACTCTCTCGACGTTCCTGCAAGAGATTCGGACTCTGAGCTTGCACAAATACCTGTCCGAGATTATATCTGCCTGCTACGAAGGCCTCTGTAGGCTCAAGTCTCCAGGAGAAATCGATGCCGCGGTTGAAATCGTCAGCGCTCTTCACCAACGGTTTGGCCCTACCGAATTCACCGAGTACCTTACCTGGCTACTTGGCAAGGGCATGGCTACGCCCGACAAGAATATTCTCAAGAGTTTGCCGGCAGAAGTTCGCGAGAAGGAGGAGAAAGAGCGCATCACCCGCCAGCGTGCCCTCCTCAGGGTCATTACAGAGCTCTGGCTAGTTGGCGTGCTGAGGACCTTGGACGACGCCAGCAAACCGGATGATGCAACCAAAGGTGCCACCGGCAAATCAGTGGAGTTGAAGGCTCGAGGCAGTTCCAAACCTGGCGGTTCTTCAGACCCATTTCCGCTTGAAGTACTGAAAGATTTACTCGGCTATGATAGGGAGCACGCCAACTTGCCGTTGCTCGTCATCTTCGTCAAGGCTTTCAGCTGGGATATTCTGGGGATCCGGTCAACCACACCCGAAGGCCGTAAAACCGGAGAAGAGGACACCCTGCCAACTAGCGAAGACACAACTGAGCCTTCTGCTGAAGACCAACCATTCACCCCCCCTGAGCTGGCCGAGAAATTCAAGGAAATTCTTAAGAAATACTTTGACGACGTGGCCAATCACATTGTTCGTGATCAGAAGTCAATCCATAGCCAAGCACGACGCAACGCCGAAGCATATGTCAAATCTGGAGAGGTCTTCGAAGATAGGCAGGCCAATTACGAGAAACAAGTAAAGGCTCAGGATAGGCTCGTCTCCAATGCTCAGGTGATAGCCGACGCCATTGGCGCGGAAATGCCAAGCCTGAAAGATTCCAATGATCCCCTTGCAGCCTCAAATAGCTCCATAGGCCTAGTCAAGACTGGTGACTACCTGCGGTCGATGGCTGATGGCGCCGGCATCTGGGAAGATGAAGACGAACGCCGGTTCTACGAAAATTTAGTTGATCTCAAGGGCAAGGTTCCGGCTATACTTCTGGATGACAGCAAGAAGAAGAAATCGGAGACTGAAGACCAGACTGCCAAGAAGCCAGACTCGGCTGAAAGCTCGGAAGCTACAAAGGCCCCGGAGCCCATCGATGATCAATCTATGGCCATTGCCAACAAGACTATTGGAGCCCAAGTAGATGCCATATTGGCACGGTTGCCTGACCTTACTAACAAGGACGTTATTGATCAGACAGCTATCGACTTTTGCTTTCTCAATTCCAAGGCTTCTCGTAACCGACTGGTCAAGGCGCTAACAGAAGTCCCCAAAGGTCGGAGTGATCTGCTGCCTTCTTGGGCACGTCTGGTCGCTACGCTAGGGAGATATATGCCAGATGTTCCAAAGGGACTGGTTGACTATCTGGATGCAGAATTTCGTAGCTTGCAGCGCCGTAAGGAAAAGGATTTCTTGGGCCAAGTTCGACTTAGCAACATTCGGTATCTGGCGGAGCTCACAAAGTTTGGCGTGGTCCCCGAACATGTTGTTTTTCACTGCCTCAAGGTCAGCCTTGACGATTTCTCTCGCATGAATATTGAGATCCTGTGCAATTTGATTGAAAATTGTGGCCGGTATCTTCTCAGGAACCCTGAAACCGCGCCTCGTATGGCGAGTTTCCTCGAGACCTTGCAGAGAAAGAAGTCTGTGCAGCATATTGGCCAGCCAGAGAGAATGCTCATTGACAATGCTGTGTACCACGTTGACCCTCCAGAGCGGCCTGCCATCGAGCAGAAAGAACGAACCCCGATGGAACTCTTTATTCGAAAGCTGATCTATGGCGATATGACTAAACGGAATTATAGCAAAATTTTGAAGCAAATTCGCAGACTTCATTGGGAGGAAACAGAGGTATGGCTCTTCATTCTCTTTTCTTCTTCTTCTTCTTCTTCTTCTTCTTCTTCTTCTTCTTCTTTTCATCCTTGTGACTCTGATATCGCACTCTTTCTCTTATCCCTTTTAGCTAACTAAATACTTTTATATAAAATCTAGGTCGTTGCTATCTTAGAGAAGGTCTTTTCTAAACCTGGCAAAGTGAAATATGGAAATATCCATCTTCTCGGCATTCTTTTGAGCGCACTTTACCGCCACCATCCGCACTTTGTAGTCAAAATCATTGATAACGTTCTAGAATCCATTTGCTTTGGGCTGGAGCAGAACGACTTCCGATTTTCCCAGCGCCGCGTCGCCGAGGTCAAGTACCTTGGAGAGCTCTACAACTACCGCATGCTGGAACATCCAGTAATTTTTGATACAATGTACAAAATCGTACTGTTTGGATATAGTAAGACTCCATTTTCTCCCTGACCGGCCTCAGCTGCCTCGAAAATATGTAGTCTAATCCATTCATTTCATAGATGGACCTCCTGTTATGGGCAAACTCAACGTTTTTGACCCACCAGACGATTACTTTCGGATCCGTCTCATCTCCATCATGCTAGAAACTTGTGGCATGTTCTTTAATCGAGGCGCCGCTGGGAAGAAGCTTGACTACTTCCTCTCATTCTTCCAGGTAAGGAAAGCTGACAAAATGTGCTACGAAATGTTGGCGAATCTGACATGTCTTCTAGTATTACGTCCATACGAAATCGCCTCTGCCACTGGACATTGAGTTTCTTGTTCTTGATACATTTGCACTGACCAGGCCACAATGGAAATTCGTGGAAGATATTGAGGAGGCGACCAAGGCTTTCCAACTTGCTATCGCTCAGGATCAGAAGACCGCAGGAGTGGACAGAGTTGCTGAAGCAGACGACGCTACAAGTGGGCCATCGTCTGAAGATGAAAACGGCGACATGGACGACGTAGAAGCGGATGGCGACGGCGACGATGAAAGTGCTTCGGAGGAAGAAGAGGAAGCAGAGGTACGACGCAGCGCCAACTTGAGCAATTCCCATGTGACAACCCTACTAAACAGCATCGTTGATAGGATGGCGACAATGGCTCTACCCATGAGAGCGAATACGACGAGGCCATTATTGTGACGAGACAAGAGGAAGTTGTAGATCCCGAAGATGAGGCGGAGTTTGAACGAGAATATGCCAAAATGATGTCGGAAAGCCTTGAATCTCGCAAATTCGAGCGTAAACAGCTGTTTGATGTGCCACTCCCTGTGCGATCTAGAAATCGTGAACAGCCCATGTCCACCGGCTCTGGGGAGACGGGGCAGAGCGGTACCATGGCATTCTCCTTGATGACAAAGAGAGGCAACCGGCAACAGGTATGTTATCATTGTTAACCCCCCCCCCCCTTTTCTCTTCAGCTTCTCCCTCTTCTTTGAGGAAATACTCTATTATCGGCTGGCGTGTAATATGATATCCTGACATTGTCACTAGACTCGCACAGTCGAATTACCTTCGGACTCAACATTTGCAATTGCCATGAAGACACAGCAACAAGCAGAGAGAGAGGAACAGCAGCGGATCAAAAACCTTGTGCTCAATTATGACCTTCAGCAGAGCGATGACCAAGATGGTGAGTGTAACTACCAACTTGCCTTTATTTAACATCACTGTCTCGTACATGGACTCACTGAAATACCTAGGTAACGACCGACCGGCAACGTTCTATCATAATCGGGTCGATAAGCCGAACAAGGACCGTGGTCAGCGTGTTCGGAAACTGCAGCTTAGCGACGTGGATTGGTAGCGATGATCCCGTATAACGGCGAGCAATTACTATGGTGACGCGCGATGCCGCCAGAACCAGACACGACGACCACCTGAATTTTTTTTGGGCATTGTTGGCATACCAGCTTGCTTCTTTTCCGAAAAGTTGTGTTGCATGATGCCATGTACCACGGACGGGCAGACTACCCTTGGCATTGAGAGAACAAAAGACCTCTTAGGCATAACTCGCTCTTTGTCATTTCACTGGTACCCGATATGAAAGCCGAGTCTCATCGGAGATTTTATTACTCGACTTTGGGCGTCTATTTTAGCTACGCTATATGATTGTCAGGCTATCATGAAAGGGCAGTTGCCGCAGAGATGAGCGGTTGCTCTTCAAGGGTGCAGACCCCAGGTGCTACCTTTACGTGGATGCGGATGGTGGCTGGAGCAATATCGATGAGCTTCGGTGGTTAGGGCAGAGGCAACGTTGTGGTTGACGGGCACAATGGGAGGAGTGACATCTACCGATTCTTAGGCTATACTACTACCTACTGCTACTACTCCTGCCGAGGCCCGAGATCAAAGGGGCCAATGCAAGGGGCTTGGCATTGAGAGCCCTTGCATGGAAGTATTTATGTTACATGTAGGTACTTGTAGGATTTATGGTATCGTCACTATAGCAGGTAGACAGACTTGAAGGCTCGAGAAAATGAACATGGCAATCCATGACAGGACCCTAGGTACTTTGGTGGGCATCTGTCTGCCTTATTAGTGGGTGTTGGACCAGGCCCTATTCATGCATGCTGCTGCTGGACTGATATATTCCAAGTCGCTAACCATTGAAGGTACTTGGCTGTACCGCAGTGACGTGATAATAAGAGGCACAGATGCTTGTCTGGCTCTTGAACAAACCACGGACTGATGTTATTGTTGCTATTTTAAGGCGTCCGAGCTCTGCATTAGGTACTCATGCGGTACCTTTACTTTGCCTGCTCCCGCCAATGCCAGGCGACAATCGCATGTAACGTGTAGTGCAAGTCCGCATCGCTGCTGCCCTAGACCCAACAAGATTCGGAGCCTGGAAAGCATGGAAGAGGAATTTTCATCTTTTTTCTCTGTCCCCTTTCTCACGATTTTTCTTCCCTTTAGGTTCAGTCCCGTTGTCTTTCCCTCTCAGCCAACTCTTGCCGCTCAGCTCAGCCCCGATTGGGTTGTGGTTCCATATTGGGCCGTGATGACATGACAGTTTACTTGCAGCTACTGTACATACGAGTTCCGCTGCTGACGAGTTCCGCGATCGTTCTCCCGTACGACCAAATCTAGCAGGTGGTGGTGCACATCACTTGCCGCTCCCTCTCATAAGCATCGTGTCGATGATCTTTTCCCCTTACTTTGTTTTTTTTCAGCCTGGGATTTAACTCTGCTCTGTTGCTCGCTTCCCATTCTGCTTGTTGATTCGCAGCTTGTTCGCTTTGGTTAAGACTGGGCGTCTCAATTACAGCATTGATGGGGGTACCGTGATATGCCGACGCTTGAGCCAAATCTGCGACTTTTTGTCCCGTCTTTTCTTTTTGTCTTCTTTTTTTCATTTTTTCGGACTGCCGTTTTATTGCTGGGTGTCACAAACAGTCTCGGCTCAGCCTCACGTTTAGCAAAAGGTCTGACGGCTGGTAGCATAAAGGCGTAAAGCCGCTGTGATTTGGGATCCAAGTCTCTTGTTGGCTTCTTCTTGATTTGACTTCCCTTCTTTCTCTCCATCCCCTTCAAAAGGATTTTTGTACATATACGTGTGTGTATCTGTGACTTTTGTCATGAAAGGGCTCAGCAACCGTCCTTCAATCTTCATTTTGGCATGCCTCTAAGCTAAGGTTTGGAGCAACACCCTGTTCTCAGCACAGGAACCTCATTATAACTCTCCATTTGTCGAGGTAATTTGCCAGACGAGATGGCAAGCGACTCGGGTGGGCCAGAATGGCCCGTTAAAGATGTAAGTAATTCCTTATTATCTTCTAATATTACTACGAAGTCACAAATTATGGTGAAACATGGCTAATAAGAGCGTGATTGTGTACCGGCATAGATCGTTTATACAGCCATTGTTGGAGTCGTCATGATTATGGCGCTGCTAGAGTGGTTTCTCTGGCTAGCGGCCTTTGTCTATTGCTTGTATAAAGCATTCCGAAAGGCCGAACATTGGTCCATCAACGTCCTATGTGTTGTTGTCGGCATAGCATTCGTGGCTTTCAGGTACGTCTCTTCACGGAGATATATATGCAGATATAACAGCTACATCCCACTTGCTGAGTTGAGTAAAATATTGCCTGCTGATAATCATCTCCTGCAGGGCCATCTTTCTCCCCATCATGGTGGTGACCTTGCCACTGCCAAGTCAAGTCTCCAAGTACTGGCCAGAATCTGTCGTCTCAGTTCTCCAATGGTTTGCATTCTGGAGCTTTTCTATCCTTCTTACTGTGCCTTGGCTCTTCTGCGTCTATCAACTTGTCACCAACCAGCTTGGACGCACAAAGCGCATGAAGCAAGTGCTCGATGATGTCACCGCGCCAAAAGTTGTGATTGTTATGCCATGCTACAAGGAAGAGCCTGATGTGCTTATTACAGCTATCAACTCGGTTGTTGACTGCGACTATCCTGCCGCCTGCATTCATGTATTCCTGTCATTCGATGGAGATCAAGAAGATGAGCTCTATCTCAATACGATAGAGAAGCTAGGAGTTCCTCTGACCATGGAGTCTTACCCGAGGAGCATCGACGTCACATACAAGGAAGCCCGCATAACCATCTCTAGATTTCCTCATGGGGGCAAGAGACACTGCCAAAAATCGACGTTTAAGCTCATCGATAGAGTGTACGAACAATACCTCAAGATGAATGACAATCTTTTCATCCTCTTCATCGATTCAGACTGCATACTGGACAAAGTTTGCTTGCAGAACTTTGTTTATGACATGGAGCTAAGTCCCGGCAATTCTAGAAACATGCTGGCCATGACTGGCGTCATTACGTCGACCACGAGAAAACATAGCATCATCACCCTGCTTCAAGATATCGAGTACATTCACGGCCAGCTATTTGAACGTACAGTCGAGTCCGGCTGCGGATCTGTGACATGTCTTCCGGGCGCCTTGACTATGCTTCGATTTTCCGCGTTTAGGAGGATGGCCAAGTATTATTTTGCTGACAAGGCAGAGCAATGTGAGGACCTGTTCGATTTTGCAAAGTGCCACCTGGGAGAGGATCGTTGGCTCACCCACCTCTTCATGATTGGCGCAAAGCAGCGATACCAGATTCAGATGTGCACGTCGGCATTTTGTAAAACTGAAGCTGTACAGACCTACCGCTCCCTTATTAAGCAGCGGAGGCGATGGTTTCTGGGCTTCATCACGAACGAGGTGTGTATGCTGACAGACTGGCGGCTGTGGAAACGATATCCTCTCTTGGTTATTGTGCGCTTCATGCAAAACACCATCCGAACGACTGCTCTTCTCTTTTTCATCATGGTTCTCGCACTGATATCGACTGTTGCCAAAGTCAAAGACCTGCCGGTTGGGTTCATCGGAGTGTCGCTGGGGTTGAACTGGTTGCTCATGATATACTTTGGGGCGAAGCTTCGACGATTCAAAATATGGCTTTATCCACTCATGTTTGTTTTGAACCCCTTTTTCAACTGGTACTATATGGTATATGGCATATTCACCGCCGGCCAGAGGACATGGGGAGGGCCTCGGGCGGATGCTGCCGCTGCCGATACCAATACAACAGCACGAGAGGCGGCTGAGAAGGCCGAGATGCAGGGCGATGAGCTCAACGTGGTTCCCGAGAGCTTTCTGCCAGCTCATGAGGCGCGAAAGGCGGCAGCCTCCAAAGGCGCATCCCCCAACACTACGCTTGGACGCAAGAGGAGCATTGTCAGGCCCCCTGATGGCGTTGACGGGATGTTCTCAGCTCGGAAAAAGACGCCAGCCGGACTTTATACACACTTTGACGAGTCAGATGTTGAAATTGACACGCCCCTTGCATCCTCCACTACTCCATCTTCCTCCTGGGACGTAATGCGGGCAGGCTCTTTCGAGGGATTTGAGCTCAACGGACCCGGGACTGTTTCAGTGGACCAGTTCATGGGAGAGGAAGATAGGAGAAAGTATGCCATAGCCCAACGGGCACAGGTTCAGCGGACGACCAGACCCGGTACCGGACTAAGCAAGGAATCACCGGATGTAGAGCTTATTGACCTATCATCAGATCCGTAAGACGATGGAACGAATTGATGAAGGTGGCCTTTCCACGAATGAAGCCAAGGGGAGAGAGAGAGAGAGAGGACGATTATCCTTTTTTATATAACACTGTGGCCATTTGGTATATCATTTGAACATATATTTTGATCCACAAAGAATTACCCCCTTTGCCCTGGTTCTTTCTCACCTCCTACGAGTCAACCGGAAATTGATTTGTGATTACGAATGATGATAGTTAGACTAGAGAGCCTAGAAAAATTCATGAATTGACCATAGACGTCGTGCAGCGCCCTGCGATTTATAGGTAGCTGCTACCTTTGCAAAAGCTGTGATTTTCTGTCTTATCGGGGCATGGCGGGGCTATCAAAGGCTTTGAGGAGGGGCATCTGAAGTGACAAGGCGGATTGGCGGGGTAATTTTGTGCTTTGTTTCCATCGTCGAAAGAGAGCAAAACGGTGCAAGCCACTGACCTAACGATGCGGACAAAGGAAGAAGCTCGATGTGCTGGGCTCACCTTTATTGAGACTTTGTAATGGCGGTTTGATAGGGTTATCCAGTCAAGAAACATAGATAAAGGATACCTGTGTCGTACCTGTAGGCAGAAGAGATGCCCGTCTAAATTGTACCTAATATATACCTGTAGGCAGCCTATAACCTCGATGTTTCACAAGTACAGCCCGGCGATTGGTGGTTGACTTGCTCTTGGCAGCCGTTATTGGGCTATTGGTTAGGTAACGGGCCAAGGCAGTGCCGCGCATCCCATTTGCTAAATTCTCCTTGGCTGTGGTCAGTCAGGCTTTCGGGCGCTCAGCTTTTCTCGTGGAGTCTGGAAAATTCTGCAACATTCCATGAGGTACCTGCTGCGACGTGGCGGGGCGGCTGATCCGGGTACCTTTTTGCGGTGCCCTGGCGTTGCAGATACATGCCCAGCAGTGCCCCGCGCCCGGCACAGGTACCTCGAGCGTCAAGAGGCTGCAGAATGCGGAACAAAAGATGGCTACAGGTATTTTAGCAGCTGCCAACGCACTAAATTTTCTTCAGGTTCGCATCAATTAGTACCTGATCTCACCGCCCACCACAAGGGAGAAAGAAAGCCAGGCCTCCCAACTATTTTGCATCCCACCTTGTATCGCAACCGCCACTATCAGACCGGCCTCTACCCAGTACTAGGTTTTTTTTTCTTTGGTCCCTTTTCCCTTTGCTTTCTTTCACTCTTCTCGCTCCCCCACCCATAAGGCTCGATTCTTTTCCTGCCTTTCTCCCTCTCCGCGCAAACCGACCTCCTCTCCTTTCATTTCTTTTTCTGCCTGGTCGGATTTTTTTTTTTAATCTTTGACTTGGGCCCCTCACTTGCGACCCGAGTGCGGCTGTATCGAGATTCTCCCAAAACGACAGAGATAACGCTGGCATCATGACTTCCGTCGTCGGTACGTCCCCTTCTGCCGCTCGTTCATTCTTATGCTTATTCTATACTGCGTCCCTGTTTGTTACAGATCAAGAAAAGTCTTCCTTCCATGCTGACCAACCCCTCCCTGCGGCGCAGGTGTCGATTTCGGAACCCTCAAGACGGTGATTGCAGTCGCGAGAAATCGTGGCGTCGACGTGGTGAGTGAATATCAATCCGTGATGAAAGGATTCACCAGAGTTGGGCCCCAATCTGACCAAAGGAACTCTCTTCTAGATCACCAATGAAGTCTCCAACAGATCCACTCCGTACGTCTCGCTACCCTAAGTAACTCTCGTTTCTATTCGTTCTTATCAGCCATGATTTGAAACCTCCCCCCTTATCACATGCAAGCAGTTTTTGTGCTAACTTTGCTGCGACTCGCAGATCTCTGGTAGGATTTGGACCCAAATCACGCTACCTCGGCGAGGCGGCCAAGACCCAGGAGATTTCCAACCTCAAGAACACCGTCAATTGCCTCAAGCGTATTGCCGGCCGTTCTTTCAACGATCCCGATATCCAGATCGAGCAGCAATATGTCACCGCACCCCTCGTCGATGTCAACGGACAGGTTGGCGCCGAGGTCAACTATCTTGGCAACAGCGAGAAGTTCACGGCGACCCAGCTCGTTGCCATGTACCTGAGCAAGATCAAGCAGACCACTGCCAATGAGCTGAAGCTGCCCGTTGCTGACCTCTGCTTGAGTGTCCCTGCTTGGTTCACGGACTCCCAGCGCAGAGCACTTTTGGATGCTGCCGAGATTGCTGGCCTCAAGGTCCTCCGCCTCATGAACGACACAACTGCTGCTGCCCTTGGCTGGGGTATCACCAAGCTTGACCTCCCTGCTCCGGAGGAGAAGCCCCGCCGCGTGTGCTTCATCGACATTGGCCACAGCAACTTCACCTGCTCCATCGTCGAGTTCAAGAAGGGCGAGTTGGCCGTCAAGGCTACTACCTGGGACCGCAACTTTGGTGGCCGAGACTTTGACAAGGCCCTCGTGGACCACTTGGCCAAGGAGTTCAAGGGCAAGTACAAGGTTGACATCAACACTCACGGCAGAGCCATGGCCCGTACCATTGCTGCCGCTGAGAAGACGAAGAAGATCCTCTCTGCTAACCAGCAGGCTCCCGTCAACATCGAGTCCCTAATGAACGACGTGGATGCCTCCTCCATGGTTACTCGACAGGAGTTCGAGGCCATGGTTGAGCCTCTGCTGGCTCGTGTCCACCTGCCTCTTGAGCAGGCCCTTGCCCAGGCCAAGCTCTCCAAGGAAGATATTGACGTTATTGAGATCGTCGGTGGTGGATCTCGAGTACCCGTGCTCAAGGAGCGCATCCAGGCCTTCTTCGAGAAGCCTCTCTCATACACCATGAACGCCGACGAGGCTGTTGCCCGAGGCTGTGCCTTCAGCTGCGCCATCCTGTCTCCAGCTTTCCGAGTTCGTGACTTCACTGTTCAAGATATCATTAGCTACCCCATCGAGTTTGGATGGGAGAAGGCTCCTGATATTCCCGATGAAGACACCAGCTTGACCGTTTTCAACAAGGGTGGTGTCCTGCCTTCCACCAAGATCCTCACATTCTACCGCAAGCAGCCCTTTGACTTGGAGGCCCGCTATGCAAACTCTGAAGAGCTTCCTGGCAAAACGAACCCTTGGATTGGCCGCTTCTCTGTGAAGGGCGTCAAAGCCGATGGCAAGGAAGACTTCATGATTTGCAAGCTCAAGGCCCGAGTCAACATTCACGGTGTGCTGAACGTCGAGAACGGCTACTATGTCGAGGATCAAGAGGTTGAGGAAGAAGTCAAGGATGATGACAAGAAGGACGACGACAAGAAAGATGCCGACGTGAGTATTCGATTACATTCGGGAAATGACGGAGACTAACACCGTTTTCATAGGCTATGGATACCGACAACACAAAGACCCGCAAGGTCAAGAAGCAGGTCCGAAAGGGCGATTTGCCCATTGCTAGCGGCACTGCGTCACTGGATGCTAGCTCGAAGACCGCTCTGACGGAGAAGGAATCCGCCATGGTTATGGAGGATAAGCTTGTTGCTGATACCGAGGAGAAGAAGAACGAGCTCGAGGCCTACATCTACGATCTCCGAGCCAAGCTTGATGAGCAGTACGCCGATCTCTCCAGCGAGGACGAGAAGTCTGCCATCCGAGCCAAGCTCGAGTCCACAGAGGTATGTGAATGGCGTGCTCCCCCCAACTCTGTTACGTGGAACAAGTTACTAACTGCAAAAATAGGACTGGCTGTACGATGAAGGCGATGATGCCACCAAGGGCGTCTACGTCTCCAAGATGGAGGAGATCCGCGCTCTTGCCGGACCCGTCGTTCAGCGACACTTTGAGAAAGTCGAGGCTGAGCGCCGTGCCGTCCAGGAGCGTGTCGAGGCCGAACAGGCTGCCAAAAGAGCCGCTGAGGAAGAGGCTCGCAAGGCTGCTGAGGCTGAGAAGGCAGCCCAGGGCGGATCAGACCAGGAGATGAAGGATGCCGATGCTCCCACCGAATCCGAGGAGGCTGGCGACCCTAAATAAACACCACGCGGTGGTTGGGAGATGATGATATCTCCAGAAGGATATACAGTATAGAAAAAGTTGACTTTTGGTAAAATACGGAGGGAGGGACTGTCATGAGGGAAAACATGTCTACACATTCTAGATCCATTTATATCATATGCCCCAAGTAGTTATGACCTTTTTATACACATGAAGGGAATTCTTTTTTAGATTTTGACTCGAGCAATACTCGATGGCTACTTTAAGTCGGATGGCAGCAAAACAAGTTCACGTCAAACATTCTTCAAAAACAAGAAAAGGCTGTCCAACGCAATCTCCATTTCTGCTATAACTCACGTATTCGCTAATACCTATCTGAGCTTGAAGTGAAACCATTTCCAGCCTTTTTTTTCGATTTCACTCCTCGCGGCCATGTGTTCATCTCTAATGACAGGTAATACACCAATTTTGTAGAAACGAGTTTTCTTCTTCTTCTTTTCTCCAACCGCAGCTACCTCTTTTTATACTCGATACAAATGGATTGTCGCTTCTTTTTTTTTGACAATCTAACTAGCCGCAACCTCCTCCTCTCCCCTTTTCATGCTATTTTCCTGCGACCGAACGAACGATGCATATAAAGAGAGGCAAAAAAAAAAAAAAAAAAAAATGTGTTGTAGCGGTCCAAAACCAAATAAAAACGACAAGCGAAAAAAAAAAAAAGTCAAATTGCTTTTGTGAGAATAAATGGGAACAAGAGGGGAAAGATGTCAGCACGACAGACCTGAACAAAGCTGATTTGTCTTCAATTTTCAGAGCTGTATCGCCAGAGAGACTAAATCGGCTGATGGAGTGGTGGGCGAAGCAGAGAGTAAAAGATTCACTTTTTTTTTTGTTTAATCTTCTTCCTACATCAACCGCTTTAGATATCAAACAGAGGCTTCAGCTTGATAATCAGCTGCCACTCCTCGTTGGTCACTTCCTTGCGATAAAACTCCTTGAGGGTATCAATGCTCTTTCGGGAAATCTGGCTGTAGAGCGTGTCGGCCTCTTCCAGGTGTCGGCCGTAGATGGGCTGATGGCCGCCCATTTCAACCTTGACGGCAACAGAGGGCTGGCCCTTTTTGCAGACTGGGATTTGCTTGTGATCTCGCTCGATGGAAGTACTAGGAATATACTTTATCAGTAACTGAAAATGACTAAAAGAGAGGCACCCGTAAAAAACGGGAGAAAGGGGGTGGTTGCACGCAGCAATAGAACTTACACTCTGCCAAGGGCAACGACTTCTTTGGCGTTTGTCGTGGGGTTGGTCTTGACAGCCGCAATCGGTGCATTGATCTTGAGCTGACCCTCAATGACATCCACGCCAATGACGATAGGGGCAGTCTTGTTGAAAATAGCAACCGGCTTCAGGACACAAGGGAAGACTGCCAGCATCTTGGACTCTTCCTTTTTCTTCTCCAGCATCTCATCCATGTGCTTGGTGAAGTTGTCAAACAAGTGATAGATGATGTCGGCGGTGAAAATCTTGATTCCCTGGTCTTCGGCGTATTGTTGAGCTTCTTTATCGACCTTGACATCGAAACAAAGCATCACGGCGTAGTCAGGCGCCTTCTCCAGCATGATACCACACTGCATCACATCACGCTTGTAAACTGGGCCGATACCGACGTTGGCCACGGGAATCTTGCAGTCCTTGAGGAAGTCGAGCAAGGCTTCCAGTGAACCAAGAGTGGAGGCTTGCACACTGACACCACGGCCAGAGGTCTCGACTCTGCTGAGCAGGTTTGCCAGATCGGACTCGACCTCGTCAACAATGTCATCCTCGTCGTCGTCGGGACCGACCACCATCAGTCTGGAACCAGCAATGGCTCCTTCTAGGCCAGGAGCGCTAATCTTGACACCAAGAGCGGCCTTGACCTCCTTGTTGTGCACATACGCCGACTTGAGACGCAGTTCGCGTAGCGGCGCTGGAGTCAGTAGAGCTCTGATATTTGTCACAATGGCACCTTCAGTACCACACAGCACGATTCGGTCGCCTTCTCTCAAGATACCGTTGGACAGGATGACATCAATGGTCATACCGAAACCCTCAATGGCCTTGACCTCAAGGACTGTTGCCTGCACCTCGGACAGGTACATGAGGGAGCCAACCATACGCTCCTGGGTGAGCTGGAGGATAAGCTTCAGCATATCTGGGATACCCTCACCGGTGTGCGCCGATGTTGGCACAAGTGAGACGAACTTCGCCATGGACTTGTTCTGGTAGAAAAGCTCCGAGTTGAATCCCTGCTCGGAAAAGGCCAGCTTGGTCTGCTCCAGACGGTTCTTGAACTCGTTCTGGACCGCCTTGCTCTGAAGCGCCAGACTGTCTTGGAAGCCGTTGTTGTCAACCTTCTTCCATCCGTAAAGTCTGTCAATCTTGTTGAGCGCCACAATAAAGGGCGTTTTCCTCTCACGAAGCATGCGCATGGACTCCAGAGTCTGCGGCTCAAGGCCGTGCATGATGTCCACGACTAGAATAGCAATGTTACACAGGGATGAACCACGAGATCGGAGGTTGGAGAAAGACTCGTGGCCAGGGGTATCAATGACAAGGAGACCAGGCACCTTGAATTCGAACTCGTTATCCTTGTTAACAACAGCCGTCTTTTGTCTGATGGCGTCGACAGGGAAGTATGTAGCACCAATCTGCTGGGTGATACCTCCGGCTTCGCCTTCCTGAACGTTGGTCTGTCGGATCTTGTCGAGGAGCTTGGTCTTTCCGGTATCGACGTGTCCCAGAATACAGCAGATGGGAGAGCGCAGGTTATCCTTGGATCGGGCGGCCAGGGCAGCTTGATGAGCCTTCTCTCGGCGGTCGGCAGCCTCCTTTTTGCGTTGAGCTTCGAGCTGCTTGGCTTTTGACACAGCCTCGTCTTCTGAATCGTCCTCTTCGGATTCGCTTTCGCTTTCGTCTTCGTCTTCCTCCTCCTCCTCCTTCTTATTCTTGGCAGCTGCCTTCTTCTCGGCCTCCTCATCGGAATCAGCATCCCAGCTATCCTTGACGTCTTCCTCTCCGCTGTTAGCAGCAGCTTCCCAGTCATCCTCAACGTCACTCTCTTGAGCAGCCTTGGAGGCGGCGGCCTTGGCCTCGGCGGCAGCCTTTTCCTTTGCAGCCTTTTCCTCTGCCTCCTTAAGGGCCTTCTCGGCTTGGACTCGAGCTCTTTCGGCGGCCTCAGCCAAAGCAGCCTCTTCATCCTTCTGTAAATGGGGGAAATTGATCATTAGTGACAAATATTGATAAATGGGAGGGAATGGCTCATTACCTTGTCATTCTTGCCTCTCTTCTTCTTGCTCTCATATACCACCTTCTTCTTAGGTGCACCCTCTTCTTCCTGAGGCCCAATCTTGATGCCTGCCGCAAGCATCTGTTGAAGCTTCAGCTCGTTTCGGGCCTTCTCCTCTTTCTGCGCCTTGGTGAGGAACTTGCCCTCCTTCTTCAGCTGCTCAATGCGTTCCTTTTCGCGCTGCTTCTTCAGGGCCTTCTGTTCTTCCTTTCGCTTGTTTTCCTCGGCCAATTCCTTCTCCTCCTTTTCGGCCATGGCCTTGGCTTCAGCTTCCAGACGGACGGCCTCCTCTTGCTTGCGACGCAGCTCTTCCTGTTGCTTTTGAATCAAGGCAAGATGTGCCGGAATCTTCTTCTTTTTGCCTCCCGTCTCGGCGACAGCAGGAGCAGGAGCAGCCTCCTGTTCGGCTGCGGGCTCATCTTTGGCAGTCGTCTTTGCTGGCTCTGGGGCTGCTTTCGCGGGTGCCGGAGTCTTCTTCTTCGCAGCCTAATTCATCATCATTTGTTAGAAGTCGAAAATGGCCAGTGGTGTTGATAGATTGGGGGGATGCCAAACCTGTTCCTTCTTACGCTGCTTCTCACGCTCCTTCTTCAGCTTTTCCTTCTCTGCCTTTGTGAGTATCCTGCCGGAGTCTTCGAGGTCATCCTTGTCATCGTCCTTTGCAGCCGGCGCCGGGGCAGGCTTGCCCTTACCACCCTTGCCCTTCTTCTGCGGCAGGGCAAACTCATCGTCGTCTAGAGATGCCTCGACCGGTGCTTTGGCAGACAGATCCTCCGCCACCGGCTCGGGTTCCGGCTCCTCGTCCACAATGCCCTTCTTCTTGCGCTTCTCCTTGTTCTTGCGCAGCATGGCCATCAGACCGCCGCCGCCAGCGGCTTCGTCGTCTTCGCCATTCTGCTCGGCGGCAGGAGGAGCATCACCAGCCGGGGCGATGCTCTCTCCCAATTCCGCCTCCCAGTCCTCCTGGGCATTCTTGTTCCCCTTCTTCTTCGGCGCCATGTTGGTGTTTTTTTCGTCGGTGGTGGAAAGGACGAAAAAAAGAGGAGGGGCAGTGCAATTAGAGAAGAAACCCTAGAAAATGGAAATTCAACCCCGCAGTGTTGAAGAGAATGGGGGAATGGGCAAAAACGGTTCTCCAAACGGAAGAATGCAATGGGAGAAGAAGAAGAAGAAAAAAACTGGAATCAACAGGAGAAAAAAAAAAACGGCCGGAGATAATACTGAGCTGTCCCGCACTAATCGCCCGCCACTTTGGCTGCCCGCCCGTAAATTGTTTGTGGTGGTTAGAAAGCCTTGCAGTCTAAGTGGGCTGGCCTTTAGGCTTCGCTTTGCGGGGCAGATGGAGTCCTTTCTATCTATACTTGGCATCTACTGTACGGGACACGAAGTTTGATTGCCGTTGGCTGTTTGCTTTGGTCAGTGGCGTACAGAGAATTACCTGCTTGCTTGCTTGCTACAGTTCTTTATGTCGATACAGAGACGAGTAGATGTATTTGGGCCGTTCAACAAGCAAGAGTTCCCAGATATGCTCCTGTTATAGAGGCAGGATGATGACAAAAATCAGCAGACTATGTTGCTTCATATCATCGCTTGTGACAATACCAAAGAAGGCCAAAATCGTAGTCATATAACAAACACCAAGGCTGCTCAGCCGTTTTCGCCTATATCTATCCATTCATGCCATGACAAAGTTGACAAGCCTTTACAGTGCTGGTGACACGAGAAACTTGATGATATCATAACCCAGCTCAAGGTATTTTTCTCGCCGCCTCGATTCGCCTTGGTCTTTGAAGTCAGCAGTGTAGCTCCCTCCCCCTATAGCATCGAGGTGGCTGCAAAACAATGCGAAATTTGCCTCGGATCTCACAAGCCGTTCCAGCATGTGCAAAGCCAAACACCGCTTCATCATGTCTCCGTCAATGTGCATCATCCTTGGACTTGGTTGCAAATCCGGATCCATAAGATCCACCTTCTCATCGCGCAGCGTATTGAGTGAAACAATACCGCCTTTCCTTTGCGCCAATGTCTGGACCGTGAATAAGAATCGCCATAGCTCAAAGCTAAGCAGCGAGAATCGGCGCATTGTGCCGTCCAAAGAAACGCCAATGATATCAGATCCATCATGAGTGCTTGGTAGGGTCCCATAGTGTCGTTGAGTATTGTCCACGAGCCATGGTGGCCTGCTGCGGGCTCGCGCGAATCTCCTCACTGAGGATGCTAGCATGCCTTCGAATACGACATCAAGTTCCTTGTCCCGTTGCCCAAAGGGAACCCAAACTCCTGCGAAGACACCTCCCTGGTCTGATATGAGAGTCACAGGCCACCGACCGTGGCCGTCTGTTGGATCACCCATGTCTATCATATGAACCGATCGCCTAGAGACCTGGTCGCCATGAAGGAGCTCCATGGTCTCTTCATCTGCTGCAAACTGGTAGTCTATCACTTCCAAAGAATGCAGAGCCGTCAGCGCAAAAAGTTTTCCCCTTGATACGCGTAGAGATATCGCTGGGGAGTCTAGCTGGAATTGTTTCACAGGCCTCAGTTTTCTCTCCACAAGGTCCAGGACTTCCCAGTGGAGTGTGCGGTCGACGCAGTATATCAGCCCTTCTGCATCCCCTGTGATCGAGAAAATTTCACCTGGGAGACGTTTTTTATATCGTGTCCAGTATCTCAGTTGCCTGCTGTCGAGCTCACCCGGGCGAGCATAAAACTTTTCTGTAGATACGATGATGAGCTCTCCGCCTTGTGTAGTTGCGAGAATAAAAGGAAACGTTTTCCCATCTTTCTTGTATAACCACTCGTGCAACCCAAATATCTTATCACCTAGACGGCCAAGGCCAGAGATGTATTCAACACGGTTCCTATCCTTGTCGGTTGGAACGGAGATTATCTGCCCCGACTCGGGGTCAATAAACAGCAGAGTGGGCCTCTCGTCCACAACCATCGCAACAATCAGGCAGTTCAACGTTTGCGAGAACATGATTCTTGTTGGGGTACCCTGAATAGGAATGGACCTGGGCACATTTCCAATGTGAGGGCCGAAATCAGCCATGAGCAGCCTTGAGCCGGCGAGTATTAGAAGAGATGTATGTCCATCTTGCCCAGAGAGATTTTGCGGGATCCTGTGAATAGAATGAATCAGAGGTGAGGGCATCGCTGGTTCGCTCGAATCGGTTGGCCATATGAAATGCTTGTTGGTAAACTTGCAATCGTCCGCAGAAAAGTTGCTAAGCAGGATCAGCTTGTTATCACAGCAAGCAAAAGCCGTCGGCGTTCCAGTGTAAGGGATTGAGGATGGAAACACGTCAACTCGTGCTGCTCCAATGGCTTCAGAACTCCATGTCAAATTGTCCGGAGCTTGATCAGATATTCGAGCAGTGACAAGGCTTCCGCAGCGAGTCCCCAGAATAAGATCGACCTGATCCACGCCCTGGTGAGCTACCGAGACACTCGTCAGTGCCTCGAGTCCAGCAGCACCACCTTCGTCCACTGTATCACGTCAATCAAAGTCCGTTGTAACCTTGCCAAAGGGGGTGTAAGACGTACCTTTGCTAGATTCGATGGGTTTTGACACAATGGCCTCTCCAGATGTTGAGTAGACGGATATCCATGGAACCCCATTGTAAATGGAAGCAGCAACAATGAAATTGTTGCTCGCGACGGTGAATATGGAAACGCATGTTACTTCGCCCTGAGCATCCCAACTCCCTATCATAGAGAAATGGATGCCCTCGGCTTTCATAGCATGCAGTCGAGAGACTTGTCCAACGTGCGTGGAGAATACGGCGGTATTCCCGATGCAAAAAGCACTTTCTGCAGTGGCATTGGGTATACCAAGGACTTCTGCAATGAGACATCGCGAACTGGCTAGCAAGTCAGAATCACACGGTTTAAAGTCGCCACAAGCCTAACGGAACGTCTTACCTTGCCGCGGGAGTAGCCACATTAATGGAAGCTTCAGTCATTTGAACTATAGTCTCCAATACTTGAATAGCATGAAGAGTCCTGGATGTCAAATCGAACGGCGTGTCCTCGGCTGGTACGGCATCGACTTGATCCAGACTTTCTGAGAACCGAAGAACAACTGATGAATGCGGTAGTGCCAATAGCCCATAAAGCTCTCTCTCGTTGTTGCGATGTGCTGTAAACGTCCATGCTTGTCTAATGGGCTCGCCCGTTTCGATATCCAGCCCAATCCGAGCCTGTATCCCCCATCTCCATTGCATTACACTTCCTCTGCGGCCCCGACCAGATGCGCTGAAAATGCTGTCTTGTTTGCGCATCTTGTTCCTTCTTTGCGTTGTTGACCTGGACTGAGCCGTTTGAAGATCCGTATTGTTCCCGTGCCAGCTTGAGTATTCGTTCGTCGTTGTCATATCAACGACGGGAGACCAATTGGGGAGGATGCTAACCTGCTGGAGATCCTCACGAGGGGCGAGCTAAAAGGGGAAGGAAAACCCGCAATGTCAAAATAGCTCACGATATATCCAACGTTGCTCGACGATAGCTTACCTTCCAAATGCCGCCAGGGCCAGAGTCTCCGCCAATGATGAGAACGTCGGAAAAGATGTCATATGCCAACGTGAATGCCGTGTCAATATTGGCGCATACGCATCCAACATTGGTCACCGAAGGGAGCAGTTCTGTGGCGTCAATTTCGATATGGATAATTGCGCCGTCCTCACGGGCTAGATAGATAATGTCTGTTTTTTCAAAGTACTTCTTCCGACGAAAGGGCCTTGCCCAGGCGACCCAGAGCGGCTCGCCAGTGCCATGATATAGCGGAGTGCGCGCAGGGGGCTGCGTCGGCAACGATTCGAATTCAGGCGAGCCCGAAAGCGCGTACTTTACAATTCCGATATGGAACTGGGAAACAGCGAAAAAGGCTGTTTTGAATCTGATCGGAATAAGCAACAGTGGCATCCTATGCTCCTTAGGCAGTCGGGTGCCAGTCCTTTCTTCGGCAAAAATGAGCTGGAGGTCTTCGCCCAGCTCCCATTCATACGTTGCCATTCGGGAAACAGGAGGTCCACGGCTCCTCTCCCTTCGAGCCACGATTAAGATCAAGATGACATGATAGTCATCCTCACGGCGAGGGAACAAGAATTCCAATTTGTGGATGGCTCCGCTCACGGCACGGATGCGTAGGGATCTGATGGGTTCGATAGATCCTAGTTCTGCGTACTGGGCATTGAGCTCTAGCAATGCCTCCAACTCGTAGACCACGAAGATGCCTTCTGGACTCGCCGCAGCCATATATCGCGAAGATGGGTCTACGGCAAGCTGGTATCCTAAGTAGGGCAGCAGTCGCGGGTTATCATATTTGGTTATGACGAATTCCAGCGTTTGGTCAGGCCGCTCTCTCACAAAGAGAAAAAGCAACTGGCAAGACTCCAGCATCAATACGAGCAGCTGTGGTGGAAGCGAGCGGCTTTTGGGGTCATTAAAAATCCCATGTGCACCAGGAGACAAGGGAGAAGACGGCGGCTCTGATTTGACGGCGACGCCGTATGGGTCATCGTCTAAACCATGCTCCAGGTTGTCGCCGAGAACAACAGCGTTTCGAATTCGGAAGCCAAAGTCAGACTTGCGTATAACATCATGGACCTGACCATCTCTCCCAAGCTGACTGATTTGAATGAAGTTTTCCTAATGGATGTCAGCCAGAGAAGCGACGGAACAGTATCAGAAACCCCACGACTAGCCTAGGACAATGGGACCTGGACGCAGTAGAATGGCTTGTCATGAGACAGGGCGGACTTACACCAATAAAGGCAATATCATTGTGAGTGCTAGAGCGCAGTCGAACGGGAAGCACCCATCGAACCACAGGGCTTTCAACAATGGTCTGGGATAGAACACCGCAAGCTGGGGGTTGTGGCAGGGGTTCGGCGGCCAGTTGTGGTGCGGCAGAAGCTTTCAAGGCAGCTTGCAGGTTGACAGTTTCGGTAACCCACTCGCCATCCCTCAGAACTCTAGTTTGGAAGGCCATGCTGTGATTATCCTATCATAACATCATCCAGGACGGTGTGAAGATATGGGGGGGACTGGGCGAAGCGAGTGACTCAAGGTCGGTGGAACTCTCTTTCGAGCTTGTACTGGTCAACCGGGATGGCAGATGGCTGGAATGAGCGTATAATATCAGGATAAGTCACACAGCCAGAAGCGCATTTTACTTGTTGCTTTGACTCAGTGGGACAATGTCGTGATCATATCGGCCAACGGCTAGAAAGAGGACGAATGGTGATGCTAGTGCCAGGCCGGGCTGAGCTTAGGCGCTCTCTGATGACGCCGATGTTGGTACGTGCAGTGCTCGCAATGTTGTCTCGATCCAACTGAGAGGCGATGAGGCGCTGATGTCCGGTCTTCAAGAGAGCATTTACGCCAAGTCAAAGGCAGCGGTTCGAGCTAGAGGCGACAGAGTGAGCGGTTTTCAGGCGAGTCACGGCTAAACCAGGCGAGATTTTCGGGAAAGGGAAGAAAGAGGAAGCCCAAGGAGAGAAGCTGGCCAAAGGATGAATGAGAAAAGCTGGAGGCAGCGGTTTGGAGGTGCAGAGGAAGAGCTCACTGGTGGCTGGCCTAAGCAAAGATGGGCACTATACAGGTACACCCAGTACCTGTAACGTCAAAAGAGACCACCTGAAGCATGTACCTATCACAGAGGTACCGTGCAGCCCGGGATACTTACGGAGCTGAGCAGGAGGAATTGGCTACGAGCAACGGCCAGGTGCGCCCGCAAGTACCAGAGCTATTCCTCAAGGACGGCATCGAGTGCCAGAGCGGCGAAGAAGCTGTCTGCCATGCACTAACAAGTACCTCGAGCTGTACAAAATGTGGAGTGGGGCCGCGGTTGGGTGCGTGTATCCACCACTCGACGCTACCCACTCTCTTGTACTGCACCAACATCAACCACAGGCAGTACCGATACTAAGCAGTACATGGGTAAATTTGATATATGACTCGACTGTGAGCCTCACTCATCCCAGTGTACAGATTCAGAAGTGCTTGTCGACGGCTGCAGACGTCAATAACATCAGTTGGCTGTAAAGCCTGACATTCTCAGTATCGTCCAACGCTGAGCAACGAGCTTGGGCGGGAGAACCAAATTTCATGTGTAATTGGGCACTGCTAGGTGAATCCTATATCCGTCGACTAACTTAGTATGCAGTAGCAGGTATGTAGACACAATCCTCCCCTCGCATAAAGGATCTAGTGGAAGCAAAGCAAAGCGGTCAGCTGTGTCTTCTTCGTCACTAATGTATGCCAGTACCTGAATCCTACGATACTTCGATGGTACGTATGACCGTGGTTATGTCTCAGGTTTGAATGCCACCATAAAGCCAAGGGGCCACACATTTCGTATATCGTGGCCAGCATATCCCTGACAGGCTCACCTCCATAGCCATGCATTCGTAGAGAAGCCTTGAAACAGTCTGTAAAAGCAAGTACCCCAGGGTTGCTTATTTCAATACAGTTGTTCGCACTGGGGCCAGCCTCTCACATTAACTAGTCACTGTATCAGGCAACTATGTTGGTAGAAAATTCTTGTGGTCCGAGTTCAAGTTTACCAACTTAACCAGATCCATTCAAATACGGATAACAAACACGGGTAACCATCTGTTATCGTTTGCTGGGAAGACACAAGCATTACTCTCGTTTCTTGTATTGAGACAGTCGTCAACACCGTGGCATGTGGATAAAAACAATGCTACGACACGATGGCTTTGAATTACAAATGAGGGTTTTGTTGATTTATAGTGTAAAACACGGGTTTAGCCGCCACGTTGTGGATAGTGACGGGTCAGGTTTGGGGTTGGGAGGGGGCCACATCGTAGGCCTGATGCTCACTTATAGATTCTCCATCATTCGACCTTTCCCACAGAACTCCTTCTCCTCCCTTGGGCTAATATGATCCCATTGCTACAAAGTACATGCAACTTTGAACAGGCAATCAATCGGCGTGGGATCTTTTCTCCCAGGCTTCCCTGCCACCCTCACTGATGAATGTGACACGCGTGTACGGAGCCTTTATGCACGTCCCATCCTTTCTTATCACTGACTGAGGGGTAGGAGTCAAAGAGTGTCTCTGGCCCCCTTGCAGAGACGTCGAGTCATGCATGGAGGTACTGTTGCAGTACATCTCCACCACTTCATGTACCTCCAAAGATAGCATCTTGAAAAAACAATCACCAGCTTTTCCACAAATATTCCAAGTCATCATGAAAATTAATGATAGATTTGTTACATACGACTGATGAGCCCAACTAATTAAACTGGCGACAGAAGTTTGGGCACTATGGAAGAGACTTTTCAAAGTGATTACGGTACCAACGCCGCACTTCACCTCTCAAGCATAACTGTATGTATGTAGCAATGATGAAGGTAGCTCATCCATGTCTACAATTACATGGACTTTGCATTAATGGACGTTTTGGGATTCTGTTCAAATTAGAGAGAGGGAGAAAAAAAAAAGAAATATCTGTTCATCTAAGGACGCATCAAGACTCCTCGAGCCTAGAACCATTCACTCCCACCCTGCCGAAAGCCAGGACCAATCATTTACATAGAGGCTGTTGACTAGACACTCCGCGTATATGTAGGTGTGCAGCATAGATGCAATAAGACATCAAGTATGACGGCGCTTGTCACATAGTATAAGGCAGGGTAGTACTGCTAAATTGCTACTTTGATTAGCACCAACTCTGAATCTACCACTTGCATCTATCATGGGCCGATGAAGCACCGTCTCTTGAATCTCTTCACATCTCATCATGTTTCCCTATGGAGACTCTTGTTAACCACTTGCTGCAGCCTTCCCTGGCCGTCTCCACTCGGTGAGCAATGAGACAAGGGTCTGAAGCTCAAAGGGTGCAGAGCCTGGCCAACCAGCGGTTCCCATTGGTGGGTCTTTGCGAGAAGACGGGCTTTGCGTGTTGTTGCCGTTTAAACCTGGTTCCCTGCCTACCAGCCTTTGGAAATGCAAGTATGTCGCCATATTCAAGTAGTCACAGTACTAGACAAAACTTGGGTTGCTGAAGAACATGGCGTACGTACTCGTACGGGGCACACTAGGTATTACATGAAGATAGGTCAGCAGTCAATGATTAACTAAATAGAAATATTGATTGAGTCTCGTAACTTTGGATTTATGCTACGAAGATTCTTAGCAGAGCATCTGTGGATTTCTGTATGCAGCATTATCATTCAATTCAAAACAGACACAACCACATCAGTGGAACAGAAGGGCTCATTCCGATCACTGGGGGGGTTAAAAGCAAGTATAAGCTAATATGCCAGGTTTATAGAGAAGTTATACTAACACTTCATGTACCCACTCTAGCAACTCTATGGACTGGTTCAATTTGAGGCTCATGAGATTGGGTAGAGAAGCTTTCATAAGGGCCGCAGATTACATAGGTGTGGATATTGGGTAGAAGTAGCATGTGGACAAAGGTATGTAATTGTGATTGCAGCACCCAAACAAGATTTCGGCATCCAATCAATACAGGAAAAAAAAAAAAGAACGTATTTGGCAGTATACGAGAAGAATGAAATGAAAACGAAGATGGAAAAAAAAGAAAGAAAGAAGAGATGTGTGTATACGCTTTTGATTGAAGCTGTTAGAGTAGACCGGTGGCTGCTTGTTTTGCATGTGACCCGCCAAAATACATGTATGTACCTTCAGTTCAGTAGCTCCAACGAGCAAGCAAACGTCACGTCACCAGCACTAGCCCGATTCAACCCTCCAAATCATCAAAAAGCACCCAATCTAGCACATGAGCCTGGACAAAGAGCTGGTCGATCCCGCTGGCCGCGACGATGAAGATGACGAGCCTGTTGCCCTGGAGGAGCCCATCGACAACCTCAACTCGCCAGCCGCCGCCCTGAAGACGAGCGAGATCCTGGCCGCCTGCACTTGGAGAGATGCCACGCGCCTGAGAGCTCTCGCCGAGTCTGACGGCGGCCTGCTTGCCGATTCGCTTCGCCAGGCTGCCTGTATGTCTCCGTCTCCGACCACTTCCCTTCTTTCGAATACGTCGCTAACAAACCATCTTGTTCTGCATAGGGCCCATCCTGCTTGGACTGACACCCCCGGCCGACGAGAAGGAACACCAAGGCGATGGCACGCGCGCAGCAGATGTCGATGCCGATGCTACCAGTGGTCATTGGAAAGAATTGCCGCGCCACAGAGATGAGGACCAAGTTCAGCTCGACGTAAACCGGTCCTTTGTTCATTACCCTAGCGGTATGCCTCTCCCTGTGTCGTATAACATCACTCGATTAATGTATAAAAACTGACACACCCTTTCTAGACCAGTCTGAACCGGAGCTACACAAACGGAAACAAGAGCTATCAGATCTCATCGTCGAGGTTCTTCGCCGCTACCCATATCTTTGCTACTTTCAGGGATACCATGACATCTGCCAGGTATTCCTGCTAGTCCTGGAGCCAGCATTCAGGGCGCCTCTGGTCGCTCGGCTCTCCATTCTACGGATTCGCGACTTCATGCTGCCTAGCCTCAGCGCCACAACCGCACAGCTAAGGCTCCTGCCCGACATCCTCGCCCGCGCGGATCCCGAGCTCCGCCGGCACCTTTCCAGCATAGAGCCTTTCTATGCGCTCGCCGGCACGCTCACCATGTATGCTCACAACATAGAGCGGTACAGGGACATCGCCCGGCTGTTTGACGTCATCCTGGCCCGGGAGCCTACGTTCTCCATATATTTGTTTGCTCAGATTGTCATAGACCGCCGCGACGAGATCTTTGAGATTGACGAGCCTGATATGCTTCAAGTCATTCTCGGCAGGGTCCCGCCGGAACTGGATCTAGATGACCTGATCAAGAAGTCTGTGGACCTGTTCGTACGCCATCCCCCGAAGACTCTCCGATCGTGGTATCAAATATCGGCGTCAAGCGTGCTCAAAACTTGCACAGACGTCGATGATAGCACCCGGCAAACGCTAGAGGATGGACACCAGTACTTCGAGAGGCAGGTCAAGGAAATACAGTGGCAAGAGCTGAGAATTGGGGTTAGGAGGAAGATGTGGATGTACAGGCGTCCTGTCAGATTCATTGGAGCAGCCATCATGGTCGGAGTTGTGGCATTCTATCTTCGGCGAAACCCTACTCTTATCCAGTACATATGGTCCCTCTTCCCTGGCCAGCGTTAGTCCTGTCATTCACAATAGAGGGTACGGCTGAAATGAAATATAAATATATCCAATCGTATAGGTTAATTGTACGAAAGAGAATGGACGGACAGGAAATAAATAAAAGGACAAAAAAGAATTCGCTATAGTAGTTATAAGGGCTCGGTTGTCTAGAGTGACTAAGTTTTCTGCAGATGTGCCTGTCTAATTATTCAACCCCTTTCCCATGAACATGCTATGCCTCCTGACGCCATACAAATAACTGAAGCTAGAATCCAACCCTAGTTTTCATGACAATGCCTCAATCCAACGCTTACTTGCGTCATTATAAATCATATTTTTAGGGGGGGGACACAGCGGCGTAACTTTGTACATCTATGATTCACCCTGATATGTCTGTTTCAGCTCTTCAAAATGTTCTTGCTGTTCCTGTGCCAGCTTCCCCGCTTCATCGCCGATGATGGTGAGAATCAGAGAATAATTGTTATATAGGAACCGCTCGCTTTTCCTCGTATCGCCATGCGACTGCGCCTGTCGAGCCAAGAAGGCTTCGACCTCGGAGCGCAAACGGCGTACACTAGCGACGACGGGCTCATCGTCGCCGGCCTCCGTGGACAGAGCCAGAAAGCCGTGGAGCAGCTGCCCAAACCGCTGCGTGATCATGTGCGGCGCGGCCGACATCTTCATCTGATCGGCCTTGGCCAGTTTCGCGGGAGCAGCATTGGTCAACAGCCGGACGGATTCGCAATGGCGGTCCATGATGACCTGCAATCGCGGCCAGAGCAACATGTTGGTGCCGTTGATGTAGCCGTCCACGGCCGGTACTTTTCGCCTCTGAAGGTCAAAGGCAAAGTGCTGGTTGAGTCGGATGCAGAGAAGAAGTCCCAGGGCATCGAAGCTCTCGCTGACGAGCGCTTTCGAAAGCACCCTGCCAACCTCAAAAGTTGGTTCAAATATGTAGTTGAAGTTTTTGGATATCTGTGAATAAGACAAGGCGGGCGCGAAGAAAGCCGCCAAGAAGGTATATTCGGCCGTGGCATTGTCGATGAGAGCCAGGTTGAAGTTTCGGAAGGGGACTTCCAGGTAGTGAGTTGATTGATCCTCCTCCGCCAGGTATGATGAGATGGCAGAGATGCTCTTTGTTCGTAGCATGTCAATCCGGCGCCCGAGATTGAATGCATCGTGTGGCGGGCCAGCAACACGACTGCTCGACAGGACAGCAGTTTTCCTTGTTGCATCCTCCTGCCCCAAGACGTCATTTTTATCCAGAATATGAAGCTTGAGCTTGGCCAAGGCCCTTTCGTATCGTGTGAATTGATTTAGATAGTACCATCGCATCGTATTCATGTACGCTTGTGAGATTTCTTCCGCAAGGGCGGCATGATGCCTATGCAGAAACGTATAGAGGTCCTTGAACTTGAGGAAGTTCTGCTGCTGGATTATCTGGGCATTGATGTGAGGCGACCGAAGAGCCTTGATCTGGGCGACGAGGAAGTCTCGAATGCGCTCTACAGCCTGCGATGCTACATGTTAGTCGATTCCGAAGCCAGGTACAGGCGAAGGACCGCACCTTTAAGATGAGCTTCTCTAGGATAGGGCCAAGCTCCTCGCTGGCTTTGCCCTGTTGTGTCCCAGATAGCTTCTTAATGGCCGAGGCTCTTTTATCCATCTCATTCAACGTTTTGGCCCACAGGTCGTCGATATGGCCCGTTGTTATCCTAGAAATGGTATCGGGTGACACGCTCAGTTCTTCCACCAAAGGGCCAAGCGCCTTTTCGATCCGTTTGCGGTTCTCCAACCTTCTACTCAATGCACTAGAGCGTGTTTGCAGTGTTTCAATGTCAGCCGATACGGTGGAAAGGTCATTGCGAAAATCGGCGAGATTCATCTCGACCGAGTTCAGGATGTCGTCGCACGCAACAATGGACCGGTGCAAGGCGTCAAACCGGGCCTTGTCCTCTTCGTCTACAATTGGCAAGTCAGCAAAGGATACAGCCAGTACGATTTCATATTACAGCCATGGACATGGAACGACGCACATTCGCTCGCACTCTGCGGCCGGCGCAAGCTTGTGGCATCTTGGTCGAAGCTCCCGGCGGCCAGCTCCTTTAGAGACAGTCCACCGAAATCAACGTCAAATGTCAGGTCCTCCGGAGTAATCGAGCTTGTTCTGTTTTGAGCCTTGCCCACGACCTCGGAATCTGCCGCCAACAGCTTCTCCAAGACGCCCACCGAGTCCGGAGCCTGCACGGACTGCTGTCTCGCATCTGAGCCATTGGGCTTGCGGGACGACGCCAGCAGCGATGTCGTAGAGCCGCTTGACACCAAGGAGAGAGACGAGCCGCGCGGGGAAGGCCCTTGCCTCTGTGATGTGATGTAAGGGCTGAGAGTGCTCGACGTCCTTCGTGGGAGCGGCGAGTTGTGTCGGCTGGTGATCTGGGGAGTCGAAGGGCCGGACGCGCTGGCTTGGGTTGCTGCGAGACGGTCGAGCCACATGATGCGCAGGCAGGGTCGGAGATGAGGTTATCGATTGGTGAAGAGAGGGCACCTCGTGATCATGACCGTCTCATGGCTTTGGGGCGGTGGTTTGAAACGCCAGAATGTCACTGGTGATTGATTCGACGGATGGCGGGCACGAGCATGAGCATACATGTACGTACACGTACATGTACTCGCAACTTGTCGCTGCTAGCTGCCAGTGTGCTGTAGTACTCCGTACAGAGTGAGACGCTGCGAGGCTAAGGTATGCCGATGCGCTGGTGGAGAACGGACTTGGGGCAGTCAATTAGCGCCATGATTGGTGAAGGGGGGCGCTGTAGCAGCAATTCAGCAAGCGCTGGACAAGATACGAAGAATCCGTGGATAGAAGTGTTACAATTGGTTTCAATAGGTATCAGAAAGGATTGTTTTCTCAGGTACCTAGATGGATATTAAGTGTTGCATCTGGGTACCTACCTATCCATGTCAGTATTATTGTCATCTTTGTTGAGGTACTCCCTACTAATTGCTCCCAAAACAGAGCCATTGCCAAGCCTCATTTACCCAGAGGCCTCAGCATCTACCTTGCCTGTTGAGGCCGCAAGCTTACGCCACCACAAATCTGTGCTCACAATTGGAAAGCCAAATGCAGTGCTGTGAGTCAACCGGAACAGCATAAAAGACATTGGGGAAAAGGGTTGAGGAAGACAAGACTCTAGCCGGGCTGCTACAACGCAGCAACTGCGGGTTCATTGGCTCCAAGCTGCAAGCTGCAAGTATACATGTACTATACCGCCTGTAGGAGCCTTGTGCAGATTCATCAGTTGACGACGTTGATCCATTATGGGCAGCACAAACATCACGCGACTAAGAAGAGGTCGGGGTACCATGCCATGCAGCGGAAATACACGAGACACGATGTACCGGAGCTCTGCTGCCAGCTCACATTTAAACTTTCAATGGTAGAGCATTGCAGATGCTTCTCCTTTTGGGGAGGAAAAGCCCTATTAGCACTAAACCTTCCAATAATACTCGTAGTTGCAGGTACCTCTGTTACATGAGATACTTTTTAGTACCTGTACAGAAGTACTCAATTCACACAGATTGTCGTGGTTGCTTCTGTAGCTCTCATGAGCAAGTGCAGCAGAAATACCAGCTCGGCAAAATAGATGCACCATGCCAGGCGGTTTGCAGATTCGGGATGCGGAGTTGTGTGTGATCATCTCCCTTGTGCCGAGCTCATGCAGCCTCCTCCCCAGAGACAACCACTGCAGCTAGCTTTAAAGAGAAGCCGACAGAGGTACCAGCTACTGAGTCTTGGGTACCCCGATTTCACTAAGGTTCGTGTAAACAATACCTTAGTACCTACCTTGTAAAAGTACCTAAATAATCAATAAAATAGAATAATGTTTCGGCAAGTACACCTGCACTGCTTCAGCGTCCTCTTCTCTCAAGTCATGAACGGCTCGTGACGGTGCTCGTGTCCGGGCTGCATTTTTGAATGCTCCGCCCTAATAAGTAAGGCTAACGGGCGGGAGAAGGAAAAAAGAGCACCAAACCTTACCGGTTGGGCAAAAAAAGGTACTAACTTGCTCCCTCCAAAACGGGTGCAAACCGTGTCCCACAGTCGCTCAAGCACCATTAACGCCAGGGCCAATCACACAGGCGAAAAAAAAATTCAGGTAACGCACCTTTTCTTCCCCCTCCGTCCACCCTCTGCTCTTCTCCTCTCACCTCTCAATTTCTCCTCTCCACATACTTTCAATACTCTCCACTGTCTTGTCTGCCACGCAGACTCTCCCCGACTCTCTTTCTTCCTTCTCTTCGCTTCACGACAAGCTCGATTTTTGCGCAATCCATCACCATGTCTGAGGAGGTAAGTCCATCGTCTGTTTCCGTTGCGCTGCCTCTGCGCAAAGGGAAAAAAAAAACACCCCGCAATCATCTTGGCTGCCCCTCGACTGAGCGACACCCCCACATCACAATATTGCTTTTTTTTTTTTTTTTGCGTTGCTAGATTTGCCAGATGAGATTCTGCGTCCCATGATCGCCCCTGTCTGCAAGATCAACATCAAGTCACCGAATGAAACTGCGGATCTTTCGCACTCGCTTCATCACGAAACTCTAAACGCTAACCAATTCATCCAACCTACAGCATGATGTTACTTTCGAGTCCGCCGACGCCGGCGCGTCTCTCACCTACCCCATGCAGTGCTCTGCTCTGCGCAAGAACGGCTTCGTCGTGATCAAGGGTCGCCCATGCAAGATTGTCGACATGTCCACCTCCAAGACCGGCAAGCACGGTCACGCCAAGGTCCACCTTGTCGCCCTTGACATCTTCACCGGCAAGAAGTACGAAGATCTCTCTCCCTCCACCCACAACATGGATGTCCCCAACGTCACCCGTCGTGAGTACCAGCTGGTAAGTAAATTATGCTCCCCAGGTGAAAAGTGGAAGAAAACGAGAGAAGAAAGAGTCGAGCTTTACTGACAACGATTCTGTAGCTCGACATCTCTGACGATGGTTTCCTCTCCCTCATGAACGACGACGGTGACACCAAGGATGATGTCCGCATGCCCGATGGTGAGATTGGTGAGAAGATCAACAAGCTCTTCAAGGTTGATGAGAAGGACACCAGTAAGTCACCATGTCCCCCTCTGTTTAAATGTCCAAGAGTGGTACGAAAATGGATTGTATTCTAACCTCATTATCAGACGTTGTTGTCCTTACCTCCATGGGTGAGGAGGCCGCCATTGAGGCCAAGGAGGCTCCCAAGCAGGGTTAAATTAAATCTTATTCCCCCACCAAATGAGCACTACGAAGATTTAGGATTTGGTTATAGCCCCTCGTCACCTCTTTTCCTCCCCTACCTCCAGGCGTTTATTACGGCCGTCGTAACATCGAATATCCTTGGCTTGATGTATGGGTCGTTGCGTTCGAAGGTTGATGGATGGGATTTCTCTGCTAGTTACAATGCTCGGCATTTCAAACGCCCTTTCTGAGGGTCACTATTTTCCTTTGTACGCTCCACGAGTCATCGCCACAGTTACCCACACAGACATGTGTGCGTAGCTGCCCGTCATGGTGAAAAATGAAAAAGAAAAAAATGAACGTGCATACCGAGCTTGCTGCAATTAGTGATCATGTGCAAACTGTGACGTGTAATTAATCATGAGAGATGATGTCTGCCCCTCGATGATGTAGATTGGCTGCAGATTTGCTGCAGATGCTTCAGATTATAGAATGCTTGCAGCTGTCATGAGAGATTCCGAGATGTGTGGCTGCAGTAGGTGAAAATTATAGTGGGTAAAATCCTATAGTACCTGGTAGCGTTGCGCAAAGCCGCCAGCAGGTCAATTGTACTTTGAGCAAGACAACACCAGCCTTCGCAAGCAAAACCTCATGCCTATCCGCTGGTGTCTTTCGGTTGGACAAGCCTGCAGCTTCAGTTCGTTATATCGCCATCAATCCCAGGCCCCGGATTTTTGTCTCTTTTCTTGACCGGTGAAACACGGTGCAACATGAAGACAAACTTCTCTCAGAAGTGTTGCAGAGACCGCGAAGTCTACACTTGCTCGTCATAACTCAGCACCTCCATCCATCGCCTCTGCTCGCTTTCAGCATAGTTCAAAGTGCACGCTCAGAATGGAAGGGCCAGGAGAAGTCCGGAGAATGCCGCGAGGCGAAAGATGCCCCGAATGCGGTAGCCAGAGATGGTATCTGCAAGACGGGCTGAGATTTTGCGCTCGGGGTCACCAAATCGAAGTAGGTAGCTCCTGGTGAACTCTGCCTAGTTGCGAAATTGACTGGTCATAGGGGTTCATCCAATTCGATCTTGGTGACATTGAAGACTCTGGTAAAATGGGAGCCGTATCTCGGCGTGAAATGGCCCCGAGAGACAGAGGAAAGAGGGCGCCTACACTGACGGGCCAGGCCGGCAGGGATCTCTACCTTGAGGCTCTCCAATTGATTATTAGAAGCCAAGTAGCATGGCTCATCAATGAAAAGGGTCACAGAGAAGAGTTGGAAACTGTCGTTCGCGACTTGTGGGATCTGCGAATCAGAGGGTCAAATTCTGGTATCGGTGACGATGCCCAAGGAGACGACGAAGACTTGGCAGTTTTCAGCTCTCAGCCCTCTCAGGATTCATCATCTTCATCAAAATGGCATCCTCAATCCAGGAAGCAGAGCTGGGATCCCGAGCTGGGCTTACGATGGCCGTTGCCACGCGTCCCCGACACACTCGCAATCTGCTATTTGGGCTGCGTCCTCTTGAGGATACCAACTCACCTCGGTGAAATCATACGATGGGCCAGGAGCGGTAGCATTCCGTACAAGAAATGCGTGAGCATAACTGTGCTCCAACACCTAGTTTGTCCATGCTAATTAGCGAGTAGTACCAACATCTGCCCCAGGAAATGCGGGATCGGATGCCCGCCGCTTATATCAGGGTCTTGAAGCTACCATTTCGTTCTTCTATAGAAGGAGGCGAGATACACAGAGTCGTTATGGACTTGGTACTCTCATACGACTTCAACTACAGTCTAATCTTTCCAGAGATTAATCACGTTCCGCAGCTGATACAATTTGCAAAAGAGCTTGCGCTGCCCAGTAAGAATCATTATTCTCTCAACTGAACGGTAAGATTCTGATCAAAGAACAGTTGATGCCATCATCGCGACTCGAAAGTTGGCATCCATCTTGGGATATCAATTCCGCTTTCCGACCGAAAAGTTTTCAAACCCCCGGTTGGATTATCCAGAGATGCGTCTGATGGCCCTGCTCATTGTTGCCACTAAACTTTTGTTTCCCTTGTCAGATGCTGCTTCATTATCCCGATTCCAAAATACGAATTTCCTCCAAACACCTACACTGGACTGGGAGAGATGGCGACAAGGTAGAAGCAACTTGCCAACACAACGCGATACCAAGACTACCAAGTTTGACTTTGATAAAGTCACCCCTAGCCAGGTAGTCTCTATGGAAGAAGACGAACTTGACGCATATTTTGCTCACGTCTCCAGCCTCATTGACACGACTAGTAAGCTTATGAGTACCATGACTCACTTTTTTAGTAGTTACAATGCTAATAAGATGGACCAAGGCGCTAATCCAATCACAAAATTCTTTCCGGTGGAAGAATCGTCGGTAAACACAAACCAATTGGAGGATATTTCTACCAATGACATGGATGACGCCGCCAAACATTTACTGAACCAAACTCTCGAATACAATCGGTTTAATCCGTCCAAATCAGAAAACGCTTTGCCGCCGATGCCAAGATATGAGGCATTTCGCAATGTCGACCGCCTTTCTGAAACCGCAACAGAGCTTTACAGAGCGGCTGGTAAGTCTACACTCAGCGCAACGACTACGCCGTGGTAAAGAAAGGGAGCTAATGTTTGTGTAATGAAGGCTTGGTAGTAGGGGCCTCTCTTGAAACCATGACAGACGCCATTTACAGGATAGAACGGACCATGGTGGTCTGGCAAACAAAAAAATCGGGCACGAGGAGCCAATATTAACTTTGATAGTTGATCACGACATCTAGTCAAGGCGTTGAGTATATAGTTGCTGCGCAAGTACCTATAAGTATGATGCAGACGGAGGGCCTCAACTTTTGTTACATAGGGTTACTGAGAGTTACTCCAATATACCCAATAATACTCCAATGGATTAAAAGATCAGAAGCCATTTGTTCGTCTCATCAGTTGTAAAATAGAAGCTGAAGCTGTTCTTTGCTGTAGAATTCCAACTTGGGACGAAGTACTTGGTACATGGCGTGAAAGGCTCCACTCGAGGTCTTTGAGGTGCCAAAGGTGCTTCTAAGAATGGACTAGGGCAAAGTGGGTTGTCGGACCGGCGCTAGTAGCAAAATGGAAAGCCCTCTCCATTCCCCATAACAGGCGATTCTCTTCTTCCAAGTCACGTGCGTCGGCTACTGACCTAGGGTTTCCCATGATTTCAACTTCCGCCCCACCAATTTCGCGCGCAGAATCAGCGATCGAACCTTCACATCGTCAAGCATCACAAAAATCGTTCAAGAGTGAGTACCGTCGCCCACGCCTCAGGGAGCAAGCCAGGATGAAAATACTAACCGTAAATAGTGCAGATGTAAGCTCAGACTGAAAACCCGCCAGATTTCGCTCCGACGTCGAACCCGGCAAGGCCGTACTAACAATGCGATCAGTTTCGTGAAGACCCTGACGGGCAAGACCATCACCCTTGAGGTCGAGTCCTCCGACACGATCGACAATGTCAAGTCCAAGATCCAGGACAAGGAGGGCATTCCCCCGGACCAGCAGCGATTGATCTTTGCTGGCAAGCAGCTCGAGGATGGCCGCACCCTTTCCGACTACAACATCCAGAAGGTGCGTCATCAGGAAATTCCATTTCAACCTTTCTTCGCAAAAAGCGCGGAGTAAAGACTGGGAAATGAAGGAACCCGGAAAAAAAAAGAAAGAAAAGGCACAAGAAAGACAGAACAGAATGCTAATGCCAATATGCAGGAGTCCACCCTCCACCTCGTCCTCCGTCTGCGTGGTGGTGTCATTGAGCCCTCTCTGAAGGTTCTGGCCTCCAAGTTCAACTGCGACAAGATGATCTGCCGCAAGTGCTACGTACGTTCTAATTTTGAGTATCTGCTTGACAAATCGCAGACACTGACTTTGGCGTTTTCAGGCCCGTCTCCCTCCCCGTGCTACCAACTGCCGTAAGCGAAAGTGCGGTCACACCAACCAGCTCCGACCCAAGAAGAAGCTCAAATAAATCATTTCACCAAGGATGTGGCGTCTGGGTTCTGGCATTCTGGGGTGGCGAGGACAGAGGTGCTTCTGCTTTATTCCGGATTTTGTTTCTACATTAGCATCAGGGCAGAGGCAAAATATATCAATCTAGATGATGTCTGATGGCAGCTCGTTGTTAAATATTCCTCTGGGGAACGGCTGGTGACTCGACGGTGACTGACGCCAATATTACATTTCGAAATCCCGGTCTCTGGAGAGGAGTGAATTTCAGCTTGAAGAGAGCATATAGTTATTGTGCCGCCTATGGAGCTGAAAGGGCAAAACATGATGGACCGTCAGTTGGAACCACAGGAATGATTGGAATTTCAGATAGATTATCTAGCAAAAAAAATCCACATGATTAACGTATATGCTCAAGCTAGCAGGCTACGCCAAAATCAGGCTTCTTCCCCGTCAATTGATCAAATGGCATGAGAATTCAAGTAGCATTTATATAAACTGCTAAGCAAAATGGAATCGATTCATTTTCGATGTTCCATAGCACAGCACCTGTACCTGGACAAGCCGGCTAACCAGAAGACTTGATTCGTTCCTTGTCCGTACTGGTGCATGCATGTGATCACGTGATACGACGACATCTCGTGGCAAGCTATCCCCAAGCTCAAGCCACCATGCGTCTAAGAAGAGCCAGCTTGGACTCGACCCAACTCAGACTCAATTGCTCGGCTTTAACCAACTGATATTTGGACAGCGATCTTGCCAGCGGGACTTGGTCAGCGCATTCCCTCACCCCCAAAGACGCCAAGATGTCCGGCTCTGGATATGATGCGGTAGTGGATGTAGACGACGAGGTACGTTAGTGGTGAAAGGGAAGCATACGTTGCCTTGAACTATCCCGGGTCTGCGATGCCCGCAAAAAAAAGAGAGAGAAAAGGAATGTCGCCTTGCTAAGCTTCTGCGTTTGCGGCCTGCGTCTTTTCTAGGGCGACCTCGGCCACACCGATCTCCAAGAGGATCTCGAATTCCACAGCTCCAACTTCAACGAGCCGTCGTCGTCCTCGCGCGGCCGCAAGGCGCCGGCAGCAGGCCTGCCCCCGCCAGCGACATCCTCCTCGTCGTCGTCGTCCAAGCGCTATCTCTGGAGCATGTCGTTTTATGCGCAGTTCTTCGACGTGGATACCTCTGCCGTCCTGTCGCGCTGCTGGGCGGCCTTGTTCCCGCGAGCAAACTTCCTCGACGTGCTCGAGGGCAATCCCGACTTGTACGGCCCGTTTTGGATCGCCACGACGGTGGTCCTGATCCTCTTCCTCGGCGGCACCATCAGCCAGTATCTCTCGACCACGGGCAAGTCCCAGTTCGCCTACGATTTTAGGCTATTAAGCGGTATGAAATGGCATTGTTCTGTTTGAGGTTCCATGGGGAGAATGTAGTTGATGAGTTGGGGCTAACACGATGATGGATATCCAGGCGCTGCCGGTTTAGTCTACGGATATACCTTGGTCATTCCCGTGGCCCTATTCCTCGCTCTTCGATACTTTGGAAGCGAATCGGCGAATCTCCTAGAGTGCTGGGCTCTGTACGGATACTCAAACCTGATATGGATCCCTGTTGCGCTGATTTCCTGGTCGCCAATCTCCATCCTTAACTGGGTCTTTGTTGGCGTTGGCTTTGGCCTGTCTGTGGTCTTCCTAGTGCGAAATCTGTATCCAGTGCTGAGCGCAACGGATCGTCAGGTCAGCAAGATCCTGCTGGTTATTGTCATCCTACTACACGCCGGTCTTTCCTTGACGATCAAGATCCTCTTCTTTGCTCACGGCAGCCCGGTTGCGCGATCTCCAGCAGGTGGGGATGCCGATAAAAAGCCAGAATAGTTTGATAAACTCAGATCAATGCAATCAAGTATTTGGGGGGACGCCTCAGCGTTTTTTATGAAGAGGAGTATTTGTCACACAGGGAGCTCGTTTCTAAGGAGACTATTGGTCGGTATTTGGCAAAAGCATTTGTACACTATATAACTTGACGGGTGGCTATGCCTCGATATGAATGACAGAAACAATGAATTTGGAGCTTTTTTTTTTTTCGATTTGATTCCCAGTCATCCTCGAGCTTTTGGTTGCGCAGTCTATTCCCTTCAGCCATTGGAGCCTACCTATACTTACACGTATACACAGATACACCCAAGCACACACATACATATATAAACGTCGTAATATTAACATTATCTTCATCAATTTTTGACAACAAAAACAACAACAACTTTTATTTCGCCTCGCCCTTGCCCCCCCGCTTCACAGCCTCCACGGGACCCTTGTTCAGATCCCAGTCGAGCCAGCTGCCCGGGTACTCGCCCACACTCGCCCACCCGGCGTGCTGCGCCAGCCCCGCGGCCGCCCGGGCGCGCACGCCGGCCTTGCAGTAGAAGAGCAAGGCCGCGTCCTTGGGCGGGCGCGCGTAGCCGTACAGGTCCTCGAAGTCCTCGTCGGAGATGTGGAAGCTCTGGACGGCCGAGGTGATGGGGATGTTGATTGCGCCGGGGATTTTGCCCGTGTCGAGGAGCTCGTGGGGTTCGCGGACGTCTAGTTTTTGAATCAATTAACATATATGGAGAGAAAGAGATGGGATGGGAGAGTGGGATGTGATAGATGTATGTAATGTGTGCCCTTACCAACAATGACAACCTCCTCCTTGGGATCCTTGCCCTCGACCAGCGCCTTGATCTCGTCAAAGCCCCAGATGCGACTATTCGGCACCTGGTTGTCCGGCCCAGAGTACCAACGCCGCGCACCGGCAACACCAGCGGCGGCGCATCTGGGACTCTTCGTCCACCTCGCCAGCGGCCGAGCTGCCACGCCAGAGCACGTCCTGGCTGCGCAAGCCGAGATGGAGACCGAGGCCGGGGCGGCGATGCCTCGGGGGGAGATGCGCCGCAGCAAAATCCGCTGGCAAGCTTGTCGAGCGGCCATTGCGTTGTTTGTTTTGTTCTGTATTACAGAGAGAGCTCTGGCGCAAACGAAGGTGGGAGGTTACTGTAGGTGGTGCTGAAGGCAATTCGTTGGAAGCGGGTAGTGGTTAAAAGAGCCGCCAACTCGCTGCTATGTACTAACTAAACTTGCCGATATCAATCAATGCCCTTGGAGCTATACACAATTGAGCTCAACCCTCCAGTCAAATGCTCAGAAAACACACACACACGCACACGCACACAGCTCTCCAGCAACGAAAAAAACGCACCAATGATCAAAAAGAAGATACCGAGTAACTACAATGGTAAGCTCAAGTGAAAGCTACAAGGGTTTTCTGGGGCGTAGTTGGATATCCGAAATCACCCCGCGACGTCATGTCATGTGCAGTGCAGCTAAAGCCGCCCCAAAATGTCAAGCTTCCTTCGGCCGCGCTTGGAAATCACTAACATGGGAGCATTTCATTTCACGGGTTACCGCACGATAGCCTAACCCTTTGGACAACCCCTTAATACCCGCATCTCTCGAGGAGCGATATAAAGGTGTCAGGCGCTGCTCTTTAGGGTTGTTGCCTTTTTTCTTTGGCTCCAATTAAAGTCAAGTCATCACACCACACGGAGAAGCATCTGCTTCAGCCAATCTCACAATCTCCTCATCTTTCTCAAATCAAATCTTCTTGATTCTTTCATCCATTCCATCAGCTAAGCCTGATCTGATCTCTTCGCGGCGTCCAGCAGCGAGGCAATCGTGCTGCCGCTGACTAAATTAAGTATATACAGTGATGATTGGGTATTAAAATTATGTTCCGCCTCCTTTTGGCTCTATGCAAGGCCAATCCTGAGCGCCCATCTTAGCTTCATGGCAGCTCAGTGGTCGGTAGTACGCTCCTGGGCAAGCAAATGCCGTTGTTGTGCAAAGAAAAACGCCGTCTATCGCCACAGATGGCATTCGCCGAACCGACGCTCATGTATCGCTTCCGTGTCACAACGTCTTTCGTCCGTCCTATTATGCTGCCAACAGCGACTCGGCAGCTTTTATTTTCCTCTTTTGTCATTCATTCATGCTTTTGTTTTTCGTCCTTTATTTCCTCTCTTCAAAAGTAAGAGGGCAGTCATCCTAAGCTACTGTCAACTCCGTCCCTCGATTTTACGATTCTGTTCACGACTTACCTTGGGGAAGATGGTTGCAAACACCTTAATCTCCTCTGAGAGAGGGGTGGCGTGGTGAGTCCAGTCCATCTGCACAGATGCCTTTCCGAGCATCAGGGCCAGGTTAAGCTGTGCATAAACTTGGCCCAGGCAGTAGTGAGCGCCGGTTCCAAAGACCAAGTAGTTCTTGGCACCCTTGACCTCGGCGTCACCTGAGTAGTATCTCTCGGGATCAAAGTAGTCGGGGTTCTCGTAAACATCGGGGTCGTGAAGAGCCATGTACGTCGTGGGAATCAACATGGCACCTGCCCAACAACATGTTAGTTAGCATCCAAAAGGAACATTTCGTGGGACAGCCTGGCTTACCCTTGGGAACAGTGTACTTGTCGGTGATGGGGAACGGCTTCTTAACCTTGTACGGAACCATGAGGACGGGAGGGCGGTATCGCAGAAGCTCTCGGACGACGGCGCGGGTGTAGGTCAGGGACTCGAGCTGATCCATGTTCAACTCAGCATAGGCGTCACCGTTCCGGACCTTGAGGTTTTCCTCTCGAACGCGGTCAAGAACGTCGGGTCGCTGGGCAGCAATCTGGAATAGCCATGTCGCGGCACTGCTGGTGGCATCCTGAGAAGCGAAAAGGAAGGTGAAGACGGTCTGGGAGATTTCGTAATCGCGGAACATACGCAGCATAGGAGCCGGCTTCACCATGCCCTCGGTGGACAGGCCCTTCTCCTCAGCCTCACGCCAGCGCTCGGATTGAATCATCTGCAGAATCCAGGCGTCCATGATGCAGGTGACGTCTCCCCCGGCAGCCATGCGGACCTTGCTCTTGGCGGCACACTTTGCGAACTCGGCGAGAACCATGTCGGCCGCCTTCTTTCCATACCACGTCTTGGTGTAGGGAAGAATGATGGGGAAGTTGACGAGCTCAAGAGCCGCAGTGATGAGGTAATAGTCATCGGCAATCTTCTTGACGGCCTCGTCGGAGATGTAGTGGCCAACAAAGGTACGGCAAGAGACGGCGCACATGAGCTCACGGAATTCGGGCATGAAGGGGACGGGTTTGCCGCCATTCTCCTTGGTGATGTCGAGGAAGCGCTTGAAGTAGACCTTATAGACCTCTTCCTGACCGGGCAGATAGGACTCGAGAGCCTTGCGGGTGAAGAGGCCGTTGAGGCCCTTGCGGAAATCTACGTGGGGCTTGCCGTCGAGGAAAACCCAGTTGTCCTCTCCGAGGAGCTTGTAAGCGGCATCGACGACGCAGGGCTTGACATACGCCGGGGAGTTGAGCACCTTGCGAGCCATGTCTCGAGTGGACGCGATAACGACAAACCTACGAAGAAGCCCATGTTAGTCCTGGCGTCTGCCATCATCCCGGTGCGGTTCGTCAAATGCTTACTTGTGGAAGACGGAGACGCAGCTCAAGGGACCGCTCAACCACTTGGCATAGTACTCCTCAAACTTGGGGTCCATGGACTGGAGAAAAGGTCCGATGAAAGGCTGCTTCCATGCCGGGCCAACAATGGAACCCTTGTTCATGAGGTAGCTGACTGTTGGAGGGCGATCTCTCGTTAGCTGAATCGTCTCTCGGTCGAGCCGCTGTGGGCTGTCAAAGGGCGCAACAATATACCTTGGTCATAGACGACGCAGATGGCCAAGATGGTGAAGAACCACGTCCACGGTCCCGCGGCAGCGATGGTGTCGATGACATAGTCGACCTGAGGAGGGATGTTGGCGCTGACATATTTCGAGTTGGCGAGGACAGACGTCAAGACGGACGACGCCCTGGTGGCATTGAGTGCGTCCATGGTGGGCGAACGGAGGAGAGACGAGTGTTGTGTCTCGATCAGAAGCTGTCTCTGTCTCTGTCTCTCTCTCTCTAGGACACGATATGCTCTACTACAGCACTTGGACAGTAGTAGTTGCAGTACCACCGAGCCTGACAGTACCTGGGAAAAGAGAGAACCGACGGGGGCAGGCAAAGTGACGGCGATGGAGATATAAGAGAATTGAGGGTCGACAGGGGGAGGGAAACAAAAAGGCGCCGGGCCAGGGCCGTCTGGGGTTAAGCAGAAGGTCAGGTACGGGTGAGTTCCTCGCACTTTTTTTTGCGACTAGCAGCTCTGGATACTAAAGCTCAGAGTCGCTTTATTAGTAATTGGGCCGACCCACGAGTGCGGTGTACAAATTATCTGGAGCAGCAGCAGGGCCTTTGACAGGTACATGTGCTAACAAGAGGTACTCGGCCGGTACGGACACTCGAGGTACTATCTCGCGGCTGAGGTGCGACCTTGAATTACTGTATTCTGGCAGACCTGTTTGGCAGAAGGCATCAATGAGTCTACTCCTTCAAATACTGGATGGGCATGTACATGTACATACTCGTATGTGTGTGTAGCACTGACGAGCAGAATGCGTGCATGACCGAAAAGACGCTGACGGAGAAACGAAAAGCACAGCACAGAGTTTTTTCTCATCCATCCATGGATTCAATGATTCCGCGCCGACCCACGGCACGTCTCCACGAGCCAAAATGCAGCTAATCCCTCCCCTGTGCTTGACTGCGCTGTGGCCCCCCCTGCTAATTTTAATCTTGTCTCTCTTTTTCTCGTCTTTCTCGCTGCCTTTTTTTCGCTCTTATCGATTTAGCGTCGAAAAAAAATGACAACATGGCGTTTCGTGAATCGCCCAGCCGGCTTCCTCGTACGGTACGGAGTACCTACCGGGACGTGATGTTTAAGTGCTTTCCTTCTTACACAATCGCCGTGGACTGTTGGAATATCTCGCTTTGTTGGATCTTCTTTTCTTTATTTTTCTTCCTTTTTTTTACAGGTCAAATTCCTAATTAGGTACCGCTTTTTTGTTTTGATTTTCTCATCATCCAGCCTCCTCCGTGCTGTACCACTTAGAGGTTGCGCCGCGGCGCCCTCGGCTTTAAGCATGATGCCGTTTCTGCGACCTCGCGTCGACCTAGGGCACATGTACCCATTAATAACAGCCCACCTTGCTCTCGTCTATCAGGCGTGTATCGCGTACCCGTCCCTGGATCCCTGGCTCGGAAATATGGTGCAAATTGCAGGTCCAAGCTCATCCAAGATGGAGAGACTGCAAGGCTTTGTATCATCTATCGATTAACAAGCACATGGCCCTGCCTCTGCCTCTGCCTCTGCCTCCGCTCTCCGGAAGAGATGTCGTATCTATCGATTAGATGCCATCTCCCGAAGCCTTGGCAGTCATACTGGCTGGGTATGATGATACCGGTTGCTACAGGTGCTCCATGCCTTTGTGTATGCCTAGGCCGGAAGGGTATAATTGCCAATTTCAACATGAAGAACTCTCTCTTACTCATGCCGATCAACGCTCGTCACTCGCAAGAGAAACTCGTATGATGGCTTACCGAAAATGAGGAGCATCGCTTGTCCTCCCTGCGCAGCCCTCGCAGACTCTGGAGAATGGCTCTCTTCATGCCAATTAATGCCAATTCCTACACATCAGCAAGCCGTCCGCTCCATCGATGAGCATACGGATAGGTACATGGAGACACTATCTTGCACCACATCCGCGGAAGAGAAAAGGGGGTGCTCCAGCAAGTACTCATCACACAAGTATACGAGACAGTGCGTCAGACTGTCCACCCATTCACAGGCACAGGCACAGACACAGACACAGACACAGACACTACGAGCACAGCTCGATGCCACTAGCATCGGCGCATTCGAATTCGTTCACACAAGGTCAGATCAAATCTCGTTCCTGTGCGCCGCCCACCAATAGCCGCCGCCCGTTGGCCCAAGGCGCACCCGCCTCCCTTGCAGCAGGTGTCGCAAACGGCAGCGTCCCGCTCGAGAGAAAAAACTGTTGGGGCATCTCTTGGAGAGCGCAGCCAATTGACTTTCACGAAATCTGGCTGCCCGTCCGCGTATCGAACACGAATACGAATAAGTTGCCTCGACGGGGACCCTCGTCCCGCTTTTGGGCTGCTCACGCTCCGCATTGTCCCTGGCCTTGTCTGTCGCTTGACTGTTTGGGATCATCCGCAGCCACTACTAAGAACGACTGGTATTAAGCTGCCATGGTCCCGTGCGCGTGCCCGCAAGCTTCCTTCAGCTCCAGACTGGCACGCAGTAATAAGAGCAGGACCAGGCCAGCCCGAGCCGTCCGGACGGTATCATCAGCCACGGATCACGGACCAGCATTCACCAACAAGAGGCTTGATTCCGATTTGATTCTGATTTGATTTGATTTGATTCTGATTTGATTTGATTTTATTTGATATGATTCAGCTTTCAGTGGCCAGTTTCGGGATTCATCAGAGACGGCCGTTGATCCGCATATTACCGGTAAAGGGAGCGCTGGCCACAGTGGCCAGTGCCCCGAGGAAGCGGCTACAAATAGCCGGCCCAGCTCAAGCTTCCGATCCGGGTCTCCCAAATTGGATACTATTTTGCTGTCAGAACCGACTGACATCATTGGATCATCCTCTGAGCATGGCAAATTGGCCACACGGTGAGATGTCGAAAGAGGTGGCATTGTGCTGCTGTAACACGGGGTACTCCCTGTAGTATCTGCAAAATGCAATCGTTGCTTGCATGCGTTTTCCTTTCGGCTACGCATGGGGGGGGCTTTGTTGGGCATGAACTGGCCGAAGGTTGATATCCGCATCGTGATTATGTAAGCACCGGACTGTGTTCTAGCTCTCCAGGGTAAGCGAGCAGCTTCGGGGTGAATTCGATGTTTTGGCCGAGACAACACTCACCATTTGAAGTAGTATGCCAACAATGATCTATTTGGGCAAGTAGCGATGTCCAGGATAATAAGATGTAGTTGTTGTGACGGTTTCCATTCCCTAATACACCAAAAGCTCTTGCTCAGGGTAGAGAATCATTGCAGGGCAAGATAAACACGACAGGCAACTTACATATCGTATATCAGAGACTAAACACTATTCTGAATCCGCCACTATTACTACTTTCTGCTAGGGTCGCTGCTTTCTTCTAGCATTTGTTACTATAGCCATGTTCCTCTAGTATTTGGTGATTTTTACTAGATTCACATCTGAGATTCGGCCGCTGAATAGCAAATTTGGGATGCTGAAGAGCCACTCCTAAATTAGATCGCCTGCCTGATTATCCTCTCCCTGAACCACGCAGACAGGGAAACCCACCGTGGGGGAGCGCCAAGAGATCGCAAGTTGAACCAAATCGACGTCATTGAAGCCGCCGACGTACGTCGTGGCGCTGCCCCTTTTTGTTAGGCCAATACCTCCTCTGTATTATAGCACCTTAGTAGCAATCAACCAACGTAGCACAGCCTAATGTAGCCCAACTAGCCCTACCACAGCTCATCTCCGCAAGGCTGCAACAGGACCCTAAACGATGGATTAATGGACCTTTTGATAGTACACGCGAGCATGCGTACGTGTCTCTCTGTAGGCTATCAGTCAGTGTCTTCCTGCTTACATCATGCTCGGCTGCGTCCGCGTTTGCAGGAGGCTAAGGCATGTGGCTGGGAGGAGCGTGACGTATCGATATTGGCAGACGGGTATTAATATGAGGAGCGATGGCCTGGGTTTCCTCCCCGCATCAACACCTCCAATTACAACCACATCACAGTATCTCCTGCTATCAACGTCTGCCATATTCAAGATGCCTTCTTTCATTGTGAGCAGCCCACTGCAGCCCAGGTCACACCCGTACTGACGTTCTTTTCTTTCTTCCTTCAGGTCACCCTCAAGGACGATGTGTCCGATGAACAGCTTGCCGCGTGAGTCGAGCCCCCATTCCCCTCCGACGACAACCACTGACGCGTTACCAGAGCCAAGCAGAAGGCTAAGGATGCCGGCGGCAAAATCACCCACGAGTACACCCTGATCAAGGCCTTCACGTGAGTCGACGACATTTCCCCCTAGACGGAATACCCCATTTACATTCAACATTGAATGGCTGACTGGAACTTGCCGCAATACAGCGTTGAATACCCCGAGGGCACTGTTCACTCGCTCGCCGATGACCCCTCAGTGCAGACTGTCGAGGAGGATAAGGAGATGAGGACGCAGTAAATGGAGCTCTCTATTCTATTCTTGTTGCATCTACATCTACATATACCTACACTAGAAAGACGTAATATAGAGATTCTATCTGCATATTCATCTTCCGCCATGTCAGCTGAGTGAATGAACGACTGTATTTGGTCCCCGAGCTTGGACCTGATGCTGCCCCGCCATGGATCTCGCGATTCCCCTCCTTTATTACAGTAGCTTGCCTCGGGGTGACGTGACGTATGTACCGCGATAAGAGTGGGGAGCTATTGTTATCGCCATGTGACTCTCCAAGCCGATGGACATTCAACTCGATCGTTTGGACCATCGAATTATGATTTTACCTATCATACCTTATTTGCTTTACACTCTACACATGATAGCTAAATTGGAGGCTGAATTGCGGTTTCCACGGCTCGCAAAGTAACTCTGGGCCGCTGACGCTGGTGATTCGCTGTGCTTGTGCCGCCACTGGCCTTGCCCGCTGCCCCGGCTCAACACGGCGCCGCTATCCCGCAACTGGCCTGGCTGGAGGCTGTTGCTTGGAGGCATGGACAGACTCACTCTAACCCAGCTCTATCGTGTGCTAGTGGAATGAGCCGAAGATCGCTGAACCTCTTACCGGCGATCGGAACTTTCCCTCTTATCTATCCCAGAAAATTGGCAACCTGCCTATGCATGCAAGAGCGGAGCGAGGCGTGGTGCATTTCTCATTGCTTGCTTGATTCCTCATCGAAACCCCCGACAGCTTGCTTGCATCTCGCAATGCTGCAATGAGGGTCATGCTCAGACACGCGAGGCTGCTCCGGCCACTCGGGATTCGAGCCCCGACGCCTCTGCGGCCTCAGTTACGGTGTTTCACCTCCAACATCGCACATGATGTATCTCCTGCCGAGATCTCGGCTCTGGCCAACCTGCCCCAGCATCCTCTGAGCTTGGCCGATCTTGTAAGGTAGGCCGCAGCTCATTCATCCATACAAGTGTACATCCATTCATTGGGTTAACAACACATCTCCTCTTCTAGACAAGGTAGACCGCCCTTATCCGAACGATCGCTTCTCGCGTCGGCCAACTTCACCCTCTCTCTCATCCCGATTCGCCTTGCCCATCGCCTGCAGGCCCTCCAGAACCTCCCGTACATTGTCGTATCCAACCCCAACATTTCTCAAATTTACAACAACTACCTACATTCTCTGTCCATTCTTCTCCCCTACTGGCAAGCTGCCTCCAAAGGCCGGGCCATCACAACGCTCGACAATGAAATCAAATTCACAAATGCTCTCGCCGAGCTGGTCGCTACCCATACCGACACCATTCCGGTTCTTGCTAAAGGCTTCCTCGAGTGTCGCAAATACATATCCCCAGAGGAGGTTACACGCTTCCTAGACGAGCACCTCCGCGCCCGCATTGGCACTCGCCTCATCTCAGAACAGCACATTGCCTTCCATTTCAGCAGCCAGCCTCATTTCGACCCCGGCGCGAGTCCCACGCCATGCCCCGAGCACCCGACGTACATTGGCGTTATCGATACCGCCCTGAAGCCTGCCTTGATAATTGAATCTTGTGCGGGCTTTGTAGCTGACATCTGCGAGCTTAGATACGGCATACGGCCAAAGCTTATTATCAATGGCGAGCCAGAAACAACTTTTGCGTTTCTGCCAATGCATCTAGAGTACATAATCACAGAGCTTCTCAAAAATGCCTTCCGAGCATCCATAGAAAGCAAATCAAACGAGCCCATTGTCGTCACCATCGCCCCCGAGCCACCACTGAAGCTTCAACCTGGCGGTGCTCCCGACATCAAAGCCCCGCCTAAGGACTTGGGACTCTTTAAGAGCGACGCAATCAAGCCGCTGGATGACAATGCCCCAGGCGTGACGATCCGCATCCGAGACCGAGGGGGCGGCATTCCTCCAGAGGTCCTCCCCAACATCTGGTCCTACTCATTTACTACCTTTTCCGAGGACGACGACGTCCCTGGCTCGACCGGGAATGACGGGCTCGGTGCAATTGCAACTGCTAGCACCGGGGGAAGCTCGATTGCCGGCCTGGGATATGGCCTGCCGCTGAGCAGGGCATATGCCGAGTACTTTGGCGGCGGCATCGCTGTTCAGAGTTTATACGGTTGGGGAACAGACGTCTACCTCCGCCTAAAGGGAGTTGGGAAAGTCGATAAGAAGTGATTCGGGGGGCGTCAAAAAGCAGAACGAAATATATACCCCGATTTTTTTTTTTTTTGAAGAATCTCTCATAGTACTACCAATTTGGCTACGGCGAGCATGGAAGGAGATTTATGTATGGTTCACTCAAGTTTGCTGGAATGTTTTTTCTTTAGATTTGGACAAATGTATCATGACTGCCAACTGATCTCCGGTGCGGCTCTGTTCATATGAATCATCGCAGTTGCTTAGTATTTACCGAATAACAAGTCAAAAGCAAAATAATTACTCCAATAGCCTCGTAAAGCGCATATATATATATATATTCAAACCCTATCAAACAGAATGAAAGCAAAAAGCGTCTTCATACCCCATTACACAATGACTCGACTTCACACATGGCGACATCCAACATACACATCAACCCTTTGTCTTTCACACCATTGGAACACATTCAAAAAGAAAAGACAGTCCAAACACACAAGTTTGAAAAAAAAAAACCCTCAATGAAGATGACTATTATAAACAAATCGCTACAGCAAGGAACCAAGTTCTCCACCACCCAAATGCTTTGGCTTCCGAAGACTTCGTTCAAGCTTTAGACTAATAAGTGGGCACGTGTAACCATTTCATAACCCAGTGACTTAAAACTTCTTCTCTCAAAATAGTAACAAAGGCGGCATACTTCTCACTTTCCATACCCATAAAAACGCCATTTCTCTTGCCATGTAACAAATCTTTGCTGATGCAGCTCCTATTTTTTTTTTGGTTTCTTTTTTCTTGCAATGTAATCCTTGAGCCTCTGTCATCTCGTAGAATGTAACCGTTTTCATCCAGTCAAGTTCGTTGTGTGGACTATCGTACGAAGGAGTTGAATACTCTTCCCCCAAAAAGAATGATTAGTATGAAAATAAATATTAAAAAAACAAGACCAAACTTCTAATTTGTCGATATGCTCGTTCCCTCCTTTCATTCATTCCGTGCCAATATGCATCGTTACATGTTTTCCAACTCGCGGTCGATCTGCTTGTCCACAAACGTGCGACGCTCCCCAACGAGCTCGGTCTGCAGGCGCTGCTCAACGAGCGCGCGAACCTGCTTCTTCGTCACGGTGTCCAAATCAACGTCTCGCAACACGGCTTGGATGGCTTCAATGATGGCGGCATCTGATGACCCGATGCCACCGGCGCCTCCCATGAAATCGAACGAAGCGGTCGACCGGGTTGCTTCATGGCCACGACCAAAACTCATGGCAGAAGAAGAGCGGTTCATGCCATTAAAGCCTGGCGAAAGACCTGGCGAGGGAATCAGATTGGATGGGCCACGGGTATGCATCACACTCGTCCTCTGGGGGAAGTCCGAGTATGGTGATTGGCTGCGATCCTGAATCGCAGTACCCATGGACATCATCGACTGTCGCTGTTGCATGTAGGTAGGGTCACCGATGTGGCTGGCGGCGAACGGCGCGGGGGACTGGGGGGGCATGTATGTATTACGGCCGTGCATGCCAGTGAGAACCGAGCCTTGAGGACCGGCTGAGTAGACTGACTTCATTTCGTCCATCTCGTACTGATCGTTGTAGACCATGTCTTGCTTTTCCTGGTATTGGTTGGTGCCACGTCGACCGGGGAGACCGTTGGCTAGAGCATAGTCGTCCCAGAGCTGGAGCGGGATGGATCGCGGGTTGAAACCCTCATCATCAACGGCAACCACCTGCTTGTTACCCTTCTCTCCGATGACAACACGGGTATTACCCCAGGAGAAATTGTCTTGGTTCCAGAAGGAATAGACAGGGAGCGCAAACGAGTAAATGGGGTACGCAAGGATGTAGATGATCATCCAGCCGATATGTTGCCACTGTCTCTTCAAGATGAAGATCAGTGCCTGGAGACCGTAGACGGCAGCCAGGATGACAAGAGACCACAGGGGGAACGAGGTCGGGTGCGTAGCAACGCTGTAAATCATGTAGCCAAGGTAAGCGCATGTCGCGGGGAGAATGATGGTGCCGAAGAGATCAATGAAGACAATGAAACGCATTCCAAAGAAGCAGAAGCCACACATGTCCTTGAGCCGCATAAGCTCTACAAGATTGTGAATAGTCGAGTTGATCCATCGTCGACGTTGGGACAGGAGAACGCTCCACGACTCCGGGGCAGCCGTTTTGCACTGAGCGTGGGGAAGGAATTTGAACTGCATAGAAGGGAAGTGCTTCGTCATCAGAGTTGTCAAGTATCGATCCTCACCCAGAGAGAGTAGGTTCTTCTCGTGGAGGGTGTCGACATCGCATATACTATAGTCCTTGATGACGCCGTCGGAGATAATCAAAGGCTTGCCCTTGTCTGCAGTTCTGAGGCGATACATGGTGAAACTAGAGCAGGCACACACATGTTAGTTTACATGAAAAATAGGGTGATTTGTTTACTTCAAGTTTACTTACCATCCGGGCAAACAAGTAACACTACCGAATAAAGACTCGAATGCCTTTGCCATGTGATGAGAGATGTAGTATTCGTAGACCTGAATCATTGTCCACCAAGACTTTTGGTCGTTCTCCAGACTGGTCTCACCGCAGATGCCAGCAATCTTAGCGTTATGGGCGCATGCAGCGACCAACCTGTTGAGAGAATCCTCTTGGACGCACGTATCGGCATCGACCATGAGGAGGTACTCATATAGCTCAGGATCCACGCCAATGATGTTGTTAATTTGATTGAACATCTCGAGCTCGAGCGGGTTCATGGGGGAGCGATGGTGGACACGGTTGAGGAAGCTCATGAGAAGAATCTGAGAATCACGCTTGCCACGGTTACCAGGCTTGGCCTTGGTCTGTTCCGACTCCTTGCCAACCTTGACGACAACCAGGTACGGGACCACGTTACCCTCGTACTCGTAAAGACCAGAATAGACCTTGGCATAGTTGAGCTGGTCACTACCGGGGCCGACAGCCTTGAATGCCAGTGCAGGAGGATCAACCTTGGGATCTACGCCTAGGATATCCAGAACAATCTTGGGTGTAGGACGATCATTGCCTCCACCAACAACCATACCGTCGCAGATAATGCAGATGAGTTTTCTCTTATTGTCATACTGCAGTGCTGTCAACGAGTCAAGTGCCTTTCGCAGCGAGTCTTCACCTTCGGTGTAGGCGGGGACCTGGCAAATGACAAATTTGTCCTGGGGAGAGGGTCGTCGCTTGGTGCTAAACTGAAGCGCGGACACAAACTTTAGGCCGATGACAATACACAACACGATTGTGAAGGAGAGAAGAATGTAGTTGTTGACCACGCATCGAGGGGTAACGCGGAAGTCTGTGCTGCCCTTGACGAAAACGCGCTGGATGCACAACCAACTATTGGCAAGATTGGCGTGCACGGTGCTGTTGTTGTTAGGGTCATTGATGAGGATGTCCAGCTTCTCCTTGATATTGGTGCCCGGATTGTCTTTCCACAGGTCCGTAAGGTCCTGGTTGAGGAATGTGTATCGCTGGTCGTTGTTGTATATGTCCAGGGTATGGAAATAGTTGGTCAAGTCGTAGATCTGGTTGCCATACATGGCCCACATCCTCTGGTCATCGTTGCCTTGTTGCTTGACATCTGATGTTTTGTAGACTAGCTGGCCCTTGTAAAACTCTTCCATGGCTGGCTCGAAGACGTTCCAGTACCAGTTGGGGTCGGCTAGCTTGCTGGTCGGGTCGGGCTGAAAATGACCCGACGTATGCACTGCGAAAGGGTTCTCGAGAGTGTTGTTGAGGATGAGCTGAGAGGAGTCGGTGAGCCCGAGACCTTGGCAGGCAGCGTTAAGAGGAGGGATGATGTAATCATCCATGTCCGCGCCGGCCAAGGGCAGCATAAGGTCTGAGGTGGTCTTCGTGTTCGTGTCGCTGTGCTGGAGCTTCCAGAACTTGGAAAGATCGTAGACGCCACCGCGAAGGCTGACATAGTAGTCGTTGGTGCCTTGATGCTGGCTGACCTCCTTTCGGTTCCAGGCCTTGTCCATGTTAGGGCACAGAACCCGGCCAAAGCCAACGATCCAAAAGATGATGATGGCATTCATGAGGACAATCACCATGCACAGAGCGAGCTTCTCACGCCAAGCCATGCGGACATCCGGGCGCTTCATGCCACCGATCCATTTAAGCAACGGTGATGGAATCCACCAGGTCATAGCCCATGTAAAACAAACCCAGGCCCGACGGGCATTGTCAACCTGCTTTGTCTCGAGCTTCTTATCTTCGGCGAATTCGGCGTCGAATGCAGCGGCCTCCGGGTTGTAAAAGCCGTCGCCCCTATACAAGTCGCCCTTGTTACCCAAGCCATAATCGCCAGCACGCATGGCACTTGGCGCGATGGACGGCGCGGCCTGAGGGTTCGGGGATTGGCCGAGTGTGAATTGGCTCATGTTGCCCTGGCTCATGCCGCGGTTGTGGACCAAGTGGTCCCGGCTGATATTGGCACTATTGTCCATGCCAGTTGGAGGGAAGTATCCGCTACCGTTGTTTGAATAGCCGGTATCGAAACCGTTGTTGAAGGGGTTGCTGTGGATGGGATGGATCTCATCACCTGGCTTGACATCCAACATGCTCTCCGCCTCCCACCATGCGCTCTCGCGAATCCAGATACGCTCCTTGCCAATGAAGACTTCGCCATTGCTCCAACCACGCTCCAGCATCCACGTTTCAATGCCCTCACGACCATCCCTGCAGCCGAGAGGAGCATAACGCTGCACGAATTCGTCGACGTCAAAGTCGGCGGTGAAGTCAAGGTTCCTGTGCCGGCGGTTCGCCCATTCCGGAAGACGCCATGCGCGCAACTGACGAGAGACGGTGCCAGCCGACCAAGCAGAGGTAATGGAGGGCAGCGCGGCTAAGCTGGCGGGCGTATCATCAGTTGGGTGCAGGCAGAGATGATACCACATACGGTTGGAGCCAAGCACCGTGGGTAGATCGATTCGACCAGCCCTGCCCAGGTTGATGCCTTGGCCTTCAACGGGGAAGAGCAACTTCTTGAGGAAGCTGCCTTCGTCAGCACCATATGCAGCCTTCTCCAGAATGACCTCCCTCTTCTCCAGCTCATGCTGGCGCTCGCGGCCTTGAGGACCGGTCATGATTCCCAAGTCAGGCGCCACCTCGGATACTGCCTGCTGGAGTTCCCTAAGAATAGAAGAGCCAGCCGAGGGGATCTCGAAGCCATCGCCAATCATCTCGGCATTGATACCTTGGGTATCATCGAAGACGGACCGCATACACAGCGCCCTGCTGATGGCAGGATCCGGCACCTCAAGGACAGTGATGGAGACGGTATCGCCATTGTCTTCGTTGGAGGTGGGAGTGCGAACTCCATGGCCATCCAAAGACTCATCGCCATCCTTGATACGGACCAACTGCGCAGCGATGGCATCGTTGGCCTTGGAGATGACCCAATCAACAAGGGACTCGTAGAGTCCGCCAACGAGAGTCTTGCGGTCTTCTGTGCTGCACTGACGAAGAACAACGTCGGGGTCGATTCCAAGCAGACCACCCACGTCCTCACAAATCTCCTCAAGCGCCTCGGATTCAATGCTGTAGTCAAGCGTGTCGCCAAGCTTGAGCAGGCCGGCTAGAGTAGAGATGAAGTTTCGGTGAGCTGAACCCTTGATGCCAATGTCTTTGAGAGCCTGGCGGAAGTCGTCGGCGGATGCGGAATCATCGGCGGTGGGCAGGTATGATGGTGGATCATAGGTGCCAGATCGGGACAGAAGAGTATATGCAGACGCCGACTTGAGGCCCAAGAACTCTCGTTCTGCGGGGGTTGAGGCAGAGGTCAAGAGATAGTAAAAGACGTCAAAGGCGCGATAACCCGCCTCGGCAGGAATGTTCAGCAAGCCCGCAGAAGTATCAATTCCGCCCTGGGAGAGGGCCAACGAAGCCCCCGTAAGGTTGCCGGCGAGGTTCAAAGCCAGGGTCACGCCCAAGCCCGCCTGCTTCTGGGCCGCCGGGTTTTGTGGAGTGACACATCGGAGAAGGGGCTGGATCGCCTCGACAGCCTTGTAGACGGTGGAGGGAATCGCAAACGGAAATGACGACAGGAAAGGGATGAGGAGAGAGGGAGTCGACTGGTGAAGCGAGCTAGAGCCCGTGTCAGTATGGGATGCCAGCTTGTGTGGATTTGTTCACTTACCCCAAGACAATGCAGCCATCTTCCGCCCTACGCCTGGCATGCTCCCAAGCCCGCGACGCGAGTGTAGCATCAACGGCAGGACCGCCCTGAGCAGCTGTGAGCCAGGTGTTCACAACGACGCTGGTGCTCGCGTCCAGTTGATGGGGTTGTGAGGAGAGATAGATGTTGTGGATGGAGTTGAGCAGCGTGGTTGTCGAGACCTGAGACTGAGGTCCACTGCCTCGAGCCTCTGAGGCCATGGAGAACATGGAAAGTCGGTTCGCCATGACGGAGGAGGAGTGGGCGTAACGGCCCTCGATCGATGGAACGTCCTATAACAATGCGGAACGGATTACGTCGTGATGTTGATGCTGAAGATGTTTGTTTATGTCAAGCAGCCCCCCAAGTGTATGCGGCACGGGCTAGTCCAATAACAACAAGCAAGGCTATGAGAAGGAAAAAGAAGTGGGAAGAAATGACGGAGATGAAGATGAAGATGAAGATGAAGATGGCCTGCTGTGTCAATGCTGAGCGAGAGACGAAAAGGACGACTAAAGGCAAGCCCAAGACGCGACTGCCGTATTAACTCCTTTTTTTTTTCTGCCCCCCCGGTCTTTGCTTTTTTTGTCTCGATTATTTTGGTAGCGCAAGAAGACGCAAGACAGATAAGGCAAGGCGATAAAACAAAAACAGCAGACGAACAAGATGCAGCGATTAACGATTGAAAGTAGAGCTGCCAAAGCGAATGAGGCAGTCTCACCAAAGGCCAGAGGTGGTCAGGGAAAACAGCAGAGGAAAAGTCTCGCGGCTCTGAGGAAGATGAATCGATGGATTTGGTGGTTCGCCCATCGCGAGGAGCTGCCGTGTAGGCACTACCTTAGTGGGTAGAACACCAGCGACAGGGGCTACCTGGCAGGTACCTAGGCCGGTGTACTGGCGGCAGCTGTGCCACACAAGCTAGCCAGGGGGCGTGTGCCAAACAATGGGCAGCTAGCGAGCCCGTCGGCGCCACCGCCAACCGGCGCCGAGTACTTGCAAGTACCGCCCAAGTTGGAAGCAGGGGAACCCCGTCATACGCCTGCGGCTGGACGGTAGCGGGCGGTTGTGCTCACTGAAGCCGTTCCCGCTGGGCGCCTCAACTCTAAGGCCTAGCAGTGCTGCTAGCACGACTCCGTGCTAGTAGCAGTACCGCATCGGCGGGTAGTGTTTTGTAGAGTCTGCGCTGCTGCGGTGGTACAAGACGCCCGATGCTGGGCTGTTAGCGATCCAGAGCGAAGCCAGCCAGACCCGGTTGCCACGGCCCAAGGCTTAAGGTAGTATGAGTCCCTATATCGTACGTGTACTGTACTGGTCCTACCTAAACACACCAGGACTCGTACTAATGGATCCAATCGTATCGTGCTCCGTAGCCTGGTGATACTGGCTGAGCTGAATGCAACCCTCGCCGCTCTCCACTGGGTCTCTCACCCTAATCTGTGTTGATCGTGGGCATCGCCAACTGCAGCCCTCAAAGTGCTGTGCATCAGCTCGAATGTCACCAAGCTGGCAGCGCCTGTACCGGCATGTACATCAGCGCCTCCCTAGCAGGTACCTCCTGGTACTCCCGTCGTACAGCCCAGCCACTGCATGCTCTCTCCGTGGTCGTGCTCCATGCCAACAGCCGCTCCGCTCCGCACGATACGTATCGTACAGTACAAATGCCTGGAAGCGAACACATGTAATTTATTATTATGGAGTAGGGAATATTCCACGGCTGAAATGGAAATATCACACGGCGACATCTGGATGCGGATATAAAACTTGCACCGGCCGATACTGTATTACACATCTACCTAGCAGTATTACTTGATACAAATACTGGCTGTTACTACCGTCGCCGGCCCTGATGAGAGACGAGACCCGGAGCGGGCGGATGGGTGCAATACGAGAAAACCAGCGACGCTCTGACGCCGTCAATGCTATGGTACAGCATGCTTTTTTTTTTTTTTTCGTGTCACGATGGAGTGAGTCCGTCTTGACATGACTGCGGCCAACCACGGCACCACCTTGATGCTCGTATTTTCTCCTGTGAGGGGCACAAGACCGGCTCTTGCTGGGCTGTGCCAGAGCTCGCATCATGCTGCCTCGATCGCCGGTCCTAGGCAAGAAACTTGAGCCGTACTTGCATATGCTAAACACGATTGGCCAACGACGAGACCAAGCTAAGAGAAGAAGAAAAAAACCCTAAAAAAAACAAAGACTGGTGTTTCCTGACATGCGGGGAGGAGGGGAAACATGAGACTGCAAACCCACAGAACGTGAGGCATCTCGTTGGTCACTTGCAGCTGCGCGTACCCTACACACGGTACTGTACGAGCAGTGGTACGACTTCAGTTGGCGACCTGTGCTTTTGGCTCCATCATCGTGCATGTACTGCACAGAAGGGCGAAGACCCATTTGTGGTGATTTTGTGCGATTTTGTGCATTATACGCAAATCGACCACGGGTATCCCTGCTACGCTGCATTCCGGACTGCTCCGGCTTCCGTACCCCGTACCCCCCCTACTGCGTACCTACCTGTTCGTACCTACGAGTATACTTACAGTACAGGTATGTACATCCCAAGTCAGATATTTTCGGCCACAACTGAGACTCAAGAATGGATCAGACTGATGCCAAAAATGCTCGGGAAATGTCTGTCGTCTCACTGGCGCTAGCATCTCTCCTGTTGGACCAGCGGGCAATGGGTCAGCAAAATGCCTCCATATGTCGCCCACGGCAAGTTTGCTGGCCGGTCATACTGTGGCACTTGCAAAGGACGGTTGGGTGCATCCGATGCATGACAGAGCCTCGTGTCCCGACAAAAGCTGTCTGTATCCCATCTGTCATCGGGTCTTTTTTTAGGGAGATCTGGCGAGAGGAGTTATAAAAAGAACGCCGAGCAACTAGTTGTCGTTGTCTTCGCATTAGGGCTGTGTCGTCAGACCACTCAAGCAGCATACAAAGTAAGCTGTGCTTCCTCGAGGCTCGCTTTCTTCGAGTCAGCTAGACTTACTAGAGTGTGGGATGCCCCCCTTTTCCCATCGCTGGCTCTAGAAATAGCAGGTACAGGGTGTACGATCAAATATCTTTTACTCGTATAGTATCCAATCTGACTAACACGAGCATGAGAAAGACGCACCCAAAGTTGAATTCCATCAAATTCTTTCATTAGGCTTCGACAAAGGCGTCAGCACCAACTCGGCGGGCCAATGCCGCTGTTTATAGCCGCTCTCACCGGCAGCAAGGCAACTTTGTGATAACCTGGTCTATTGCTGGTAATTTTGGCGACGACTTACTCCATCGGGGTCGGCTACTCGTGGTTCTTGCAAGTACCAGTGGACCAGACATCCGGGGCAATACGCTGTAAGTCGGTGCCCCTAATAGCATCCATCTGCTAGGGGGCATCGACCCAAGTACTCGTAGAGTAGGTACTACCTTAGGTAGCACCAGACCAGGCAAGGGGGCATCTGCTCCGCAGCTTTGGAAAAAAAAAAAAAACCATTGATGGATCAATCCAGTCTTCGTACATGTGCATACAAATGCTGTACATGGCCGGTGGATCGGATCGGCTGGTCCCACTGCGAACGGTGGCAGCAGCTGAGGTACCGACAAGTATCCCCTGAGTGCAGTCAACACCAAAGCCCGCCAAGTCCCGATCTAAGGTAGCAAAGTTCAAGCAGCGCCAAAGAGCACGGGAAAAAGGGGGTTCATACTACGAGCTAGCCACTGTGATACTCGTATTGAATTTTTCCTCATTGGCTGTCATGTGCTGGCGACGTCTGGACCGTAAGGTTTAGTAGTCGGGACCTACCTACTACTAAGGTAGTGGAAATAGGTAGGATTGCTCCTTTGGATGCTAAAATAAAGTATTGAAGCAACCAGTATAAGATTTCGACGTGTGGTTAGAGATAGCACTGGAGATGTTAAAGGATCCGTGTGGTGGTAGATGCCAAGTGCACAGGCCATCTGTCCGTGCCATCATCGTCCATCAAGTGGTACTCGCGCAGTACTCGTGCTTTCAATGACGACAATAATGGTGATCTTTGACGATTGACCGTTGAGCAACAAGATCGAGTAAAGAAAAGAGAGAGATCGGGGTTTCTTACCATTTATGGCGACCCCTACCTATCCATCAAGGCCCTTTCCTTGCCGTCTCTTCTCCTTTTCCTGTATTCCCTTCTCACGGCCTTGAAAATCTCATTCGCCACCGACTCCGCGTCCTGTTGCATCGCAGACGAACGGTACATGGCCTTCCGCAAAACATCTCCTGCAAGCAGTGGAATCAACATCCGAGTGAGAGTCCACAAAGTACCTCCTGGCTTTCAGCCTCCCACCTGTACTCCGTGCTCCACCAGTCCTCGGATGCACTGGCGTATCTGATGTATCTCCCAAGTCGCGACCATTTCACCCCCCTGGCCATGCTTGCATTCACCCGCACACAAGCCACGCACACACAGAAATGCTATACTCGTAGGTACTAATAATACCTACTTGATGTGGACGAGGAGACAGGCATGCATGCAGCTACAGCAATGGGGACTAGCAGGGCAGGCTGTGCTCGCCGCACGAATGCTAATAATACCTGTCCGTGTACCCGCAAGTCACTCCTCCGAGCGCGGGTGGGAACAACATTCACGATAGGGGGTGTGGACAAGCCCAAACTGCGCTCGCGACGCATTGCGCCCAACGGACTTGTCCGTAAAGCTAGGCCACTCGTCACGCCCCCTCTGCCGCTCGCAGCAGTGGCGCCTCTACGGAGTGACTGAGCACCTAATTCAGGCACAGCGCTAGCAGAGGGCTGTACCTCGATGTACTTTCATATGTTACTTGGTGCCATCTCGTACAGCAGGTCTAGAGCAGCAGCATACGATGTGCATGGGCAGGAGTTGAGTACCTAAGCAAGCAACCACGGCCCCTTTCCCGCCGCTCAGCCAACCCGTCCAGGAAAATAACTTCAAACTCATCTGCCTGACGTTGACGCGGTCTGCTTTTGAGGCCTTCGCTGCATTTTTGTCTTTTCCATGCTTTTTTAACCACATTCGTTATCCATCAGGCATATCTCGAGGATTTCTTCTTGCATCAGTTTATCAATACTCGAACCTGTCGCGGACCGTCCGCTTGCGCTCTCGCCTGCGCGGCAGTAGAGCCACCGAGTTGGCAATTTTTTCCTTTCAGGTTCTCAGTCCATCTCTGGAGGAAGCATGAGCTTGCCTCTTACTTCCGCGGGCAATGGAGGGGCTCACACGCAGCATTCTCTCCCTCAATTGCCCGCACACTCCCAGTCCGACACGCAGATAACGGCCCATCTCGCCAGTCGATTCCATCTGCAACTCCAAGCCACCTATCTTTCATCCCATGGAGTGGTTGCTGTTAACACCTTTACATCCTCGACGAAAGGGCCAGATGGAGGCCGAGATGGCAGCTCCATGGCTGCTGCCGAGGATGTGGCCGATCGTGCATACCTGCGTCTTGGCCATCGGTCTGAAAATCAAGCCGTTGTGTTTCTGTAAGCTGAACCAAAGCCTTTTTTTCTTTCTTTTCCCATTCCCCATGATTATTTCCCCCTTCTCTGGCGTTTCGAAGAAATCTTGCGGACCGATAGTTCTCTTACCAGCCCTTTGTTTGAAACTGGGCATCTGTTGTTCTTTCAATCTAATTTCTAACGCGTCTGATGCTTAGGGGAGAATCTGGCTCCGGAAAGTCCACGCTGCGAAACCATTTCGTTACGGCCCTTCTCAAGAAATCATCCACTCCTTTGTCGACTAAACTCTCGCTTGCTGCGTACGTATTCGACGCACTAACCACCACAAAGACCGCAACCACCCCAACTGCCTCTCGGGCTGGTCTGTTCTACGAGCTTCAATACGACACTTCTGCGTCTACAAACCCTACTCTCATCGGTGGTAAAGTGCTTGATCATCGCCTGGAGAGGAGCAGGATCACAGACGTCCCCACCGGCGAGCGTAACTTTCACGTCCTATACTATCTTGTGGCTGGTACTAGCGAGGCCGAGAAGGATCATTTGGGATTTGAAAATGACAGCAGCAAGAGATGGAAGTTTCTTGGGCACCCAACGCAGCTTAAGGTGGGCATTAACGACGCCGAAGGCTTTCAGCTCTTCAAGACCGCCATGAGGAAGCTGGAGTTCCCCAAGAACGACATTGCCGAGATTTGTCAAGTTCTTGCAACTGTTCTGCATATCGGCCAGCTGGAGTTCGAGACTTCCAGCAGCACCAGCGCAACTGGTGATGACAGCGGCGGCTTCTCCCACGAGGGAGGCACCACTTTCACTGCTGTCAAGAACAAGGATGTCCTGGCCATCATCGCCGCCTTCCTCGGTATCAGCGCCTCTGATCTCCAAACTACCTTGGGCTACAAGACCAAGATGATCCACAAGGAGCGCGTTACCGTCATGCTCGATCCCAACGGTGCTCGCGCGCACGCGAATGAGTTGGCGAGGACTCTTTACTCGCTCTTGGTTACCTGGATCGTTGAAAACATGAACCAGCGTCTCTGCGCCCCCGAAGAGAGCATTGCCAACACAATCTCTATTGTTGATTTCCCCGGTTTCGCCGCGGCAGCTTCCACTGGATCTGCCTTGGATCAACTCCTCGCCAATGCTGCCAATGAGGCTATCTACAACATGACTCTCCATAACTTCTTTGATCGCAAGGCCGAGATGTTCGAGACAGAGGAAGTCACCGTGTCTGCGACAAGCTATTTCGACAACAGCGATGCTGTCAAGGGCCTCCTAAAGCCCGGCAATGGCCTTTTGAGCATTCTCGATGACCAGACCCGCCGTAACAGGACGGATATGCAGCTTCTCGAGAGTCTGCGCAAGCGGTTCGAGGGTAAGAACCCTTCTATCGATGTTGGTTCCGCGACCGCCAAGCTGCCAGGTAGCAACTTCCATACTGAAAACTTGTCTGCGAGCTTTACCGTCAAGCATTTCGCCGGAGAAGTCGAGTATCCAGTCAGGGGCTTGATCGAGGAAAACGGCGAGATCATCTCTGGAGATCTCATGAATATGATGAACAGCACAAAATCAGACTTTGTGGCCAAGCTCTTTGGCCAGGAAGCCCTGCAAACCGTCACTCACCCCCAAGAGCGGACAACTGTGATGCAGGCTACCATCAGCTCAAAGCCTATGCGCGCGCCCAGCGTCATGGCGAAGAAGGGTACTCGTCCCAACAGGCCCAATCCCGCGGGCCGCCGCCAGACCCAAGATAACTTTGATGCAATGTCACAGAACAGCGACTCGCGTGAGGCCAAGCGTGGAGCGGGCAAGGGATTATCGGAGCAGGGCGCCTCTGGCCAATTCCTTTCATCTCTCGACAATGTGCAGAAAGCTGTCACCGATCCCGGCACCAATGCTTACTTCTTCTTCTGCATTAAGCCCAATGATCGCCGCATTGCCAATCAGTTCGACAGTAAATGTGTGCGAACACAGATCCAGACATTTGGCATCGCCGAAATCAGCCAGCGTCTGCGTTCGGCTGATTTCAGCTTGTTTGTGCCCTTTGGTGAGTTCTTGGGCATGGCCAATAGCGAGGCTCTGCTTGTGGGGAGCGAGCGAGAGCGGGCAGAGGCTGCAATCGATGAGAGGCAGTGGCCCCGTAACGAAGTTTCGGTTGGTGCCACTGGTGTCTTCTTGAGCGAGCGTTGCTGGCTGGAAATCGCCCAACTGTCCTTTTCCAGTTCGGCTTCTGGCCGCGGTGCCATGTCCGCATTTGATAGTGAAGGCGGAGATGGCCTCACCCCTGGCGACCATCATGCTTTTGGTGCTTCCAAGGAGCGTCTTTTGTCTGCTGGACACACTCCTATGGGCTATGGTGAAAAAGGAAGGAGTGGTTACTTCGTGGCTGATGATGCTCGCTCTGAGGCGGGTGTCTCGGCGTTTGGTGCGGGAGACATGTTCAAAAACCTCGATACCCGCGAGCAGATGGCCGAGAGAGGCAATGAAAAGGCCCTGGTGGAGGTTGAAGAGTACAAGGATAGCGCCAGCCGCAAGCGCTGGCTGTTCCTTGTGCACGCACTCACTTGGTTCGTTCCCGATTTTCTCATCCGGTTGATTGGTAGGATGCCTCGAAAGGATGTGCGCATCGCATGGCGTGAGAAGCTTGCCATCAACTTTCTCATTTGGTTCTTCTGCTTGGTTGCTGCTTTCTTCATCGTGGTCTTCCCCATGGTCATTTGTCCCACCCAGCATGTCTACAGCGCTCAAGAGTTGTCTTCATTTGATGGCAAGCCGAAAAGTGAGGGTGCGTACGTTTCCGTCCGTGGTATCGTCCTTGACTTGGGAGCCTTCATCCCCTCCCATTACCCTTCGTACCTGAAGCAGCAGTCTCTTCTCAACTATGCCGGCAAGGACATTACCAGCCTCTTCCCTGTCCAGGTGTCCGCACTCTGTGACGGCGTGGACGGCTCAATCAACCCGGCCGTGACTCTGGATTACAAGAACAGCAACTCCACCGGATCCCCGGCCCTTCTCAGCCTCACGGACCAGAACTACAAGTACCACGACTTCCGATATTTCACCAATGACACTCGACCCGACTGGTTTTACGAACAGATGGTCTATCTGAAGTCTAACTTCAAGAAGGGCAACATTGGCTATACCGCCAAATATGTGAAAACGCTCGGCAAGCAGTCGCAAAACATTGTGATTTTGGAAAACAAAGTTTACGACATGACTACCTATCTTGCTGGTGGCCGCCATTTGCGCGCTCCTCCTGGAGAAAAAGTGCCAACTAACAATACTCTCACTGACTTCATGGACCCATCTATCACGTCGCTTTTCCAGCTCAACCCTGGTCAGGACATCACCAAGTACTGGCAAAACTCACTCCGACTTGATGCTACCAGCAAAACTCGTATGAAGCGTTGCCTGGACAACTTGTTCTATGTTGCCGATGTCGATACCAGAAACTCCGTCCGCTGCCAGTTTGCTGAGTATCTTATTCTCGCCATCTCGATTCTGCTTTGCTCAGTCATCGGATTTAAGTTTCTCGCTGCTCTGCAATTTGGTGGTAAAAACGCCCCTGAAGACCTTGACAAATTTATCATGTGCCAGATTCCGGCCTACACCGAGGACGAGGAATCTCTGCGCCGTGCCATTGATTCTGCTGCTAGGATGAGATATGATGACAAGCGCAAGTTACTGGTTATCGTGTGCGACGGCATGATTATCGGTCAAGGCAACGACAGGCCCACGCCCAGGATTGTTCTGGACATTCTCGGCGTGTCCGAATCTGTCGACCCTGAACCGCTAAGCTTTGAGTCTCTTGGTGAAGGTTTGAAGCAGCACAACATGGGCAAGGTTTACTCCGGTCTCTACGAGGTCCAAGGCCACATTGTTCCCTTCTTGGTCATCGTGAAGATTGGCAAGCCCTCTGAGGTCTCCCGCCCTGGCAACCGTGGTAAGAGAGACTCTCAGATGGTCATCATGCGATTCCTTAACCGCGTGCACTACAACTTGCCCATGAGCCCGATGGAGCTTGAAATGTACCACCAGATCAGAAACATCATTGGTGTCAACCCCGCCTTTTACGAATTCATGTTCCAAATCGATGCCGATACCGTTGTTGCCCCGGATTCCGCCACTCGTATGGTTGCTGCCCTTATCAACGACACAAGCATCATTGCTGTGTGCGGTGAGACTGCTCTGACCAACGCCAAGGGCTCGTTCATCACCATGATCCAGGTTTACGAGTACTACATCTCCCACAACCTGTCAAAGGCCTTTGAGAGTTTGTTCGGCTCCGTCACTTGTCTGCCCGGTTGTTTCTCCATGTACCGTATCCGCGCTGCGGAGACTGGCAAGCCACTCTTCGTGAGCAAGGAGGTTGTTGAGGCGTATTCCACTATCCGTGTCGATACGCTGCACATGAAGAACTTGCTCCACCTGGGTGAAGATCGTTTCCTGACCACTTTGCTGATGAAATTCCACTCCAAATACAAGACCAAGTACATCTTCACTGCTCACGCATGGACTATTGCCCCCGACTCTTGGAGCGTCTTCCTTTCTCAGCGACGTCGTTGGATTAACTCCACTGTGCACAATCTGATTGAGCTTATTCCCCTTTCCCAGCTCTGCGGTTTCTGCTGCTTCAGTATGCGCTTTGTCGTCTTTGTCGACTTGCTCAGTACCGTTGTCCAGCCTGTGACCGTCGCCTATATCATCTACCTGATTGTGCGTGTGGTGCAGAATCCCAACGTCGTCCCCGTCACCGCGTTTATTCTTCTCGGCGCCATTTATGGTTTGCAGGCCATCATTTTCATCCTTCGCCGCAAGTGGGAAATGGTCGGTTGGATGGTTCTTTATGTTCTAGCCATCCCCGTCTTCAGCTTTGGTCTGCCGCTGTACGCTTTCTGGAACATGGACGACTTTGCATGGGGTAATACCCGTGTTGTTGCCGGCGAAGACGGCAAAAAGGTCCTCATCTCGGACGAAGGCAAATTCGATCCCTCATCTATCCCGAAAAAGAAGTGGGAGGAATATCAAGCCGAGCTCTGGGAGTCGCAGACTTCCAGGGATGACACTCGCTCTGAGATCTCTGGCTTCAGCTACGGAACTAAGGCTCACGGCGCCATGTCAGAATATGCTTATCCCAGCCGGCCTGCCTCCACAACGGGCTTCATCCAGGCAGCGACTCACGCTCAGCCATATGAAACCCGCAACATGTCCCGCATGTCGATGGCTCCTTCTGAGATGAACCGCATGAGCCAGTATGGCGGATCGCAATTTTTCTCTCCAGAGGACATGGTTGGCCTTCCCAGCGATGATGCCATCTTGGCGGAAATCCGAGAGATTTTGAAGACGGCAGATTTGATGACTGTCACCAAGAAGGGCGTGAAGCAGGAATTGGAACGCCGCTTCGACGTTCCCCTTGATGCGAAGAGAGCTTATATTAATAGTGGTATGTCCTAAAACACCCCTTTCTCCTTTTACGTATTTTCAAATTTAGCTAACTGGGTTTCTCTCTAGCTACTGAGGCTCTCCTCTCTGGTCAGCTATAGAAGAGCAAAGCAAAGGAGTGGCAGCGACAACGCTGACCATCACAACGCCCGACCTACGCATAACTTTTTAATTACGAAGAGGTTTTTGGCCTTTTCCTTTTTCTTAATTGGGGTGCTGTTATCGACCACTTTCTTTATTCAATGGGTAATCCGTCATAAATCGCTGTCTCGTCATTTGGCTTGCTTGGCCCGAGCAGCGAAGCGAAAAATCAAAGCGAAGATTGGAGAAGAGCGAGAATGTTGTATGCATCGTATGGGTTATCATTTTCATTTTTTTTGGTGTTTCTAGGTTTAGAATGGACGAGGGAACGAGCCTTGTATGTATATATGTATGAGCGCATGTTGGAGTTTCTGAGTGATCGAATATGTTTTACGCTGCGACTACGATTATGCTGCTCGTGTTGAACTTGATGTTAGTATTCATATCGTAATTGATTGGAACGAAGCCGTGATGGTGGAAGACTATAATCATTATAACATTAATTGGTGGTCATTTCTATTTCTTTTCTTCATCTCTATTCCATGGAGCCAAAGTATCAATGGCAAAGTGCGTATTGGTAAAAGTACCTGTAAGATGAACAATCCAAAGTGTGGTTTTCAATTCCACCCATCCTATTTATTTACACTCAACGGAGGCCATCATCGTCCGTCTGGGTATCTCATCTTATCTAACATGACAAAATCGAACGGGGACAAACTCCAAGCTGTTCGTTCCCTTTTCACTGTTGCAACTGCAGGTTCTCCAGTAGCTTTTCCACCCCCCCTTTACTCCATGCGTTGACTCTTGTCTGGTCACACGTCTTCCACGCCCGCTCCATCAGTGCCTTGTAGAGGTGGGCGTCGTCGGAAACTCCGCATGCAGATCGCTGAGCGTCGAGCCACGCGAGGAGGCCGAATCTAGTGATGAGCGTGGTGCTGCCGGAGTCGATGCAAGTGGCGCGGTACACGATCCTGAGGATGCGGATGCGAAGGTTGGAGCGAAGATACGGGTTGCTGCCCAGGGCGAGCATCTTCTCGAGCCAGCGCTTCTTGTGGAAGACGCCCAGGTCAAAGGGGGTCTTGAGGGCGTCGAGCACGTACGTCAGGAACCAGGCGATTTCGGTGTAGTACTTGTCGTCCTCCGAGGGCTCTCCGTGCAGGATGTCGTGCGCCAGGGGCAGCTTCTCGGGCGACCAGACGGGGCTGCGCGTCAGGAAGCCGTTGATTTTTGGGTAGAGCGGGTGGAGCGGGCTCTTGAGGATGTCGAGCGCGTGGATGGAAAAGGCGATGAATGCGGACGGGACGGGCCCGTTGTCGACCTGTGGCCGCGAGGATTCGGCCAGTTCGGACAGGAGCAGCCAGACCTGCTTCTTCTCTTCGTAGGCCGATTCGTCGATTTTCGCGGCCATCTTGAGGATGTTTGTCAAGGCCTCTTTGCGGATGTTGATGTGCTCTGACGCGAGGAGACGAATCAGGCTTGTAATTAAGCCGTCTTCAATGAGATCCTCGACGGCTTTATTGTGCCACTTGAGAAGAACGCTGGTATCTTCAGAGCTTGCAAATGGAATGTGCAGCGTTTCTTCGAGCTTTGCCTGGTCCAATACACCTTCTTTCTGTTGAGCGCTTTCTCTGGTCTCCCCTTGGTCATCGTCTTCGCCAGATGAGGATTTGGGTATCTTTCGCGTTCCCAAGCCTGCAAGCTTGACAGAGTGAGAGGAGAAGCACTCTTCAATGTTTATGTAGACTCGTTTAAGGGCATCGCTTCCCTTTTTCTTATATAATGCGCTGAAATAGAGGGATATGAAGCTTGATAGTGAATCACGCTCTTTGGCATCTGCGGAGTTAATGATGAAGGGTAGCTGTTCCGCTATGGCGACGGCAAGCAGATTGAAGCTGCGATCATCAGTCGTTGCTTGTGTCTCGCCCTTCCCACCAACAAGATAGTTCTCAAGCACGTCGAGGTATTTGATTGGCGAAGTAGCGCAACGGCTAATACAGTTATCCAAGAAAGACCAGACCTTGTCCATATTCTCCGGACTATTTTCGTCTATGCTCAATGCAAGGGCTTGAAGAAGAGGTTTTAGTCTGGTAGCCGGGGAAACGAGCTGATTTTCTACAGCAACATCTCCAAGCACCTTTTTCAGCTGATGAAGGGGTGCAATCCGATCGCTGCTGGAAAGGAGCTTAAGGAGTGCGGTGAATGGCGATGATGGGCCTTTGCCGGCGAGAATCTCAATTCTCGCAAACCATCGCATACCGGGAGAGTAGCTGGCCATCGACACTAGGTTCTCCAGCTCCATCTCACGGAACCCGTCGTGCTGCTGGTCCGAGTTGCCATCCTGTAAGCTCCGTAGAACGCTGACGAAGAAGGGCGAGACGTCAAAGTTTGCAGCCAGCGCTACTTGTGGAATCATCTCATAATACAAATGAAGAAGCCTGCTGGCCATGGTTTTATGCAATGCATTCTCACTGGGTATGCTCTTGTAGCTTCGCACAATCTCTTTCATGTCTGGGATGCGTCTGCAGAATGCATCAATCAACCTTCGAGCTGCCTCGGACCACCGAGCGTCTGTTGCCCGGAAGCCCTCTTCATGCAGCTTGATGGCTACCGAGAGCTTTTCCAGCGCTTCAACTAGCATCCTTGTCGCAAAGAAAGATGTAAGGTTTGAGTTGGGCGAAAGGCACCGAATCATAACCTTTTGGTTTAGTGGTAGTGGTAAGATATTGTCCAGGACGACAGACGTAGGCGGAGGGCCAAGGGCAAAGCGTGTCTTGTCGCCGAACGAAGGGGGAAGCGGGATCCTCATCGTATCGAAGAGAAACGAAGCATATCCGATCCATGTCATTGTCAGCTTTGGCTCAAAAGTGAACGACTGGTTGTTGAAAAAGTAGTTTGATATGAGTTCTGGGGCAGCTTCGAATATCGCTGTCAATAGCTGGCTGTGCTTCATGCTAGACCAGGGACGCAGCTTCGCCGCAAATTCGGATAGAACAAAATTGAAAACGGAGACGCCATCGCGATATGTATCGTCTTTGCCCAAAGTGCTGTGCGCTGAGCCCTTTTGTTTGGCGAGCTGCACTGAAAACTCCTCATTCGTCTCCTTAGGGTAAAGGCCTGTAGACGGATATAGGATTCCGGCACCGGGATTGGTGCAGACGTACATGAGGAACTCGTGGGCCTTTTCGCTCACTCGATCGACATCACTCTCTGATTCTGTGCTGTTAGAGTAGCTATAGAGAGCTAGAATTCGCATCAGAGTCTTGGTGTTGAAGGACTTGAACTTGATCTCTCGAGAGATTTTGCTGTCCGCCAACACATGAGTCTTGAAACCGTCCAAAATCTCCAGAACAAGGGATGAGGGGTCGCTCTTGATCATGAACGTTAAATGCGACAGCAGTTCTTTTTGAGAGAGCAGCTCTTTTCTGCCGTCAGAATGCAGATACTTGAGACAGCTCAAGAAGAACCGGACAGCATTTGTTCTCACTGTTGATTTGCGAGAGTCCCCTTGATTGTCTCCAGTGTTACCAATCTCCAAATTCCTGCCAAGCGACGCGAGGGTAAAAGTTCTGGCGCGAACTATCCGTCTGGCGTAGGCGCCTCCATCCAGAGATACAGCTTCTCGAAGCAGGCGCAGTGTGGGCGATATGATGAAGCCTTTTGTCTTGTCCGATGACAGATTCTTCGATATCGACTTGAGCTGACGATCTTGGACAAGCGACTGGCAGATACCAAGTCCGTGCTTGACAAGCTCCAACGAGTCCGAGACGACATTTAGCACGAGTGCGAGGACAACGGCCACAGAGGACATGACACCGCCGTCATTCACCTGGGCAGCAAACGACCACATCTCCATGATGTCACTCAGAAAGACGGCATCCTCGCCCTCCAGCCTCGGTTTGACCAATTCGAGATATTCTCGTAGAGTGCCGAGATTCGCAGGTCGATCACCATCACCGGAAACAATGTTGTCAAGCAGTCTTTTGAAGGATTGTAAACCTGTTGAAACCATCAGTTCCACAAACCCCCACACTAGACACATAATCTGCAAAATGAGCCTCCAGACTCACCATGTCTTGCTCGGCGCATGTCTTGGTCGAACGAGAGGAGGCTTCGGAGCTGCTCTCCAGAGCTCACATCCTCGCCGGTAGGAACATCGTGGGTGATTTTCTGCCGCTTTCGGAAGGCAGCAGCTCCGTCGGCATCGATTGAAGCTCGTTTCCCCATCTTGAAGGGCCTCGGCGGATTCGTCCAGCTTGAGCTGCCGATTTACGCCTGCTCGTCGTCGCGGAAGTCTCAGATATTTTGGTATACTGCCGAGCTTTACCGCCTCACGGGCTTCCAGGATAGGCAAGCCTGGCAAGGTTATCGCACGCTACGGAATTATACAGTATTCGATAGCGGGTATACCGCGGCATTACTACTATAGCATTGTGGCTGTGCGCAGACGGTACGTACCTCCACTTCTCTTTTGTAAGTTCACTGGACAGTTGTAAGCCATCCCATGCTTCGTTTTTGTGGCACCACAATCTCACCTGCTCTCTACGGCTCTTCTTTCACATGGCTGCGTCTCCACCGTCAAGGCTATTCCAAGACAAAGAGACAAAAAAAAAAAAATGAAGAAGAAAGCAAGGCCATGGCATTATATCCGGCATGGCATAGGTGCGCTTGGTCCGGAAAGTGTGGAAGAAACTGAGACATGCATAATGGCTTTGCTCGTATCCTCACTTTCTGTTGGCCGCGGCCTCTCTCGTCTCCCCACGCCACTGGCCGCAGCAGAAGCGTATTACACGCTGTCTCTTTTATTGGGCGTCAGGTGGTGAGTCTCGAGTCAAGTCACGAAGCTGTTCACACCATATCCGCGTGCCTGCGTCGCCCATGTCATCATGATCATCACCGTGGGTTGCTAAAGATAGGCGCTCGTCGGAATGCGGAGGGTCCGTCTAATTTGCGAAATCGCAACAGCAAGCTGGAACAAAGCTGGATTCCTTGGACGGCGACAAGGCAAATGAAAGCGAGAAATTAAACGGTGAACAGCGCGCGCCAATGGAGCGTCGACGGCCCAAAGAAGCAAAACGACAGTCCGGATGAGGCAAGATTCAGCTGCGTGGCGCCCATCTTGGTTTCGCATCTCGCCTGGGCTCGTTTCCTCTTTCACAAACGCTGCTTCTTTGTTCACGAAACATGCGTCTCTAACTTCTCACCAGGGGAACGCGAGCTTCGTCGTGGCTGGCCAATGCCGGCAGCCCACGCGACCCCTCCTCGGACCATCTGGAGCAAAGCCACGAAAGAATCCGTGGCGAATGCAAGACATCGACTCGCTGTGCCAGCCCGGCCGTCTGACGCCGTCTGTGGATCCTGCAATCTTGTGGGTAGCGCCAGCCATCCGAATCCATCGTTCTACGCGCCGACTGGACGGTCTTCTTTGTGGCCCAGCCTATCATCGTCCCGGCCCTGCTGGCTCACCATCAACGCTGCTCAGCCGCCACTCGTTGGGCCTTGTCGAGGTGTTCTTGGTTGCTGTAAACTGGCAAGCAAAGGGCTCCAGTCTGCTGGTCGGGTGAGCTGCGCTATGGCAGATGCGAAGTAGTATTTACGAGCTCGCTCACCCGGCCCTCTTTTTCAACTTTCCAGTCGGGGTGCCGGATCTACCTTGCCCTCTTTTTTTTATGTCATCGGCTCGCTGGACGGTCTTTCATTCGCTTTTCTCCCCTACTTTAAAAAGTTATTTGCCGGCCCAGTCGGCATGAGGCTGCTTTTTTCTCCCCAGTATGAAAGCTTCGACGGGTGTTTTTGGTGAAGCATATGCGTCATGCTTTTCTTGCTTCACGTGCTGGGAACCGTTGGCTTTTCGTATTGACGAGAGACCTCAGCGTCGTATGTGGATTTTTTCTTCTATATTTCCCAACAGAAATTATCTTTATTTCCCTTCTCTTTCGCTCTCACTGCACTCGCTGCTGGGAGATGGAGAGAGCTTTGAGAACTCTCACTTACGGATAGACCTCAGACGACAATAAGCGCCTCCGTCCCGTTATCAGCGATCAACCAACATCTCATCCACCGCCAATGGCAGTCCCAGAGGCTGAGCTTCCCCGGCCTAGCTGGAGGCAAAAGGTGCAAAAGACTTTCACATCAAACCAGTCAAGCTCTTTTTCAAGAAGCAGAGCGCAGGCAGACGCTTCACGGCCACGGTTACAAATCTCGGCGCCATTCGAATTTCGACATGTTGATTCCGGCTCATTCCAATTCCCGTTTCCCGCTCAGCGACCAAACCGGCCCTGGGAGAGCCCTTTGACGCCGGACACACCTGAAACTCCCTTTGAACCGCTGCAATTAAACATTCCAAGTTCTGGAAAAGAACTGTCGCCAATGCTTCCAGATTTCACCTTTCCCAGTGAGATGACGCCGCCATCTCTGGTTCATCTTCCGGGCCGGCCCCACGATGACCCTTCGTTTCGTCATGATAGAAGCCATTCATCGACATCATTTCATATTCCTCGAAAAAATGTTGCTACTCACTCAGCATCAAGCAGCCCAGAGGTATCACCATTGAACCTCGCTTCCGACAAGCAGACTCGCACCCGGACTTATGCGCCATCTGACATGGAGACGATTAAAGAACGAGTGGCCTCGGCCATGAATGAAGTGGAGGAGCTGCAGAAGAAGATCAACGACATCATCGAGCGACAAAGCCTCTACACTGCGAGCAGACCATCAACAGCTCACTCAATGGCCCGTACTCTGCCTGGTAAGCCTATACAATGAATTCGACTTTCCTACAAAACTCCCTAGCTTATCCGTTACCTGCACAGACGCGGCAGAAATCCCGACTATTCCTGCGCTGCCACCAGCGGCGCCTTCATTTGCTGAGCGCCTAAACACAAAGGTGTCGCTGCCCAATGCTTGGCCCGTGACAGCCTCCATGCACATCAGCCAGTTGGAGCAGTACGAGGAGACGCTCAATAGCACGCAGTTTTCACAGTCGATGCGAGACGAGCAATCTTCCCCGTCGCCTCCCCCTCCACTGCCTCTCAGGCTACGACCGCCAACAACACCACCACCACTACGGAAGAAGAAATCGTTTTCGCGATTCTCTACTATGCTGTCTCAGAGGACTTCACGACCAAGAAACCAGAGCCTGGACTCTGTTACGAATTCTCCGCTTCCTCTCAAGGCAAACGAAGGATACTACCAGTGCGCAACCCCGCCTAGAAGGCTGGACAGGCGAAGCACCGACACGTTCGATACGATGTCTAGTTGGTCGATGTATGATGGAGACCGCAGCGTGCCGACGGCCTGGTCACCGCAGAGCACCCCATCAAGAAACGAGGATGACGTTTTCCTTGACAGAAGCGCCACGTTTGGGAAGAATAGCACCCGGGGGTCGAGTGCGGTGAATGTCGGTCTCGCCATGTGACAAAGCGGGCTTCGTACATAAACGCGAGATATTGCTACTAATGTATATACAAAACTACTCATGTGCTGGACCACATATCATAGACCACGTGGAATGATTGGAGGGTAATGAATGAGGGCAGGCTTGGTATAGGCTGCTGGGATAGAATGGAATGGGTCTAATGCACCCATGGATTATACCACTGGAGGTGATAAGTGACGGATGCAGCTGAGCGACATCCAGCGAATCACCTTGGGCGTTTTTTTTTGGGTGAAAATTGGTTCAATAAAGGAAATATACCATATACAGGCTTAATGAAGCGATTGATAGAGAGAGAAAAGGGAGCACCTGTTTCATCCTCAGTGTATGTGTTTGAGGGAGAGGTGCTCCGTCAAGTCCGTATAGACAGAGGTTCTACATCATCCAAGATGCAAGACTCGGCATATGCGTGTTAGTGCCCAACCCAGAGTGCCGAGCGGTGCCTTGGGCAGTGACGCGCTGCATTGGCGTGGGCTGGATAATGCAATGCATTGCGATGCGCTGGTTGGCTCAGTTCTCCAAGGCGTCACAAGATGCACCATGCAGGATTCATTCCCTTTCCATTGTTCATTCTGCTCTTCAGGAACACCAATAAATGGACTTTGTATTCGGGTACCTGGATTCTCTTACAGATTGCCTGGGTTCCGAGGTACCATTAAACAGTCTACCCTGATTGGTCTAGCTGTCTTACCTAAGTCAAACCTTCACCTGTTAACCTCAGGTACGGAGTACAGACCGAATGAAGCTCAGCCAAGCCAAGCGCAGCCATACCCAACACATCCAAGCCAAGATCAGAGCGTCGCATTCCACCGTCTTTTTTCTCCATATCCAGAGTAGGGAATAAACGATCCCGCTCTTGGCTATTAGTGCCTGAGCAGGCCGATTCGGCCAATCCCTTGCCGCATCTCAGGCACGCCTCTCTTACTATACTCTCGCGGCTGACCGAGCTGCTCAAGGCTGTCTGTTGCACGTCTTGCCGAGAGTAACCATCTAATGGTGTTCATCGACCTTCCCGAATCATGCCTGTGCCTAGAATCATAGCCGCCATCAGGGGTGCTGTGTCGCGAGACACATACAAATACAGCGCGATCCCAGAGCCAGAGGCGGAGGCGTCAGGTCGACAGGCGCTGACTCGGCGGCCATCCGTTTACGAATCTTCATCACAGGGGCAGACGAGGCTGATTAAAATGTCACTCGGAGGCATGGCGCTTTTTGCCATATTACTGACCATGGTCTCACTTGGGTATGGAACGCAAAAGCCGTGAACCGTAGAACCAAACAAGGGGGAGCGTGAGAGAGAAATGCTAACCCTGATGACGTTGAAAGGCGAGCCAAGTCATACTCAGCTTGCGAGGCAGTCGGGAACTGTACGGCGGATGTATCACATATTTGGGGCCAATACTCACCCGTGTTCGCTGTCCCGTCTACCATCGATGCATCAATCCCATCTGGGTGCAACGTAACTTTTGCCCAGATTCTGTCACGGCATGGAGCGCGAGCGCCTACCCAGAAGAAGTCTGATTTCTACAGGGACATGATTGTACGCATCCAGAGCAATGTCAAAAACTACGGCAAGGGATTCGAGTTCCTGAAAGATTACGATTATCACCTTGGCGTTGATGACCTCACCCTGTTTGGAGAACAACAGATGGTTGATTCTGGAACTGCATTTTTCCAGCGATACCGGGATCTGGCCTCTCAGTTTGATCCCTTTGTTCGAGCATCGGGTTCAGATCGAGTAGTTGTATCGGCGCAGAGATTTGTTGAAGGATACTATAAAGCTCAAGATCGCGGCGCTTCGAACCCAGTAAAGAGCATTTTGGTGCTCCCCGAAGAAGATGGGTTCAACAACACGCTGAACCACGGATCGTGTCCAGCCTTTGAAGAGGGCCCTGCATCCGAAATTGTGGCTACACACCAGAAGATATGGCTTGGAGTTTTTGGACCTGCCATTACCAAGAGGCTCAACAGCAAATTGCCAGGCGCAAATCTGACCTTGACTGAGACCATCTTCATGATGGATTTGTGCCCATTCAACACAGTGGCAAACACTAGCCTCGTGGCATCCGACTTTTGCAGGCTCTTCTCCATGGACGAGTGGGCAAGCTACGACTATTTCCAGTCACTGGATAAATGGTATGGCTACGGCAAGGGCAATCCCCTGGGCCCGTCTCAGGGAGTTGGATTTGGCAACGAGTTGGTTGCCAGGCTTACCGGTACACCTGTGGACGACGATACCACGACAAACTCAACGCTCGACTCTTCGCCCGAGACTTTCCCCCTAAACAGCAAACTGTATGCAGATTTCTCGCACGACAACACCATGTCTTCCATTTTCGCCGCCCTGGGGCTGTTCAACTCAACTATGGACCTGCCTCTCAAGTACAAGCTGTCGCCTCGCCGCCTTCGCGGGTTTTCTGCTTCCTGGGTGGTGCCGTTTGGCGCCCGCATGTACTTGGAGAAGATGCAGTGCAGCGATGCGAGCGAGGAGCTAGTGCGGGTCATCTTGAACGACCGAGTGGTTCCGCTGCGGACGTGCAATTCCGACAGACTGGGACGGTGTAAGCTGAGCGGCTTTATTGATAGCCTCAAGTTTGTGCGGAGCGGAGGGCTGTGGAACGAGTGCCCATATGATGGCTGATGCGTTGAGCGTTGAACATTTTGCGATGATACCTCTGACGACTGGCTTTTTCTGTTTCTATCATGTTTCATGTTTCATGTTTCTTCTATCTTGCTTGTTTTGCTCGGCATTAAAATTTAGAAGCAGGCAAGGCCTAGACTACAAGCTTCGGTCTGACAGTTTAAGAAGAACTCACATCCATGGCACCCCATAGAGAGGTAGTCCATTTTTTTTTTCCTTTTCCAACCAAACCCTCGAATGGAGTAGAGAACAAATTCATTGGCATGAAGAAGCGAGCCGTTGCGAGCTAAAAATAGCATCAAACCGCCTAGATAATTAGTACACTTGATGTAGTCTTGCTGCTTACTTTTTGTGAGCTGCGATGAATATTGGATGGATTGAATGGACGCTTTTCGAGGCGGATTAATTATAGCAGTGGATGACTGAGCGGTGTTAGTCGCTAAAAAGCAGCAAGGGCCCCCTGTATTCCAGGCGCAGGAACCAAGCCCAGGCATTCCTGGCCCCGATAGCAGCGATAAGGTGCCCAAAGCGGAAGTCGCTCGACGTCAGCAGTCCCAGACCCCAAAGGTGACTTTACCCGCACTCAATTCAAGGCTCCTCCTAGCAAAGTGACCCAAGCAGCACCGGCAGCACTCCTATGCGTTGAAAAGCGACTGCGGAAACCAGCAGATGCCCGGATTTTCTCGAGCGCATCGCCAGCCTGTTGATTGAGGTTGTATTTACCTCTCCATACCGCTTCACACTCTCACGCTTTTCTTTGTTTTGCTTCGGCAAGGGGGGGACGCAGATCCAGAGACGATACGAGGCTAGGAGATCATGGTTTCCACCGCGGGAGGCATCGTCATCGCGATTGTGGTGATTTTGGTGGCGGCGGCTGTTGGATGGGTTGTTTTCTCGCAGCTACGAGCGCGGAGATTGGGGGTGAGTCTTTGTTCCTTTGCTTGTCTTGTTGTTTTTCTTTGTTTTGCGGCGGCGCATAGCAACCACGGATAAGCAGAGCGAGCTTTCGGGAGCTGCGGCAGCACAACTTGAAGGCTGCGAGGGTTTCTCGATACGTATGGCTAACCACGGCGAACTACACAGCTTCCACCTCCGAGTCTATCGTCGTATCTGCCATGGCATAAATCAGACACGCCCTACGGGCCACCGAGACCGGCTCGCGGCGGCGTCGTCGGCTGGTTCAACGACCTTACGCGCAAGTTCAAGCACCGCAACGACCGGTCGGCAACGGGCGCCTACGAGCAGTCGCTTCACAGCGGCAGCGGCCCCGGAAACCGCGGCTTTGGCCCGCTTGACCCCGACGATGCGTGGGACTCGCGCGTGGGCAACGAGGCTGACGGATACGGCTACTACGAGCAGGAGCTGGGAGGCCACACCGAGTACACCGGCGCAAACTACGGCGGCAGCCGGCTAGGCCCAGCGCCGCCAGCTCATGCAGGCTACGAAGAGGATGTTGAGCGAGGGCGACGGCCGAGCAGAGACGCTGGAGCAGCGACGGCAGCTGAGGCTGGCCGCCGTCAGAACCCTTTTGACGATGACGCGCAGGTCAGCCTCAGGGGCGTCAGTCCGCGACCCATGGACATGGCGGCAGCAGGACACAGGGCGGGCGAGCGGCCGGGCAGTTCTGGCAGCAGCCATGCCGAACGACGATCGATATTCCGAGAGGACGTCTAGAGCTGAGTGATGAGGAAGAGAAGAAGGGGGGCAACAATGGGACAAGGAAAAACAAAAGGCGGTATGTTGAGGGTGGGCTTGCTTTAACGAAAAAACTTGTTTTATTACCTCATGATACGGTACCTGGAGGCCTTTTCTTTTTTCTTTTTATATCTTTTGCTTTTTTTTATAACCTTTTTTATGATTAATTTGATGTGGAAAACGGGAGCTTTGCATTGTACACACGACTACATAGGAATAGGATGGAGAGGCAGCCTCTCGTGTCCTCATTACGAAATGACAATCGTTTCTCTTTTGAAGATGCTTGACTTCTTTTCCCCCCCTTTGCAGTATTTAACTCAATGGTGTTTGCAATGAGAAATTAACAATCGAGCAAACTTCCGATTAAAGCCCCGAGTTCCCACAGTCATTTTTTACTTTTGTCGCTTTGGAGGCAAAATGTCCTTGTGCAGCGCCAAAGCGCATCGCCAACCGACGAGCCCCACGTCATGAGCGTCATCCCAAAAGCTGCCCCTCCAGTTCCCACAGTGGCCCCTCGGCCGCCATTTTCGTAGCTTCATCTTCATCTTCATCTTCATCTCACGCCACCAACAGCGCTCCTTTCTCTCATTCTTACTTCTCACTTCAGACTTTTGTCACCTCATTGACTCATTGGCTTATAATATCCAAAAGACAATTTCAAGTCAGGATAAGCAGTTACGCGGCAGAAAGGAGTGAGCTACAAGAAAGAAAGAAAGAGGCTCATTCACAATGGCGGATCTCAACTTGCAGGCCATTCACGATGAAATGGTGCTCGTGGCGTATGAGGCCGGCCGCACGATTCTCTCTGCAAACCCAGCTGATATCGGCACGGGGACAAAGCTCAATTGTACGTGACGAGATGCCTATTCATACCTTGTATTTCATGGGACTGACACGAGATGTATATGTAGCCGTCGATATCGTCACAGAGGTTGATCAGGCAGTTGAGAAAATGGTCTCGTCGCGCCTCTCGACGGCGTATCCCGAGTTTTCGTTCATGGGCGAGGAAACATACAAGCCTGGCACCAAACTTGGGCCGGAGCCGACATTCGTCGTTGATCCCATTGATGGTAAGTTTTGTCGCGATCCTGAACTGCTTATACCTTCATCCCTCCATGTCCAACTTCAAACTCACCAACTCTACCCAAGGAACAACAAACTTTGTCCACTCTTTCCCCAACGCCTGCATCTCCCTCGGCCTCGCCATTGACCGCGAGCCCGTCATCGGCGTCATCTACAACCCCTACCAGGACCTGCTCTTCACCGCAATCAAGTCTCACGGCGCATACATGACCCGCATCAAGGGAACGACCCCCCAGAAGCTGCCCCTCGCCACCTCTCCGCGTCCATTGGAGGGCCTGGCCAACGCTCTTATCGCCATCGAATGGGGCTCTACCCGTGACGGGCACAACTTCGAGCTCAAGACGGAGGTGTTCAAGAAGCTTGCCGCCACCAAGGAGACGGGCGGTGCCATGGTGCACTCGCTGCGGTCGCTGGGCTCTGCGGCGCTCAACATTGCTGCCGTGGCTGCGGGCCAGATGGACGCCTATTGGGAGGGCGGATGCTGGGCGTGGGACGTTTGCGCGGGTTGGTGTATCCTCAAGGAGGCGGGAGGCATCATGGCCGGCGGTAATCCAGGGCAATGGGATCCATCGGTGGACGAGAGGCTGTATCTTGCTGTCAGGGGAGCGCCGAGCGGGCAGAAGGAGCTTGTGGAGGAGTTTTGGGGCATTGTTGGAGATAAGAAGATGGATTACTCTGTTTAAGGATAAGAAAGGGGGTTGGATATAAGTTGATAGATTGTTTGGACTACATGATTAGAGAAGAAAGGGGGGGTTGGATGTTAGAATGAAGATACAGATATAGCAGAGCAAGTGTTTAGAATATGAGATTAAAATTTCTTACTCTCCTTTCATCTTCAACTTGTATCATCTTGTTCATTACATTATATACATAAAAATCTAACCATGCTACTACTTTTGAGTGTTTCTGAATCTATGTGTCTCATAAAACTTGATCATCATAATACTGACTTTCCCCATCACGTGCCCCTTTATTACATCTACCGCCACGTCACCTTCATCACCTTGTTTTCTTTCTCATCTCTTTCTTCCCATCTCTTTTTTTCATCTCACAATATCATTCTTTTAAAAAGCCCCTTCCCCTCAATCAAGCCGCAAACTTACTTGCAGCTCTCAGCTTCGGCCCGTAAAACCACAAGAAGATCGGGCTGGGGAACCCAATCCCAATTGCAATTGCCGCCAGAACCGTCCCCCCAATTCCATATCCAAGTTTGTTGTACATGGCCGGCGCGAATAGAGGGAATCCAAAGCCTGCCAGACTGCGCAAAACGGTCACCGCTCCCACGGCACTGGCTGCGTATCGAGTATACGAGTCCACCATGTATCCCTGGATGCACTGGAATCCGATGATGATGCCGAAGCCAAAGACGACGGCGCCAATGTTGGGGCCGATCCAGTGCGTGTGTGCTTCTGCGGTCCACGAGTAGATGAAGATGCCGATGGGCAGGAGAATCGACCCTGGAATCAATAAGGGAACACGGAATTCTGGACGTCCGGGGCCGCCGTCCGGCACGTAACGTCTCTTGAGAGCGGCGTAGATGCGGTCCTGTAGCGGCGCGCAGGTCTGAGCACCCAGGAAGAAGCCAAGGCCGAGGGAGATGTAGTTGAGGCCGGCTATGCCTGGGCTTTCGTGGTACTGGGTTGCCCAGAGGCTGGCGAACGTGGAGAGAATCAGATACGTTACGCCGTACAGATACATCATGTACAGAGACATGACCTGTACAATGGGTTGCGTGAACAACATGCGGAACGGGCGAGTCAGAGCAATTGTTAGCGTTTGGGTAAGAGTCTTGTTTGGATCGTCGTATTCTGTGACGAGGTTGGTGTTGCCCGTCTCCTTGATCAGGGCCGCTTTCTTGCGCTGCAACAGAACCGGCGCATACGTCTCCTGAAGAAAGAATACGCCCGCCACCTGGACAAGACCGTCAGCAATGGTGGTGCTGTAAAAGACCCATCGCCAGGTGGTGCGTTCGGACACCCAGCCTCCGGCAATCGGCCCCAGAGCCGGGCCAAGCAGCGGCATCAGCGAATAGATGCTCATGGCCTTTCCTCTCTCCTCGGCGGTGAACAAGTCGCCCAAAACACCACCACCAATGGCCAGAGGCGCGGATCCTCCAATGCCCGCGAGGAAACGAAAGACGAACATTTGGGCGCTCGTCCTGGCGAGGCCGCAGCCCAAGTTGAAGAAGAGAAAAAACAGATTGGAGAGCTGGAGGATGATGGCTCGGCCATACAGCTCGGATAGGGGGCCCCAGATCAGAGGGCCGACCGCGTAGGCAGCCACGAAGATGGACAGCACGAGGGCGCTTTCAATCTCCTCCGTGATGTGCAAGTCCCTGCTGATTTGGGGGAGGCCAGGGGCAACCATGCTCGAGGCAACTGGTGAGAGGAGGGTGAAGCAAGAGACTGTGGGCAACGTCAGTAAGCCAACGACGAAAGAAGATGCGATTCGATTCGACACGTACCACAGAAGACGGCGGCCCATTTCCTTCTGTGTACCCAGTTCTTTGGATTCTCTGGGTCGTCGGGGCCGTTCCACCTGATCAGATTCGGGTCATCGGGCCTGACCGTGGGTGATTTCTCAACGACATCGTCTCCCAGCTCCAGATCCCTCTGATTCTGGATGCCGTCTCTTATCTCGGACACTGTTCGCGACATGGACTGCCCACGGGCCAGCGGCAAACCGCCTTCAGGCTGGTCGATGGTTGATGCGTCGTCATCTCCCGTTGAGTCTGAGAGAGTGGTCGAGTACTCATGCTTGTCCGAGTCCAGATGGGCAGTTTGGCCATGCTTTTCTTCGTTTCTATTTTGGTTAGGAGCTGCCGAGGAAATCTCCTCTATCGATTTGGAATCTGCTTCTGCGGTTGGTCCAGACATCATGACCTCATCGAATGCTTGGGAGCAAGGACCCAAGCGACTTATAAGCAGTGTGGGAGACGAGAGTGGGTTTGCATGTCAATTAGACACTAAGATGATGTCTTGTTTTACAAAAAAGGAGCGCTGTGACGAGGTATAATCCGACAAAGGGGTATAAAGCAGCTGCTCAAATCGTCCTTTTCCCAGCACACTCAAGACTTGGATCGCAATGGTGAAGCAGAACTGGTCAAGTTCAATGGGGAAACCAAAAGAGCACGCGACTTCAAAAGCCGATCTAGTCCAAGAGCCGAATGAGTTGGAAGCGAACGACTTTGGTGCAGATTCTCAAGCACGAATGAAAAAAAAAAAAAAAAAAAAAAAAAAAAAAAAAAGGGTACTAAATAGAGAAGAAAGAAGAGGCGGAAATAATAAAACAGAAGCTCCCCCGAAAGGATGCAGATGCAACTACGGGGGAATTTTCGTTACATGCTCGAATCCACTACGCGGCAGCTTCATCCGATCTCCTTGGGCCTGAAGAGATCTCCATTTGCCGATGCGGCACCGACTGCTGCTAGGGAGGCAAAAGTAACAACCCATTTTTTTTTTTCAATGATGACTTTTTTTCTCTTTTTTTGGCCGGTAGAAAGCTCGGTGTAAGGAAAGGCTGGATAACCCACGGAATCTCCGTTGGCCTTGATTATCAATACGGAGTAATGCTACCCTTATAATACAACTGCCAACACGGCATGATACGCGATCAGTGAGCACTCTCTCGGCAAAAGTCGAAGGAGATGATATGACAATAATCTCTTGACGGGATTGCTGATTCGGGGTTTTGATTCCATGGCCGCTTTTAAACGCCTATTTGTCGTCAGGCAAGCAAGCAAGCGTGATGAAAAAAAGGTGAGAAGTGCTCGTTTTCGTTTCGGAGATAATGGGCTGCCTCTCCGGTAGTAGCGCCATTCGTACATGTACATTGCATGGGCGTATTCTTTTGCGTATCTACTAGGTATTTACTTTTGTCTTCTTATCGCTTCTTAACTCAGCAATGGGGCTTTTTCTGGTTTGACATGCAAGGGCGTGCTTCCATTCTTTACAACAATGGTCATCTTGTGCCGAATCTTTTATATACAGAGACACGTACGGTATGACATCGGGTGACAGAAGACAGCAGGATATCAAGATGCGCCCTTTCAAAAGCTACCACGTGATGTCATGATTTACTTAGTACTAACCGACCTGTACTATATTGATACTACAAAAGTACCTCTGTTAAGAAGGTTAGTAAAAAAGGCAGGTCAAGATCCATATAGCCGATTCAACACAGGTAACAAGCCGACTTGGCACCAAAAGTATTCACTGAATGAGACATCTCGGGCTTCATCATGTATATTTTGTTTGTTAAATCAGCTGCTACAATCTCAGCTAAAGCCCAGCTACCCGTCGGTTGATATATGACCCCATTGAAAAACCGACGCATGCATACCTAGTACCTATGATGATACACGAAACAAAAATGTAAGATACGCCCAATATTAACCCATCAACTGTAGATTTGGGTAGACCGAAAGCCAGGTGCAATCTTTTAAGCACCGTGTTCAAGTTGGCTCGTCTTTATGATGATGATTAGATGCCCGAATAGAGAGAGAGAGAAAATCGTGCTGCATCTCTAAAATGAGATGGCGAACGAGTAAACTAAGAGCCTGATTGCGCGTAGCAACGTTTTCACTCAGTCTTGGTATCAACCTTCTTCGCAGCCGGGGCGGCAGCGGCATCGTCCTCCCGGGGTCTCTTCAGGTTAGTAGCGGCAGCGTCCACGCGTTTCCTAATAAACATGTTAGTTTGGATTCCCAATCAATCAGTTAGTCAGTCAGGTCGACTTACTCCTGTCGGCCAGAGTCGCGATCACGACCGCCTCGACCACGACCGCCTCGACCACCTCGGCCACGGCCACCACGGCCTCCGCGACCGCCTCTAAATCCACTCTTCTGATCCTGGTCACGTCGCTTCTTCCAATCATCCTGATTTCCAGACGCACCGCTGCGGGTGACCCTCTTGCCAGAGTCCCTGCCCTCGTAAAACTTCTTCTGCGATGTCCCGTTAGGTGCCAGCTTTCCCTGCTTGATCAGGTCGCTCTTCTCCTCGCAGTAGTCGTGCTTGGACATGATCTTCAGGTCGTGTTCCTTCCACTTGGGAGAGGGGTCCAGGGCGATGAACTTCTTGGCCGTCTCCTCATCGGCAAATGTGACAAAGACGGAGCCCTTGAAGAGGCCCTCGTTGGTGCGACGGAGCTTCAGGCCATTGACTTCGCCGAACTGGGCAAAGAAGGTCTCCAGCTCGAACTGAGTATCGGGCTGCTCGTCACCGAAGCCCTTGGCGTAGACGGTGGCAGCCTCGGCCTTGGCCTTGGAGGCGGGCATTGGCTTGTAGGGCACCTTGCGCTTGACGCCCTCCTTGCCTTCCTCTCCAACAACCTCGAGCACCTTGCTCTCCCGGAGGGCGGCAACAACAGCGCTGTAGGGCTGGAAGCAGCGCATACGCTTGAATGAGTGAATCTTTTCGATCGGCATGGGCTTGTTCTCGGATCCTCCGCACGTCTCCCACATGAACTTGTCCTGGGGGAAGTTCCAGTCGCCAAAGTAAAACTCAACCTGCAGTTTTCAAGATTTACTAGTCAGCATAGATGGCTTTTGGGAGTATGATTTGCTGCGCTTTCTCACCTGCTTCCTGATCTCCTCGGGGTCGTCGGTCACTTGTCGGACAGAGGGATCAAATTTGCGGTTGTTTGACGCATGCTCGCGGTCAAGCTTGGCTGTAGTCTTGAGAATGTTGGTGCCATTCTTCTTTTCGGTCTCCTCAGTCTCCTTGGCCTCAGCTGCCTCAGTCTCTTTAGTCTCTTCAGTCTCCTTGGTCTCCTCAGTCTCCTTGGTCTCTTCAGTCTCCTCGGTCTTCACAGTCTCCTCGGTCTCCTCAGCCTCCTTGGCCTCAGCTACCTCAGCCTCCTTGGCCTCAGCTACCTCAGCCTCCTTGGTCTCAGTCGCCTCGGGCTGCTCAATGGCCTTCTCCTCGACGGGAGCCTCCTCAACGGGAGCCACGGGCTCAGTAGGGTTCTGAACAGCCTCTGCTTCGCTCATGATGGAATTTGGGGAGGAGAGAATCGAAGAATGGGTTTGCTATAGACTTGTAGCGCCTTGGCGATTGAAGGAGGGTATCGCGGGTTGTGATTGCAAATCTGGTGAGGCGGCGAAGGTGTGAGTAATTCTAATTCTGACTCTTCCAGCGAAGGCAGCAGGGCAGCTCCAAAGATGCTGATCGATCGCCCGCTAAACGTCGAGCTGCACTGCCGCTAGACCAAATAAAAGCTCACCTGTGGGATCAATTCACGTGCCGCTCAGAAAAACACGATTCGAGGCGAAGATGAGAAAAGGCGATGGTTGGGTCTCGAGGTTGATGATAAAAACAAAAGGTTGGAGCAGCAATTCCGTCGCGACGAAAAAAGTTATTTGGGGCGCAAAAAATCTATGCGAGATCTGCTGGGGCTCCACTAAAAAGACGGCAACCCCACCACCAGCCTGGGACAAGCGCCCATCCACTTGGAGGTACCTACTGGCCACCTGGAAAGAGCCGCTATCTGATAGGATTTAGGTGGTGGGTGCGCTGGACTTGGCTATCGGTTGGCTTATGATTGGAAGTACTCTTGAGGTACTGGTTGGTGTCTCTGTGCAGCGGGCTAAGGTATTGGCAACTTGCAAACAAAAGTAAAAATGGGCCACCAGCAAGTCTCACGAAAGTCTGAGCATCAGTCGAAGAGCTCTAAAGTTTAGATTAGCTAATACGTGAGTAGAAGTGATTGTTGTTGGTATCAAGATTCTGCAGCTCAAAAGTGAAATATGTGCATTATCTTTATCTTTACCTACTAATGGTAGGTCTACGAAGGTAAATATAGGCGTCAAAGGTCACTTGGGCATTTGCTTATATCCTCGATAAGAGTCATCCGGCCACTTTTACCCTGGGCTCTTTTCCTCTTAGGCAGCTGTCTTCTTCCTATTAATCCAATCCACTGTTCAAATGGTAAAGAGTCAGAGAGAAGCTACTAAGCCAAAAAAAAAAAACCCCCCCATCCATTTGAATTAGATTTTTCTTTTTCTTCTTCCCTCCCAGTATATTCTCGTAGTGCAAGTGCAAGAACAGGGTAGACGCCAAGCTAGACGCTTCCACATGCTAAAACTGCTTCAGCAGGTACGTCTTAGTGGCGTGTCCGGCCTGCATTCTCAAAGGTACCGAACTACCTTGACATTGACGTAACGTCTACGCCAACGCAAAGTAGCTACGCTTAATGCTTTTGTCTCATCACGCCAGACCTCGCAATTAATTGCTCTCAACTGTCTCTAAAACTTACCGTCTCACAAACCAACAAATTCACCATCATGAATTGCACGGAATGAAGATCAACGGCGACACAACTTAAGAGTCTTTTAATCATCTCGAGGCTGATGTCATTGCTATTTTGACTGACACTCTGGTTGTCGTGGGGCTCAGAGCCAAACATTATACGTTCGCCATGAGATATCCCGTGAAATTGCCGCGGCCGTTGACATCTCTCGGTCCTTGTCTGAGAGTTGCACGACAACCCTCGGCATCAGGTTCCAAGTTGGATCGCGGCTTCTTTACACAGTCGAAACGTCGAAGGAGACACCAGCAGCACACAAGCATACCGGCAACTGTCCTTGCGCTGGGACTCTTCACATGGTGGCTGTACCCGTCAGAGGACTTTGCTCGCCTTTCCGAGAGCCAAAAAGCTAAGAGGAGGAAAGAAGAGGGACGAGAAGGCGACGCTCAGGAATCCTATCAGCTCGTGACTGAAAAAACTGACGATGGCGCGTGGGCTTACTTCGCGCGGCAGTTCGAATTCCTCTCGGCCACGGCTGAGCTCGAATGGGCTGCTCTGTCCGACAAGCTGGTTGATGCCATTACCCCGGAGTGGTGGAAAAACATACCCATGTATGTGAGGAAGCTTCAGCGGGAGCTATCCGTGTCTCCAGGATCGCTGGCAGAAGAGATATGGCAGGAGGCTCATGACCCTTTAATCAACCCCGAGATCCGGTACACTGCTAATGTCCGAGTCTCCTCGGAACTATGTGATGAAGAAAAGGATTACCTGTTGAGACGGAAACTTGTCACTAGGGCGGCGTTGGCAAGCTATCTCGGACTTGAAGAAAAAGACATCAACCCCGATGATGTGCCAACGATTGCCATGTGCGGATCAGGAGGGGGGATGCGGGCCCTGATAGCAGGCAGTGGATCTATGTTTGCGACAGACGAGGACGGACTCTTCGACTGTGTTACGTATACGGCCGGCGTAAGTGGTTCGTGTTGGCTTCAGCTACTCTACCTTTCTTCCTTTTCGAAAGGGAGTGTTGGCTCTCTTATACAGCATCTGAAAGCCAGAGCATCTACGCACATAGCATACCCGCCTGTTGCCTTTCAATCTCTCACTTCTCTACCGACAAGCAAGTATTTGCTGAGTGGACTGGTGGAAAAACTCAAGGGAGACGCCCACGCTGACTTTGGCCTCGTCGATATATACGGGTTACTACTAGGAGCCAGGTTCTTGATTCCAAGGGGTGAACTGGGCGTTGATGCTAGAGATTTCAAGCTATCGAATCAGCGCCTATACCTGCGGCATGGACAACGCCCACTGCCCATTTACACTGCTGTCCGCCATGAAATTCCCGCGGCAGAGCCTCAGGACCCGCCAAAGCAGGATCCCCCAATGAGCACGGTGGAAGAGATAAAGAAGGAACCTTACTTTCAGTGGTTCGAGATCACTCCCTATGAGTTCTTTTGCGAGGAGTTTTCTGCCGGGATACCGACATGGGCCCTCGGTAGACGCTTTTCCGATGGGCGCGACGTGTCTGATCATGGATTCCACCTACCAGAAGTAAGGACGCCTCTTCTGATGGGTATATTTGGAAGCGCATTCTGCGCAACGCTCAGCCATTACTATCGCGAGATTAGACCCCTTCTTAGAACGATTACGGGATTCCAGACGATAGATGACTTGGTGTCAGTCCGAAATGGAGATTTGAGCAAAGTACACCCTATAGATCCTGCCATTATCCCTAATTTCGCCTATCAGATGTACGGGAAGCTGCCTCGCACGACGCCAAGGAGCATTCTGGACGGAGAGTATATTCAGCTCATGGATGCGGGAATGTCAAACAACTTGCCCATATACCCACTGCTCCGGCCTGGACGAAATGTCGACATCCTCATTGCCTTTGATGCCTCGGCCGACATCAAGACGGACAATTGGCTTTCTGTTGCGGATGGCTATGCACGACAGCGTGGAATCAAGGGATGGCCGGTGGGCATTGGCTGGCCAAAACCCGACGAGACACCGGAGCAGGCAAGAAAGGAGCTCGAAGAAGCTCAGGCTATGACACCCGCCGAGGCAGAACGCAAGGTAGAAGAAGCTCAGGCTACCCAGGAGGACCTTCGCAAAGCCGCCTTAAAGCGCGAGGGTACCAAGGCGGCAAAGCTTGACGAAGAATCCAAGTTCATGCCCGGAAGTGAAAAGGCCGGCGAACTCGGCTACTGCTCTGTATGGGTAGGGACAACAGAGGAGCGATCTACGGACTCCCCGCCCATTACAAAACCTATCACGGATGACACCTCGTGGAGATTGATGGAGCCGGACGCAGGGCTCACTGTTGTTTACCTCCCGCTTCTCTCCAACGACAAGATTCCTGGCATCTCTCCCGGCACCACGGACTACTTGAGCACATGGAACTTTGTCTACACTCCGGATCAGATAGACAGCGTTGTGAAGCTCGCGCGCGCCAATTATGATGAAGGCAAGGATCAAATTAGAGCCACGGTGCGTGCTGTCTACGAGCGCAAAAAGCAGCTGCGTGAGCAGGACGAGGCACAGCGCCGACTTGACAGCTACACTGCCATGGCGCAAAAGGGGGAGGCAGCTCTCCTTCATCACAACGACCAATTCAGCTAGACTTTTCATTAGAAAGCCTTTGGAGGAAAAGGGAATCTGTTATGACTTGTATATCATATTGTATTATTCTGTTTGTGCAAGAGGAGGACGGGTTTCCAACTTATTTTACAATATGCTTTGTATTATACAGTGGGTGGGGGGCGCATTTCTAACCCAAACATACTCCATACATCAATCGTCTTCATAGCCCGACCATCGCTCTCCCTTGCCCTTTTTTTTTTTGCTTCTTCATTCACTTCGTACATGTATATATATATACTATACACCTGAGAACCTGCCCAACCGGATTTTTTTTTCGGATAGTATTGCCACCCGTGGAGCAAGCAGCGCTATTATCCGCTTAGATGATTTCACCAATGTCAATATACGGCGCTTTCCAGGGCTTGGCACCCTCCTCCATCATGTCGCTAGGCACCCGCACTTTGTTCCCCGGGCTGTAGAGGTACCAGGCTTTGAGCGATGCCATGGACGCCTGTCTCCTGGCCACATCCAGGCTGGGGCCGGCGCCCTCTCCCAGCTTCTCCTTGCCGCTGTAGATTCCCACCACATAGACGGGGGTGCGGGACAATCGACCAGTCTCGCTCTCCAGACGAGCGACGGGAGCCTCGAAGCCCTCTCGGGCACACAGCATGGCCAGTTCGCGGGTTGGGAGCTTGAACTCGAACAGCGTTGAGGGATCGAGCTCTCGAGATAAGATGTGGGATTTGACAAAGGCCTTGACCTCCTCACGGCCGCAGTGGGTGTAGATGGCGCCAATCACGGCTTGGACAACGGATCCAAATGCCTCGCTCTGGAGGGTGTCGAACTCGGGCTTCTCGGACTCGAGACTGCTGACCTGGTCGCCAAAGTCGTTGTCCAGGACCACACGACTGCTCAGTCCTCGTCTCCAGGCCGGGGCCTTGTCAGAACGGACGTAGCCCCACCGCGTGTTGACCAACTGATCCTCGCCCGCCTTCCACTGCAGCAGACCCGGGTCGACCTCCTGTCCCGGGGCAGCCGCAGACTCAACACCCCATCTCCTGGCGACCTGCTGCAGAGAGGCGTCGCCAGCATAGGCCCTCAGGGCTTCGTATAAGATGGCCATGGGCAGGCGGGGCCACTTGCAGACGAGGTACTCGAGGACATGGTAGTTGACGATTGTGCTTCCCAGGTACGCCAGGTTCGTGTTGTTGAAGTTTGGATTGGCGTCTGCGGACGGCGTCACCAGGGCCCTCGCCAGCGTCTGTAGCGGGACCTTTTTCGAGAGGGAGAGTCGGGCGTGTAGGGCGGCGAGCTTTGCCGACTGGGCGGCCCGGGCGAATGAGGGAGCGGGGAGAGGAGGAGAGTCGATGGGTGTAGTAGTAGTAGCAGTAGTAGAGTCGTGCGCAGCGGCCGAGGACGTCGATTGGGGCCGGGCGGCGAGGAGGAAGGGCTGTCTAGCTGCTGCGATGCCGGCGCCGCACCGGGCCTGGAGCAATTGGCCGCTCCATCGTGAGGGTCGTATCCTCTTCATGTGGTTGAAAGATGTAAGGCGGGACGACTGAATAAGAAAAAAAAAAGAAAATTCCACCCCTCTGAACCGCAATGCCCCTCAGCCTGGTCACAAAAGAGCTGTAAAGAAGGAAGGGGAAACCGCAGGAGAGGCAAAAGATGAAAAAAAAAAAAAAAGAAAAAAAAAAGTTCTTGGTTGAGGCAAGGATCAGACGATTTTTTCGCTGTCCCGTCGTGCCTTTTGTTCGGAAAAAGATTCTGCGTCGATTTTGGTTTCTCACAAGTGCCAAAAAGTCGTGTGAGCCACTGCCCGCGCTGCTTTTTTGCGCAAGTTGAGAAACTGGCGCCACAAGACTGCGAGCCGGAATTACTTCGGCCCGGCGGTTTCGGTTTCGCTGTGGCGGGACTCATTCTCTCTCTACCAGCTTCTCGGAGGATGCCTGGATAGCGGATTGAACCAGTTATCCGCAGCAATTGCGCGCCAAAAGACCGTACACAGACGTCTTTTTGATACATTTTCAAAATGGTAAGCTGTGGCATCATTGATTTCCGGCAGAGTGTGGCTTGCTAACCATTCCCTAGGGTGGCGGTGGAAAAATCCCGTAAGTTGACCTCGTTCGAACCCAACCGAATGGCCTCTCGAGGCGCCTCGTCCTGATTGTGAGAAATCCGACACAGTTACCCCAAGCACGTCTGGTCGCCTGCTGGTGGTTGGTACGCCCAGCCTGCCAACTGGCGCGCCAACACGCTCATCGCCGGAGCCGCCATGTTCGGCGTCATCGCCATTACGTGGAAGTTCAGCGCCGACAGGGAACGATGGGCGCACAAGCCTGAGCCGTGGGAGTGGCATCCTAGCCGATAGTACGTTGTGTTTTGATTGCATTGCATTGGGGGGTGACGTGAGGATTGGCCGTTTTCTTGCTAACGTTTTTTGCTTGAAGCTGGTCAAAGCAGTTGATTGAGTGGGACAAGGAGGACAAGCTGAAGGCAGCAAGCAGCAGCAAGGAGTAGAGTTTTACTTTTTGGGGGAAAAGGATAATAGACGAAATTGTACAAATTCTATACGAACAAAAGGCAAACATTTCAAAACGTTGAGCTCCCCCGAAATCTACGACCTGGTTTGCACTATGTGAGTATCGGTTGTGATGAAACGACTGATGAAGTGAATTGAGTCAGCCAAGAAATGACTGAATCTAGGACGACAAAACCTGACAGGTTGTTTTACTGACAATTAATCGAGACAAGTGGGCATGCTGGGCCGTCACGAGCCGGTATATGCTGGAGCCCTACGGATGCCTTGCATTCGAGATGCACAGTCTGGCGCGGATCTAGAACACGGGTCAAGCTACATGGGATTATTAGAACGGGCTCCAAAGGATTCTGTTATGCATCTGGATAATTACTGCCGGGCGACAGACTCCGAGAGGCTCATGCGGCACTTTGCACCCCACCAACAACACAGATGTGCTGCATGGGTGGAAATGGAAATACACAGAAGGCCCGGGAACATATTCCACTGGCCCCGTCTGGTTGGTCTTGGAGGTTAGGCTCGCACGGCTTGGTGATAAGGCTGAGGTGCGTTGATCCTGATGCAAGGGGATGGCGTGCCGTTCCAAAGGGAGGCTGATATTGGGTTGACATGGGGGGGCTAGGCATAGACAAGACATTGAGGTATGACACACGCTTGACACGGTATTGATCATTGTATACGGCGGCAGTGAGATTGATGCCTGCAAGGATCTGGGAGGGTTGGTACGGCTCTAACTGCGAACAGGTCAAGGGTACGCAAGCTATTAACGTTGATTAAGGTAATGTATGTTGATACGGTCGAGTACGGAGCGCAGATCATGCCCGTACATATTATTGCATTTTGTGTAAATGAGTAATCCCGGGATGTGGACAAGATGATGCCGTCACTTGTTGTATCACAAGTGAGGAGCACAAAGGAGGTGAAAAGAGACAGAATACCTACTACTAGGTAGGTACCTAGTATGTATGTACCTTACACAAGGCAAGGCGTTTTTTCTTCTTCTCTTTTCCTCAACTCCATGTATTAAATCCATGATTCTGCCTTGGCTTAAATCCTGCCCAACTCGAATGTATGATGGACAACAAGGAGGTGCTGCATGCTGCAAAAGCGACATGAATTCAGGCCCCCAAGACTGCGGCTGGCAGCCTATGAACGGCCACAGCCCGCGATTTTCGGTCGTACAAACCGCAGTAAATGCACTGCAGCTTCACAGCCAATAGTCTACCCGGCCGGTACGGCGTTGCCCAACAAAAAGACCACAGTGTGGACTGTAACATCAGAGTACAAGCCCCGCCGCCTTGAGATGAGCGAGAGACACAATCAATTAAAATCCATGAATCTGTTTGTCTGCCGCTACCAAAGATACTAGGCGCTTCCATTCACTGCTAGCAATATTGCAATAGCCCCTACTCTTCCCTGCCTTTATACCCAGCTTTAGTGCCTGGACACACTGTTAGTGCCGTGGTAGAAGCTCCGCGCTGACAAAAACGTCACTCTTCCGACCGGCATCAAATCATGGCCGCGTTACGCAAATACAACTAGCATCGGCTCGCTGCTGGATATTGCTCTTCGCCTATTCATCTCCCTTGCTAGCAGGGCCTCTCTGTCTTTTTTCTTACCTCCTCTATTCCTCTATTCCTCTATTCCTATCCCCCTATCTATCTCTTTTCTTCTCTGCCTTTCTCTTCTCTGCTCTTCTCCTCTTCATTACTTTGTGGCGACGATTCTCCCCCCCCAGACGCTGCGACCTTGTCACCGCAAGCCTGAGGCCATTTTCGCGTGATCTTTCCCTCCTCGACTGTGCCCACTCGAGGAGCCTGCTATCCATCGCACGCCATTTTCCCTGCTGATCGATCATAAACGCGCGCACGCTGCGTGTCTGTTGCCACCCCCGTTGTCTCTTGATGAGCGCCATCGTGGGGATCTATACTTTTTCTCTCTTTAATCTTTGCGGGCCCACGAACTCGGATATACACCCATCTCTTGCCGCCCCGGTCGCCTCTTTGACTAATACCGACCGAGACATCATTACTACCTAGCGTCTCTCGTTGACCGACTGCATACGAACCTGATAAATTGCAGCTTTACCTGCTCTACGACTTGACCATCTTCGGCCGTTGATATTGACGCTGGCTGGTTGTCTTTGGCTCGCTGTGCATTCCGCCTGGCCGAACTCGGCTCCTTGACTGCGTTGAACCGCAGGTTGCAGGGACAAGATGGACGGATCATCCCCAGACCAGCACCTCGATGCCAGCGCAGGCCGTGAGGTTGTCTATTGCCATGCCTGCGCTAGAGAATGGTACCGCGATGAGCGTGGGCTGCTATGTCCCAGATGTGGTAGCGACATCACAGAAATCGTATGCTGCCTCCCTCTCGCCCATTTCCCTTACCTTGCTTGACCTTGACTGACTCATTACGTAGATAAGCCCAGACAATGATCCTCGAGGGTTCAATGAGGACGGCGATTCGGAGCCGGAATCCCCCCCACTGCGTCATAGATTTCCACCTCGAGACCATGACCACGACCATGATTCAGACCCAGACGAAGCCGATATTGAAGAACATCTCGGAGGACCGAACGGCTTTCATTTCCGTCGCAGCGTTAGGGGCCGCCCAGGAATGCAACACCATGATCCCAACGTTGACCCAGTGATTGAACGATTCCTCGGAATGATTCAGGATTTCCAGCCCCCGCGACGACCCGCTGCCTTCGATCAACGACCAGATGAAGGCCGATATGGAGGACCGCATATCCATCGCGCTACATTCACAAATGGTAGCGGTAGTGCCTCCGTCACCATCTTTTCTGGCACTGGGCCGGCGGGACTCTTTGGACCGGCACCTGGCCAGGACCGCCACGGGGACCCATTCCAAACGTGAGTTGGCCTGCTTGTCGTTTACATCGGATTGATACCGTCTTGTTTCAGAAGCTAATTGAAGCTGTTGCACATCTTAGGTTCTTTTCCAATGTCCTTCGGGATGTGTCACCTCCTGTAGGAGGCCGGGAGGCAGGAGGTCCTCCTACTCCAGGATTTGCGAGAGGGCTTCAAGAGATTTTAAACCTGTTCAATCCGGCACATGCAGTTTCTGGAGATGCCGTTTATTCACAAGAAGCTCTGGACCAGATCATTACAAACCTCATGGAGGCGCATCCACAATCGAATGCTGCGCCGCCAGCGTCGACCGAGGCGCTTGCTAACCTGACTCGACGGCCCGTAGATGCCTCCATGTTGGATGGTGATTCGAAAACCGAATGCACCATTTGTATAGACGACATGAATGTGGGTGACACGGCTGCATTTCTGCCTTGTAAGCACTGGTTCCATGAAGAATGTGTCACTCTCTGGCTCAAAGAACACAACACTTGTCCGGTTTGTCGAGCATCCATTGAGAAGCCCGGGGACGGAAGCGACGCCAACAGGCATGCAAGCCCACCCCCAATCTCCGCCCAGTCTAGCGATTTCGATTCATTGCGGTCGGATGATATCTTTGGGAGTGGGCTGAACCGGACCGAGCCGCTCCCAATTCCTGGAGCGGGGCCATCTCGTCCTCCAAACCAGAGCCAGAGCCGGCTTAATGAAGCCATGCGTGGCCTCTCATCACAACAAGAGCAGCAAGACCGCGAGCACATGAGACGCATCTGGGGCATTTCTGGGGAACGCGGGGAACGGGAGCAAGACCGCGATCAGCGGGAAAGGGAGAGAGACCGCATCTGGGGTGTCCCGTCTACCATGAGCTACGATACTTGGCGTACGCAACGGCGAAACTCGCGAAACTCGCTTTCCCCTACGAGCCCTAGACTGTCTTCGTTTGCGGATTATAGAGTGCGTCCGAGACAACCCAGTCCACCACAGAGCAGTCGTCGTGACAGAGAGAACTCGGGCGCCAGCACCAGCGCCAACCCCAGCCAACAAACCAGTTCCGGACCCTTTAGTTGGCTCAGGGATAGGTTCACGGGAGGAGGCTCTAGAGATGAGGCTAACCGCGAAGAGCGTTGATTTCGCTCGTTCTCGGAGCTGGATCCGGCTCATCATTGCCGTGAGGGGTCAACAATCATTCATTGCCCATAGGTAGGCAAGGTTAGTTTTTGATGAAGCAGCCGAATGAATAAACGAATGATGGATGCCACATCCCCGGTGGGACGTCTGAAAACGAGGCATGACGGGGGTTGATTTGATAGGCTGCTCTGATTGTTGAAACGAGAGAGAGAGGGGGGGAAGGGAGAAGGAACAACAGGAAACAAAAGGTAACCAATCAGGCATTATACAATTGGGTTTCAACCGCACTTAGGTTAGCGGTGCATATCGAAATAACGACATAACGATACTAGAAGGCTTTACTGTACACACAAGTGGAGATTTTGCTGCATGCTGGCGCGATGAAATTGCAACTGCCTGAAGGACTTTTGAGAGTTGTACCATTTTGTTTTCTTCTTGGTTGCGTCGGTTGTGATTGACGATGAATAGCCAATAGTGGTTGCAGAAGCGCAACACCACCGCCGCGGGCTTTGACTCTGGAGGTACTCGTACAGAACAAGTTCTGAAGCCGTTGCCGCCCGGTTGGTATGCGGATAGTACCTATTTATATTATAGTGTTGCGAGTTGTGAAGAGCCTTGTTCGAGACTGTTGGAGAAGCTGCAGCTACTGTAGCAGTTGCTGGTAAACGGATGACATGCATGTTGTAATACTCTACCCTCCATGCTTTATGCGAGCTTCGTATATTCGTATGTGTGCATATTGACGACACTAGAGAAGCAGCTAGCAAGCAGCATGCTGGACATTCAACCAATGGCTGAGCAAATCCTTCCACTGAAGAGGCTGCCAAAAGTGGCGATGGGAGAGTCGCTGAAGATTTCAAGGTGGCATGTTGGAGCGTTTACTTGAACTGATTTAGTTAATAAAGGGAGTTTTACAAAGGGAGTTTACAAGGAGAGGGGGGGCAAACGGGATTCGGCAGTGGAGGCTATGGCGTTGTGTTGGGCAGGGGTTTACAAAATCCTCTCTGCAGCCTGAGTCGGCAGTTGCTCTGTTTGGACTACTAATTGATTGCTGGAACGTAACTTTGATCAATCCAATGCTATTATGGTAGCTACTCATGTAAGCAGAAGATGCCAGTTTTGAAATACGTAGCAAACGTGGACGCAAGATACGCCGTATTATTCCCTGCTCAGATACGGAGAATACGCAAGGTCGATTTTGGCATCTGAGAGCGGCCCCACCGGCGACTTGAGCCGAGGCGCCGAGGCTTGAGCAGGACATTGTCAGAATTCAGCGAAAAGAATGTGACGCACGGAGACGGAGAACGGAGACGGAGCGTCGGAGTTGGTGGGAACGGGGAATGTGAGACTTGGGCGAATTCTACTGATTGATGGTATTATCTTCATGTTGGGTATTGGTACTGTATTTGCTTTGCTCTGCTGTGAGAGGTTGGGAGGGAGGTGCAGCTACGGTGGTGTTGTGGCACTTTGGCGCGGATGAATTGATGCATGCATTGATTCGCATTCTTAGCCTGCTTACAGTTTACTACCTACCTACTACATCCATGCCTGTACCAAGATGTAGCAGCGAGTTGCTGGAGTTGCTGAGACGCTGCAGAAAAGTTCAAGGTTGCTTTCCCTGCTAGGAAAGTCTGGATGACAGCGTCGGCCGACAGTTTCTGCCCGGGGCGAGTGGATATGGATGGATTCTGAAAAGCGGCATTGCAAGAGTCCAAGTCTGTGCTTGTTCGGCCGAGTTGCCGTTTCACGACTTGTATGTATGGAGCCTTTAGTTACAGATAGGATAAGGGGGAGGCGTCGGAGGTTCCAAAAAAGTGCTGCCTATGTCTTTCTTGCTTTCCATCTCTCCTATGACGAAAGGAATGGGAAAAACAGATGACAGCTAACAATGTGTTCGGCAACGGGCAGCTCTACCGCAATCGGGAACCAGAGCCCGATCCCCCCACCGTTCGTCCAGGGGCTGCAAATCGCTGATGGCTCCACCACGATGCCGCTAGAGACTCCGCTGACGGGATTGCCGTTGTGTTTTTACGGAGATGGAGATTGGCTGGGAGAGCGAGGGGGGGATGTAGAGAGTAGAGAGCTGAGGGTTTAGGAGGGAGGGAGAAAGAGAGGGGCCGAATGAGACAAGAGACAGAAGAGAGAGATCGGGACCGGCATTCGGGAGGCCGAAGTAACCAACCCGTGCTACGTCTTACTTGTACACGACTTCGGCTCTGCTAGGGGCCCCGAATGGCCACGGAGCCCCATGGACAGAGAGGAAAAGTGGCGGAGGGGATGGGCGTTCAGGATGAGGCTGATGGTGATGGATGATGCCATGCTGCATGTCGTCCGAAAAGACGGGCCAAGCGACTTACTTGCTCTGTGTAGCTCGAGGGTCAAAAGAGGCTGTAGGTAAATAGATAAATAACACGAATACTCCTCGCTCCTCTCCCAGACACTCTTCTTGAACAAAGAGAAGAAACAAAACAAGAGACTTCTCTCTCCTTGTCCCACCAATTCCATCATCGCCCCTCCATCCCCTTTTGACAAGCTCCATCACAGCGGCCGTTTTAGCTGCCTTTGTCTTGTCTTCAGCTACCTTAACCTACTAATCTACTTATACCTTGCCATACATACCTTAGCAGCGCCTTGGGCATTTAAGCTTCAAGCTTGGGCCTTGTTGTTTCTCCTCATTCTTCTTTTCTCCTCTTCTGTCCACGGTTTGACATTACGTCAAGTTGCAATTGGATTTTTGATTCTTCGTTTTTGTTTTGTTTGAGACCTTTGGAATCGACTCGACAATGGCTGATTCTGTGCCTATCCCTGAGCCTCCTGGGTTGCCCTTTTTGGGTAACTTGGGCGAGTTCTCGGCGAACCCGATTGAGGACGTTGTTCGCCTGGCGAATACATATGGTAAGACGACTGAATCCTTTTGTATGCGTGTATATACCTGCATCTAGATATGCACTGGATGACACTCTCCTTGCTGTATCTACACTTACCTCATCTGCTTTGGTGTCTGTCTATCTACATGTACCCTTACCTATCAACATGTATCTCCTATCTGCTATCGATACTACAATCTAACTACTATAACACACTTATCGACGTCTCACCTACCTTGCATTATACCACCACCACCAACACTTTTAACATGATCATCATCATCATCACTGAGGAACCTTTGTTAACCCACCTGGATAGGAGAAATCTATAGACTTCATATGGGCTCCCGTCCCGTTGTCTTCATCAGCTCTCAGGCCCTTGTCAACGAAGTCTGCGATGAGAAGCGCTTTCAAAAGTCTCTGAGCTCCGTTCTTCGGGTATGTCAAACAGCCCTACTGGCTACATAAATCAGCTGTGCTGTGCTGTGCTGTGCTGCGTTGTGTTTCGAATCACCCAGAGTATAGCACGTACTGACATTCATTGGCCATCCAGGTTGTGCGTGAGGGCGTCCACGATGGCTTGTTCACCGCACACTCCGATGAGCCCAACTGGGGAAAGGCTCATCGTGTCCTGACTCCGGCCTTTGGACCTCTTCCCATCCGCGACATGTTTGATGAGATGCATGACATCAGCTCGCAGCTGGCCCTGAAATTGGCTCGTCACGGCCCTCACAAGCCCATTCCTGTATCGGACGAGTTCACAAAGCTGGCGCTCGACACCATCGCGCTGTGCTCCATGGACTATCGCTTCAACTCCTACTACAAGGACAAGATGCACCCCTTCGTCCAGGCCATGGGTGACTTCCTTGCGGAATGCGGGAGGCGAAACAGGAGACCCGGCTTTGCCCCCAACTTCCTGTACCGCGCCGCCAATGAAAAGTTCTACAACGACATTGCCATCCTGAGAGACACTGCCAATGCCGTTGTGGAGGCTCGAAGAAAGAATCCCAGTGATCGAAAGGACCTGCTCGGCGCCATGTTGAACGGCGTGGACCCCCAGACCGGCGAGAAGCTGAGCGACGCCAACATCACGGATCAACTCATTACCTTTTTGATTGCTGGCCATGAGACAACGTCTGGCACGATGTCATTTGCCTTTTACCATCTCTTGAAGAACCCATCCGCCTATCGAAAGGTCCAAGAAGAGGCTGATGCGGTGCTTGGCCGTGGACCTGCCAAAGTCGAGCATGTTTCCAAGCTCGTATATATCCAAGCAGTACGTAGTTTCTATTCTTATCCCTCTTTTACCCATCCTATTCCCGCGTTTCTTTGTTGAAAACACACAGAATACTTACAGTAGGCGATACAGGTCCTGAGAGAGACTCTACGTCTCAGTGCCGCAATCCCGGCCTTCTCTGTTGAAGCTCTCGAAGATACCCTTATTGGAGGCAGATACCTCGTTCACAAGGGCGAACCAATCACCTGCGTTCTCGCCAAATCACACCTTGATCCTGTAGTCTATGGCGATGACGCCAATGATTTCAAGCCAGAGCGTATGCTCGATGATGAGTTTGCTCGGCTCAACAGAGAATTCCCCAACTGCTGGAAGCCTTTTGGCAATGGCAAGCGAGGCTGCATTGGAAGAGGTTTTGCCTGGAACGAAGCCGTCATCGCCATGGCTATTCTTTTCCAAAACTTCAACTTTAGCCTCGACGATCCCAACTATCAGTTGGAAATTGCTTCATCCTTGACGATCAAGCCAAAGGATTTCTTCATGCGAGCCAGCCTTAGGGATGGAATGACTCCTACGGAGCTTGAGCAGAGGCTGGCTGGAAAAGGCGTCTCAGAAGAGCATCATGCAGATAAGAAGGCAGCCAGTGTGGCGAGCACCAAGGGATCCCAGAAGCCCTTGGCTGTTTACTACGGTTCAAACAGCGGCACTTGCGAGGCCTTGGCCCAAAGAGTGGCAACTGATGCAGCCAGCCATGGCTTCAAGGTCACGGACCTTGCTCCTCTTGACTCTGCCAACCAGAACCTCCCCAAGGACCGCCCTGTGATCATTGTCACGGCCTCGTACGAGGGACTGGCACCATCCAATGCGGCCCACTTCGTAAGCTGGATTGAAAACCTCAAGGGCAACGAGCTGGAAGGAGTGTCATATGCCGTCTTTGGCTGCGGCCACCACGACTGGGTCCAGACGTTCCACCGCATCCCCAAGCTCGTGGATTCGACTCTGGCAGAGCATGGCGCTGCTCGCCTCATTCCGCTAGCTACTACTGATGCCGCGGATCGTGACATGTTTAGCGATTTTGAAACCTGGGAAGACGAATCCCTCTGGCCTGCTTTGAAGGAAAAGTATGGTGCCGCCGCAGACCTTACCGAAGGCTCAGCTGGCGGCTTGATTGTTGATGTGTCGCTCCCTCGCAAGTCGACGCTGCGCCAAGATGTCGAGGAGGCTCTCGTCACCAGCACCAGAACTCTGACTACCAGCGGATCTACTAAGAATCACATCGAGATCCGCCTGCCTACAGGCATGACATACCGATCCGGCGATTACCTGGCTGTCCTACCTTTCAACCCGAAGGATACGGTAGCCCGAGTCTTCCGTCGCTTCCAGCTTTCTTGGGATGCCGTCTTGACCATTCACTCGGACCAGCCGACTGCCCTCCCCACGGATACCCCTGTTTCTGCGAATGATTTGTTGAGAGCATATGTTGAGCTAAGCCAGCCAGCAACCAAGAGGGTGAGTATAGAAGATATATCACAGAGTGGCTGAGCTGAAAATTTGTGCTAATACCTTAACAACAGAACATTTCTGTCATGGCTGAGACTACTCAGGACGAGAAGCTCAAGGCTCAGATTGAGAAGCTAGCTGGAGATGATTACCAGCAGGAGATTAGTGCTAAGCGCGTTTCTGTCCTCGATTTGTTGGAGAGATTCCCGTCTCTCGAATTACCCCTGGACACATACCTAGCCATGCTTCCACCCATGCGTGTCCGCCAGTAGTGAGTTGAAACGAATCCACATCATTGTTGACGTCTTCCCTAACATACTTTACAGCTCCATTTCCTCTTCTCCTCTAGCCGATCCCTCCAAACTCACGCTCACCTACTCCGTTCTCGAACAGCCCGCCATGTCCGGCCAGGGTTCTCACTTTGGAGTGGCCACGCACTTCCTGGCTTCCCTCGCCCCCGGTGAGAGACTGCACGTTGCCGTCCGCCAATCCAAGGCATTCCACCTCCCAACCGATGCCGAAAACACTCCTCTGATCTTCATCGGCACGGGCTCCGGCCTGGCTCCTTTCAGGGGCTTCGTCCAAGAGCGCGCTGCCATGATTGCCGCGGGCCGCAAAGTTGCGCCGGCCTTGCTCTTCTACGGATGCCGTTCGCCCGATATGGACGATCTGTACGCCGAAGAATTCGAGCGGTGGGAGAAGCTCGGCGCCGTCGAGATGCGCAAGGCGTACTCGCGCGCCTCGGACAAGTCGTTTGGCTGCAAGTATGTCCAGCACCGAATGTCGCACGACCGCCAAGACCTGTTCAAGCTGTGGAACCAGGGCGCCAAGGTCCTCGTCTGCGGCAGCCGCGATGTCGGAAAGGCCGTAGAGGCCGTTTGCGTCGAGCTCGTTCAGGAGAAGGCCAAGGCTGACGGGAAGGAGATGACGGAGGAGCAGGCCCAAGCTTGGTGGGACAAGCAACGCAATGAGAGATATGTCACAGATGTGTTTGACTAGACGAGTGATGATTTTGGAATTTGAATTTCGCCTCGTCTCTGCCTTGACGAGCATCAACGGCATTGAATGTAGCGATGTCTTTGTGGATAGTGTGTTGCGTTGATACAAGTCTGATATCAAGCGGTCAGCCTTATGAATTCGCCATGGAAATAAAAAGAATTCAAGTGTACCTAGCTATCTAGCATCCCAAATCTAACAAGAAGGAAAAGTTGACATCTCAGCTATTCAAGTGTCATCTCAACTATGCAATATCTATCACATTTTTCAACCGCTTGATACGAGAATGCTATCAGTATTCACAGTGATGGCGTTTGAGGAAAGTAAAAGGTCTCTTCCACCAACTCATCTACAACTAGCTATCATATTATCCCTATTCCATGCCTCTCAAGACGTTATGCCCAGTCAGTAGTGAATACCACATCAACATGTGCATTTACTCGGTTCATCCCACGCTATGCTACATAACTTCTATTCACCCACACATCTCCATGCAATCAAAGAATTTCCTCGCCAATCGTGTCCTCATCATCACCCTAGCTCCCTTCACCATCGCCCTTGTCCTCATGGTTTTCCACAACTACGCAGAGTAACTCCATCCGGCAGAGTCGGCATTCTGCCACGGATGTGATCCGCCGTCAACTCCATGCCGGGCTTCCACGAGGCACCGATCCTCGGCAAGTTTTTTTTCTTATAATGACGACCCAAATGCGGTTCTTTCAACACTAGTTGCGCCAAGGCGGAATAAAACTCTCCCTCCTTGATGAAGGTCTTGTCGTCAAAGAGCTCCCATTCAGCTCCGTTTCGCGGATAGAGATTTACCCGCTGCCCTAGACAAACCCTTAAAACTTCATAGGCGCAGATGGTCCGAAGCTGCCCCTGGATCTCGCTTGGGATTCGAGCTTCAGCTACCAAAAATTCGGCGCGATCGGCCATTAGGTAAGTCTCTTGGTAAGAGTCAAAGGTTCCTCTGCAGATGAGAATATCCCAAAAGAATTCGCCTGCGGAGCCCGAACGGCGAATGGCTTCAAAAAATGCAGTTTCATTTTCCGGTAGCTCCAAGACAATACCGTATGAACAGCAGGCATAACAATCGAATCCAATGGTGTCCCATGCCATGAATGTAACCAAACACTCTACATTGGATGTTGGGTCCGCGAAGAGCGCCAACGCTTTACTCCTCTCGGCTCGATTGTGCTGTCTGCGAATTTGCAGTGTTTTGACCCCTACATGAATAAGTAATGCACACACAACAGCTTGTGTCAAAGTATGACTGCAGTAAAGAAGAAGCCGTTTCTTCTTCTGCTTCAGCTGCATTGCTTTCCCAGCGACGTAAGCCATCTTGGGGGACCCAAAGCAGATGCTCGACATCATCTCGTAACCTTCCAGCGGCACGGTAAATGTGCTGTCTGGGCGAGTGTGATAGAAATACCACTGAAGGCCGCCACTACGATCGTGTCGCAGGGCCGCATTTCTCCCGGCCATTCCAGACAGCTCCTCATCAAACTCTGCAATGAGCTGGATATTTCGCACATTGGCCTTGGACAAGATAGTAAAATCGACATGTGTGGACGCCAAGGCAAGGATATTCTCTGCTTCAATGCTAAGGCGAGTAGGCGGCGGCTTTCCAATACGGCCTCGGTTCGCATGCAACGGTGCTGCGTCTTGTGTCTTGGGCATCTGACCATACATGTGCTCCATGATGAAGTTGTACATGGCAGTAGGCGTGTTGCCTTCGTGTAATCCCATCTCAACTGTCCGAACATGAACTTGTGGGGTTGAGTTTCCAGCATGAGTCTCCGATAGATACTGCATATTGGTGACTGTCAACAGTTGATTCGCCATCGCCTGAAGTGTTCCTTGCATCGCTTTAGATGCCGAATCGGCATCCTGCATATTGTCGACATTATCTGTGGTGGCGTTCAATTGATGAATATGACCTAATCCGCAGATTTCAGCTGCCAAGTATTGATTATATTGAATCCCGGCGCTGAAAAAGAGCCTTTTCATGAACGCTGCATGATTTTCTTGCAGAGGGCGAAATAGGAATTTGTTTGGTCGTTTTTGGATATCTTCCTCGATATCGATGCTGGGACCAAACATCTGGAGGATTTCTGAGATTCGCTCACAAATACGCCATGAGATGGCTTGACTTGATGAATTGCTAGCTGGAACAAATCCAAGCACCCGATTGATATCGTGTAATTCGGCCATCTCGCCCAAGTCTATGCCAGAGTACCGGGTAACACTTGGGCACACATTCGATAGCTCGAAACGCTTATCATCAACAACCCGGCGTGCGTACAGGCGTACAAACTCAACCTCAGGGTCTGAATCATAACCGAACCATTGTGCTGCTCTCAATGGCAAGAAATTGCGTGCCAAGGGTAATTGTTGTGCTCGTCGTCTCTCTCCAAAAAACACAATGACGCAGAACGCCGCTTGCCAGTTGTTTCGGCTGTGTCCCCAAATAGTGTTGTTGACGTCTGCAGGATATTCTGTGAATCGAGCTGGGAAGAAGGTCATGAGCCGATATGCGCAAGCAATCGTGGTGAGAATGGAATCCCATTCACGTTGTTGAAGAAGTACGCCTGACCTAGCTGGGACAACAGTTTGATCAGTCTTGACAACAACACCAGGACATATCTCCAAGTTGCGCCACAAAACGTCGCATTGTGCATGAAGCAGCTGAACCTTCTTCCAGACTCCCCTCATCTGGTCCATGTTTTGGTCCATAGATTTTATCTGTCTAATAAGGGGTTCCAGAACACGAGCAACTAAGAGTACGCAGTTAATAATGGATGTTAAAAGGAGTTGAGCAACTTTTCAAGGGTACAATTCCAGTTTCTTAAGAAGCAACTTACCATCTCTGTCCAACTAAGTTAAAAGCTGATGAGTGTCCTGTAGGCCAACCAGGGCAGCAATCCAAGGAGCACTGTGGCTATCGCCGATAACAATGGTGGAACCATCAAGGCGCTTACGAATCTGCGTGTCTACATCTCGTAACACAGAGTCTAGGCGATCGGACGTATCGATGGGTGGCCGGGTGAAATGGCATGGTTGCTTGAAGTAGTCTGCAAAGAAGCCATCCTGAAGAGGTTTGCCGAGCCTCCACTCCTTTAAAGTAAGAGGGGGGCCAGAACCCAAAGGGTTTTGCGGCAACGGTCGATAGTTGAGCGTCCGGTGCCTCAAGGGCCAGAAGTCATCAAAAGGGGGAAGAGGATCAGGAAAGGTATCCTCTAAAGCTTCAGGAATTTCATTCATTGCTTCGTCGGCCATGGAGATGGCATGAATCAAAAGTCGAAAGTAGCTAAATCAGGATGGAAACACAGAAGACGACAAGATGACAAGAAGGAGACAAGAGGGAGAAAATGAACGATATGTTATTGTGAAGAAATAGAGGTCTATTTCTATCTGGGCGAAAGAAGCTATCCAGAAGAGAAGAAGGAAGAAGAAGGAAGAAAGAAAACAACAGAAGACCTAGGCCTAGTCTTCTATACACACGGCCAACGGGGCAGTCGCGGTTTGCAACACGAGGAGGATCACGTGGATTCACATGTGATTCTCAACAGTTATTACCTTAGTAGGTAGGTACCTATAAGAAATAAGAAATGGCCTTGGGAAAGGTGTAATCGAGGCCAAAGCTCAGGGAGGCTTTATAAGCGTTGAATTGTCACGTGGATCTGTGTACATGTATTCATACACCCAATTTCGTTTGCTTCTCTTAATACTACTCCTGGTAATACATAGATTTCTTGCTACTACCTTCACCGACTTCAAGGATTAAGTACATGTATTTATCCGTTTCGGTGGTATGGTATTAAGATGCTGAATGGCAGGCCAGCCACGAACAAAGCAATTTCGTTATAAACGTACCAAGTCCCAAACTCCATGCTGGCAAACTCCTGAAACAGATCTTGACGCAAACAAAAGATGAGTACAAAAGAAAGACTAGATTATGCTTGTGTAATGTATTCTTAGGCAACGCCAATGGTTCTTTGGCTTAGTTCATTATATCCTGGCAACGCGGTATCATTCAGCAGCCCAGACACGGGGGCGTGTATCACGCGGGGCTGCAGGTAAGCATCCGCTTCTTCTTCTTCAGCCTGTGCCAGGGCACTTTCGAAACTGGGAAGTTCGTGGCCCTGGGGCTCGTGAATCGTCTCGACGCCGATCTGTAGAGGTACTGAAAGTGAGACGGCGGTATTTGTCGGTCCCACACACAAGCTCAATTGCAGCGTATATGAGCGCGAAATTAAACAGGAGTGAAAACTTGGTAGGAAGAGTTTCTTGTTCGAGTTGGCCACAGTAAAGGGAATCGCGATATCCGTCGTGTGTATGATGGTAGACAATTTGGGCTTCTTGGAGCTTTTTCCTTTGCTGCTTTGACGCCTTCTTCTCTCAGAAGAATCTGTTTCGGAGGCGTCGCCTTCTATCACGGTGCTTGAGTAGCCCGAATCTCGCCGCGAGCGCGATGACGCATCTTGCTGCGTCCATGATACCGACTCCACGGGGAGCGCGAAGAGTGAGTGTGTCGTCGTATAATTCAAGCAAGGGGTGCTTTCGCAGTTCGTTCGACTGCCCAAGTTTGGCAAATGATCCACGGGCACGGCGCTGAAAAAGGTGGTGGAAACGAGCTTGCCTGTGACCGAGTTGATCTTGGGAGGAGCCGTCTCAGCCGAAGATGGGGCGTACTCCATGTTGATAAGGATACTTGTCATGGAAGATTTGTGCCCGTCTGCGGAGAGGATCACAGCGTTGGGTTGGATTGCACTGGCAGTAAATTGACCCGTCTTGCTCGAGAACAGGCTTTTCCGAATAGTCTTGGTCTTTGACAGTTTATACCACTCATCTCTAAAAGTGATATCAAGTGGTGCATCTTCGGGGAGCGAAGGAAGAACCTTGAGAATATGATGTGCTTCCATGACTTTTGAGGCAGCCCCCTGTCCCAACTGAATAGCCTTTGCATTTATGGCATATTCAATCTGAGTCATGTCCGGAGCTTGATCGTCGGCCTCCCAAGCTCCCAAGCTAGGGGGAAGTCGTAAGTGTCGTTCCCGGACATCTTGTGACAAGCAGGCGTGATTGCAGGCCCCGATGGTGAGCTGATGAGGAACAACAAAGTGGAAGGGAATCTTGTACTCGCTTCCGGCCCGGAATATCCGGTCACCAGGCAAGTCCGACTCCTGAATTGGCATGCGAATCTTCAAGAATGGCCTGAAAGAGTGTGAAGGATACTGCTGAACAAAATCGAGTCTGGTGGCAGAAATGCCAACAAAGACAATGTCTAAGTTGTCGAACGCAGTATCTTTCGGGGTGCGGACTGCAACATGGCCAGCGATGGTAGATCCGGATGTATAGACTTTGGTGCTGAAATGCTGGTCTATCTTGACCTCCATGGCGGGATTCTGAATGGAGCTGTTCTTGGACCCTTTGAAAGGGCGAGTGGTCCCCTGAGATGAGGCAGACATGTTTCAGGTACTATAAATTGGGCTGAAAGGGAGGATATCAAGACTGGCGGGTGGCCAATAGCTCAGAATTGCGGATGAACGCTCGAGTATTTTGAGTAGGGTGAATGGCGGTGATGACTATATGGCTGATGAATGGTAGGTCTTTGACTCAAAATGCAATTTTTTCGTGTAGTACAGAGGTTGGCAGCAGTATTATCTTGGAGCACCCAAGTAGATGGTATTATAAATGCAAAGCAGGCAGGTAGATGAACAGGCGGAAGACAACAGAAAGAGGCACGGCAGCAACGGATGGAAAAGATTCAAATACTGTAGCAAGATGCAGGATAGGACAAAAGATGGCATCAGAGTAAGACGGGGGAGGCCCACGCCCTTAAAGCTGAGTCAACTGGCTCTTGTCGACATGACCAGGTCATCATGAGCTTGCTGGACGAGGGATGGAGGGGTTGCTAGAGCTCTCGCCATGACAAGGCGGTACCGGTACTTGCGGAAGGCCCTGGAAAACGCAGGTCCCTGAGAAGTTGCTTGGGGCGTGTGAGCGAAGCTGGCGTGAAGGGGGAGTGTGGCAATCAAGGCTACTGTACGAGTACAGTAGGAGCCCGCTCTTGAGATGCCGCCAGTCCGCGTGGAGCTGGTTGATTTGATGGTTCCATTTTTTGGCGCAGGTACGAATACAGTGGCGATGATGACGGAGCAGAAGATGGCGAGAGCGTTTGATTTGATCCTTTTGTGGTGGAATGAAGATGGTTCTGGTGAGGATGGAGGATTGACGTGGTGGAAGAAGGGAAGATAGAAAATTGGAGATTGAGACTGATGATGGGAGGTTGCAGACTTTCCACAGTATAAGGTACTAAGGTACCTTGGTAGTATCGCTGAGAGGTATCGGCTACATCTTGGGCACCAGCGTTGGGGTGCGTTTTGGCAAACTCGGTGATATCAGGCCCTGTAGCTGTACGTACATTCTAGGGCATTGGCCATGCGCCCGCCGTGTTCAGTTCTGCCCTCTTGGCCGCCTGCCGTTTTCGCGGGGTTCACAGCATCCACAAAGTTAGTACCTATAGGTACCACTCGAGGTGATTTCTACTGTACGATGTTCTCCATTCCGTCCAGCCTCAACGTCCTCCAGCCTCGTTGATCTGCGCTGCCTCTCGCCACCAGATCCAGTGTTTTTGATTTCATCCCGTGAGCCAATTTCCTCATCGTCTACCGTATGCACTACTGCGTACTGTATATCAACAACAGCTTCTCATCTTCAACAGAGAAGCCCCATCGGCTCGGTCTTCCCCGGCGCCCTCTCGGGTCTGCCCCAGGTACCTAGTACACGTACTGAATCACGATGGATGGATACCGATTACGAGACTTGCAAATCTCAAGGGTGAAATGCAAGAAGAAGGGAAAAAAAAAAAAGAAATTCCCCATCGTGAACCCCCCTGTCACGGCGCATGCGCACGAGTTGAAAAAAACAGCCCGAAAAGAAGCAAGCTCGTGCCAGGACCCTTGAATCGTGTGGATGGTCGCCAGCTTAGACAGCGTTCTGGCTCGGTCTGGACTCGATCGCAACCCTTTTTCCGGGTCCATCGTGTGGGCGCTCGCGGTGGTGGATTCGGCGCTGGATCGGAGGTTGGCCGGGAATGAACTTGCATCTCCGCCCCTTGTTGTCGCTACGGGTATTTTGGAGCTGTCAAAGCGCCCAAGAATCACAGAGTCGAGTGGCAGCATCTGAATTGTGCGAATTTGGTGTGTCTGGAGAGCAGACAGGGGGACTGGGCGATTGGTTAGAGTCGCCTGGAGCATTGCGGTCGATATATCGCAGCAGCCGGCTACCAACACTAAGATCGCCGTCCACTGGCTTGCCTCGCATCTCACACCAGTCCAGCATCGATATATAACATCTACCAATGAATCCAGCTACAGTGCTAGCCACGCCTACGTCTCTGTTGGAAAGGAGACGGCTTTTCTATCAACCACCTGAAGCGAAATCACCAACTGCCACATCAATTTTCCGATATCGCTTTTCTGAGGAGGCCGCTCCCCATTCCTCTCAGTCATCTCGCAGCCTTCACGAGACACGAAAATCCCAACGCCTAGGGTAAAACTTTGTCTAAGATGGAGCTACCCTCAGCATCTCCACTACCTTAAACAGGCCCAGCTCACATCATGAGAAACAAGCTAACGGGCAGCAGTACAGGTACTTTGCTGCTTTCTAGCGCCGCTCAACGTCGTCTTCTCTCTTTCCACCCCTCGCGGCTTCGGTATCTGGATACTTTGCTCAAGCGCAACGATTGCGGACGAGGCCAAGTCTTTTAGACCCCAGGGGAACAGCTTCAAAGTCTAAAGTCAGACACGCCCCTGCTCCCCATTTTTTGCCCCAGATTGCTGCACAATTTGACACACGATCTCCGTAAACGGCTAGGTGCATCAATCTATTTTTTGCCCCAGCATTCGAGAGATCCTCTTTTTCTATATTTTCTCTCTTTCGTGACTCGGCTTCCTTCTTCACGGTCTTCTTTTTGGAAGCTCTTCAAAGAATGCTCAGGCTGACGCCACAATAGGGCTACTTCACCTTAGCGAGGGAGAGAAATTGATGAATCAAGAGGAGAAGAGGAGAGGAATGGCCAAAAGGGGCAGCTGGTCAACGCCACAAACTGCAGTGCTTGCATGTGACCGTTATATCCCTACTTGCAGTGTTATCCAGACTCAAGGGGCCTGCTGCTAGATTCATTTCTTGGCAACACTTGGATCTCGTCAATAACATGGCAACAGGTGTTTTTTCGATCAACGCTCCGCTGCTGAGCCGCTACTCTCTCGAGTCCGGATAATCGTGTGGATCACGCATGAGTGTGCATTATCTGCAGCAGCATATCCACAGATAACTCTACCTTAACTCAAGTGATCGCCAGCCCACATGCTTCATACCGTAACGCCACTTAAGGCGCCATCCACCTGTTTCCAGCTCTGCCAAGGTGTAGCGAACCGTGTGAAGCACTTTATGATTCATTGATTTTCGCATGGTTACAGAATTGGTGCTTGATTTTTAAGCAATTACGCGTTTAAACGTGCACATCTACCTTCCGTCTTTTCAAAGGCCCCCCCAGACGTGGTCACTACTGTACATCTTGTATATTAGCTTGGCAACTTGGCCATGGATCTAAGACATTAACAAGCCAAATCTTGATGATGAGGGGTTACAAACTCATTATCACAAGTGACTGAAGCTATTCTGTTGAGTTTACATGGATGACTTGCAAAGATGATGACAAATGTGTCTCCTTGACAAGGTCAAAACTAACAAGTAAGTCAGCCATAACAAGGCATGCTTCAGGCAAAGCTATTTCCATAGGCATTGATTCAATATTCATGCACATTTACTTATAAATGATATGATTGCTAATCCAATTAAAGGAACTACAATAAAACAAGCACCATTGGTAATCATACCCCATACCTCTGAACCTCCTCTTTCGTCTTGTGTTGTTCACCTCCCCGCCACTCTTCTCATGGCCTTGTTATTCAAAGTCCAAGTTAGCCCGGTATTGACAGCACCTGGCCCTTCAATCTTATCATCTAGTTCCCCCATGGCCATCTTGGAAAGGCAATCGCCAGTGATGTCTGTAGGCGCCAAGGCCGATGGCATGAGTGACCTGAGCGCCGGATAAAGAGTACTTCCCATAGCTCTATACATGGCGCCTGGATCCGGGATATACTGTTTAATCGCATCATGTTGCGATGCATCCACGCCGCCCAGTCGGACTGAGTAAGCTCGCATGGTACGAAGCTCGTTGCTCATCGTTGCAAGCCCAACCTCTGTTTCTCCTTTTGTTCGGGCGAAAACAGCCGTGAAATGGCCGGGCTCCTGTGTAGCTCCCTCGCCAGATACGTAGACGAAGCGAAAGGGCTGGTCCTCGCTAGTCGACAGCGTGGAGAATGCGCGTGCGGCGGCGAGGGCGTAGTCTTTTGTGATTTTGACGTATTCGTCCTTGCTGACCCTGGACTGGCTGATTCCGAGGGCCCATACGCAGCCATGGGCACCTTTGAGCTTTTCAAGCACAGAGGCGTCGTACTGCTCGAAATCTTTGTGGATGATGACGTTGATCCTTGTGTCTTTGGCGTCGTCGGCCATTGGAACGGGTTTGCGGCTCAGAATGGAGATTTTAGTGATGCGTTCGTATTTGATCATGGCATCCAAGACGCCGGAGCCAACAAGGCCGGTCGCTCCCGTGAGAATGACGTGCATGGTGGCTGGATCAAACTTCGCTGGCACTTGGATATCGGAGGTGTAGAATCCGTATGAATGGCAAGGCGAGGTATAAGGGCGGAGAATGTACAGCTTCTAGGTGGTAAGACTCAGATATATTCTAAGACCGAGTGTAATGGGTATGTTAAATAGATCCATCCTTATTTACCTTGAGAGTTCCGATTCTCCGCTCCCACCGTCTTGTCCACAGAGCTTCTGGCCTGAGAATGACTTGATCTGACTACATGATGTATCCACCTCAGCTCGTGGCCGGCTAAAGAACCAATGATATCCTACGATCTTGTCGCAGGAAACGGTATTATCTGGTCTGGCGGAGTTGCGGACCAATGATGTAAAAGCTATTCAGTAAATTGCTTCGTCATGTTGAGAGTCTGAATAGGAGACATCGCTCTTATCCCAATCGAAACCGGCGATGGGTAAGCATGAGGCTGGATGTAATGCCTGTTTGGGAAAAGCGGGTTACTGATTCTAGGTTTATCTTCACCACATGTATTGCCGAATGAGGATAATTTTTGTATTACCGAAAAGAGTTGATTGACTGGCATTGACTCAAATTACGATTAATTTGCTCAGTGTAAGCCAGTTTGATGGGATTTGCCGGCATTTAAATACGGATCTTCGATAAAGGATTGTATTTAATCGGAGCACGTCATTGAGAAGAAGAGGCTCTTATATATACCTACTTAAATCATCTCATCTATGATCACAAGTAGTATCACACATCTGCCTTTGAGTTTGAAACTCAACCCAGTTGGTTAATTGACATGATGCAATATCAGGCAAAGTTTATAACGCAGCACTGAGAACAATGATGGACCATCTCAGATGCATCAGACAAGGCTCGTGAGAGAAGTGAAAGATTCATCTACTTCTAAAGAGATCTGAGAGGGGAGACCTTGCTAGACAGCTTGACAAGAGATGCGTTTATATGCCTATATGAATGCATATGAGCCCAATTTATGACTCCTTATCTCTCTATATTGCTGTGCTCCAACAGACCTTACCATGTGAAAGTCGAAGCACGTGGGGCTCAGTCTCAATTGCTTTGGCCAGAACTCGGCGGGGCATCGCGATCGGCAAAGCCACGGCTAATCATCTGCGTTGATCGGAATGCAGGTGCTACCGTCGAGTCCGTTCCTCCCTAGTGCCGGAAGCGCTGTGGGTTCAACTGCAGCAGTCCCCCTTGCCTTGCAATACAATATCCAGAGCTTCCCTCAATCCTCTTATCTGGCCAATTGCTTGAGCAACGCCGACGAAATCCTCGGAAGACAAAACTGAAGCTCCAGCAACGCCGTTGGATCAGCACGATTATGTTGCTTTGATTGTGCCGTCGCAATTGGGATACATAAATCTGCATTTCCTGGATCCTGCCTTCTCTTGGCTTGGTCTGAATCCCGTCCTTGCATAACAGGGAGCGTTGTTGCAGATTGCAGCTACAAGCGTCAAAGCGTCTCAACAGCTTCTCCATCGACTGCGCAACCGCCGTGACTAAGCCGAGCCTTCGATCTGAACACGCGTATAAAGGGAGAGCTCGAGTCCGAAGAAAAAACTCATGTCTGGATGGTGATGCTGGGAGGAGAGCTATGAACTAGGAGAGCTATCTACGGCGTATCAACATGACTAGCGCACGAAAGACTGGCCTCCGCGGCCTGCTTTGCCTGCTGCTCTTGTCACCGTCAACGGCATTTTATATCCCTGGTATAACCACCGGAGCATGTCGATAGGTAACTGCTCAACAGGCTGCTAACGTCTCGCATCGCAGGCTGGTCGATCAAGAGCTACAAGGACGGCGAACTGGTGCCGCTGATGGTCAACAAGGTCTACTCCGACAACACACAGCTGCAATATGCGTACAACGACTTACCATTTACCTGTTCTCCGACAGGAGACCACAAGGCCGGCGGCGGCTTACTGAGCGGCCAGAGCGTGCCTTTGAATCTGGGAGAGGTGCTGCGTGGCGACCGCATCATCACATCCGACATGGAACTTGCCATGGCGAAGGATACGCCGTGTACACTGCTCTGTAATAAGGAAATGTCCCGCCATGATATGCGCTGGTCGAAGGAGCTGATCCGAGACGGATACGTGGCCGAATGGATCGTGGACAACCTTCCCGGCGCAACCAGCTTCGTCACTGCCGACAAGACCCGCAAGTATTACGCTTCCGGCTTCAAGCTGGGGTATACTGAGGCCTCAAAAAAGACGGGCAAGCTTCACTACTATCTTAACAACCACCACACAATTGTCATCCGGTACCGCAGAGCATCAGGCCGAGCTGGCGATCGTGGCAAGAAGGTAGTTGTAGGGTTTGAAGTTTATCCCAAGAGTATTGGGAACGGAAACAAAAAGGACAGTGCGGGATGCCCCGCAGATATTCAGAATGCCGACGAGCCCTTTGAGTTATACATCGCTCCTAACAGGACGTCTGATGCGTCATTGAAATATGATGGCCTATCATACCACCCGAATGAAGCAGAAGACGATGATAGCAGCCCCGGCTCACTGAACATCCCTTATACCTATTCTGTCTACTTTCGCGAGGATGATAGTATCGAATGGGCGCATCGCTGGGATCTCTATTTTGTGAATCAGGAAGATGGCACACGTATTCACTGGATGGCCATTATCAACTCGCTGATCATCTGTGGGCTGCTGACGGGAATTGTCATGATCATCCTCGCCAGGACTATCCATTCCGATATCAACAAGGGTATTTCAGCGGAAGAAGGAAAGGTCAGGGCCAAGAGAGCGGCTAAGCCCAAGGGAGAGAAAACCTCGGGTTTGCTGAGCCAGGGAACAGATGCTGACAACGATGACGATGAAAACCTGTCCGATGAGGGCGAGGCTCTGGAAGAGGCTACAGGTTGGAAGCTGCTCCATGGAGATGTGTTCCGAAAACCAAGGCTTGGAATCCTCCTGGCACCTCTTGTTGGATCCGGTATGCAGCTCTTCTTCATGGCCATGGGATTGGTTTCCCTCGGTGCTTTGGGTGTCTTGAATCCCAGCTTCCGAGGCGGATTCATCAGCGTTGGTGTGGGCCTGTTCATCTTCGCAGGACTCTTCTCCGGCTACTTTTCTGCCCGCGTCTTCAAGAGCTTCGATGGAGCCGACTATCGTGCAAACGCGCTCGTCACCGCGTTGCTGTTTCCTGGCCTCACATTTGGGCTTGTCTTCATCCTTAACCTCTTTGTATGGGCTCAAGCATCAAGCACCGCAATACCGTTTGGCACGCTTGCGGCCATTCTGCTTCTCTGGCTCTGCGTGCAGGTGCCGCTCGTGTATGCAGGATCTCACTATGGCTTTCACAAGGCCGGTGCTTGGGAGCATCCGACCAAGACGACGACGATCCCGCGGCAGGTTCCTCGGCAAGCCTGGTACAGTAAATCAATCCAAGCAGTGCTTCTAGCAGGATTGATTCCTTTTGCTGTCATTTTTATCGAATTGTTGTTTGTGTTCCAATCCATATGGCAGGACAAAAGCGGCTACTACTATGTCTTTGGATTCCTAGCAATGGTGTCCGCCATTCTGGTTGTCACTATTGCCGAGGTGACCATTGTGACCATGTATGCCCAGCTCTGCGCGGAAAACTACCACTGGTGGTGGCAGTCCTTCTTCGTTGGAGGTGCAAGTGCATTTTGGGTCTTTCTTTATTCACTCTGGTACTATTTCTTCAAGCTGCACATCAGTGGCTTCGTGAGCAGCATGCTGTTTTTTGCCTACAGTTTTATGGCGTGCTGTGTGTATGGACTATTGACGGGCACCATTGGGTTCTTGAGCGCATATGCCTTTGTGCGAAGGATATACAGGTATGTTTCTCCGCTGCCCTCCAACCAAGATGAAAGGAGAAACAAGTACGCTGACAGCAATCACCACCTCGGCCAGTGCAATCAAAGTAGATTGATTAATGGCTAGTCTAGTACATGTTGGCGAGCGCAAATACTACAAGTTTTCTAACCTTCATCCTTTATTCTTCTCTTCTCAATCTCTCAGGCTCGCAATGTCTAATCCGCAAAGCATGCCGATATTTGACCACGAGAGGCTCTTAACAACTACACGTAGCAAGATTGCAGTTCCGCCCATATGCCACGGTTGCCTTGTCAATGATGAACAATGTCCAATGATGTGTCATGTCGTGTGACTCGCTCAAATTCTCATTGCAATCGACACATGGAGACTGTTTCTTATCTCGCCGCCCTCATGCCGCAAGGAATAAGAGCGGAATTGACAGGAAATTTGGTGGCATGTGCGGCTCCAAAACTGTGCTTAGATCCGTACTAACAACGTCTTCCCGCGTCATGCAGAAGGCGTCGTGTCATCCCAAGGGCGTGATAAGGACGACATATTTGACATTGCGTCCCTGCGACCAGATCAACTCGGCCACCCGTTTCTACAACTCCTCGAACAAGCAAGGACGGCTTTCACGATTCGACAGAAGCAGTGCTAACGTGTTGGTGTGGGAACGGAATCGGAAATCCTGGAACAGACTCAGAGTCCGACGATGGGGGTCCACTCATTCCGCTGCAGAGCCCGACCTTTATTACCCCGATAAAGGATGGCCAAGTTCGGTCGGGCTTCCGTGACCTAAAAACCCAAAAAACGCTGACAATGGCGAGGAATCCGAAGTGGCTGCTCCACATGGGCTTAGGCCGCCGAGTCGGAAATGTCACCTTGCTATTTTCCAACGGTGGGGGGATGGAAAACAGAGGGTTCAGAGTCGGTGTTTTAAAAGTTGATGCAAATCGCCTCGATTCCAAGTTTCAAACGCATCAGACACGGTTCATCACAAGCCGGCAAGGAGGTTCGGACATATCGAAGGCAAAGAAAGCAGCAGAAACAGACATGGCGAATCCAATGGATACAGACCAGTTTCGGGTGGCGGCCAAAGCGGCAATCGATGAGAGTGAGTTTTATTCTTTGCTTCTTTATATATACCTGTCCTTCTGTTTCTTTCCTTCTCTCTTAAAGCAACGACAGACTAATATGTCAATTCGAAACTACCAACAGTCGCCAACTACTATGACAACATCTCTGATCATCGAGTTGTTGCTGACGTTGAGCCCGGCTACCTGAGGCCGCTCCTCCCTGCCTCGGCGCCCCTGGATCCTGAGCCATGGGAGTCCATTCAATCCGATATCCAGTCCAAGATTCTGCCTGGAATCACTCATTGGCAGTCTCCCGGATTCATGGCCTTCTTCCCTTGCTCAAGCAGTTATCCCGCTGCAATTGCCGAAATGTACTCTAACGCTTTCAACGGTGCTCACTTCAACTGGATCTGCTCCCCCGCCGTCACTGAGCTGGAGACAATCGTGATGGATTGGTTGGCCCAGGCTCTGGGACTGCCTGAATGTTTCCTGAGCGGCGGGCCGACTCACGGCGGCGGTGTGCTTCATGGAAGTGCCAGCGAGGCCATTCTGACGGTCATGGTTGCAGCCAGAGACAAGTACCTGAACGAGGCAACGGCTCATCTGCCCGAGGGCGAGGAGAAGGAGGAGGAAACCTGGAGGCTTCGCAGCAAGCTCGTTGCCCTGGGAAGCGCGGGTGCACACTCCAGCACCAAGAAGGCGGCCCAGGTCTTGGGAGTGCGATTCGACACTGTGCCCGTGTCGGAGGAGAATGGCTTTTCCATGACGGGTGAAGCTCTGGCGAAGAAGCTCGACCAGCTCAAGGCAAAGGGCCTGGAGCCATTCTACTTGACAGCCACACTAGGAACGACGGATGTCTGTGCCGTCGACGACTTCGCCAGCATCGCCAAGGCTCTGGCCCCGAGAGCCGGAAAGCCGGGCGAGGTCTGGGTCCACGTCGATGCTGCGTATGCAGGCGCGGCGCTGCTCCTCGACGAGAACAAGCCACTTGCGAAGCCCATGGCTGAATTCCACTCCTTCAACTACAACCCCCACAAGTGGATGCTCACGACATTCGATTGCTCTGCGGTCTGGGTTCGCGCCCGCGGACATCTCATCAACGCCCTCAGCATCAAGCCCCCCTATCTGCGGAATCAGTACAGCGACAACGAGCTCGTCACCGATTACCGCGACTGGCAGATCCCCCTGGGCCGACGATTCCGCTCCCTGAAGCTGTGGTTCGTCCTCCGCAGCTACGGCATCCGCGGCCTGCAAGCACACATCCGCAACGGCGTCACCCTGGGCGAGTCTCTGGAAGCCAAGCTCGCGACGCGGCCGGACCTGCTCACCATCTTCACCAAGGCGCGCTTCGGCCTGGTGTCGTTCCGGGTCAAGGGCGATGGCGAAGAGCAGATCAACAGTCGGACGGAGAAGCTGTACGAGGCGATTAACGCGAGCGGCTTGTTCTACTTGACGAGCACGGTGGTGAATGGCCACTTTGCGATTAGAGTGTGTACGGGAGTGGCGGCTGTTAGGGAGGAGCATGTGCAGAAGCTGTTTGACTTGTTGGTTGAGACGGTTGAGGGGCAGTTGAAGTTGGAGTAAGACTTGTTGCTTTTTGCGGAGAAGATGGGAGAATGAATGATTTGTGCACGAGTATATAGGCGCTGATGTCTTTTTTTTTTAGACGAATATATCTATATGTATGTTTCATCATGCAAGATCTCTTATTGAGTTTGTATCGTAATTCATATTGGTATCGTGTATTCCATAGCATCCTTGACAAAGCATCATGTAGAAACAAGCAAACAAACAAACAAGCAAACAAGCAGACACTTATAGATAAAGAGCATCTCAAACTCCAATCAATGCTGAATATAATCCTTCTTCTGCCTCTTCACCAACGACCTCTCCACACTAAACAGCGTCGCCGCCCCCATCAACGCCAGCACAAACCCGGGCGTCCAGTCAAACCCCTCCGACTCGTGCTCCTTGCTCAACCGCTCCCTTCTGGCATCCGGATCGGCCCTCGACGGTCGATAATCCGACGGCACAAACTTTTCCCAGATGCCCCTGGTGTGCTGCTTTATCGTTTTGTTGCTATTGCTGTTGCTCCTGTTGCTGTAGCTGTTGTTGTTACTGGCGCTGCGGGCGCGGCTGTTGGGTTTCCTGCTGCTGCTACTGCTATCTTCTTCTTCTCTGCTGCGCTCGTGGGAATGGGAGCGCCCGCGACGAGGATCTGCGGAATGAGCATCTCGAGGACGCCTTTCGTATCTGTCGCGGTGGCGATAATCTCTGCTTCGTGGATAGTCGCCATGGCTGTGTTGGTTGGAGCTACTAGTAGTGGTATTCCTCCTTGAAGTGGAAGAGTAGCCGCTGATGTTGCTGTTGTTGTCGTAGCCGTGGCCGTAGTCAGATCTGCTGTAGCTCGATCCGACCTCGGGATAAGTACTGCTGGGGTAATCTCGTCGTGAGCGCGACATTTGCACTTGATATGCACTGATAGATATCAGAGATAGATATGGAGATGGATAGATGGATGGATAGCCGTTGAAAGGATTATGAGAGATGATCGTTCTTCGTCATTGATTGTCCGGAGTATGATAGCTGATAAACATCCCCCGCAGTAAATAGAGAGCGCATTTGCTCATGGTTTTATGTCCAAACCCTCCTCAATCGCCCATCTTTTCGCCACGCGTCATGGCAAGGCCACGATGCATGCGGGGAATCAAGTCGATTCATCGAGATATCAAAAACCTGAACCTGGCAAGCATCATCCAAATGATGTCACTCGTGTCGCGGCTCAGGTTCCCACTGGCTGCAGCCAACCGGCCAAATTAAACAAGGCGGCTCAATCCCTGCATATCGCGATCGGCGTCCACAGACTTGGACCAATGAGCTGCTTGAGACGTTAGTCGAGACTCGTCATTTTCGTCATAGCACTTCTGATCACAGATCGGGGGAAAGCATCCATCATTCAACACAAAGGGCGGTAAGGTGAGAAAAAAAAAAGAGAACCTGTTGTGACAGGGCATTATTCATTCATTCGTTCGTTAGCCATCGTGACGCCTTCTAGTCTACTTCAAAGCAAAGGGAACAAGCACTGGCCCTTGTCTATTGGCCAATGTCAGTCACGTCTAGATGCTGGCTCGTCTAGGTGCAGTTGTTCTTCGCAGCGCCTTCTTCGCCTCAGTCTCTTCCGTAAGCGGCAGCTTGTTCTCGTCCTTGAGCTTTTGAAAGAACTCGCGCCCAAACTCGTAACCCATCTTGTAAATCTCATCAAACTTGCCAAAGTCGAGCGTTCCGTAGCCGTCAATAGGGGGTCGCATGTAGGTGCATCCTGGCATCGTCTTTGCCCGCTCCAGAGCATCGACACTCGAGACGTACGCGAGTCTGCCTTGAATCTCTGCCAGGGTTGGCGGATTGGGGTGAGACGAGAACGGGTTCCACCGATTGAAGAATGCCCACATGCCTGACAATGAGTCTCCATATGTCTGTGGCGTGTCATCATCCAGCGCTCCAACATCGATGGCAAAGATGATGTCTACCCCCAAGTCTTTCATGTGTGATACCGTCAAGTTATCCACGTAACCGCCGTCTAGCAGCATACTGCCTTCGTCACACAACGGAGGCAGCAGACCGGCAAGCGACATCGAAGCTCGAATGTATCGCCACGCATATCCGCTCGTGTGAAACTCGGCCCGGCTCTTGCTGATGTTGGTAGTGTTACAGTAGTATTCCAGCCAAAAGTCTTCGATTTGCGTGTTCCCAAAAGCCTTGAATATGCCTCGGTTGAACTCATGCCCCGTCGTGTAAGAGGCAGACGGATACGTCAGGTCGAGAGCGAACCGCCAGAGACTTGCCATGCGACCCGCAAACTTCTTTGCAAAACCAAACATGGGCACAACGTCTGCGTGGCGGGCGTATAACGCGCCGACGAAAGCGCCAATCGATGTACCACCGATAATATCCACCGGAATGCCAGCCTCTTCCATTGCTCTGATAATTCCAATCTGGCTGATGCCTCGTGCACCACCACCGCCTAGGACCAGTCCAATAGACTTTCCGCAAAGCCGGCGTGCAAGGCGATGGAAATCCCCCTTGAATGGTGTATCGGGCGAGTAGTACTGGGTATGATGCACATTCCGCGAAGTGTACTTTTGAATCTCAGCTTGCAACACTTGCACCCTTTCCTTGAGAGCTTGTCCCAGTTTTTTCGAGGGAGGATGGGCAGGCATTGCGTCTGTTCTAAACGGCATCTGTATGTGATAGTGACCACCATTGATCCACATACGATTTCGCAGCCACGACCTTGTGAGGCCCGGCCGCGAGAATCGTTCAGTATGGAGCAGAACTAGAGTCTTTCGCGCCGTTGACTTCATCCCCAGCATAAAGCGCTCGTATTCTCCAATAGCTGGCGAGCCTTCAGCCAATCCGACAAGCAAAATGCTGTCGGCTTGCGTGATGCAGGTCTGTGTCCATGGCGAGTTGACATTGGTATCTTGACAGTCCCTCTTGTTAGCATATTGACCAATACAAGAAAGATTTGCAACAATGAGTGGATCAATGATTTATGCCATCAGGAAAAAATTAGAGTTAACATAGCCATCAAAGACGGTGTCTTCGGTGTAAAAAGTTTGTCATCATACAGAGCATGTGTGTTCGGAAATAGATGAAATAAAAGGAAAAAGAAAAAGCTTACCTGCCACATACACCACCAATCCGTACTTTTCTTCCAAATCAGCGAGATATTGCGACAACTTGAGTTTGCCCATCTTGTTGAACGCATGCTTCCCCAGATGGTTCAGGATCCCAGACTGATTCAGCGAGGTTGCGCCGTTTTGGGGCCCAACCTGGGCGAGCGCATTCATAAGACGGTGGCCAAATTCCACGACGGGGACGCCAGAGGTAACCGGCAGAATAGCCACAGTCCGAAGGTTCAAGGTTGATTTTCGCTGATTGGTTACAGCACCCGAGCCCGCTTCCTTTGCGGAGAATTTGGTAGAGTCATCCACTGCAGCTCTCATTCTAGAAGCGATGATTTTGGAGATCTTGATGGTAATGTTAGGATGCTCCTGGGCGAGACTGTTGAAGAGAGTGCGAGGGAATTTGACGAGCTCAGTATCTCGGATGGCGTGCAGGGTTCCAGAGCGCGCAGTTTCGGTCAGCACCTCAAGCTCGCCGATACTCTCGCCCTGCCCGAATTCGGCTCGCGCTGATACTCCGCCGTCTTGCCTATCTTCCACAAGGCGAAGACGCCCATTGAGGACGATGTATATGGCATCGCTTTCATCGCTGTCGTGGAATATCACTTGGCCAGCATTAACCTGAACCCACTCAAGGGCAAAGTCAATGTGCAGGATGAGTCGGGGCAAAATGTGAGTCAGCCTCTTGGCCATTGTCAGGAGGATGATGGGGTATCTATCGACTATTCTTTCAAGAGAAGCTCGAGGAAGAAATCCAACATAGACATCCGTCTTGGCCACCACATCGATGAAGGACCGGTAAGAAGAGACGCTGCCGATATATCCCGCCAAGCCTCCCGGCTTAATGAGGGCAACGCTTCGACGATGGCCCTGGTCCCGATGTGAAGAGTACGGTGTGTCATGGACCGAATCTTTGGGAGACGGTGTTTGAAATCGTTGTTCCGAATGAAGCGAATCTGCGCTAAAAGAAGCTGAGCCCGATTTCTGAAAGATGTTTTGCGCACCATCGGTTACGGTGGTGCCAATGTCTAGAAACCCGTCCACGACATAGTACAGACCGGGACTCCGTTCACCCTGTTCCACTAGCACCGACCCTTTGGGAAAGAAGACGATTTCAACTTCATCCATCATGTCGTGGGCCAAAGAATGTGCAGTTGGTGGAGTATGACCAGCCAGCCCGTTCGAGGCCAATGACTCAGTCTCTCCATCAATCGACCCTTCATACGGTCCGATGAAGCCAAACGCGTTGTTCGTGTACATGGTCTTTGCTCGCCGCTGGTCCGTAGAGAGCAACCTAGGAGATCCCATCAACCTCGGGGATCCTTCCATCGAGTCGGCATCCCTGGACGAGGTTCCACCCGCATCTAGGCCAAGGGATTTGAAGACACACTCGAGGATGGAGGCTCTAAAGAGGTTGTCCTCATCGACTGAATCCCGATCCGTCGAGATGCGAGCGTGCCGTCCAGAATCAAATGGATTAAAGGTCTTTTGGGTCAAAGGACTGAACAGGCTTTCGTCTATGCCAAGGTCTGTTGGAGACCGGACAGGAGTTTCTGGAACTGGAACTCTATTCAATGCCCGAGTGAGCTGTGCACCTGCCAGGAGATCCCCAGGGTTGTGACCACGGGCTAATCGGGGATCGCGCGCAGATGCAGCATTGTTTATAGTAGAGGACACGGATCGATTCTTGGCAATAGCTTGAATGGCTATCTCTTTTCGTAGAGCCGTGCTCGACCTTCGGCGTCTGTTAACTGCCGAATTGTGCAGGGCAATCCCTTTAGTCTCTTGGTCTTCGCCAATGCGCTCCCGCTCGCGATTAAACTTCTCCTTCAATCTGCTAAGGGCGTCTCCGCGAAGAATGTTGGGAAGCTGACACATGGTAAACTTGACCATGTCCTTTTCAGTTTGTAAAACTTCGGCTGTTAGACCAAGGTAGTTGAACGCTTGTGCCAGCGTCACCCTTTGAAACCGAGAAAGGATCACATGAACGATGTGTGCCGTGGCTTTGGGGTATATCTTGATGAGCCTTCTGAATGCACTTGCAGGTATGATTGCGATAGTTGTATCAACTGTTGCCCGAGCTATGATGTCGGGGTGTGCCGAGCTTGACAGCAGCCGATTGGGAAGCCCTGGCCTCTCTTTGCTGGGCTCGAAGGTAACCGCAGGCTCCAACGATATGGGCGGGATCTTTGATGCAGCTGCGCCATTCGACAGAATGCCATCGGCGTACCTGACACCTGGGTGCTCCACGTTCGGATCCAGATGCGGTGTGCTTGGCATTGATGTGGGAGCATGAGAAGGCTTTCCAGCAGACTCTTTGGGTTTCAGGGGATCGCCTCGCTCATGGTGTCGACTGCTAGTCGCACGGAGAGTTGTCTCTTCATCATGCGATTTCAACCTCACGTCTTCTGTGAACAACGACATGATGGAGAAGAGAGACGACATGGGCGCTCCGTTGCGGACTTCAGTCAAGAGCTGGTACTTTTGCTGACCGGGCAGAGTGTCTTCATCGTCGGAGGAATCAAAGAGGTCGGCTTGAGACCCGCTCCTGACGGGCGCCCGAGGATTCCTACCAGACTTGACGAAAATCTCAACCAAGCCATCAACAACAATACAGAAGCCTTTTTCTTCTTCTAGATTAATTGTTTCTCCAGCAATAAGTTTCCTAGTCTGCATGCTTCGCGTGAGTTCGTGAAACACGGATCGTTCGAGGTAGCCGAAGATCTTGATGGCGCTCAGGAACTCGTCCAGGTAGTTGGCCAGGCCGGACTTGATACCGTCTTCGTGGGTATCCGGGAACAAGTCGATTTCAGGCTCCTTCCGTTGAGGTTCGGGGGGCAATCTTGAGTACATGTTCAAGATGCGATACCTGACAACCCAACTGACCGCCGACACGATGGCCGCAATGATGAACATGCTAAGGAGGCTGTGAGTCTTGAGGGGCTCAGCGAAACCAAGGGATTGGCAGCATACAGCGTAGTAGCATTCATGGTCACCGTCCAGCTCCCGGAGAAGAGAGTGTACAGGAAAGTCGGGAATGTGAGAGTCACTGTGCGGATGGCCCAGTACAGGACGGTGGTGATGAAGTTGATGATGCTCAAGAGAAGCCACCCGATGAGGCCGAGCCAGCCGGTAGAGGCGTGAGCAGCTTCAACGGCCGCGTAGCTCATGGTGAGCGAGCTGGACGGCGAGTCCATGGCGCCGGAGACGCTCTGGGAGAGGCTCCCAGCCAACCGCGCAGCATTTGACAAGTCAGATGCCATGGTTGGAGATGGTGCTGCACATTATTGCCCAGCATCATGCACAGCGACTGGTGGAAGCCGCTGGGGCGAGTTTGGCCAAAGGGGCAAACTTGGGGAGAGGAGGTTTTGAGATATAAAAAGAGAGAGAGAAAAAAAGAGAGAAGCTTGTGATCAATTTTCAAGCATGTGGTTTTGACCTCGAAGCTTAGCTTCAGGGCCGAGATTCTGCCGGCATAAGGACCCCCACCACCCCACCTCTTTTTTTATGCCGGAGATTCACAGAACCTGAAGCAGAGCATTAACAAGAAGGCAAGCATTTCATCTTGCTAATCGATAGTTCCTTGTATGAGATTGTTGTGAAATAAATAAACACCGATGCTTAATCTAGACCAGGACCAAAGATAAATCCGCTGAGACGAAACTAGAGTTGAGCTTGTAATCATCAATAATACACACGACAGACGCGCCACCATTTGTTGGCGTGCTTAGTCGTCCTGTTTGCTGCGAGCCGCAAAAGTCAAGCAGGTATTGGTCATCTCTCCTCCAACAACCCGCTCTCTCTCTTCTCTCCCAGCGGGCTCCAACTTCAGCCTCGGTACTGATAATGCCACATTAAGCTCAGCGAATCCCAAACACCTTGCCAGATGCCCTTTGCGCAGCTTGTTCTCGGAAGCCCCGGCGCGGGAAAGAGTACCTACTGCGATGGCAGTACGTTGAAACCCTGTGGTTTACTCTCGAGGGCTGACTCTGGGTTTGGTGCTGACAAGTCTCTTTTTCTCCTTCAGTGCACCAGTTCATGGGCGCCATCGGGCGTGCGTGCTCCGTCGTGAACCTCGACCCTGCCAACGACCACACAAACTACCCTTGCGCTCTCGACATTCGCGACCTGGTTAAGCTGGAGGATATCATGCGCGAAGATCGCCTGGGCCCCAACGGCGGCATCCTGTATGCTCTCGAAGAGCTCGAGAACAACTACGAGTGGCTGGAAGAAGGGCTGAAAGAGTTTGGGGAGGACTACATCTTGTTCGACTGTCCCGGTCAGGTCGAGCTCTACACACATCACAACTCATTAAGAAATATATTTTACAAGCTCCAGAAGATTGGATTCAGAGTCAGTATGCTTTGCCAGAAGCAACGCGAACAGGCCTTGCTAACCGTCCCCTGTGTTAGTTTGTCTGTGTACATCTCTCCGATTCCTTTTGCCTTACACAGCCATCCCTCTACGTCTCCAACGTCCTCCTCTCCCTCCGAGCCATGATCCAGATGGACATGCCACACATCAACGTGCTTTCTAAAATCGACAAGATAGCGTCATACGACGAGTTGCCGTTCAACCTGGAATACTATACCGATGTCGACGACCTAACGCATCTCACGCCATTCCTCGAGGCGGAGTCCCCAGGAATGCGAAACGAAAAGTTTGGCCGCCTGCACGAAGCGATAGCACACATGATTGAAAGCTACGGCCTGGTGCGGTATGAGGTGCTGGCGGTGGAGAATAAGAAGAGCATGATGTATTTGCTCCGTGTCATCGATCGCGCAGGCGGTTATGTATTCGGAGGCGCTGAAGGCGCCAATGACACAGTATGGGCGGTTGCCATGAGGAATGAAGCGTCCATGATGGATGTGCAAGACATCCAGGAGCGGTGGATCGACCACAAGGACGAATATGACCGTCTTGAGCAAGAGGCCGAGGAGGAGGAGCAGAGGAGGGTACAGGAGGAGCACGGAATGGAGGTGGACGAGCCACAACCCGCTCCCCCGGCCGCAGAGGCAGAGATGGACCCGGACTTTGGCGACATGACGATACCAGACGATATCGGTGTCCGGGTAGTGAGAAAGAAGTAATTATAATCAAAATCAAATAAAATTCATCACATCAACTGCCATCTTCCATGTCCCCGTCGCTCACGGCACTGTCGACAACATCCAGCATGGCGTCATCCTTGGCCAAAAGATCCGTAGATAGTGAAGATTGCGGGTGAGAGCTGGCCTCTGCCTTTACCGCCAGGATAAGTTTCCGGGCTCGCTCCACGGCGATCTCCTCGATCTTGCGGATGGTGCCACTGACACGAACAACCCGGAAGATGCATGGCCGGCCGTCCTTGACGGGAACCCGGTCCATGAAGGTCAATGCGGACCATAGCAGCTGGTAATGGGCCCTGTTGCACCTGAGGATAAAGGTGGACGTAGCTGGAGACAGATATTTGACTGAAATTTGAGTTTGTTCCGTTAGTCTTTGCTACTATACGCAGCCCGTAACCACCACATCACATCGCGATAAGATTTTCTCACCTGAGAGATTGCCCTCGAGAGCCCCCGCGCCATAGTCGCCATAGAGCAGCAGCACCTCGGCCTTGATGGCCCTAACCAAGGCCTGCGGCGTCAGCTTCCCAACGGTCGGCTGGTGCTGGGCAACTAGAGCCGGCACGCGAGCCCTGGACACGGCGGCATCGGGAGGGTAGATGATGTTGACCAGCAGGTATCGCTCCTTGATCCGCACCATGTCTACCTTGCCTATCTCACGATGTTACTTCGCCAGATAGTCAGAGTCAGGCTCAGGCTCAGGCTCAGGCTCAGGCTCAGATCCGAGTGGGAAAAGACTCGGCAGAGAGCAAATGCCGGGGCCCCGTAATGGCGAGGATCGGCGATGCAAATGGGCGAACGCGAGAGGCTGTCGCAAGGTCCAATGTTGCAGATGGCAGCAGATGATGAGATTTGAACGGGGCTCAAAGGCCGAAAAATAGTCCATGGCGCCAACTCGGGACTTCGGGGGTATCTGCAGGGTGGGGGGCCGCTGTGGCACGCGCTGTAAGTCGCTGCTGGCCAGCGCCCGAGAAGCTTATCAGAAGCGCTAAAAAGGGCGCTTTAGGGGAGCTTCTCGGGGGCTGGGCTGGGCTCCACGGCTGTGCACCCGTAAAATCCTCCGCATTGCTACATGCCGTTTCTGCGAGGGTTCAATTGGCATCCCACATGCTCGGAGTATTCGTTGGTTGTACAGTACCAAGTGAGTACCTAAGAGTACTATACATATATTAGATTGATTGCATCCGGATAGGCCAAGCCCGCGCCGTTGTCTTTAATCGTATTAGCTGGGGAGCAATTACTTTGGCACTAACACAGCAGGCTTTGGGACTAACAGCTCATGGTTCACTTTTGCTTCTGGACAGCTCCCAACACATGCCCAACATATTGACCTCATACTCGCACCTTTCAAGATCGTGGATACCAAGGCAGGGTTTGGGTGATTTTGCTGTCTGCTAGTATTGGTATAGTCTTGATATCTTAATATTGGGATTTCGGAGAGAGAGATTTTTTTATTTTGAATTCACCTACTCGGACGGTTGGATATAATTAGCACTCAAGCAATATCGTCAAAATCTCACCCACCATGGACGGCCCATTCAATGCCGCAATTCTCATCGTCTCAACCACGGCCGCCAGAGATCCCTCGGCCGATGCGTCCGCAACGGTCCTCCGCGAGGTGCTGATGCAGGATGGCGCTGGCAGGTGGGATGTCGTCGATGAACGCATCGTCTCAGACAACGTCCTTGACATCCAGAGGAATATCATGCCCTGGACCGATGGCCCTGATCCGGTCCATCTCATTGTCACTACCGGCGGCACCGGGTTTTCAGTAGCAGATGTGACGCCAGAGGTGAGTGAGATGGATGTGAAGTCTCGTGTTCAATTAAGTACACATGCTAACAAATACATTTCAACAGGCTGTTGCCCCAATGATACACAAGACAGCTCCAGGCCTGATCCACGCCATGCTCTCTGCATCTCTCGCGATAACACCATGTAAGTCACCAAGCAAAGACTACAAACCCAACACCAAGCTGACCATCCTATCACAAGTCGCCATGATGTCTCGTCCCACAGCCGGTGTCAGGAATAAGACTGTCATCGTCACCTTGCCCGGCTCGCCCAAAGGGGCCAAGGAGAACCTCCAAGCCATCATCAAGACCCTCCCACACGCCTGCCTCCAAGCAGCAGGCGGAAATTCAAGAGCATTGCACGCTGGCGGCGTCAAAAAGCTCGAGGCAGATGCTGGCATTGATCGTTCCCCGTCTCAAGCGTCGTCAACACAGCATCACCACCATCATCACCATGGACACTCTCACGGCTACAGCCATGGTCCCGAACAGGGTCACGGCCACGCAAATCTGCAGAGGTTCACCACCCCGAGCTCCACTGGCGCATCTCATTTATCCAACGATTTCAGCCTGGGCTCCGCGCGACGATACCGCGAGTCCCCTTATCCCATGGTGTCCGTCGACGACGCTCTTGCGTTGATTTCAGAGCACACCCCTGAGCCACAGACGGAAACCGTCAAGGTCGACGACAAGATTGTTGGCCTGGTGTTGGCCGAGGATGTCAAGGCGAAGGAAGATGTACCCGCCTTCCGAGCCAGCATCGTGGACGGATATGCCGTGGTCGTGCCCAAAGACGGCAACGTCAAAGGCGTCTTCCCCGTCACCGGCATATCCCACGCCGCCCCTGGAGAGATGCCGCCTTTGAAAGAGGGAGAAATCGCCAGGATCACAACAGGCGCTCCGCTCCCCCCAGGGACCACCGCCGTCATCATGGTGGAAGACACCACGCTCAAGACCATGACGGACGACGGCAAAGAGGAGAAGGAAGTCGAGATCCAGGCCGGCGGCGTCACGGACGGCGCCAACGTGCGCGAAATCGGAAGCGACATTGCCCAAGGCGCCGTCATCCTCAAAAGGGGAGAGCAGATATCCGGCGTCGGCGGCGAGATTGGCCTCCTCGCCGCGGTCGGCGTGGCAGAGGCCCAAGTCTTCAAGCGGCCCGTCATCGGCATCCTCTCCACCGGCGACGAGATTGTCGACTACGACCGGCCCGGCGGCCTCAAGCTGGGCGAGGTCCGCGACACCAACCGCATCACGCTCATCTCCGCCGCCAGGGAATGGGGCTTCTCCGTCGTCGACCTGGGCATCGCCAGCGACAAGCCCGGCACGCTGGAGGAGACGCTGCGCGCCGGCCTGCGCGAGGCCGACGTGCTCATCACCACCGGCGGCGTCTCCATGGGCGAGCTCGACCTCCTCAAGCCCACCATCGAGCGCTCCCTCGGCGGCACCATCCACTTTGGCCGCGTGGCCATGAAGCCGGGCAAGCCAAGCACTTTCGCCACCATCCCCGTCAAGGACAACGCCGGCAACCGCATCTCAAAGGTCATCTTCTCCCTGCCCGGCAACCCGGCCTCCGCGCTCGTGACATTCCACCTCTTCGTCCTGCCGTCGCTGCACAAGCAGTCCGGCGTCACCCCCGTCGGCCTACCCAAGGTCCCCGTCACCCTGGCCCATGAATTCGGTCTGGACTCCCGGCCGGAATTCCATCGTGCCGTCGTGACCATCGGCCAGGACGGCCTCCTGACAGCGAGCAGCACCGGAGGACAGCGCAGCTCCAAGGTAGGGAGCTTGAGATCGGCCAATGCGCTGCTTTGCTTGCCCGGTGGCAGTGGAAAGTTGGACAAGGGCTCCAAGGTTGATGCTCTGCTAATGAATTCTATACGCAGAGCATGAAATGGCGAGGCAGTTTGATATGTAGTCCGGTAGCTGATACCCAAAACACAGGTTGTGAGATAGTACGGCTGTTATCCCTTGGTCAATGTGAAGAGAAGAAGAATAGGGAAAAGGATTCAAAAATTTGTTGCTCTTTTACATATTCATAACCCTTCAAAATGATGCCTACTAGGTAGATTTCGAGCATCCGCAGCTGTCTTTGACCCTTGGCTAGTATACACGGGGGCTAGTCATACAGCTTCAAATGTAACAAAAAAAGAAAAAGAAAAAAAATTAAACATCGTCTACAGCCCAGTCTTCCAAACGCCCAACCAAAAGCTATCGTCGCAAATGCATATGTCGGGTTTCCTCTCTGCCGTCACGGGGAGAGAAAATAAGGTGCAGCACAGAGACAGTTGATATAAAGTGTGAAATTCTTTCGATGGTCCCCTGATTCGCGCGCTCAGACGGGCTTGGCGCCAAAGGCGGGAGCCTTTTCAGAAACCAACAGTCCGATGATCAGGCCGAAAAGTCCCAGGACAGAGCTGAAGATTTCAATGACGAGAATCTTGACGAACCTATTTTGAAGAGGTTAATATGCCGATGCGAGGATGCAGTTATCCGTCGAAGCGATAGAGATCAGTGATAGAGAAAGGTTTCTACGTACAATGAGGCATCAGCCGCATCAGCCAGCGCAGCTCCACTGCCATTGATGCCAACGGCAACGCCGCAGACGAGGTTGCAGGCGCCGACGGTCAGACCAGCCCAGAAGAGGGCAAAGCCGGTGAAGTAGGAGTCGGCAGAGTAGAGCTCGGCGCCGTGGACAGACTCGACCTTTGAGGAGAAGACAATGGCCATGATGACGCCGTAGATGGCGACGACCTCGCAGAAGATGATGGAGATGAGGTTCTTTGTTCGGATTCGAGGGGCCTTGACGCCGGCGCCGAGGATGGAGGATCCGGTAATGAAGATGCCCCTAAGGGTTGAGGCGGGGAGTGTTAGTTAACTGGGTCTGCTTCTTCGTGATATGTGTAGGCTCTTGTGTTGTGCCGTTCTCCTCCCCTCCCCTCCCCCTCGTTTCGTATTGGAGCGTGCGTTGAATGTTCTTGTTGACTTACCAGGCGGCACCGACGACAGAGAGGCCGATGCAGAGGGAGATGCCGAGACTGGCCCAGGCGTAGGGCGATATGGACTCGAGAAAGGCGCCAACGTTGAACGACTCGCCGCTGCCGGTGAAGAGCATGTCTGTGGATGATTGCCTGTGTTAGCCGCAGCCATTCTTTGATTTGAGGTACATGTATTGATGCTGCTGATGATGGTGATGATCGTGGTGACGACGACGGGACATGATGGTCAGATCAGGACGGTACTAGGCACGTACAAGCTCCCACCACAGTCAGAAACGACCCGATTCCTCCGACTCCGTACGTGAGACTCATGATGGATGTTGCACGGTGCTGGTGCTTGCGGTCTGGTGTCGAAGCAAAAGTGCTGGGGCTCGTCGTTTTGTTGCAAGCTTGGCTCAAGCTCTCGGAGCACAGAGGCGCGACAATGGCCGACGTCACATGACAAACTGGCTCCCCTTTGCCGCTGACTCATCTGTGTTCCATCGAGTCGGAGGCCAGTTCATACTTCCAGTGCGCTTAGCCTTATAAGTTGCCTACAGTATAGCGCTTTAGTGCCTTAGTAAGTCATTGAGAGTCAACTGCCGACAACTTGCGCTAGGCTGCGACTCTTCTGTCAGCAATCCCGACTCACGGAACTTGACCCAAACATCCTCCAAAGGCGCATCGCATCGTCTCTCTCGCTCTCTTCCACTCGACAATTCACAAAGCACATCGCTCATTTACAGCACATATCCTCGCATCTCCCACCATGGCCAGCGGCGCACAGTCATTCTATGAGCTCTACCGCCGGAGCAGGTAATGCGCCACTCAACCGCGGCCGTCACACAGAGACATGTCGTTTCTAATGCTTCGCAGTATCGGCCTTGCCCTGACCGACACGCTCGACGATCTGATCAGCGAGGAGCGCATCCACCCGCAGCTGGCGATGAAGATCTTGGGCAACTTTGACCAGGCAATCACCGAGGCGCTGCAGAAGAACGTCAAGAGCCGGCTGCAATTCAAGGTAAATGCGAAAACACACCGCAACCCACGGGGGAGGATTCTCGAGTCTTGCGTCGAGTTGAAGGGGGAAGCTGACGAGTGCTACCAAAACAGGGAAGCTTGGACACGTACCGATTCTGCGACGAAGTTTGGACTTTCCTCATCAAGAACGTGACGTTCAAGATGGACAACGGCAGCGTGTCTGTTCAGGCGGACAAGGTCAAGATTGTCAGCTGCAACGCGAGGAGACCCGGCGAAGGGCAGTAATAAAGCACAGAATAGGGATTACGTACTTGTGTGCACACGCCGATGGACGGAAATGGGTCAAGAACAAATACAGCAGGGAGGCATACCATCAATATCGGCAACGGGACTGGCAGTTTACGGCGTTTTGGGGGGTTTTACGGATACACGGACAAGGCATTGATTCATCTTTTTCAGCAAATATCGGGAAACTGGGTCTTGATCGGGCCATGGATGAAATAGACAAGATGAATAATACAGATTTATTGAGGATTCTTGCATTGAGGACCATGTATTGTGACAATGATTCTTAACATGTGCCTGCCTGCCGCCCCTGGAGCTAAGAAGCGTCACGAGAGCCACAGCAGCGAGAGCGCCACTGTGGCGGTGAACCGTGAACTCCCACTCACTGTCTGTCTGCCGTGGCTTCAGTGCTTTTGACACTCAGCCTTGATTGACAATGATTACCACCTCAACCAATTGTCAAAACACAACATCAACCAGTCTCTCATATTCCATTCCCAAGCCTCCCATTTACCCCTCATTACTCTAATCCAGCCCATCCAAGTCTTTATCCTCAAGCACATCAAAATACGCAACAAAGAAAAAGCCACTGCCTACCTAATACGGCCCATCTTCCGAATCCAGTAATCGCCAAACAAAAACCTACTACGCAATGGACGCGCGCAGACGGCGGGCCACCAAACCGACCTCTCCGGAATCCCGACCTCACAACATCTCCAGCACCGACAAACCCGCTTCTTCTTCTTCTTCGTCTACTTTTTCGTCTTCTTCCTCTGCGGCCGCCAAGATGGACGGCCCGGAATCTCCGTCGTGGAGACAGCATTGGATGTTTTTCGCTGTGGCGAGCGGTGCTTGTGCGGCGTTTAACGGCGTGTTTGCGAAGCTGTAGGTTCTCTCAATTGTTACTACTCTTTCTCATCTATGAATGCTTCACTTGTAGAATCTATGCGTATATTTAAATTCTCATGTCATGGATAAAATGATCAACATGAACAATGAGAATGAGTCTATGTTCAGATAGGTGTGTATTTACTAACGTCGTCTTTCACATCAGAACCACCACAGAACTCACAACAAACCTATCAACCGCCATCGCCAAAGCCCTCGGAATACAATCCCACTCCCAAATCGTCGAAATCATCGTCCGCACCGTACGTCCAAACTTCCCCTTTCACATACCCAGTTAAGATACACACAAAAGCTAACAAAAATTACATCCCAGATCTTCTTCATCCTCAACCTCGCATTCAACGGCATCGTAAGTGTCTCTCACCCCCCCTCGCAAATCAAACACTTTTTCACTCACACACAAAAAAAAAAAAAAAAGATGTGGTCTCTATTCACCACCGCTCTCGCACGCGGCAAATCCGCAACCCAAGTCTCCATCATGAACACCTCCACAAACTTCCTCGTCACCGCCTTCACCGGCTTCGCCATCTTCTCAGAGGCCCTGCCCCCGATGTGGTGGGCCGGCGCATCGCTGCTCGTCGCCGGCAGCGTCATTGCGGGCCGCAAGGACGAGGGCGAAGGGGACGGTGCCAAAGATGCCGCTGGCGAGGCGTATGAACCGGTGCCTGCGGGAAGTAACCTTGAGCTGGAAGAGGATGTGACTGCGGGTGAAAGATACCGCGATGAGGACATCCCTGACCTGGGAGAGCTTCGGAGCTGAGCGGCATGAATAGCCTGTTCTGGTTGTGAAATCCAAAATCATAGTAGCATAGCGCACTTTAGATATCAAACCATTGTATATACACACAAGACAAGTGAAAGACTAAAAAGGAGGAAAAAAAGAAAGAAAAAAAAAGCAACGCTTCTATGGCGCCCCGCTCCGTATTCAAAATGCCAGTCCAGTCTATCTCCTTTCCAGCTCAACGCCTTCATCAACGCCGTCCTCGTCCCCATCCAAGATGGCCTCTCTCCTCCCGCTCGCACGCGTCCGCTCGTCGTCAAATTGCCCACTAAGTCTAATGTGTCCCCGCGAAACTGACGACACCGAATTCGAAACCCAAAAGCCCACTCTGCGAAGCGCGCTCCACAGATGCTCTTGACCCTCAATGACGTGCTGGTCATCTTTCGGGTTCTCAGCCGCCTCCACCTTGAACTGGTACTTGAGGCAATCCTTGACGGTTACCAGACCGGAGAGCTTCCCGTGATACTCGATGAGAATGACGCGAGGTCCAATCTTTTGAAACAGCTCCATGACCGTCTCCAGGGGCAGGCGAGGATGCGCCGTCACGGGCGTAGCGTCGACGTAACGGCTGAAATCAAGAGGCGATGAAGCCGTGACGTCTCCACGAAATGCGGGCGTGATCGGAGTAATGGCTGGAGTCTGAATCGGATGCGGTGAAAAGATGCATTTTGCATCTGGAGAGACGGGACGCTCGCGCCTTGTTCGATCAACGGCATACCGCAACTCAGTCCTGCCAATGTATCCCAACAGCGTCTTGGAGTTGCTGTCTAACACGATGGGGAACCCTTGGTACTTGGCCTCGGCCAGCAACTGTTCGGTTTCGGCAAGCGTCAACCCGTTGGCAGGCAGAGACACGACGGAGCTCCGCATGACCTGGGAGACCGGAACACCGTAGTTGTGGTCCTCCTTACTATCAATAAATGGAAAGCCATTGAACCAAATCATGCGGTCGGCAATGCCGCCCTTGCCAAACATTTCGCTGACAAGCTTGGTCACGCCGACTACAATCATGGTAGGCAGAATGTACGTGAGCGCCCCGGTGAGCTCAAACATGATGACGACCACGGTCAGGGTGAGGTGCATGATACCGCTCAAAGCCGCCGCCGCACCGAGGAAGGCGTAGGTGCCGGGCGTGATGCACGGCTCATCCGGCTTACAGGCAGAAAAGAAGACGCTGCTCGGGTTTGCTTCATATATGGCTTGGACGATGATGCCGACAGTTCGCCCAAACGAGGCGCCGATAGCCATGGATGGGACAAAGATACCGGCGGGCACCTTGCATCCGTATGAGATGATGACCAAGAAGACTCTCAACACCGTCGCGAGGATCAGCGACACGAGGTTCCACGTCCTTTGGTCCTTGTCGCAAAGCCCATGGTAGTTCTCTGCTCCTTCACACTCGAGGAAGAGAATCTCCATGCTCTCCGTCATGTCGATCCTAAGAAAAGCGTTGGGATAGGCGACGATGGCAGTTCCCGCCGCAAGGAGCGTCGCTTCCAAGACGGCGTACTTTGTCAAGTACTTTTTGCGGAAAGCCTGCGCTCGGAGATTCCACTTCATGACAAAGGCACCATACAGTCCGCCGAAAATGCCAATGATGATGTAGAAGACGATTTCGAAGAAATGCCAGTCCCGGTCATATTTGACCTGGAACATGACCAGCTGTCCCGTGCGGAAAGGGTTCATCGCAGATAGGACTGCCGTGGCGACCAGAGCACAGAAATAGCTGCGCCACATGGTCTTGAGCGGAAAGTAGCTCGACATTTCCTCGAGCGAGAAGAGCACGCCTCCGATGGGGCTGCCAAAGGCGACGGCGACTCCCGCCGCGGCACAGGCGCTGAGGATCTCGCGAGTCTTTCCCGCATTGCTCCTGTACTTGTTGAACAGCCTCGAGATGACGTTGCCGGTGCAGACGGCGTAGTGGACGCTGGGTCCCTCCTTTCCAACAGACAAGCCGGAGGCGATGGCCAGGGGCAAGCAGATGGACTTGATCAGCAGAGTCCAGAAGCCAAGAAAGCCCTTCATGACGAAGCCAGCAATGATGCACTTAATCTCCGATATACCAGATCCCGCTGCGTACGGAGCATATGACTTGACCAGTGTGGCCGATACACAAGCGAACAAGGTCTGCCCGCAGAGTTAGAATACTTGTAGAGCCAAGTCCGGGTGCATAGAGGACGAGGCAGGTTTACTTACTGCAAATAAGAAATAGATAAAGTAGTTGAGGGGACCAAAGCCGGTCCAGCGATGCCACTCCTCGCAGCCTGCAACAAGAGTCAGTCAGTCATCCATCCACACGTATTACAGCAGCTTGTATGAATTCAAGGAGAAAGTTACCATTGTCCTCTCCCCAGCAGCAAAACTTCTCGTTGAGATAAAACCCCGTCGTGCAATGGCCCGTCTTGATATCAGCCAGCCACTCCGTCACAATGTTCAAAAACGCCGCATTCAACCCGATAGCCGCGCCGATGATGGTGACGACGATCCAGCCCTGCGCGGCGTCGTAAGTCTCCCGTATCCGATATCTCCAGCCAGGCTGGCCGAGTCTGTACACGCCCGCCGAGCGCTTCCTACGAGCCTTGCGCCGCGCCTGTTCTCGTGCCGCATCTTTCACCCAGTCTGCGTTGCTTCGGGGTCAGTCTCGTCTATGGAATATGCGCCTCCGAGTGACTGTTTCGCTTCTCACCTATCGTTGTAAAGTCCTATGTTCCATGGAGTGTCAGCGCCAACAAATACATATGCCGTAGTAACACGCATTCGCTCACCTCATATCTTTTGATCTCGGCAATCTCGTCGTCAATCTGGCCCTCCCTCGACGTCTCTCCATGCTCTGCGTTGGACACGGCAAAGGACACTCGAGAGCTAATGGACGGCCGCCGTGAGAGGCCGGGGCTGAGCGCAGCCGTAAAGATTGATGTTGAATTCATGATTCCGACATGCACACCATGGCGATTGTATGTATATACGGTCGAACTCGATCGAGGGCGGGCGCCAATCGCCAACGTCTTTTGCGTGCGGGTCTGTCCGAGGTGATGCGACAATGATTGGTATAGAGCTGCGGTCGTCGTTTCTACTGTTCGGATCGGCTTGGCCTGGTGTTGAAGGGCGTGGATGCGACGTTGTCGCAAAGAGAGCTGTAGCTCGACATCGATGGATCAAATGCCAGCAGTTGCGCAGATGCCAACAAGAGTGTAAGCACATACATGCACCATCCCCGCTGTAACAGCAGATCCCCAGGGCAGAGGCTCCGTCTTAGTGCATGCTCTGCAGCTGAAGCCACCCACTAGAAACGGCGCTTTAGTGGGTGCAGCGGCCCTATTTGCGACCAGACGCCCTACGAAGCTGGAGTCGAGGTCGCGTCAAAGCGTCGCGTCTTGTTAAAGAGCATTGGGAACCTAGGGAAAAGAGAAATCCCAGTCATCCTCTCCAGACTGTTGCTACGGAAAGAAAAACCACTTCTTCACTCTTCTAGACCAAAAATCACCATTGTTTGGAGCTCTATAAACTTCCCGGCCTCAATTACAAAGTTATCTTGACCAGCAGCTTACTTAATGTTGCCCTGAGCCCAAACGAACGTCTCCAAACCTCCCCCCTAGCCAACTCAACTTCTTCTCATCCCAAACCCACCAGCTCTCATTGACATCTTATACACACTCAAACTCTCTTTTCTCCTGCTCAGGCCATAAAATCCAAGAAGAAGAAAACCATCTTCAAGACGCTTCCATCCTCTCTGCAAACTGCGAGGCAAACGACAGGCATCTCACAGCGCGTGATCCACGAGCTTTCACTCACATAAACCATCCGCCTCATCAACCACGACACATTCATCAAGACAACTCAATCCCACACTCCCCAAATCCCCGACGAAATCAGAAAATCATGCCCTACAACACCAACGCCATCCCTCCTCGAAAGGAGCCCACCGGTCAAACCCAACTCCCATGTAAGCTCCCTCTCCTCAACATCACCCTCCCCCATACAAAAAAAAAAAAACTAACACCTCCTCCTCCCAGTATCAAGAGTCAAGAAAATCATCAGCCAAGACCCAGACGTCCAAATGTGCTCCAACAACGCCGCCTTTGTCATCACCCTAGCAGCCGTACGTCTCATCTAATCCTCGTGCTTCCTCCCAGCTAACCCTTGCCATGCCACACAGGAAATGTTCATCCAGCATCTCGCCGAGGAAGCCCACACCCAAGCAAAACTAGAACGCAAACCTCGCCGCAACATCCAGTACAAAGACGTCGGTAAGTCTCACCACCATCTCTCACTCTCCCCCTCACAAAAAAAAAAAAACTAATATCCCCCAAAAAAAGCCAACGCAATCTCACACCGCGACAACCTCGAGTTCCTAGAAGACGTCGCCCCCAAAACCGTCACCCTCAAAAAGGCAAAGGCCATCAACCAAGCCCGCCTCCGCGGCGAGCCTCTGCCTGACGCTCCCCCCCGCGCCGCGACAAACGGAGCAAAGCCCAAGAAGGCCGCCGTCAACGGCCAGCCAAAGGCCGGGACTAACCCCTTCACCCTGTCTCTTCGCGGTGAGGAGAGGGAGAAGAAGGACGCGGGGGATGACCCTAGCGATCAGCTTGAGCTGGAGATGAGGCAGGCGGCGCAGCCTGAGGAGGATGCCGATGTTGACATGACGGGTTAGATGTCCGTCGATTCATCGTAAACAGTTCTGTTTTGATCCCGTAGGAACTTTTCCTTTTGTATTTTGTATTCATCATGGAGCTTTGTTGCTTTTTACGTATAGCTGGAAAGACTTTATATTTCATGGCGATTCCTTGTGTCTTTTCTACCGTCATGTACAGTGTAAGGCCCGAGTAAACCAGATGAATCCTGCTTTCCCAACCCTTCCTCCATCGAAAACAGTCTCCTTATAACAGCAACAATAAATCAAAACAACCATAAAGCAACAAAACAACCAGTGTGCCAGAGAGAAGGGAAAAAGACTTATTTTGCAAACATCCATTCAAACCGCCATCCCTCACTCCTCCATAGCATCTCCATAAATCCCCGACGGTAACCTCCCCTCGTTGAGCTCCTTCTCCAGCGCAATAATCTCCTGCAGGCTCGTAGCCTTCTTGATCTTCTCCTGCAGCCTCTGCTTCTCGGCGTCCGTCAGCTTTATCCGCGAGAGCTTCGATGGCGCGGCCGATGAGCCGTTGGATGTCACTTCGAACGTCTTGGACTTTTTGCCCATGATCTAAAACGACCAAGATTCCAGTTAATCATCTTCATTAAAAGAAAAAAAAAACAGGAAGGAAGGGTTTTTGGTACCGATGTTGCTAGAGCCGTAGGCTCCTCTACCGTGCCAAACAGTTCCTGGCTCTGATCTCGCTCCGCCTGCTTAACCTTTTCGTAATCCAGAAACCGGACGGACGGACACCGCCAAATGACCCAATAGCGATAATGCTACACCATAACCAGCAGTCAGTTAAAAAGAAATCCCACGACGAGATAAAGGGGAAAACGCACCTCCTTCTTGGTAAGAGGGTTATCCGCCAGCACCAGGTGCGTCAGCCGCGAAAACGTCCCCAGCGCATCCACGTCCGCCAGCTCCACCAGGTGATTCGACGCCAGCACCAGGTTCCGCAGGTTCGGCACGGCCGCCGCCGCCGTGGGCTGGATGCTCGTGACGCGGTTGCGCGCCAGCAGCAGCGTCGTTATGCGCGGCGAGAGCGGGAAGTTGCCCAGCACCTGGATATCATTGTCGGTGAAGTCGATGGCATCGTGTGGCTATTCATCGTCCATCAAAAAAGTGTCAGCATTCCGTTTTCTCCCCATTTCAACCAAAGGAAAGGAAGGGGGAAAAGAAAGGGGAGGAGGAGGAGTCAACTCACGCCCGCAACACCCAAGTTTTCAATCGCAGGAATTCGATGTCCTATTCAAAGCGGCACCACCAAAAAAGCCACAAATGTATCAAATCATCCTTCATCAAAAAAAGAGAGAAAACCTTTCCATAATAGAAAGGTTAAAAGGAGAAAAGAAGAAAAGAAGGAGAAAAATGAACAAGAAGCCGAGAATAAAAGTGTGTGTGTGTGTGTGTAGCATCTGCTCTTTTCAAGTTTCCCTTCCCTCCCCTCTCCCCTTGGGCATAAACGCACCTCGGAGATCAAGCTCTCTCTCCTTCAAGGGATTAAGATAGGACAGCGAGTCCCGGATCAGTTCGGCCGTCAGCCGCATCGTGTGAGATTTGTGTCGGTTTCTTTTTTGGTGGAGGAAGGGGGGAGAAAAGGTCGAGAGAAAGCCTCGAGAGGCTGGTGAATTCCGACGAGGGAAACGTGCGATTGCCTTCTTGGAGCTGTGCTTCAACGGGGCAATTGCCTGTAAATTACCGCGTCGCTTAAACTAATTGTCGAGGAGAACGCACTTAAAGGTTAAGTAAGTCGTCGTCGCGGAAATCCGAGGTGAAGGGAGAGAAAAACGGTGTGAAAGATGAACAATCGAGGTTGGCAGTTGGTGTCGCATGCCAGACTTTCAAGATGGGCAAGGCTGAAATGCTTGGACAAGGCGCGGAAGTTTCACTAGCAAGAAAAGCCACAGGTTTGTAGCGCCACATCTAGCTGGCGCCACACCTCAACTTCACCCAAGCTCTCCCTCTCTGGACTTATTATTCTTCTAGCACATTCATAAATCAACTTTACTAGGAAAATGTTTATAAAAAGAATCAAGACTTGACACAATGTGAGATTTAACAGGTCATAATTATTCATCATTGGCCGCGTAGCTGCCACAAACCGCTAAAAATATAGTCACACTACACCTCATCCAGAGAGCATATCATGGAGCTTAGTAGTTCTACCCATCTAAATGTAAGAATAATACAACTCCATGCCTATTAACCTGTTTCCCTCCTTTTGCCATAAGCCCGAACCAAAGCTCAAACACAAACCTCCGCCATCTAAACAATGAACCTCAAAAGTGCTCTATTGAAACACATAAATCACGCCAGACCGATCCACGGACACGCTCATCGAATACGGGTACTCCAGAACCGCCACGTCCATGATCAAATCCAGGTGCGACTTGAGCAACTGCTGCTGCTGCATAGAAATCACCGTCGACCTGGGTGCCTTCTGTCTGGATCCAGTCCCCGCATTGGGCGCCGACGCCGCATGCCTAGCGAACCGCTCCGTATTCAGCGTCATCGATGTCGTCGGATGCGAGCTCGTGTACGTGGGCGGCACTTCGTCGGGTTGGAGACCGCTGTAGATGCAAGAGTTTTCGATCCGAGAAATGTCCCAGAATCTAAGCCGCTTGTCGGACCCTGCCGTAAGCATGTACGCATGGCGGACCTCGCGAGAGTCTTCTGATGTTCCCGTGCCCACAACCATTGCCCGTACCCCTCGGTCCGCATTTGCCATGTCACTCATCTCCAGGTTTGTGGCGAACCGACCAAGCATTCCTTCGGGTTTATCTTCATCGACTTCCCAAGCGGTGTATCCCTTCTGGCCATCCTTATTGCCGCCAGTTCGGTAAATTTCCCTGCATGTCGTCTTTTCCAGATCCCACACTGTGACTTCGCCTTGGCCAGTTCCTCCAGCGACACAGACCCATTTGCCTCTGCCCTTGTTGGGATGTACGCAAATCCGGTAGATGGATCCTTTCCCGGGCACACCCCAGCCCTTGAGCCTCATCTTGAACCGAAGATCCCACAAGTCGACAACTCCATGCGAAGTCCCCACGCACAGCCAGTTCCTCTTCTTGTCAACGCAAAAACACGTTGGTGTTCCGTGATGGACAGGGTTCTCCAGCACGTAGAGCAGAGTCATTGTTCTCAAATCCATGGCGAGGATCCTCGATAGATTGGTGGCGAGCACAAGGATGGAGCTCTGTTCTTGCTTAAAATGCTCACACCACACTGCATATTCGCCTTCCGGTAGTTGGTATTCCCGCAACACTCGCAGCTTGGTATATCTAATAACACCACTAGTGGGAACCGTGTCAACCTTGACTACGTGAACACTGCCGTCGGACGCACAGCTAACAAAGCAGTGTGAGTTTTCGACGAAACACAGGGCAACGACGCGAGCGCCTTCGCCATGTTTGTAAGTCTGCCGAGACCGGTTCGTAATGTTGCGCTCGAGTCGCTGCGTATCCCACACCTTGACTGTCCCATCGTTGCCGCCCGTGATGAAAAAGATGTGATCTGGAGATGGAATAACACGGTTGATTGGCCCACGGTGCTCCGCAAACGTCGCCACGAGATGCCCGTCCGGCTTCCAGGGAGGGTCCGCGCCTGGGACGTTGACCGATCTGCTCTTGTCTCCAGAAATGGGCTGGACTATCGGTCCAAACTCGAGCACATCGCGGGGAAAGTTTTCAACGTACATGTTGTCAAGCATGCGCCGGACGTGGGGATCCGTTCCTTCGTAGCTATGCCTCACCTGCCTCAGACGGGCAGCTTCGCCGCCTTCTGTACTCGGCCGAGAAATGGCCTGCACCGGTGCTGATTGGGTAAAGGGGCCGTCCACCTGTCCAAATGCGTTGGTGTCGCTGGTTCCAGTCTCCGGTATGGACTTGTGGCCTTCCCTGCGATCCAAGAGACTGAGAGCGCTCGATTGGTGTCGGACGCCTCGGCGAGAAGAATATGATCCATCCTTGACAGATACGGAATCATCCCCAGGCCCAAGGGGAGAATTCAGTGCCATCCGAGAATCAGTAGAGCTAGCCCTACCGCTCCCTGTGGGGGACAGCAGACGTCCCGTGCTGCGGGAGGGCAAAGGACCAATGCTGTGCACCCTCTTGTGAGAATGGAGAGCGCCACGCTTCTTATCGTTTATGGTCATGGAAGCGTCCAATAACGCATCCGCAATGGTATATGGCCCTCCTACGGGAGGTGTGGTTTCCAGGTCGGGCAGCGCGCCAGAGGGGTCTTTCAGGGGCCCTTCGTCAAAAAACACAGTCTGGATAGACACACCCAGCTCCTTCAGCTGGACGAATCCCGTGGGCATGATTTCTTCTTCGGCAGCAGGGGCAACGACGACAGGGTCTCGCGTCTTGCTTCTGCTAAGCCGCCATATATATTCGCACAAGGCCAAGAATTTCACCTCATCCTCGGCCTTTAGCCCAAAATTCCTCAGCTTCTCAAGCCATTGTTCATCTTCGTCATTGCGGTTGATCTTGCTCGTGGAAGTGGGTATTAGGTCCCCAGACGTTCGAGCCGCCGGAGCCAGCGGCCCCTGGTTCGATGACAGCCGCTTCCCCAGAACTGACTTCCAAAACACTCCCCTTTCCGTCTTGGCAGCCCAAGTCAGCGCTTGGTCAAAGACTGCCCGGGGAAGAGGCTTTTTCAAGGAGTCGAGCAGATTCAACTCGGAAAAGTCAGAAAGAGACTCTATTTTGAGATACGGCTTAACCATCGGCAGCAAAATGCACTGCACATCGGCTTGCGATAAGAACTTGGCAGCCATAGATAGAAACTCTGCTGCAGACTCTCTGATCCACATGTTTGGGTGCATGGTGAGCCGTCCTATCAAGTCGGCCAGTTCCCATACCTTTGACCTGGACAGCAGCCCCAGGCCAGCGAGCTGAGCCAGCGAATGCAAAGCCGAACGCACCACGCTTTCTTCTGGATCCGCCAGAGCCTGGATCATGAGAGGCAGTATGAATTCCTCGAGGCTCGTGCTTCCTATAAAGGTCGCAATGCCCACGATGGTGTCTAGGAAGGCGCTCTTCAACATCCAGTCCCGATCATTTAAATATGTGATTAGATGCGTAAGCAGAATGTCATTAGAACTCTCTTGGAAATACATGCAGAGCTCCGGCACCGACGTCAAGAACGCTCTTCGAACATGAACATCGGGGTCCTCGACGAGCTGCTTCGTATGGCTCTCGAGAATCTCAAAAAGCTGTCGATTCGCATTATCAAACATGCTCTCAAAGTTGGCGGCGGCGCCATCAGTCCCAGGCTCAACCTCCGGGTCCGTAATCGGCATTGATCCGTCTGCCCTGAGGCTGGATGCCATTTCCAGGAAACGCTGTGCAGTAGAAGCAAGGCTACCTATGCAGGACGCATAAGTCGCTCGCACAAGAGAGTTGGGTGTCCACGATTTGGTTCCGAGAGCAATCTCCATCCGGGGCAGGACATATTCCACCAAAACGTGCGAATTTATCGGCGTGGTCATCCGTACCAGCTGCAGCAGCTGGGTGACGGCCCGTATCACAGTCACGAGCACCATGTCCGTCTCCTCCTTGCGCAAAAGCGTCATCAGATACGGCAGCACTCTGTCCAGTTTGGCCTCATCCGTAAGCCTTTCGGCAAAAGCCAACAGCAGATCGCACGCCCTGATTCTAGACGCAGCCCTTGCCGTCGTTCTCATAGCCGAGACCACCAGCGTCAAGAATATGAGCGTCCCGTCGTCCTCGGGCGGTTCGAGATCTGCGGAAACGGCATGTTCGTGTGTTGGGATGCTCAGCCTCACGGGGAAATGGTCCAACCCCAGCCTCGACTTGGGTAGTATCGGCCCCGACGTCTGCTTCTCAGACTGATAGCCCAAGAAATACGAAATCTTGTCAAAGTCATTATAGATCCTGTCGATGCGGTTATCCGCTTCGCCCAAATTCTTCTCAGCGCCCGACATGGGGCTGTTCCCCGACGAAGGATCCGTAATCAGCTCCATATACTGGTGGAGGAAATTGTAGAAGTAGCTTGGGAAGACCTTATCTTTCCAAAAGTCAAGGTACTGCTCAGCCGAATACCGCCTCTCGGGATCAAGCTGAATCATGTGGGCAATCATGTCGCGCACGTCCTTGTCCGAGATGACGCTCAGATGAGTAATGACGGGATCATACTCGCCGCGCCGGTACTTGTACAGCTGGGCGAGACTAAAGATTTCCGACTCGAGAAACAGCTGGGCAATGACACACCCGGCGCTGAAGACGTCCATGGCCCACGTCATCTTGGGCTTCTGAGGCGGAGCTTCGCTAGACGAGTAGAAGCGCTCAGGCGCGATGTAGCACGTCCGCCGGCCAGACGAGTCGAAAAAGTAGGAAAAGTCGCCCGGGTTGTCGTCCGGGAGCATGACGGGCTTGTAGGCAGACGAGAAGTCGGTCAAGTACAGCCAGTTCCACGACGTGACGAGCACGTTCTGGGCCTTGATGTCGCCGTGGTATACGTCGCGCGCGTGGCAGTCCCGCAGGGCGCAGAGAAGCTGGAACGCCAGCCACTTCTTCTCAATGTCTTCCAGGAAGGGCCGCGTGCTCATGCGGTCATAGAGCGAGCTGTACATGAACTGTCGCACCAGATATCCGTTCGTCTCCGTCTCGATGATGCGCTGGAAGCCTAATGCATTAGGGACGCCCGCCAACGCCTTGCGCTGCTCTGTTCCAAACAGTCAGCATGGGATCGTCTTGGTCTTTCTTTTTTGCTCCGAGTTGCCGAAAGAGCTCACCTAGAATCTTCTTCTTGTACGTCTCCAGCTTCACCTCCGGGTAGGGCTTCACCAGCACCTTGACCAGCACCACGCCGTGCTCATGCCTGCCCCGGATGCTCTTCATGAAGCGCGCATTTCCTATGCTCTTTTCGTACTGAATGTCCAGCAGCTGCGCAATATCTATGCCCGCCGCGCCGGCCGACGGCGTAGCGAGAGAAAACCCTTGACCCATGGCTTCAAAGGAACAAGAAACGAAAGAAAAAGGTGGGCGGGGGTTGTAGTCCCTCGTCCTCTGAGCAGCTAGAGAAGGCGTCGAGACAAGTTGGCGAAGGAGGGGGAATAGCGGGATGCGGCGTCTTATCGTTCGGCCAGACAGGAGATAGGCGTCATTTTGAACGGAAACAAACAGTCTGCAGGTTGTACAAAGGAGTCGCCGGGATCGCGAGATGTTGTCAGAGTCGTGAGCACGGCGAGAGCATGGGTTGTTTCCAGAGAGGTTCTCGTGATGGAAGCTCTGCTCTCTGGACGTTGACGGAGGGACGTCACCTGGTCCGCAGCCTCGTGGGAGCTTGCCGGCGCCGGCTGGTTCTTATGGGCGTCACCGCTGTGGACTGGGGCCGGTAGTGAGTGGATTTAGCGCCTTGACGCCCGCTAGCATCACTAAAACTGACTTTGTTAGGCTACAAGCTCCATGCTGCAAGGGTACATGTATCAAAGTGCATCTCGAAAGTCTATCGGCGCCTCAAACATAGATTACCATCGAGATCAAAATTCAAGGCACCAGCAATTGATTTAACAGCTTTGAATTAAATATACTATGTATTCCAATGAACCGCAGTGGGAATATCCAAGATACCATTTACCCAAAAATGAGAAGAAGAAGAACACAGCCCAGGTGATGTTTGCGTAGGTACGTTGGTAGATATGGTATCTAGTAGATACTATACCTAGAAGTGACGGTTATGGATTCAATACACAAACTGATCCCCAAATATCCAAGGCTCGTGTACACCAAAAAAAAGAGAGAGAGAAGAAAGGAAATGAAGAGTCATGAAGAGAGAGGAACAGGCTCAGAATCCAGCACTGCATTGCCCTTCCACCTCGAGATAGGTATCAACAAGATGCAATTTTTTCTCAACTTCCTGAAGTCCCGGTATAATCTCATCCGAAATGTTTTGCTCCGAAAGCTGAAGTAATAAAGAAAGAAAAAAAGAAGTTCCAAATGAAGGAAGTATTGATATGAGAAAAGAGAAAAGCCGGTTATAAAAAAAAAAAAAAAAGAATCAATGATGATAGTAAAACAGAAACGCCCATATGCCCCCTTTCGCGGCTATATGCGGGACTCCCTTATAGCTTTGGCTTCAATAAAAACCCTTTGTCAAATGCTTAGATATAAACCCCCCCTTTCCTGAACTCCAATGCATACCAGGATCGTTAAAACAAAAGTAGTGTGTTTTTTCATTCCGTCATTGGTAAGGAAACGTGTTGACATTTCCTGATCCCACGCCGAATCGCATCGGCTATGCAAAAACAAGAACCCCCTCCTTTCCCCTTAGTTGACCACAGCACGCATGCGCATCTGCCTCGAAGAGTTGTAGCGTATCCTTGCCAGCATGGCTTCGGCATCGAAATCGTCCTGGCCAGCATTGGGATCCGCCTCGATTCGATCGGCCACGTGCATGACAGGGACTCTCGGCGCAGCAGAATCTGCCACCTCGAGCTTCCGTGAGTGGACGTCGTCGACCTCCTTGTGGTGCGGTACTAATGTCCGGCTTACGGTGATTGACTTCATCGTGCGTGGCTTCGCGTCGGCGGCTTCCTTGAGCATCTCGGGCTCTTCACGTTCGACACGCTCCATTTCCTCCTTGGCCATGACGAGAACCTCGCCGATACGCTTCTGAATCTTCTGAACCTCTTCGCTGCATTTGGCATCCCTCAGAAACTGGTGGGCACCGTGCTCGCAGGTGCTCTGCACGAACTCGAGTGCCTTATCCAGCTCATCATATACATCGGGAGTCTGGTTGGCCAGGCCAGGGTGACCCAGGCGCATGGCAGCAGGTCCGTACCGCCGACTGCTGATGTATCGTAGTGAAGGCAGAGCTTCGGCGGCCTTGTCATCACCAGCGCTATCATCGTCTGGTACTTCCATCTCGGCCAACTTCTTGATCTGCGCCACCTTGGCTGCCATCTTGGCTTTCCGCATCAGATTCCTACTTGACGAGATGAACCTGACGAGGTCGTCGAAGAAACCCTGCACGTAGCTGTCGTAGTAGACGATGATCATATTCCTCGTGCGGTATGTCTGGCGAGGCCCATCCGCAGAGCAAATGGATGTCATCCTGTTCTTCTTGGTTACTCGGCTGCTGGGGATGCCGTTGGTGTCTGTGGCGGACTTGGGGAATGCCGGGCGCTTCTCGGCAGCCGGGCTCGGCGGTGATGACCGGCGCTGTCTGTTGCTGTGGAAGGGTGTTGCGGCAATCTCTGGCTGCTGGGCGGGTACATCTTCGGGGAAGGAGATGTGCATGGCACCATCATCCTTGGGCTTGAGGGACTCTTGTGAGCCCTTATTCCTCAGTGATCTGGTCTCGGGTTCCTTGTTGGGGTTTGCCTCGGCCAGAGCGGCTAGCTCCAGCTGGCGCTTGTCGACCTGGCTGCTCAGCTCATCGAGCCTCGTCTGCCAGTCAGGTATGTTATTTATAAGGTTTTTGAGAGCCTCGATAGCCATATCGCGGAAGTTGGATTCCCGCGACGAGACTCTTAACGGAGCAATCGTGGCGGCGTTAGGTGATGATACACCTAACAATGAACCTGTGGAGTCTGTTTTGGGCCTGTTTCAACAATGTTACAAGGCGCCGATAGACGTAGCCTCTCGTCCTGGGAGAAGGGCTTTCGTCGTGTGTCCGTCCGGTAGAGTTGGCAGCACTGATAGACGGTCGTCGTGAGGAACCTCTGCTTTGCTCTTGGTGTAGAGTGTGAGAGTGAGTGAGAGAAAAGAGCTCAGGAGGGCGAGCTAGTTGTTGAATATTCTGCTCGTGTCAAAAGACGGGGAAAGAGTTTCGTTTGAGGTTGTAGGGACCGAAGGCGTAGTAGAGGACGTTGTGTGTCTGTGTGTCTGGTGCTGATGCTGGTTGGGTGATTTTTTTTTTCCTCTTCGACAATGGGCGCAAACGGCGATGCTGTTCTGCTGCTGAAGATGAGGGCGGAGATGTGAGATCCGGTTAGGCGAGATGCAGTTTCGGTCGAACGACTGAAGGATTAGAAAAAAGGAAGAAGAAGCAAGAGGATCGCTTGGTGATCCGGGGAGTAAATAGCAGGCAGAGTTGTCGAAGGCGAGGACGCAAACAGAGAGTGAGAAGAAGAGGCGCGCGGTAGAGATAGGGTGGTGTAATATTAATAACGGCTGGCCATGAATTGAGAACGGGGCCCTTGTAGAGGTAGCGAGGATAGCGGTACAGGTGCTACAAGGTACGAGTACAGTACAATACAGCGCTAGCTGCAAGGTTTGGCGGAGAGGTGTGCGCTGCTGTGTTGGGCGTGGCAGCAACGCGTGCGAAGTACCGGTACTAGCACCGTGCGGCAGCTGCATGGAGGGCGTGCGCGAGAGGGTCGAAGGGGAGGGGGGGGGCGTCCCTGTAGGAGGCAAGGGTCGATGTGCTGCGACTGCGAAGGTGCCAGCAGGTACGCAGTACAAGGGACTGAGGTCGCGCACGGGCCGCCGCGTCGAACAGTGAGATGTGCACAGTGCGCGAATCCTGAGTCGTCGTGTCACTCGTCGCGGCCACTACACGAATCGACCGGCTGCCCCGCGGCTACAGCGGCCACCCGCCCGCTCCACTGAGCTCGATGCCGCTTGTACCTCTGGGGCCGAGGTGAGCTGCAGCACACTGTGGATTGGCCCGCATGCGTCGCAGCAAGCAGAGCGACGGCGTACTCTGTACTTGGAGCGTGTTTTGACGCAGTGTCAACTTTGCATCAACTTGGCAGCGACTAGGGGGGTACCCGTACGGCCACCGCATGCCGCATCTCCCGCCCTCGTCCAATGGCGCGCAGTCACTACCCCGATCAGGCATTTGTACCATGTCCCGGCTGCCCTGTGCGCTCATACAAGGGATGTACAGCCTCGGGGGAGCGAACTGGCAAGCAGCTGCTCGTACTGGGCTTGTACTCCGACAGACATCGGTACCTGGACCGGCTCAGCCGACCGCCTGATCGCTGCGGGCCTCGTCGTCGCAGCGCAATTCCACAGCTGTTGGAGCAGGACGCAGGACTCGCAGCGCGCTGGCAATGGATCTCTCGTCGGCTCATTCTCCTCGTCTGTCTTGTCTGGGGGCGGGCCAATAGGCACAATAGCGTGCTAATCCACGTTTTTGTGGGCAAAAGGGTTCAACGTTCTGCTCCCCAGCTGCCAGCACGGATTATACTGTACTCGTACTGTACTGTAACTGCTATTGCAGGTGGAGACAAGAGGCGGCCCCCTCTAAACCCCGAAGGACAGAAGCAGGGCTTGGTGGCACAGCAATCGAAAGGAAATGCAGGGCCGTGTGAGGATGGCGTCTCTGACACGGTCCAGTTGACCGACGCTGCAACTCCAGCGCGCGGCGGCCAACTCGATTCACGCTCCTGTTGCTGTTGCTGCTGCTGTTGCTGTTGCTGCTGCTGTTGCTGTTGCGGACGACGGACAACAAGACGACGGCAACTTGATCAGCAGCTGATGGCTCAGGAGCGCAACGAGTGACGAGTACATACATACATACATGACAAGGCAAATGAAACAGCGACAACAGCTTTGCAGACCCGAGCACGAGTAAGCATTTGGTCCATCAAAGCTGTCGATCGGCAAGGTCGTGCTTCCGCGAGCCGCGCCATTGTCGGCTCTCCGCGCCGCCGTTTTCTAAGCATCACGGCCAGTCGAGACGGGGGCTTATACTAGTACTAGGCATAGGCGCGAATCTACCGAGAGGCCGATTCAATTCAGGCAAGCGACTCGAAAAGACGCCCCGCGTGCGCTGAATTCCAGCAAGGCTGGAGAGTTTACACGGCTCTCGAGTTGGTGCAAACTGTATCTGCACCATCCACAAGCTTGATGGCGGCTCAATCTCAAGCCTCTTTCTTGTCTTGTTTTGTTCTCGTCTTCTTTTTTTCAATCCAATCGCGCAAGGATAATCAAACGCCGCCCAGCCTGCCATACTCGTATACTACTGTACAGTCCTGTGCATACTGTACCGTAAAGCATTGCCTCTCCTTCTGCCACATTGCTACCACGGGGAGTGTAACATCTTCTTTGCATTGTACATGGAGCTGCAGTTGGTGTGTGCTCCGTAGCTGGCACCACGTCGCCGCTCGTCAGATGCCATCCATAGCCGGCCTGTGCTGAAAACTGAAAACACGGCCGCTGCAAGCTTTCGGCAACTCGTGCCCGTCCAGATCTCTGTAACACTGGTTCACGGAGAGAGAGAGAGAGAGAGAGACAGGCATCGGCGTGCGAGGATAGGATACGAGTACCTCCTCGTGGTCGATGATGCCCTGTCCCTCCTGCTGTGACGTGAAATGTGGCTCACCTGCCAGCGGGTCAGGCCGAGTCGTCCAGAAGCTCATGTGGAAGCAGGTCGCAATCAGTCAATCAATCTGGGAGCGGTCGTTGTGGGTTCCTCATGCAGTTGGGCGTCAGGTTGAGCTCGTCCGTCAGTGCAGGGCCTTGGCGGGAATAGCACTCGACTCGACCCTGCTAAACGCCTAACAGGCGGATGACATACAGTACTTTGGACGTCTCACGTCTTGTCGGCCGCAGCGGTTGACAGGGCCACGATCCACAGAGCGGCTCACACCTCGTGCATTAACCGCACAGGAGAGCAACATCATCTCAACACGGACGCCAAAAAAAAAAACAGAGGAAATGGTGAAATGGTCGCCGACCAAGGTGGCACGGTACAAGACATCACGGATCAGATCCGACGCTCCACGACTGCGCCGCACGCAAGGCTGGGGATATTGTGTTCCCCTTTTTTTTTCGACCCGACCTTGTTGTTTGCCGTCGACCAAGAGGAAGAAAAGTAAGGGCTTGCGTTTTCGGATCTGTTTCCTCATGGCCAAGTGCCGATCTCAAGATCCGAAGCGGAAGGGGTACGATGCTACATTGGCAATAGGCTATGCTGCGTTTGTCAATTTCATGTCAATGGATAGGCCAGCCCACCTGTGATTTAATCAAACTGCAATGGCAGCCCTCTCTCTACCCCCGGGTTCTTCTTGTCTGTTTCATTTTCAAGCACACTGGAAGGCAGCGTCTGATTGTATGTGGGGAAAAGGCCAAAGGCCATCATGCATCCCACTCGGCAGTCCTCAACACAAGCGCGCGGAACAGTTGCCTTTGGGATAGTGACCTGCGGAACAGTGCGACGGTGTTGTTTCTGATGGCAGGGGGAGCTGCCACACACACTGTCTGTCTGTCTGTCTGAATCAATTCAAACGCCCCAGCTGTTTGACTGCATTCTCAAACATGATGCTTGGGAGGGCAACACAAGATGCAACTTTGACGAGCATCGAGATGTCGGGGACGATGTGAGAGTCTCTCGGAGAGACAGTGGTGACGCAGCCAATCGCCGTCCCCGGTAGATCGGCGACCACTGGTTGGCAATGAGACACAATGCGCCAAGAGTCTGTCTGAATGTCTTGTATCCTTCTTTCAGAGGGAGACACAGAGAGAGAAAAGAGCCTTGACCAGCTGGGTGTGGCACTCCGGCCGGCGACCGTGTCTCTGAACGTCGCCGAACAGCATTCGTTGCTACCTGCTTTTACTGCCTGCAAAGCATGCATTGTACCTGTCTGCATCAGCGTCTATTCGGTGCTATTTTCTTCTTCTTCTTCTTGTTGCTTGTACTCGTACTGTACTTGTTGAGGTCTCCTTCGCCCTTGGCCGATCGCTTTCGGGATCGGGGCTAATTAAACAGAGCTCAATACGGAGGCACTGTGGCGTCAATGGCCAGCACTCGCTAGGCGACAAGCGAACCGTCCAGACCAGGTTCGATGAAGACGCTCAGCACTTGTTTTGCTCCGTTGCCTGTAATACCTACTACGGAGAACTCGTCCGGAGAATCGAGTTCCCAGCATGAAGCACACCTAGCACGGGGCGGGCATGTCGACCAAAACTGGCAGCGGCCGGGGCATGGTTGAACAGTTGACACTTCTGGTTCGCAGCGATATCCGGATGAAACCCCACTGGGGGCAGAGCTCAACGAAACCTTTGTGCTAGCGGCACACACTGTGCCAAGGCGGCCACGAAGAAGGGGGGGATGGGAGGGACCAGTTTAGAAGATCTGACCCGTGGATATAAGCTGTGTGTTGCTGATGAGCGAGACCCGGGATGTGATTCCGGGGGCGGATGCTGAGTCCGTTCAAGAGGCGCCTCGGGCCGCGGAAACCAACAAGACGAGAGAGAGAGAGCCTTGCTCAGTCGAGAAGCTGACGGCGTGGGAGCACGTTTGAGCAGGGCTGGTGCTTCTAATTCCAACATTAGCTTGGGCGGGAAGCAGAGCCGAACAGGAACCCATTTCACCCCGACTTTGATATACCTAGGCCTACCATGTATTAGGTACTCCGTACGATACTCCGTGCTATTTACCCCAACTCTCTCGAGCTTGTTATTTTAGCCCAATAGCTGGTGATTTGAGATTGGCCGACAAATCGCGGACTTGCGCATGGTGGCCGCGTGCCGACTCCGCCACGCAAAAGGGTCGCTTTTTTATTTGTCGTTTGTCGTTTTTCTCGTCCTGCTCGGCCTCTTACTGGCTCCAAACTCCGCAGCCAACGACAGCGCAGAAAGACGGTCTGCGCAGCTTGCTGTTGGCAGACTCTCGCGAGCGACTTTGGAGCAATACTGAGCAATCACCGTCGGCTGCAGCCCTGCCGCCAATCAGCTGCACTCGCAGGCATACTCGTACCGTCCTTGTGCTTGTGCTTGGATCAGGCGAGTCAGGCGCCGGAGTACCGCATCGGGAGCTGCAGCTTAGGCTTGGCTGAGAGCGGGTAAAAACGCGCCGTTGAATCATGGATCCTTGCAACTCTTTTGATTTTCGCGGCTTCTCAATGTTATTTTGTGTCTCTGAGCTGTGCCAAATGGCTGCACGAGTACTTGTGGGCGGCAGGGTTACATAATCCAAGGGTTTGCCGAACTCGCCATGATTTGCCGCATGCGGAATACGTACGGTACGAGTATTGCCAGTATAAGCTCTCCATGCTCTGAATTCAATGGAGATGATGGATCAGTGATATTAGATCCACGGCGTGCTGACCGTGAATCGGGCTAGCGCTTTCTATCAGAAGGGGGATCTACGGGCGTAAAGTTGTACATTTTCAGAACTTAAACCCCCCTCTATTTAATAAAATAACACACACAACACGCGCATCGTCTTTCGGGCCGCAAGGTAGCGCTGAGGGAAAGGAGACCGGGGGTGCGGGCTAACAAGCAACAACGGGATAACAGACAAAAAGAGAGACGACTTTAATCCGACCAAGACGTGATACGAGTCCTATATCCGTACATGTAGAGGGTGAAAGGAAAGAGGAAGGGGTGCATGATGCAAAAGCTGCTGCAGACTTGCATACAAGGTTGAAACTCGAATGTACGTTGCAAATGCGGTCAAGGCAAAAGTAAAGCAAATCGATGGGGGAGTCTTATGTACATGCATGCAGTCCATCGAATCGCAAAAGTGACAAAGAAAAGAATACATACATAATACTCGTACGTACGATTGGGTACAAAATCAGAAGAAGAAGAAGCAGCAGCAGGTTGCAGGGATTCTCCTCGATCCGATTTCATCGAGGCAATTGGCATGCGAGGGGCAAGGGGGATGGCGTGTCTTTGCCTTAAAGTTGGGCTTGAATCTATGCCACTCCATGTCACGTCCTTGCATGGCTAACATTTATGCTTCGGCTCTCGTCACCGGCCGGACCAGCCCGTTTGTAGCACCCTATTTCCGTTTGAGACTTTGAAACGGCGGGGCCTAGTTGTAGAAGCCTAGGTTTGCTTTTTCAACGTCGTGCTAGGTAGGTTGTCTTGGTCGTGGTAATACTGGGTTAATAGTTTTCTGATGGCGAGGGGGGCTGTATGTTGATATGCCGTGCCTCATCTTTTAACCCCATTTCGTCCAGTTTTCCTCTCTACAGGGATTCTTTGTAGTACTATAGGTAGTTGGCAAAAAGGAACAAGGGAAAAGACATACTCCTCCTACTCTCAAAAGCCCAATTCTTTGACGATTACGATGAATGGGGCCGGTGGCCAACAGGGGAAAGGGGGGAGATCTCCCACAAAAGCCCCATCAGAGCCGGCACTTGAGGATACTGTACTCCATACTCCATACGTGTACGAACGAAGCAATCAACTCCTATCTTTCTTGTCCTCTCTCTCTCTGTCTGTCTCTCTTTTCTTCTCTCCGCCCACCCCTTCATCTTTGCCCATCCGCATCCGAAAAGCCGAAACGATGCATGCATTGAACGATGATACTGGTCCATCGCCTTGTGGACCGGGGCAAGGTTCACCATGGCAAAAGAGAACGAAGGTGCCGAGGTGCAGCGAGCGAATGGCCGCCTCCACCGCAAATGATGGAGGGTCTCGTCGGCATTAGCTTGCGCCACGGCGTCTGAGGGCGATTTCGAAAAGCCAATGCAAGCATGACCGGAACGCGCTGCCGAAGCCTTGTTGGTTGTACGGACATGCACTCCGTAGTGTAATACTACATACATACTCGTAGGTTAGTAGGTAGAGGTAGTAATACTGCATGAGACTGCGCCGTTCTAGGTATTCGTACTCATACCCGGACAGGCAACTTGGAGTAAGAGAGAGAAAAGGGCCCTGTATCACGGCTGTACTATGTTTAGGTATTACTTGAGTAGGCTTGTGTAATACGCAGCAACGGAGAAGACGTGCGAAAAGCATTATGAAAGGATCCATGGAATGTATGCAGCAAATCGGCTGAACAATTACGAGTAGTACTCGCAAATCGGATGCTCCGTGGCCGTTGTGGAATGTCTCCGCAAGCCATGACATTTCAACAAACTCAACTGGCCGGCAATGTCCGCTCAGCCAAAACAGCTTCTCGCCAGTTTATTAACGCCGGTCGTCCATCCGTCTGCTATCGCCGGCCGCTCGCCGTTGGGGGATCAACAGGGAGGAGAACAAGGCAAAGGCAAGGCGAGTCAAGGCAAGGCAAGCGAAGGAAAAAAAGACACATCATCATAGATGCAGCAAGTCAAAGTTTGTTTTGTTCGGGGGGGGTCCCTTGATCTGATTTGCTTGCACATGTAAAATAGTAGATGAATATGTGGATGATGTGGGTTGTGGATGAGGGATTGTGGATTGAGAGGGACAAGCTGCATCCCGGCACTTGAAAAGGCGAAACAGCAGGCAGAGCGGATGAAAGCGCTAGGGAAATCGTGCCGAGCGTTTCGCTTAAAGCAGAGTGCCTTAATCTCGAGACTAAAAAGGGACGTTAATGTACGAGTATGGCTATTGCTGTTGCTACGTGTTAGTTAGTACGGAGCAGGGCAATTGCAAGTTCCCCCATCCATGTCCGTAACAAAGTCTGACAATTGAAAAACAAAATCAATCAATCAATAAATCAATAAAAGCATCAAATATACATGTCATCTGCTGTAGTCTTTTGCAGTATGTATCGATATACGAGCACAGTACATTGCCATACAGTACAGAGTCCCCATTTGCCTGCGAGCGTATCTCCTACCGCTTTGGGTCAATTGCTTGTTATGTCGAGTCCCTTTTTTTTGAAATCCTCTTTTTTCCCCTTCGCCACCCATGCTCGCCCCCAAGCCCAATGCGGCGGCAGAATGGCAGAATGGGAGGCGCCTAAGAGGGAAGCAGGCAGAGTGTAACAAGGTAACAAGGTAACATGTCATCTGCTGGACACGAGCATTGTTGCCAAGGGCTGCACCAGATCACAACAGGCGTTGATTTTCTCTCCCGCTTTTGACTACGGAGGATTAATGTGGGCTCTGGCGGGCGATCATGATGGGATCAAGTGGCTAGTGGCTGTTGGTACGGCAGAGTAGAGAGTAGAGTTTGGATTCTTTCAGTCCTATTCGACTACATCATCTGTTCTTGTCGAGCATGAATGAGGATGGACGGACGCATTGCTTCGCTTCGCTTCGCTGCGTTGTTCCTTCGCCAGTCAGTCGCATCAACAGCCTCATCGTCATCACCATCATCATCACGGCCAAAATCCACAACCAGCCCAACCCACCATCGCCATCGCCATCAGCCTGCGTCTTTGTCTTTGTCTTTGCCAGCAACGCAGCACCTCCAATCAAAAAAAAAAAAAAAAAAAAAAAAAAAAAAAAAAAAAAAAAAAAAAAAAAAAAGCAAAGAGAATATAAAATCCGCACCCCGTCGCTCCCAACGTTCCCCCCCACACCCCATCCATCCCAAAACTCATGCCGTACAGAAACTCATCTAAAACAATCCTCGTGGTAAAAAGAAAGCACAGAGCATATGTAAGAAGAAAGGATTCGCACCACGTGCCAACAAAATCCTCCTCGTACCACAAAACAGCACCTACAAAAAAGAAATACCCACTTCAGCCCTCGAAATTTACATCTCCAACCAGGCCAGGTTGCCAGGTAGGTATGTATCAAGCACCTTAGTACCTACCGTAACGGTACGAGATGGTATTGTTATACGGCAATATAAAACCCAGATGGGGCCCTCAACCCAGGACTTGTCCCGATGACAATGCAACCCTCCCTTCTTGATCCTTGCACCCTTCTTGTTTTGCCCTTTTTTTTTTTTTTTCTTTTTTTGAATGCGAATGGCTGTCTTCACGTTGCAGTGTCGAGAGATTAACGCTACACCTCCTACCTTAATATTGGCGAACCAGGGGTCGTCCCGCAATCCCAGTTCCGACGGCGGCATCTTGTTGGCGGCTCTTTTTTTTTTTTTTTTCCTCTTTGGATTTACTCCCTCCCACTCACACACTCTTACTTCTTACTCGTACTCTCTCACTGTCACTCTTACTCGCGCTCTCACGTCTTCTTACTCTTTTCTGACTCTCTCCATTTTCTGGCCTGACCTTGTTGACGCCTCGCCCTCGCGTATCTCGCAAAATATACCTCGTCATCAACATAACCGCCAGGTTCCCTCATGAAAATCATCTCAGCCTTGTTTTTTCCAAAATAGTCTCCATAACGCCCACCCTAACTCTGATCCCGTAATAACATGATAACACATGCCTGACTCGTCCATGTACTCGTACACACATGCTTTCCCGCCCTCGCAAAGCAAAACAAAAAGGACAGAGTTCATATGCACTGTCCTCCGTACTCCAAGGGAATAGGTACATACCTAACACGCACTCACGATATCGGGGCTAATAAGCCACAATGCGACCCCGAACCTACGACTAAGAATAAGCTGCTTGTTGGATGCGCGGCAGCCTGCATTAGACACTCTTGTTGTAATATAATTCGCCTATGCACAGTGCCAGCTTGCCGAGCAGCCTTGGTAGCCATCAAAATCAAAAAAAAAAAAAAAGTCCGTCTCCACCAGAAAAAGCCCGCTGTCTGTTTTGGTTTCAACTTTGCGCGCTCGTTTTAGTGCTACTTTGTATATCCGTAGTCGCCCGGCAGTCCGACTTTCAGTTCATCCGTCCCGCCGGACCTTTTCCAATGGGTTACTGGACGTTTAGTATTGATTCTGCTTCGAGCATACGCATACGCATACAATATGACCCTTTTTACTAGTATTCTCTGATGCCAACTTTTCTTCTTTTCCTAGCATGAAACTTCAGCAGGGCACAGGTCCCTCACATCCCAGGAGAAAAGGTCCCACCCCATGATCCTTCTGTCCGTGAATCTCGATTCGGTCAGGCCAGGCCAAGCCTAAGCCCAAGCCCGTAGATCCTCTTTTCTTCTTTTCGCCAAACATGCGCCGCAAATAACAAGCCCATCCCATCCCATGACAAGAGTTCGTAATCACAATCAAACCGGCTGTTCCCCATGTAAGACGACAGAACAGAAACAGCACCAGATCCTCCCACAGAAAATTCACCCTCGTTTCTCTCTCTCGTCATCAATCCCACCAGCAGGAACGTTCTCTCGTGCACGTACAACGGCGGCCCCCCCAGAAGAGCGATATCCGTGCAAGGGGGACTCTCGAAAACAATGTTCCCTTTTGGAACTATTCGTCTTACACATAATGTCATTCCTCTTTCCGTATCCAGTAACCAAAGAGGGCCCCCCTCGTGCTCGTTCGTTCTCGTGCTCATCCATTTGCATCTCCACCATCCATGTACCGTGGTTAACAACCGGCGGTGTTGGTGTTGTGTTCATATACTTACTTCATCTAAAATATTTCCACTACAACACATATACGACGTTAAAAAAAAAAAACCTATCCACTTCCTACATGACTTTGAAAGTAGCTACATGCCAGAGTACAATGAATCAGTCAATGCCACACCGTTACATCCAATTCATTTAAAAACCCACGTCATTGCCACACTATGCGTTCAGCCGCACACTCCCAACCAACATGTTCGAAATAATACCCAAACAGGAAACAAACCAAAATGCAGAACTGCAAAACAAACTACAAGATTGTAAAGGGAAGTCCAATCCGTTCATTGAACCAATGAGCTGAGTGCAAAGGAGGGGGAAAGGAAGAACAACAAAAGAAAAGAATAAGAACAAAGATACCTGTGTGCTCGCTCTCGGGTAGCATTCGATGCTACTATCGCTCAACAATAGGCTTAATGTATTGACGACTTTCTGACCTAGAAATCACCACAAAAGGCCACAAATATCGTCTTCACACCAGTTTTGCTCCTCGCAAATTCTTGTTCCTAAGCCCATCCATGTACCAAATTCAACATGATCCTCCTATTCCGTATACTTTCAAGAATCCCACCCAACAGCATGTGGTAGCAGTACCTCCAACCACCGAAAAACGACCCGCCGATACCATGTAGTTGCATACTGTTGTATCCCGGGCCAAGCAAACTTGGACATGTCGACCCTCGTACCGCCGCCACAATTCCCTCAGACACAATCCAAGACCTATACAAACAGCCTGTCCGATCTGCTATGGAGACGGGTACCTTGTCCTTCCGATCCTAGCAAAAAGGGCTCGGCTCAGCAGGCTGGCCATGTAGCTCGGAGTCTTGCATCCCAACAGTCGCCGACCTCAGAAGCGGTTGGAATGGGGCCTGGAACATGGTATAAACTATGCCATGTACACGTGCGAGGACTCCAGATCCTCCCAACTACCACCATGCCATCAGTATCAGAATCCCCCTCCCTTTGCGGCTGACATTCCGTAATTTTGCCCGGTTCAAACACAGCCCTTTGCGTACCATTTAGTATCAACAAGTTCTTTTGTATCTCTTAACTCCACTCCGTCGCAAATGCAAATCCTCATACTCCGTAGTTATAGCCGAAAAAGCCCGAGACATGCAAAGTTTCCGTTCCCCCAAAACCAAACGAATTACCCAAAATGGACATGAGTGTGTCCTCCAACACCGTGCTCTACAAAATGAAGAGAGAGAAGAGAAAAGACGTCTCATTAAAGTTGCCGTGAAACCAGGCCCGCCCCCGGACGCATTAGAGTAGAAACTCGCTCAGCACTTGGACCCTAGTTCGGGCAACCTCGGAGTCTTCGGCCATCTGCTGCATGATCTGAATCATTCGAGCTGCAAACGCCAACATCGTTAGCACATCGGGACCAAATACTATCGTGGGCTTTCGGAAATAAAAAGAGACGGGGAAATGTTAACACTAGGGGGGGTTCCACTTACTGATGTCTGCCTTGGCTCGAACAAACAATGGGTCTTTCGCCAGTAGCTCCTTGCCCAGTGACTCCTTGGCCGCTTCTCTCAAGACGTTGCCGATACACAGAGCCTCAAGAAAAGCCCTGTGGTTGAAGACCCACCAGACGCGAGCCTCGCTCTCCAGCAAGTTGAACAGCAAGAAGAAGGCCCCGATGGCGTCGTGGGCAGCCTCCAGCGTGCCCCGCACATTGACCGGAACGTCCGGGCTCTCCGACGCGTGAACCAACATGAGGTTGTGAAAGTAGTTGCTCGTGAGGAACAGCGTTTGACGCACGACTCTCTTGTTTGTCCCGGCCAACGCCGTCAGGCTCTCAGTGTCCCACGAGCGGAAAACGTCCGGAAAGGACCGATACACCGCTCGGAAATCGGCAATCAGCTTGGACTTGTGCCGCGCCGTTGCACAGATGGGCACGTCGAGAGACCGCGGAGAGCATATCGTCTCTTGCACAAGATTCGCCAGTGTCCAAGAGCCCCGGATGTAGGCGTTGTCTGTTGGGTCGCTGCTGGCAATGGAGGACCCATGGTCGAGCAAGTCATCAACTGACACGTCGGTGTGCGTTGCAGATGGCGGCAGGGACAAGAGGACCGTGAGGAACGTGTCCTGCAGCAAGACCGCTTGCCAGACCTTGCGTCTCTGCTGCTTCTCAAACGGACTGGCATCTGGTGTAACTAGAGAGCGAGCGGTGAGTTTGGTTGTCCAAAAGAGACAAGCTGAGAAACAGGCTAAGAATATGCGAGGAGGGGGTTCATGTTACGCAAGGGGGGTATTTGATTCGGCGTACCTATGTTGGGGTCACGATGCAAGCCCATGGCATAGGCCTGACGTATCAATATTCCAGCAAATGCCCATCCATCCGAAGCGTGATTGTCGTTGATGAGAAAATAAGTCATTAAAACCATGGCCTGGATGGACCGAATCGATGCTGTGCTGAGATACGAGAACATCCGGAGAGCTTGGTTGCTAGCTGAAGCATAAAACTCAGCCGTCTGCTTCCTCTCCTGCGCCGTCGTGGACGTGACAAACTGAGTGCCCAAAGCTAGCATGACAAAGATTTGGGCAATGAATGCAGCGTCAACCTGATTCTTCTCCGGGATACTCATCTGCCAAAAGTGCTCATAGTCGGCATAGAATGTCTGGCGATGAATCATGGGATACACCGGGTCTACACATTCGAAATACCGAGAAAGCAGAATATCGGCCTGGAGCTTCTCGGGAAGCACGGATATGACTTCGGGGAGACCTCCTTCACAAGTCCAGTAATTTGCAAAAGGATGCTCCGAGCCTATCCCGAACACGTTGCTAGCAGTGGCCACGGAATATGGGACATTTGATAGCAAGCCGATAGAGAGAGCTATAGCGCCTCTGGACGGGGTATCGTCGCTACTGTTGACATTCCTGTCCGCGATGTTGGGAACGGGAAGCTTTCCAAAAGACCCAGGCTTTTTCTTTGGAGGCTTGGTCATGCGGCGCCCATTGGCAGCCGATCTCGACGTCTCCCTGCGGGAGGTGGTACGTTAGAATACACCTTGCGGCCATCCATGGATGCGACTGGACGAGACGTTGGGTGCTTTCAACTCACTCGATTACATTGGCAACATGTGCATATAAGCATTCAGTTTGCCGCTTGATGCCTGCGAATTACAACGTTAACAGAGCTGGCGGGTCGAAGGAGACAAGCTAGACCTGACTTACACGCAAGACAATGTGGTCGACCTCGATCGCACTACCGGGAATATGTTAGTGATATCGTCGTGTAACACACCCAGGTGCCCCTTGAATGAGCCAAAAGGCTGGCTGCCGCGTTAGGAGTGGGCCAAGACAGGGAAGCGATATACGTTGAAGTAGGGCAAAGGGACAGGTAGGTATACAGCTGAATCTACACACGAGATCATGTCGTAGCACAAATAGAGCGGGCAGCCGCAGATGAGGAGCCTCAAAAGGTCAGTTCCACCGCCATTCGTGATGCGGCAGACACCCGAACTCGGATAAACCAGATGCAACCGTGAAAGCGAAACACGACAATGATAAAGAGGTAAAGGCACTTGGTACGGCCAAGTCAAAAAGAAATAGGAGGGAACAGGGAGAGTTGTCCCGCGCCAAGGGCTGGCTGAGACCAGCAGCGCACAGCACGCACACACCTTTGTCTTTCGTTCAACGCACTCGTGGCACGACAGCGTGGGTTTGTTTCGCTTCTGCTTCTTCTTGGGAGGCCCACCCGCATGAGTCTCGGGCAGCGTCAACTCGGCATCCTGATCATGAGAGACAATGCCGCGATAGTCGAGCCCACCCAGGCCGCCGGGGCCGCCGCCGCCGATGACCGGCAGACGAAGGCTCCCGGACACGGATCCGGGAGACGCGATGGAGGTGTTGGACACGGAGCTCGGGGTCAAGGCCGACGAGGCATTGCCACGTCCGACAGCTACGGAGCGGCCGTGCTGGCCGTTGCCGGCCTGTTGGAAGAGCGACAGGTCCATACGTATGCCGTCGTACTCGTACTAACGTAATCCACGAAGCCGCCCCCTCCCAAGCTCCCGATGGTATTCCCGACTGGTGATAAAAGCCGCGGGCAAAGTCGCCTACCTGGCTGGAGCTGAACGGGCCCCTTGTTTGTTCTCCTGCTTGCTTGCTGTGTCAGCGGCGGTCAATCCGCGTTGTTCGCGCCGCGGTCCCCCGGAAATAACAGGTGGGAAAATCGGGTCGTTTGCGGGAGCTGTTTCTGCTCGGGAGGAATTTTCTTTGGTCGTCCCTCTTGGTTGTCGGATTTGAGCACTGGAAATAACATGCTCAAAGGGGGGCGGATAATCATCAAATAGGAGCGGGAAGGGTGGAGGAGCCGCTGGATTGGATGACGAGATGCAGAAAATGGGGGTTAAAGAAATCCCAAGCTCAGGCCTCTGTTGCTGTGCGTCTCAGCCGCAGCGCACTAACCATTTTGTGAGCTCTGGGAGGGTGAGGCGAGATGAGGAGAGGCGAGTGAACAGCACAGTAGAGTAAGGTGGTATTGAGGATTTACTAGCACCAGGCAAATTCACGGAGCATTAGGCCAGGTGTGTATTCGTAAAGCGTCAATAGCGTCGAGGGCTTCCAAGACCTCGACAGCCTCCTTTCGCCGCAACAGTTAATCCGCATGCGGTCGACGGCCTCTTAACGCCATTAGATTAAGTACCGGCCAGGTACCATCAGGTAGACGATGCAAAGCGTGGCGCCGCTGTATTGAGCCGTTGAGAAGAGCCGTCCGCAGGTGCTGGTCCGTAATCGGCCAAACTAATGCACCGTAGCAGTCGCGTCGTTGGTTTGAAATAGTACTGGGCTGATGTGAACATGGATGGCTCCTTAGGAGTAAGACTTCCAAGTTGACCAGGGGTCGAGGACCGTGTAGAAAATACTAAGGGATCCATGTAATACTACAGGAGACAACCTTAGGATACACCCGAAAGACACTGATCAATTAGGTAGAGGTAGGTCAATAAACCTAACGCAACCGCCCAGTAAACTTTTCATCCCCTCCCCCCAAAAAGGCAGCGCCACATTGTAGAGCCATTATTATTCTATTCAGACAATGGAATGATTGAATCGCCTGACCGCATGGCATGGGCCGCGACTCGCTGGTATTTTTCATGCTGGCTGTGGGCTGTAGGGTAGTAAATCTTTCTAATACTAAGGTACTATCTGCCCGTGTCTTGGCAACTTGGCAACTAAGGCGAAGAAAGTTACTGCGTGATACATTATGGAAGCTCAATTTGCCGCTTGAGTCAGTGCATGGTTAGCAAGCAAGATTCATCTTTCCGAAGGAGAAGAGGAGAAAAAAATCGACAAACGATTGCCCAGGTGGTTTTTTTTGAATGTTGCAGATGCTTTGTAAAAGATACCTAGTAGGTACCTTGGTAGGTACCTACTAAGTTGGAGAGCCTAGAGGATTAGAGACGAGACTGACTGTTAGTGAGCTTAATCGCTATAACAAGCAGACATCAGGAGCTAAGAGTGGATCCGCATCTAGCTCCCCAAAATGGCCTCATCGACTCAAGCTTCCTCTCATAATCTTGCCCAAGACAAGCGGCAGACGACGCTTTTACACGGCGAGCAATCTTAAATGACGACTCCCACAACGCCCGTCCGACGCACAAGACAGCTTCTCAATCATCTGAGTCACACAATGGCAGGCTACGAGGCGCCGTGGCGCTCTACATTTCTCTCACACATCCAGCAGGCAGGCAGTCCGACATTCACTCTGAGCACGCTCCATCCTCTCGATGGGAATCAGTTTGTGCCCAGAGCCAGGACTGTCGTCTTCCGAGGCATGTGGGCTTCCTTACCGGACAACCCTAGAAACCCGGCGCCACTCAACCCCGCCGTCTACACCAGCGACTTGCCCGCCATCACGACGGACGTACGCATGGAAAAGGTTCCCGAGTTGATTGGCAGCAGCCACGAACCCTCCACATCGTCAGAGGCTCAGTCTGCTATTGGAGGCCCGGTCGAGGCCGTCTTTTGGATGGAAAAGGCCAGCACGCAATGGCGGTTCCGCGGCCGTGCCTATGTGATTGGTCCGGATATCGAGTCGGATGCAGCCGCACCTGTTCGAGCTGCTCTGCAGCCCTGGATGAGGGCTGTGGATGAAGAGCAGAAAGGTGCATGGAGTTGGAGCAGAGAACTCACCGCAAGTTTTGGAAACTTGAGTCCTCTGATGAGAGGCTCATTCCGAAACCCACTGCCCGGCACTCCTCTAACACAGAAGCCTGAGCCAGGCCTGGAGCTGGGACAAGAGGTCAACGATGTAAACGATGAGCTGGCACGGAGGAACTTTCGAGTGTTGGTCATCATGCCAGAGGAGATTGATCAAATAGAGTTGTCAGACCCGAAGAGAGGTCGAAGATGGAGTCACAAGGTTGAAGTGTCAGAGTCTGGGATTTCGTGGAAGACAACAGAGCTGTGGCCGTAAGGCCTAGATGTCGCTTGAAAGGAGCAGGCGAGCTGTTGACGGCCCATAATTCATCGCTTTTAGAGAAATGACGAGAGGACCACATCCGCACAAGGCGTTTGCACTGGATCCAACCCAAAGGCAGATCACACTGGACTACAGAGGCTCTATAAAATCAAACGGCCTCCGCGGAAACCCTCAACTGGCATACACACGACATCCAGGGCCGGATGTCGGCTCGGCTAGTACGAGGCCAGCGTTTGTTTAGGCATAGCACCAACAAAGGCCCGTCTCAAAGACGCGGTACAGAGTGTGGCTATGGTGACGGTGTACTCCGCAACCGCCGTGCTAGCGACACAGCTATGACACTCCTCACGATCCTGATCAAACGAGAGCTCTCTGCACCATCCGGTGGCCCTGTGGAGCCAGGCAGAGATGACACCTCGTATAAGCTCCTGAGTAAGGGTGCTGCGCGCCACGCCAGATCGGTCTTGGGAAGAAGCTTGTTTGTCTGCCCGTGCCTTGGCATTCGGCTACGTGATGCTAAAAAATGCAGCTTGAACCTGGCAGCTGCATCTGGCAGCAGTCGAGAACGCGGATCACGAAGCGAGCAGGGAGGATGGCGAGGCCAGGCAATAGCCTATCTGCTATTCGCATCGGCGCCGCATCGAATCGCATCACATCGCATCGTGTCCAAAGCAGGCCATTTTGGCGTCTGGCTTGCCGCCACCTGTTTAGCTCAGGTGAACGCGTTACTTTGGGCCGCTTGATGCCATCCTCGCGTCAGAACTGCACATCGTCTCGCCTATCACTGGCCGGCGCAAAGGGCTTTGCTGTAAGGAGGAGATCAAGACGCACAGACGCCCCCCCTCGGCGGCACATGCTTTCCGTTAATCATTTTCCTCCCAACCAAACAAGAAGAAATCGGTGGGTTCATCGGCTAACGGCTTGTCGGGCGAGCCGGGATGGAACTGGGAACTTGTTTCGTCGATGCGGCGCAGCAGAGGCGGTTTCTGCGGCATCTGGCAATACCAAGAGCGAGAATAGACAAATAGGTACAGGCGCAGGCCCTTTATCTTCTCTTTCTCTGAAACTTGCCGACGACACGAGGCCGGTAGACGCGGGCCTCAGCTCAGCTGATTGGCCCTTGGTTGACGGGGCCGGGTCCAATAAAGGCGCGGAGGACCTGATTCTCGATCGCCGCCATACGAGGCCAAGCCTTTTTGGAGCAGCATAAAGGATTCCGCCTGTCATGTCCCTCTTGAGAGCGAGTTCCGCCTCCTCCTGGGTCTCTCGGGCCTAGTTCTCCTTTGCAACTACTATCTCGTAATGCTCGTACGGCCGAGGGAGAGCCCCGATGGGATGGCCTGCGGAAAGAGGGCGTCACGGACGTTGGCCGAAAAGGGAGAGGCGGAACAACTTGATGCCATCATCTGCCACCGGCCAGATTACGGAATATGCAGACTAGATGCACCTTTGGGCCCCTTTGGTTACATGAGCGGAAGCAAGGTCAGTCGGTATGGAGAGCATTCGCAGGATGGCGTTGTTTTGAGACCTTGTTGGGTCTCCATTTCAGCTGCAAAACAGCCCCTGCCGACGTGAACTGACTGAGTCGTATCGTATGTATTGTACCTGGAAGGAGATGAAGATGCCGTAATCCTTTTGCTTGAATTGTTGACGACTGGGGAAGAATGCCTGATGGTGTCTGCAGTTGAGGTGATCAAGTAGGTAGGTATGGATTGTTTTAGTAAACAATCAACTTGGTTGCCTTGAAAGGCAGATAGATGGCTGACGGGCAACCTACATAGATCACATAAGGTGCTTACAGGGCCTATCCACTGTAGCTTTAGCACCCAGCACCGCTGCCCCAGGCGGGATGACTGCCTACCGTCCCCAGCAAAGAACCGCCTAGGCCGCCTGACCTCCGCCCGTACGACAAGCCAGTGCCCCCGTAAGCCCTCAAATCAACTCCCTCGCTGCGCCTCGTTCCAAGGGAGACATCAAATTGTTTCTGGCCCCGGAATGCCAGTCCCAATACGTGTAATGCTGTGTATGGAGCGTCTGGATTGCTTCTTCAAGTAAGGCGCTCGCAGCGTGCTGGCACGGGCAGCATTAGTCTCGTGTAGCCGTTGTAATGCAGCCTCAATAAGGCAGAAGAAGGAAGAGGTGTCGCGAAAAAAAAAACCTCCCTTCTCTCTCTCTTCCTCTTCTCCCCCCTCTCCCTCGCCTTCTAAAGGCTTTCGTACTTGGACGCGCGTCTCCTCGGGTCATACCATCTTTTTCGCTTCGCATCGTTGCGGAGTAATTCTAGGCTTCTTTATTAAGCTTATTCTTTTTTTTCTTCTTACGACTAGCATTGCGATTTTGTTTTTTCTTTTCTTTGATCGTTGTTGTGTCGTTTAGTTGGTGGTTTGCCTGTATTACACAAACGGCGTCGATAATTGTTGCCTGGAATCCACAATGCGTGGTCTTAGCAAGGCGGCGACGCTCATCTTGGCGCCATCGGCTGTGTTGACGAGGCCTTTGCCGGTATCATCACGAGGTGAGTGCAGTGATTGATGGTATTGTGTTGTGCTAGTGGTGGAGAGAGACAAAAACAGAACAAGAGAGGCAAACTGAAGTGGTTGGGGTGGCTCAAGTCTGCTTGCTTGCCCGCCCTGAATGGGGGGTGCTCTATCCGGACAAAAAGCAATCATTCATCGATGCCTATTACTGACTCGCCTCTTTCTTGGGACTTGAACAGGTGTCCCGACTGAGTCTGCATTTTCCGTTGCGGTTGCTGTAGACACCAGCGGCTCCAGAGACGCAAAGACGGTCGATCAAACTCTGGTAAGGAGAATCTTCTTGTTCCAGTGTCATGACAATCAGCTCACACAATCTCCGTGGGGAAAGGTATTCAATCTTGACATTCAAGAGTCCTCAGAGGCTTGCAGCCAAGCCAATGTGAGGATCGACGGATTCCTCCTATCTCAGGATGACAACGGCATCGGCCAAGGGACTTTCGCCTCCCTGGATGGGCACACCGTCACCGCGAGCTGGAACTTTACTTGCAAAGAACACGTACGACGAGTGCCTTGGGACCAGGATCTGACGGTGACAATCATCTCACTAGACGGAGAGATTGTCCCCGAGACATCCTTTGTGACGAGCTTTAGACAACGAACTCCCGTCAAGGTCTACGATGTGGGAGGAGATTCACTCGTCTACACAACCGAGGGCCATGCGCCTACCCGGCTCGACAAGGAGAGGGTGCTGGCCAGGATCAAGACGCTCACCGGCTTATCGGAAGTCGACGACGAAATCAAGGCGGACATTGGAGACATCATTTCGATAGAGAACCAGATGCGCGAACTCGGAGAACACATCAAGGCCAAGCAGAGGAAAGTACTGGACAGGCTGGGCATCAAGCCGTCGACGCCGGCGTCCAACCTGCAGACCTTCTACCAGACCGCCAAACTTGCATCTTCTACCCTTCGGGGCACCATGGAGCACTGGTTGGGCTCCGTGCTTGGAATCCCTGTCAAGTGTGATCATCATCATCGTCATCATGATCACGGTCACGGCACCCACCATCGACGCCCTAATCACCCTCACCCTAACCATCAGGAGGACGATGTTGTGGTGAGCATGCAAGTGGACGGCGAGGGAGGACAGCGCTTCTTCTACTACCGAGACCGAGACGACGCCGACTCCAGCTCCACACGACTAACGCCAACTCACTCTCGAAGGGTAAGCAGTCTGATTTTCTCGCAAGCCTATCAACCCCCTGAGCTCCCGTTTTGCAAAGATTACGCTCGAATACGATGGAATCTAACCATTTGTGAAACAGAACGTCACCTACTTCCCCCTCTTCGCAATCATCTTCACTTTCCACCTGGCCCTCTTCTTTGCCCTTCGATCCATCCGTCAACGAATGCACGGCCGCCGCGCGAGAAATCACAGCAACCGTGTGTGCCGCCGTGAAACTCACACCCGGCGCCGCATCGATAGGCAAGCTCGCCGAAACGGCGCCAACCAAGGCACCACGAATTTATTTTGTAGCATCCGAGACCTCTTCCAGACCAAACGCATCGAGCTCAACGAAAAGACAAGCATGCTAATCCACGAGGAGGATACCTCGATGGAGGACGAGCTCGCGTCTTTCCAGGAGGCAGCCTCTGTGTTCAGTGACCTGGTTGCTGCTCAAGAGACGTTGACGTCTAGAGAGGAGTCGCAGCCACCGAGGTTCACCGAAGACGTGAGCCCACCGGCCTACGACGAGGTGGAAGAGAGGTATGACGAAAAGAGGCCTTGATTCACCCACTACTCCCCTTCTTCTTTTTTCTGGATACGAGTGAGTGATGGGGCGTTTGGGATGGGTGGTGAATCCGAAAAAGGAGTCCCTACAGTAATAATCATAATCATGTTGAAGAAGAAGAAGACGCAACAGAAAAGAAACAAACAATAATATCCACACTGGTTAGAATGGCGTTATACACTACCTGGAGGACGGAATCGAACAAGCATGCAATAGATGACGAAGTTTGTCATGTTAATTTTATCAAAAAATACACCTAATTGACGCTGTTTCTACATGTTCAAAAACGCCCCTGTGCAATGAGACAAATAAATACATGACAAAATCAATATATATCAACGACTACCCCTGGATATCTAGGGGAAGAAGAAAAAAAGAATGCCGTCTATCCTAGTATAAATCTCTCAAAGTTGGCCCCTATCGTAGCAACCCCATGCTCAAGCTGCCACCCCTTAATCTCACACACGAGCCGATACATGTCCTCGAGCAGCGCCTCCGCCTCGCCGCCCGCCGTGTGCAGGTCGCTCTCCACGAGGATCCTGTCGTCCGGCACGGCGCGCACGATGGCGGCGAGCTTGGTCTTGCCGCCGTCGGTGCTCATGTTGACGGCCGTGGAGAAGGAGACAAAGACGGTCGAGGGGACGGCCGGGTGGAACCACTGCTTGAGCATGTCGGCGCTGCCGCTGTACGAGTGAAGGCATATCCGCGGCGGAAAGGGCCTGCCGCCGACTTTCTTCTTCTGGGTTTTCTTCTCTGTGCTGGGCGTGCCGTCGGAAGATGAGTCGTCGTCGTCGTCGTCTGAGGAGGAGGAAAATTCTTCGGCGCCAGGGGCAATTCTCTTTCTCTCTCTACGGGATAGGACTTTTTTCTCGTGGCCTTTCCAGCAGACTGCTATTGTGTCGTATAACACGCCGTGAGCCTGTACGCCGTGCACGCTGACGGCTCTGCCCATTTCTCCTGCCAATCGTAATTGGGCCTGCATGATGGCCTGCTGGTGCTGCATCTGCACTTTGAAGGGGCTGAGGAGCCGGCCTTCGCGTCCACCGGGGGTGAGGCTCTCGTCTCGAGAGGAATCGTCGTCGGGGAGTCGCCGTTGGGGAAGACGAAAGCCCTTGTCGAGGCCGATTTCTCCGACGAGCGCGAGGGGGAAAGAAGTGAGATGTTGGCGGGTGGACGATATGAGGGCTGATAAGGGGGTTGGAGTAGGGAGAGAAGAGAGGAAGGACTTGTCTTGGGGAGTGGGAGAGAGAACGGCTTTGTAGTGAGCGATTTTGGCATCTTGCTCGGTAGATTTATTGTTGAATGTGGGATTGGGGATGGAGTCGTCGTATAGCTGGTAGGAGAACCAGGGATGCCAGCCAAACGCTGGAACGACTTTGCATCCTTTGCGTGCTGGATCGGAAGAATCTAAGGATGATGTTGAGATTGATGCTGAATCTGTAATGCCGTGTTTGGACGCTACATCTGCGACGAGTTGCTGGTCTTGGGAGCGAGTGGCCATGATGGTGAGGACGCGGGTGTTGAGGGTGGCGAGAGAGGCGATGGAGGACATTGTGTCGGTTGGATGGCAGTGGGCGTCAAAGGCGCCCAGATGCCAGGGGAAGGGATCATTGTAGGCTGGTGTGTCTGGTGGAGGTTGGGAGTTGTTTGTGGTTTCGGGTTGGTTTTGGCGGTGTTGACACATGGTTGTGGGGTTTTTGATATCAACAGACGGACGTGTGAGTGAGGTCTGATGGATGAGATTTGCTGGGGGGGGGGGGGGGGGTTATGAATCGTGAATGCAAACAAGGCTGAGGCTGTTTAATCAATGATGCTGTTTGTTTGTCTTGTAACTGTGTCTCAATAGATGGATGACAGGTTAAGTGAATGAAGTCATGTGTTTGGCGGCTGAGCTGAGCCGAGACACCAGCAGCAGAGCCGAGATGCTTGTGTCAAAAGTGTCACTGAAAATCATCAACCGTGGACCAACTTTGCAGATGGTGAAAAACGGGTGGAGAAAGCGGGGATTCGCAGCCGTCTGCCGGCGATCCACTCTGGACGCAAATCTCATCTAATCTCTAATCTCTAATCTCATCTCATCTCATCATTCAGCCTTGTCTCGTCTCGTCTATTGTCGTTGCTATTATCGATATGAGCCATCGGTGAGGCAGCAAAACATGCCCACGAGTCTCACATCATCATAGGTACCTGAGTTGAAGAAGAATCCCCGAGTTTCACATGTGCCTCGTTAGCTGCTTATCCGCCGAAAAGCTTCGCACCCTCCCCTGAATAAGCACCAAGGAGCCACACCGCGGCATGGCGGCTTCCCCGCACTGGCGATTGAATCATGATAGATTAAGAGGATGATGAATCCTTGATTGCTTTAGCTTGTAGCACCTTGTTAGCTGTTGCAGGTACCTTAGTACTAATTGATGTATCTCCTCGGTGCTGTGCTGCCTCCATGTATTTCTCTGTAATAATCACAACCAGGGCACCTACCTATATAGGCTTCTATCCACTCTATAAAATAAAATAAAATAGAATAAAAATAAAATACCCCGGTTCCGGCCAGTAGCATCCGGCCATACAGAGAAAAAAAACATGTGATACCACTCGAAGGTCCCCCAAATCCGTCAGTAATCCAATCCATCCGCACGCAAATCTTGCTCTCGGATTCCCAAAAGCGACAACACTTTGACGCCTCCCCCCCTCCCAAAAACCATCCGCCACCAATTCCATTCATCTAACCGAGTCTCTTTGCTCTGGGCCTTCCATGTTATGATTTAAAACTAGATTCCCGGCTCCCTTATCGCTGACCCACTACTTGATTGCTCCGTGCCGCCCTGTCGTTCATCGTTCATCGTCTCCATTCCTTGTCTCGTTCCAACGTTCCGTCGCCCCCAAACCTTGTGCTGCTTCGTGCGACTCTACAATCCACCTCGAATTGCGATTTCTCGTTTGTCTCCGTCTTTGGCATCCTTTTTTCCAATTTGATAAAATAATACATCTATTCTGGCTTAAAGCACTTAATTTTGTCCTGGCGTGTCGCGTGCTGCCTTCGATACCAACACAATTTGCAAACCACAAATTCTCTCCACTTACTTGCTACTACAACTCAAACTTCTTCTTGATCATCACCACCATCATCATCATCATCGCCATCAATCAACAGCAGCAACTTTAGCCAGCATCAGCTTACAAGCCATGTCATGATCCTTGACCGCATTTGCTTGAAATCTCGCATCCCCATGGCGCTCCTCAATCCCATCTACGCCTGCATCGTGCCCTTCCTCATCGTCACCACCATCCCTCTGGCCATCTTCGCCGGCATCACCACCACATTCGCCTTCTCCGTCCTCATCTTCCGCGTCTTCGTCGTCTACCTCGACATTGCGCTCTCCCTCGTGTCGCAATCCCTGTCCCATCTCACCGAGAGCGCCGCAAAGCCGCACCTGCGACCTCCCAGAACCCCGTCATCCTCGTCGTCTGTTCACAGCCGCAACAACAGCCTCAGCCCCTCGGCTTCGTCCACCCTGCTCAAGAGGCATCGCCGCCGCAGGCCCAGCTCCTCCGTCTACTCGGCCGGGTCCGCGACGCCCGCCAGCGACATTGGGCTTGGCCTCATCCCCAGCGTTGGCGCCGAGAGAGACTTTGAAGGCGTCGGCGGGTGGCGGCTGGGCGACGACGACGAAGCCTGGACAACCATCAACTCGCGCTCCGAGCTTCCCGACCGGCTGCATGATCGCAATCACCGGCGCACCTTGTCCGGGGGTCCGACCGGCGCGGCAGACGGCGGGTTTCTCATGATGAAGGGCCGCGCCCGCAGCCCCGAGAAGAAGATGGTGTCGACGGCCTCTCCCAACAGCTCCAAGGCTCGGGCGCCCTCGGCTCCGCGTCTGGGAATGCCTGGCCCCAACCAGACTGACAGCTACTTTCCGATGACGATGTCTTCCAAAACATTCAAGAGGAACCTCCTGTAACCACGGGTCTTGGAGTGGCAGATGTTGGATTGCAGCAATAATTACGACATGACGAATGTGGGAACAGAAAAATTGGACTACAAAAATGGCCTTGGGATCAAAGGGTCCGAGGTTTCATGACGGCAGATGAGTAGCCCGTCATTTTTTCTTCTTTCTGTGGAAATTTTGGGTCACATGCGTCCTCATGAAAGGCATGGATGGGTTTGAACGGATATTCGATTTGGCGTTTACAGGTTGGGAGGGACATGGCATGCGATTGATTTTGTAAATTATACTCTGAAGTCTGACTTGCTTTTGCTCTTTTTATTTACTCTCTCCAGTATTCATTTATCCATGATGATATTAAGATGATGAAGTTAATACATGTTGTATCTTCAAAATGTGACAGTCCTTGATCCCACATGTTGTATCACATCTCCAACGATGACGTCTCGTGTAACAAGTATTCCACGCCGTATCCAAACCAACACTTTTCCAAACTCCTAATAAACAATGAATGGTATCTTTCCCAAATCCAAAAATTCCAAAAACCAAAAGCCTTCCATCGTCTCCCAATCACAGCGTCTGCCAAAAGTAATTGGCGTAAAAGTAGCGCGAAAACTTCTTGTCCATATTCACCACATGAACGTCGCCCTTCCTATCGTTCCGCACCACCGCGCGCGCCCACTCGCCGTCCTTTTCGTCGCGCTCAATCTCGATGCCCAGGCTGCGATACACCTTGAGGCGCAGCAGCACCTCGTCATCAACGGGATCCCGCCTGCGCCCTTCCTCGGAGCCGTCGACGCCCTGGAGCTCCAGCTCCTGCAGGCGGGCGGCCAGGTCGGCGGCCTGCTGGGCCAGGCGCTCGGCCTCCATCTCGGCGTCGGAGGCGGCCTTTGCGACGCGGAACTTGTGCGTGTCGAGGCGCGCAATGGTGGACGCGTGGTCGGCGGACGAGTGGGACGACAGGAGCTCGTCGTGCTGCGCGTTGATGGTGTTGAGCTGGCGCGCGAGGCGCTTGAGCGTCGAGTCAGAGTCGCGGACGTGCAGCTCGCGGGCTTGTTGTAGCGTGGAGAGGGATTCGCCGATGCGGCTGACGGCGAGCTTGTCGGGCTGGATGTTGAAGTTGTTGATGGTGTGGTGGATGAGCTGCGGTGCGAGTGAGTCGGTCAGTTTGCGATTGTTTTTTTGTGTTTTCTGGGTCAAACAACATACAGTAGCCGGATCCTCGGCGAGAAGCATCGTGGCGGTTGTTTAACGGCTTGGAAGCTATATTTTATTTTATCTCTTGCTTGTGTTCCCGTCGCGTGTGGTGGTAGAGAATTGACTTGTTGGTGAACCAGCGAGCGAATGTTGCAATATCCAGATGCTAAACAACGAAGCTCTCACTAAAATCTGTCGCCCGGGACGACCAACCCCCCCCGTGCCGTCAACAAGCCACACCCCTCCGAACTCCAAAACGTCATTCCCAGCTCAGCCACACCCGCAACAGCCACACCTTTCGGCACAAGCTTGTTTTACCAGCCAAGCCGCATTGGCAAACTCACGAGACCAAGCAATCATCCTTACGCCAGCAACTCGATCAGCTCTTCTTGTCGCTGTCTCTCCCCTGCTTCTCTACATCTCTCGTCTTTCCTCGCTCCTCTACCTCGGTTCTCTCCCCTTCTCTCAGATTCCCTTCTTAAAAGACACATTGAATTCTCTTCTTGTCTTGCGCCTCTCTCTCCCTCGACCGTTCGTGAGCTAAAAGCGACTCTTTTGCGCCGTCGTCATACCAAAAGTTCCTTTCGAAACCGCCGAAAATGGTCACAGAACTTCCCTGTAAGATGAAACGCCCCTGTCTCTTCCTCGGCGCAAAACAGCTGCAATTCCAACCCTTCTTTCCAAAAGCCATCGCGCAGAAAAGCCCATCGCAGAAATAACAGCATAGCTAACTAATCGCCCTCTTCAAAATGACAGACGCCCTCGACGCAGAGACGTTCGTCCCTCTCCTCTCCCGTTCTCGCATCGTACGGTACACTCTCAGCTAAAAACTAAATCAGACCTCTGAACCCTTCAGAGCTCAGCGTCCTGCGCGCCCAGTTCGAGAAGGAAGGCGAAATGGTCGGCGTCCAGACCAAATTCAACTACGCCTGGGTTCGCACAACTCACCCCCCTCCTCCGAAACAAAAGAAATGTAAAAGCTCACAAGAAGCAATTCCCCCAAAAAACAGGGCCTCGTCAAGTCAAACAACCGCAACGACCAGCAACTCGGCGTCCGCCTCCTCTCCGACATCTTCCGCGTCTCCCCCGAGCGCCGCCGCGAATGCCTCTACTACCTCGCCCTCGGCAACTACAAGCTCGGCAACTACGGCGAGGCCCGCCGCTACAACGACCTCCTCCTCGAGAAGGAGCCCGCCAACCTCCAGGCCACCGACCTGCGCCAGCTCATCGACGACAAGGTCGCCAAGGAGGGCCTCTTGGGCGTCGCCATTGTTAGCGGCATCGGCATCGCCGCCGGTGTCGTCGGCGCCTTTTTGCTACGGAATGCGAAACGGAGGTGAAATATTTCAGACGTTGATATATATATGATTGATACGGGGTGTTAATGTTCAAAGCATAAACGATATATGAAGAAAGAAAAGAAAACAATCAAGAAAGAAGAAAAAAAATCGAAAAAACGAAACGAAAGAGCAGGAGGATTCAATGAAGGGGGAATTACTGAGTACTGAGACCAAATTAAACGACTCATCTACCTAGGGATCACTAAAGAAGGAAAAAAAAATTCACACACCCTTCTCTCAATCTTTTTTTTTTTTGCTCTTGAAAGCTCATACTTGCATCTTGTCGAGCCGTGTCAGCATGAGTTGTGCCGCGCAACATTGAAAAGTCAACCACCAGTGTGGCAGGGATAGCAAGGGAAATCCATGGTCCACTACATGGCATCTGCATAGGTAGTTCAAGGAATGTTTGGTCTTCAATGGACATACAAACCAAGTGTACGATATTATATACTATACGATAGCTGCAGCATCCAGCCAGGCGGCCGAAAGAGAGTCTAGCATTGTCATTTCGATTCACGCGCGCATCATGTTCAAGCCTTTGAAAAAAAAAAGGAAAATAGAGACTGTAAAATCAAACTAGCTAGGAAATACGACAAACAAGCCTAGACATACCATCATGTGTTGAGACGTCAATCACACGACTTAAAATACAACAGTTGCGGTTTCAACCCTCCTCCAGCCATCCATTTGCTCCAGTCAAATTCAATTCCGCAGTCCGCTGCTCCATCCAGACAGGTTAACAAAGAGCTATCCGAAAGGCGTGGCAAGAGAAAAAGACGGAGACGCAGGGTATTTTCGGCCATATCTTGCCCGACATAGATTTCAAAGGAAAGCGTAAGTGTGACGATCGTGTAGGGAATGAATAATGAGTGACTTTTCGCACGGCGGCCCCAACCCTCCCAACAACTGCTCCAAAGGCAGGGGACAACCTGATATTAACTGGCGACCTTCTCCCCCAGAGAGCATCGCCCTGCCTGCCCGGTCCTATGAGACCCTGGCAAGTAAAAAGACGCTCCCCCTCGAGAGGAGCAGCCTCAGCCCTATCCGGCCGCGACCACCATACCAAGTCAAAGTTTTGCAATGCTTCATAGTCCTGCACTTTCTCCATGCTGCATGACCAGTTTTCATAACAAAGTTGTTTCCTTGCCCACCCTTCTGGAAGACAAAACTTTTCTTGGCGGCGATTATACGAGTTTATGATTAAAATAAAGTGACGAGAAGGCGGCGACAAAAAAAAACAAAGAATCGAAAAAGAGAAAAGGAAAGGCGTCGAGCAGATATTGTATGGACATCATGGATATTCTGATATTGATCGTGCAGGAAAGCAATTCGCAACTCGAGATCGATCGGGCGGTGGGGGACCTCGGGTCGTTTATCGCAGTGAGAATCCCTTTCGCTTGCCTTCCTTCTCTATCGGCCGCCCGCTCTCGACGCGCTGCTTCTTGTCCTCGAGCTCCAGGCGCTGGCGATCGAGTTGCTCCTTCATCTCCCGGTGGCGTGCGTAGAGCTCCTCCTCTGACTGCTTGAGCTTGCTCTCCTTCTCCGCCACCTTCTGCTGGAAGACCATCTTCATCTCGGCCTCCATCTTGGCGAGCTTCTGCTCGTGCAGGGCACGCTCCTCCTCTTGCTTGACAGCAGGGTTGACCTCCTTGAAGACACTAGGATCTTGCGAAACACCCATAGCAAGCAGCTTGTCGGTTCTGTAGTTCTCATACAGGTTGTTGTTGGTGTGCTCCTTGAGCTCCTCCATGTGTGTTCGGATGAGCATCTGGCGGAGCTTGACAAAGTCGCAGTGCTCCTCGTTGTCGACCTCAATGATACCCCATGGGTACTCACGTCCGCGGACCTTGCGGCCGTCGGCAGTCTTGATCTCGTTGGTGGCGCCAACAACGGCGAAGGGAACCTTGGACATGATCTCGTTGTTCTCGGCAATCGTCTCCTCGTCGTCGAGCTCATATCGGGGACCCTCGAAAATCTGGATGCCGTGGTGCTTGATGTCGGCCAAGATCTAGAAACGCACTAGTTAGCAACGCCAATCATTATAAACGCCAGTATTGCGTCGATATCAACTGAGAAAGGAGTGACTCACTCGGGCCTTGAAGCTGACAATCTCCTCGTCCGTCAGGGTGTCGGACTTGGCAATGACAGGGATCAGGTTGACCTTGGTGTGGAGGCGTCGCATAACCTCAATGTCCAGAGGCTTGAGGGAGTGGCCGGTGGGCTGGATGAAGAAGACACAGGCGTGAATTCGGTTGTCAACAATGTTCATTCGGTTGACCTTGTTCTCAGCATCGAGGTAGGCATCGAAACGCTGCTCAATGTTGTCGACAATGGGCCGCCAAGACTCATCGTTGTTAACGAAGTCGCCAAAGCCGGGGGTGTCAACAACAGTCAGGCGCAGACGAACACCGGCCTCCTCAATATCGGCGCTGATGGACTGGATGGTGACAGTCTTGGGAATAATGTCTAGGCTGGGCGCCTTGCGCTCCTTGGGAGGGTACAACGAGGTGTTGAACAGAGTGTTGACCAGAGTGGACTTGCCCAGGCCAGACTCGCCAACAACCATCACATTGAAGTTGAAGCCCTTTCGCACACTCTTACGGTGCCACTGGTTGGGAAGGTTGGCAAATCCAACATAGCCGGTCAGCTTTCTTCGAACAATGTTCTTGTTGTCAGAAACAGCAGCTGGGGAGGTGGCTATTGCACTCGTTAGAAACATTGCTGATGGGTCAATGGGACGCAGAAGAACGTACCAGGAGGCGGCGAGGCAACGCCCTGTGGTGAATCGGCACCGTTGGAAGCTAAATAGACAAACGTTAGCCTCTGCGTTTTTTGAATGCTCTATGATATTGTTTATGCGTGGTGACGAGGTAGGAGGGCAGGGCGTAGGCTGCTGACTGGAGAAATCAGTTTCTTGGCTTCCAACCGTGGTCGGTGGGTTTGTATTCCAAGAGCATGATCTCGTCGACTGGTCAGAGCTTGGCTCGCCATCCGGTCCCAGGGCAGGCTGTATAGGGCTTGAGTATAGCTCATCGTAAGACATGGGGCTCCATGGTCCAAGTCTGGGCGGTTCGTCGACCTCCAGCATGCTGCGGTAGCGGCGAATGGCTGCTGGGACAAAAGCAGGGACTGAGAACTGGACAGCAGCATCTCGCCCGGTTGGCAAACCGCTCAGTCGCTTCGTTGCCTGAGCCTGGGCTGCAACCTGCTCCAAAGCAACCATTGCCGGCGTCAGAGCGGTCTTGTCGAGCTGGAGGCTGCGGGCCCGCGATTTGACATGGTGGACCAGATCGAAAGTCATGCCGGATTACGAAAGTCGGATACAAGGAATTTGTACTTGAAGCAACGGAAATGTTGATTTTGCCCAAAAAAGCGACCCAAGAAACAGTAGATGGCGAGCAACGAATGTGGTTACGGAGAGCAAGACGCGAAATCTGGTGGTGTGTGGGAAAAAGGAGGCGCCAATGCTTTTGTGTTGCCCAAGCCCGCTGCCGTGGTGAAGTGCCTCGTGGCACGTCCAGAATGCCTCCTGCCCCCTCCTCGTGGACGGGACACGCATGGCCACGCAGAGCTCAAAGAAAGAGAGATTCTTACCCATATTGATGTATAAGGAGCGGCCGAAGGAAGTTTAATAAAGAATGGTAAGAAGGCACGAGAGTCTGCGCGATTGGTTAGCTGTTGAGGCCGTCTCAGGGAGGAGTAGCGCAGCCAAACGGCCAGGAGCCACGAGCGGAACAGCAGCTTCGTTGGCTTCAGGGCCCAGGGCAACTTGCGCGCGCAGCAGATGGAAGCCGTCGGGAGAGGCAGATGCTGCTCGCGCCTGTCTGCTCCGGGGAGACGCCCTGAAGGCATCGCGGGCGTTTGTGCACGGGAAACTCGAACAATGGGAGCGACCTACCAAGGAGAAATGCGCTGAGACCCTAGCAGATAACGACGCGTGTCAATGGGTTCGAAGAAATAGGATTAAGAGGCAGAAACGACCGCGGTGAATTGAAGGACAAATGTCAAGATGCTCAACCAGTCGGAGAGGAAGTAGCAATGACGGGGAGTGAAGAAGTGAAGTGCAATGAGGCCAGTTGAGGACGAGCAGGAGGAAGATAATTTCGGGGGTGATGACGGGGAGGAATTTGTGCTGGCTGGTGCAGCAGCTGCTGGCCAGCGTCCCAGGGGCCCGACTCCACAGGCTGGCGAGCAGGTACTGGTACTCGGACGGGTGCGGTGGCTGCCGCGGGGTTTGGGGTATGAGTTACCTGGACTCGTACCACTGCTGCTGCTCCCAGGTGCTGCCGTACTGCCAAGGCAATCCCGTTACCTGGTGCTAACAAGGTACGCTACAGGCCTTGTGCCAGTACAGTAGCTCGTCCAGCAGCAGTGCTTCGCTTCAATCTGGCGTGGTCAATTTGATGGCAAAAGGGGGTGCATTAGCAAGCTAGGCCGCGGCAGGACTAGTCTTCCAGGGGACCGACGGCCTGGCGTGGTGGTCAATTAGCAGAGGTGCAGGGCATGGCTCGCCGTTGGGGGTCGCTGATTGGCCGCAGCGTTTGATTCCGCACGAGCCACAACACAACCCGCCGTGTGGCGCTGCGGCGGATCGGGCTTGGTTCCAGGTACCTTTTCTGGAGTAAAGAGACGCGATGCCCCCATCCATTGAGCGGGCTTGTATGTACCTTGGGGACTGTACCTTGGCGTGAACCCTGATCTGGGTTGAAGAAGAAACGCCATGCAGGCCGGCTGCGAATCTTGGTGGATCGAGGCTTGGGGCGGCATCAAGAGCCAGAGTCTGGCAAATTTGCGGCCTCGTCTCGGAATGCTCGAGTCAAATCTTAAGGGTCGCATGACGGACGGCTTGGGTACTCTCGCTGATACGGACAGGCATGGCACGAGTGCGAGTAGAGGTACAGGAACAGGTACAGGTACACCCGCTCCCGGTAGCACCTAATGTACATCACTTAATTTCAGGAGCTCCAGGCGTTTCTTTTCCAGATTGCTCCGCATGGCTCGCTACTCCTTTGTTCGTATTGCTGCCGGCCACCTGTACGTGTACTAACCTACGAGTACACGCAGTACCAGTACCAGTACCAACGCCGCATCCCGTCTTTATGCCCATAAGATTGAAGGTACCTGCTATTTATAGGCTGGCAAAAGCTCATCTTCATTTGCTTGCCTGTTTGCGCTGCACCAGGGACTCGACACAAACCAAACGGGTCATCAGGTCGACTTGCACAGGCCGGGAAAGCTGGCTCAGACAATCCCGAAGGCTTCTGTGGACTGAGACAGTCTCCCTGCTTCTGCTCGTTCCCTGGTATTTTGGCACCTTAGACGCTGTGACAAGCCAGAGAAATTGACACGCGTGTTTGACTGGATGGGAGAAAAGCAACGATTGTGCCACCAGCAGAAGAGTAGGTAGCACAGCCGTGAAACAAAAACAACCAAAACGGCTTCGCTGGCAAGCCAAAAACCTGCCGGGAACTGCCTACATCCTTGCAGAGGCTAATATCCGACGCGGTGCCTAATAACACGAAGGGGGCAGAGTGTTGCCTATTTCGGAATTGTAGGGTAAATCGTCCCATCAGCCGTGATGAGCCAGTATCACCCGGCAAGTTGGGGATAGAAGCTGGAGAGTGTTTATACTGAGATCTGTATTTTTTAAGATTGGCCATCTATGGATTCTGCAGCACCTGAATCTGCTGTCGAGAGCCCACTCGAGCACTGATCCACAAGGTGGCCTTGTTCAAAAATGTAGGGGATATTGTACGTACATGGACTAACACCAAAGCTGCAGCAGGCATTTGATAGGATAAGACGCGGACGGATCTCGTATATTACCCATTACTTCACTGATAAAATATACAGTATTGACTGTGGCTGACGGAGTGCATGACACATATACTAGAAATAGTTCGTCGGTTACTCGTAACTTGACTCTTTGTGGTGAGACACACATGATCGACACGCAATATTAGAGCTGTCTGGGAACGCCCCACGCGACAAACAATGGATGCCAACCCCCACATGATGGACAAGAGAAAGTGGTTCTTCATGACGGCCCTTTGACTGCTTACTGTACGTACTCGGATGGAGCAACATGTGGATTATCTGTGAGACGAGCAGTAAACATCATTTCTTGAAGCTTATCAGTACGAGTATATAAGCGCACCGCCTCCCAACTGCCTTCATTTGACTCCATGGTCGTTCCGCTTCGGAGACACAGTTCTATAAAAAGCAGATCAACAGGTGGCATCACACGAACATTCTCGACATGGCCGTGGCTCATCATGACTGGCCGGCGATGCGGAGGGGCGGCATCGTATTCTAGCCCTCCATCTGCAGCTAAACGTCAGCGAGACCAACCACCGCAACACGATGGGCTAGCCTGACGTTCTGCTTCATTCCGTCCGTCCATTGCAGCTACTCGTATGCCGCAAAGTCCACCCTTGGACGGCAACCTACCTACGTTGAATCGTCCTTGCACCACCTATTGCCACGGAAATCTCTTCGCAAGGTATATCAAATACTACTGATTTGCTCATATACGAGGTAATACATGTCCATACGGAGCTCTGTGTGGGTCTGGATCAGGGCCACACAGACGTTGAGGCATGGGCTCCCCAAGTTCGCGATAGCCGAGCCTTGTCTGCCCTCTCCCCAGCTTGTGATAGCTTCTGGAGCCCGCACGATCCGTTCCGAGGGAGGCCTGTTGTGGCGTTTATGTAATGGTGAGTGCCAGTTTTAGTCTATCCACGTATGTGCGGTCCAGAGTCTCCCGCCACTCAGCCCTATCTAGCCGATGCCGAGATGCTGCTTTTGTATATACGAGTTCAAGTAATCATGCTTCCGAACTATATTGCAGATACCATGCCCTACCGGAACCTCTCCAAGCATGTCCATTTCCTCATGTTCGTCGTCGTCATCTTAAGCTGAAGCGGCTGAAACAGCAGCTTGCTGGCTGGCAAAGAATTTCTTAGATTCGGCACATCTCTCACTCTTGCATGCGGGACACCGCAGGCCCATTTGCTGGGAGCACGCCTGGCCGGAAAGAAGGTGAGACTTTGCGAGGTCGGCGAGCGCCTGGATGAAGACGGGGCTGCCGTTCAGGCTGTCCACCCGCTTGACAGTATCCGTGTGCCCACTCTCACCAATGACCTCAATGTCGAGCTCGTACAGCGTTTCAATGTGATCAGAGGTGAATGCGATTGGGATAAGAACCAGGTCTTTTTGGCCCTTTTCGATATAATTCTCCACTGTGTGAGAAGTCTGAGGTCCCAGCCAAGCCTTCGGACCGACTTGCGACTGCCAGCATAATCTGTAAGGGTTAGAAAACTTGAGCCGCTGCATCACGGCTTGAACGGTGGCAGCAACTTCGCCCGGGTACGGATCGCCTTGTTTGATAGGTAAGCTTGAGAAAGGCGACGGAAAAAAGGGACGTAAGCACAGGTCATACCTCTGTTGACAACATCCATGGGCAAACTGTGTGCTGAAAAGAGGAGAACAGCATTGCGCCTCCGCTCCTCGGGGTATTCGGCTAGCTTTGCCTCAATGTTCTGAGCAAAAGCTTCCACAAGGCCGGGATGAGTGGGCCATCGGTCAATAACGCTCCAAGTAATGGTACCATTGCCAGTTTCCGACGCCTTCTTGCCCTCCAATCTATGCCGCCACTTCCATAGCTCGTTAAGGCTGCTACCAGTTGTGGAACAAGAGTACTGCGGATATTGGGTGAATGCGACCGCTCTGCCACCTTTTCCGTTTCCAAAGCCGTCGGCCAACAGCTTGTGATACATCTCCTCGGTCAATGGGTCCGCATAGCGGAAAGCGACGTACGGCTTGTGCGGCGCCGTCTCGGGACAGATCTTGTCCAGGATCTTGCACATTTCCTCGCTCTGGTATTCTGACCATTTTCGAATCGGGGAGCCGCCTCCGATGGCGTCGTACTGCTTTTGGATCTTTGGTGTCCTTCGTGCCGAGATCAATGGCCCGATGTATGATTGAAGTCTGCCCAAGGGAATCAGGTCCCCATCAGCCTAGCATATTCCGCCTTGCGATTAGCGAGCGCATTGGTATTGAAGAGCGCATTGGATCCAATTATACATACAAAAAGTCGACTTAAAAAGTCTCCAACCTCGTTCAGCGTCGACGGTCCGCCCATGTTGAGAAAGACCATGGCTGTTGGTCCCTTGGAGCCAGTTGCATCTTGCGTCACAGGATGCACCGGCGTGGCCAGATGTCTGGCGTGGTTGGCGAGCTGCGAGAGGCCAAGAGGAGCTGCCGCTCTCCTTGACAATCCCTTGGAGAATTGCTGTGTAGTAAGCCTTAACGCCATGTTGAGATGCAAAGATTGGGTGGTTAAGGAGAGAGAATTCGGGGCATTGCGGGAAGAATAAAAGAATTGAATACCCGTCGAACAATGTCAGACACCGATGCGCCGAGATCACTGATGCAAGCTCCGAGAGTGGCAATCGAGCGATGGAATGACGTCCCGTTAAGGCGCTACCCATGCTACTTGGGACTTGGGCGGCAGATCGACTCGGTATATGCTCGGCAACAAGTACCCCTCTAGCAGGGCCCGAGCAAGCGTCCACCAATAAGGCTGTCGGCAATTCGGATGAGCTGCACGTGACTTCGCGGATCCCTGTCGCATTCTGCCTAGGCTCGTCGCGTTTGCCTGAGAGTTGTTCGGCGGCATCCACTTTGACCCGCGTGGTTGCCTGGCTCTCACTGTCTTTAATATGAATGGCTGAGTGTCTTACTTGGTGAATGTGAGGAAGAGAAGAACAGAAAGAAAACAATAAAAAACAAGTCAATTCTATTGCTTTCGTTCGATCGGAAATGGCAGACAAACAGCGGGATTGGCGGAGGGAGGAGAATGATGAGGATGACGAAGGAGAGCAGGAGCTTGACGAGTCTGTAAGTCACAGCGACTGACCCCTACTGCTGATATCTAACTAGCTGGACACTGAAGTTGCCTCTCTGACACTGTCTCGCCTAGAACTTCAAGGCGCAGAAAGATGCGGTGCTGCTGGCCGTTGAAGTCAGCCCTTCAATGCTTGAACCCCCTCCAACCTCTGGCTCTAAGAAGGTGGATCGGGACAGTCCGGTTCAAGCTGCGCTCAAGTGTGCCCACCACCTGATGGAGCAGCGCATCATTGCCAATCCCAAAGATATGATGGGAATCCTTCTTTTCGGCACGGAAAAGACCAAGTTTCGAGAGGAGAAAGATGGCCGCGGCGGGCTAGGATACCCGAATTGCTATCTCTTCACTGACCTCGATGTTCCCGCGGCCGACGACGTCAAGGCACTGAAGGCGCTGGTTGAGGACGAAGAGGACGAAGACGAGGTGCTGAAGCCGGTCACCACTGATGTTGTTTCCATGTCAAACGTGCTCTTTTGCGCCAACCAGATATTCACCACAAAGGCTGCCAACTTTGGCAGTCGGCGGCTGTTCATCGTGACCGACAATGATGACCCACATGCATCAGACAAGGCGGCGAGATCTGCTGCTGCTGTGCGAGCAAAGGATCTGTATGACTTGGGCATCACAATCGACTTATTCCCAATCACAAGAGGCGAGTCAAAGTTTGACCTTGGCAAGTTTTACGATGTATGTTTTCTCATTTTTGTTTTGACTTCCTTTGCCCATGCAGCTGACAAAATGCCAAGGACATTGTTTATCGTGATCCCAGTGCAGAGGCCAATGGCACAGAAGTCCGAACATCCAAATCTGGAGATGGATTGTCTCTTCTAAACTCGCTCATCTCAAACATCAACTCCAAACAGGCGCCCAAACGAGCACTATTTCATCTGCCCTTTGAAATCGCGCCTGGACTCCGGATAACCGTCAAGGGCTACAACATTGTGCAACGACAAGCACCGGCGAGAACGTGCTACATCTGGCTTGACGGCGAAAAGGCCCAAATTGCAACAGGCGAGACAACAAGAATCGCGGAGGACTCCGCAAGGACTGTCGAAAAACAAGAAATCAAGAAGGCCTACAAGTTTGGTGGCGAGTATGTATACTTCACACCCGAAGAACAGAAGAACCTCAGGGATTTTGGCTCGCCAATCATTCGGATTATCGGATTCAAGAAGCGCGACATGTTGCCTGTCTGGGCAAGCGTGAAGAAATCTACCTTCATCTTCCCAAGCGAAGAGGATTATATCGGGTCATCCCGTGTATTCTCAGCCCTTTGGCAGAAACTGCTCAGGGACGACAAGATTGGCCTCGCCTGGTGCGTTCTTCGGTCCAACGCACAGCCTATACTTGCTGCTCTCATTCCTTCGAGGGAGCAATCTGACGAAACTTCTGGGACTCCATATCTTCCCGCGGGCCTGTGGCTTTATCCTCTCCCTGCCGCAGATGACCTGCGAGAGATCAGCGCCGAACGCAGGATTGACTGCTCAGAGGATCTAAAGACTAAAATGAGAATCGTTGTGCAGCAACTCAATCTCCCCAAGGGTATATATAACCCGTTGAAATATCCAAATCCGGCCCTTCAGTGGCACTACAAAATCCTGCAGACCCTGGCCTTGGACGAGGAGGTACCGGACAAGCTGGAAGACTTGACGGAGCCGAAGAATAAGGCCATAAGCAAGCGTGCTGGGGGTTATCTGGAAGACTGGGCCGAGACGCTGAACGACGAGGCCGCCAGAGCCGCAACATCCAGGTCTTTGAAGCGAGAGCCGGAAGATGACACCTCCGACCGCCCTGCAAAACAGCGAAAGCCGGCTTCAGAGCGACCAAGCGTATCCACATTCAGCATGGCACAGCTCAAGGCTGCTGTCGAGAGCGAAGGCATCAAGAAAATGACAGTGGTGCAGCTAAAGGATGTTGCCGGCGCCCGGGGTCTCAGCACGAGCGGCAAGAAGGCCGATTTGTTGGAGCGGATAGAGCAATGGGTTGAGGAAAACAGCTGAGTTTTCCTGGTTCTTTCTTTCTTTTTGTTTTCGTGTATTGTGATAATGAAATGTACCACTATGAGCCGGGGGTTGAGAAGTACTAAAGGACGGGATGTTGCTTGATGTTACTATGATTCACTTACATGGACTCTTCACTTGGCACTCTGCGGCCATGTTTATGTGAGTACCTTGGTAGGTACTGCTGGGCACTAAGGTACCAACCAATCAGAGGTGATGCCGTCGCCACTTGGTGGTTGTATACGATGAAAGTACAAGGTAGATACTCGTATCTAAGCAATGTAAATACAGCACAGAAGAAGAATAAGATGAATCAACAACTACTCATGATGAATTATCAATTGCTGACGATGCAAATACGAATGAATGCAATGGTATGACGATAGTTGACCGGATATGGCATCAGCATCAGCATGAGGAAGGAGTACGCGAAGGAAGCCCTGACGCGTTGGCGCTGGGCTCACGCCCCTCACCCAAACTCGCACCCCCAGCAGTTCTTTTCTGCCAGGTCTAGGATCGCAAATCCGCAATCCACCATCAACAATTCCGCAATGGTCACCACCAGCGAATCCGCTCTCACCGTCACCGTCACCGTCACCGTCACCGTCACCGAACCACTGTCCACGTACGAGTATCCCGTCTCTGCACCACGAGCTCGACTCGGACTCGGCCAAGTTCCCGCATAGCCTCTGCAGCGCGCAATCGCCCACGCAAACGGCCGCGGGCAGACGGTCCATGGACTTCCTCGCCAGCTTCAACTTCCGAGACGAGGAGCCCAGCAGGCTCGACAGCCAGCCGCATGCCTCCATTGAGGAATTGCAGTCACAGCTCCGCGATGTTTTCAGCGGCAAGGTCAGCGAGACTCGGGCGGAGCGTGTTGCGACAAGGCTGGACCTCGCAGCAGCCACCCAGTTGACCCTTCCAGTGCCGGAGGGCGATCATCATGCGCTGGACGGGCTGAGCAGGCTGGATCCGTCGCTGGGAGGAGCTCGGTCGACGGGCGTGTCTACGGACCCAGGCGGCGAGCGGACGGGCCGTGTGGTGCGCGTCAGCGACGCTCTGCTGAACCAGCCGGCCGACGATCCAGTGTTACAAAAGTCCATTGCCAACCACCTCGTGGCTGCCGTTGGCCAGGTCGATGGAAGTGAATGGGCGGTGCGGGAGGTATCGCGAGCAACGCAGGACTGGGTCTTTTCGTATGTCTGCAAGAACTCTATGCAGCACTGGCAGCGGCAGCACAAGGCCCAGGTCAAGCCGCCGGTTGCCGAATACTCACAGAGAGAGATTGATCCTCTGTTAGCAAGTGAGCACCTGATCCCCAATTCGTCCTGGCAAACTTTCTTTCTGTGCTAACATGGCCTTAGGCCGGCCTGCCTTTGACTGTCGAGGATCGCTCATCATATCCTTTTCTCGAAATAGTAGAGCTATATTCATTGACTATGACCACATCCCGCTCCACCGCACAGTCGCCCAACTCGCGACTTTGTTCAAGCCCCCGCCTCCACGACGCCCTCTCCCTACGGTAGACAAACAGCCTAAGACGCCAAGTTCATCGAGGAGGAAGAGGGATGCCGACAAAACGCCGGGAGGTGAAGGCGGCAAGTCGAGGAAAAGAAAGAGGAAAACTGGCGATACTGGGGCCTCAGGTGAACAAGTTGTACTCCTCGATTCTCAGGAGGCTGCCGCCGTTGAGGCTGGCCAACTTCAGTTAGAGGAAGGGAGCAGCAGCTCAACCAGCCGGCAGCAGCATGCTCAGGATGCGACAGCAGCTGCACAAAACTCCGCCGCAGGGCTGCTCACCATCAACGTTTCGCCCGAGGAAGCGAAGCGACGTAGAAATGTCGCCATGGTCATGCTTCAGGGTGCTGGTGTTGACCCAGACTCTCTTTCCCCAGAGCAGTTCAACATTTTTGCAAATCAATCCCCGGAGCTACAGAAGGAGTCGCTTAATATGCTGGTTAAGTATGGCGCAGAGCGTCTTCGCATTGTACATCCCGGCAACAAGGAGGGCTCTGCTCCGCCTTCAACCTCAAACCCATCATCTACCCCTGCGACCCAGAGTAACATACAGGGAAGCTCATCTGGCCCGGTCACTACTAATGAACTGGTGCTACAAACGTCCACCCCCACAAACAAGAAGAGTCGAAGGAAGAACCAGGCGGCGGATGGCGAGGGCGAAGAAGCAGACGCAGGCTTAGAAGACGTCGGAAGTGTCAAGAAAACGAGACGAAGAAAGGGGACGGGCAAGTCGAGAAATGCCTGTGCCCAGTGTAAACAGCGCAGAGTCAAAGTAAGACAACAAGGAACACCTTTCTTATGTGGTTCAATAGATTTGTTTGATGCTAACGGTGTACATTTAGTGTCCGAGAGAAACGCCAATATGCAGCGGGTGCCGTGAGGCGGGTTTGATTTGCGAATATGCCGCCCCCAAGCCAAAGAAAGTAAAGTCCAACGCCATCATCACCACAGAAGATGAGCAAGATGGGCAGGATGAGAATGAAGAGGATGATGCTGAGGCCGAATTACATGATGAAACACCACCAGAAGATCAGCAGCTTCATGAAGATGCGGAGGGCTACCCTGAGCTGTCCGACAACTCTGTACACCACCAAATGCCAATTGGAGATGTGCTGCCTAACAACATGGCTGCCACTGCTACTGACTGGGAACAAAGTCACGTCTCGCACAACTATTTCCACCACACACACACGGAAGTTTCCGAAGCAGGCCCTTCGCAGCCCTCACAACCGAGCAGTATGCCACTGTCGGATCTAATCCTGCCTCACGGACGCCAGTACTACCCCAACCTTCCGGCATCCGAAGTGCAGGACCAGACGCAGGCGCAGGCGCTTACACAGCCAATGGCTCATAAAAAGCCAACCAAATCATTAGCCAAAGGGTCTGGGCGCAACGCAGCGATGAGGAATGCCAATCAAGAGGACCGACACAGCTCTTTAAATCCCCCGGCAGCAGCTTCGGACTGGTCTAATAGCGGCAACCCAGTGACTCAGGCCGCAGCGGTTGTAGCAGCAGTTGTGACGTCGATGCAGAGCCAGGAACCCAGTTATGGAATAGCAGACTCGTCTGGCCGGAGCAGTGCTTGGCGTTCTGCGGCGATGCCCCAGGCGTTGGAGAATTCTCATCAGCATAATGTGGCTGCGGCGTCACTTCAACGCTCTGGAGCTGTTTCGCCAATGAATGCTGTTTCACGAGCCACGAGCAGCCCTCGGACGGGCAAACTCCAGAAACGAGGTGCGGTTCACGAGACATCAGCAACAGACGGCTTTCAGAGTCCAAATATGTCGGATCCGAAACAGCAACAGCAGCAGCAACAGTCAAATGCCCATGGGCAAGGACTACAAGCGCCAGCGGGCATGGCTGGCTCTGGAACGTATAACAGCTACGACCGTTATTCTAGCACCCGAGCGCCAGAAGCAGCTTCAACTGACAGAATCACGTACGAACCATATTCGTACCAGAGAGATGCCACCAACAGCACTTCGTACACGAACTATGGCCACGGTTCACACGCAACGACGACAACGACGGCCGCTGCTAGCATGCAGGCACCAACGACAGTCTCTGCAGATCGCGCAGGGTCACATACTTATGGCTCCTATGCGAACCCTGTGTCCCGAAACACCTCCCATACCAGCCAGACGTCCCACATGGGATCGAGGGGAAATGCGCAAGCCCAAGACTTTGGTAACAATAACGCGGACTTGACGCGCAATTCCCGGCAGCACTTCAACCCCCGACCACAGAGTTCGACACCCAGGCCAAGCCAGAATGCAGCGAAGCAGGACCGAAGCTATTCGGCTTACCCATCGCAGATTCATCAACGACAGCAGCAACAGCAACAGCAGCAGAATACTCGCCAACGTGTGTCTCAACAGCAGCAGCAGCAACAGCCATCCCAGCACCAGGCGTGGTACGGCTTCGGCAGCCAGTCGGGATCTGGCTTTGCGGCGACTTCTGGGCACGGGTCAAACTACAGCTGGAACATGCCAGGCGATTCATGAGATGGCTTCTGTGGCGAAAACACCAAAAAAAAAAAAAAGCGGTCGGCATAGGAGGTGGGTTTTTCTTCCATTTGATTTTTAATGAGGCAAGCGTAGAGGATTTGGGTTTATGTACACCTTTAGAGGGGGGTTTATACCCAGTTGGAACTGTTATCATGGCGCGAATGGAGTCTTAATTTGCTCTTCACCCCCCCCTTTACCTTGTTCCTTTGGCGTGGCCTGGCTTTTTCGCTCGGCGGGAGCTTGAATCAAGCTGGGGTGTTGTGATGCTCGACTGTTTGATTTACCCTCTCTTTGCTGCTTCCAAACTTTTTACTTGTCCATATCCTTTATCTAAGGGGGAATAATCACCTCCGTCAGGCAGAGATGTCATAATGAGATGCAAATGCTGCAGAGGATATACGAATGAGACTGGCCATGGTATTACTGCCATTATGAAGATTGTTTTTTTGTGTGAACTCGCTTTGTCATGATATTACTATGATGATGTTGTCCAAAATTCTAGCTGAAATCCATTTAACCGCCTCCCCAAACCCTTGTTATGGTCCATTATCCCATACCATGCCCCATCTAACTCATTAAAACCAATAGAAACGTTGAGTTTCTTATTCCCAAAGCACCAAACCAAAGCAAATGCAAACCAATCAATACATAAGAGGGGAATAATTCATCAGGACACTTTCGTCCCCCCTGGACTCGTAACTGTTTTCTCTCTCTTTCATTCTAATTCTTCTCCTGAGTGATAGGCTCCTCATCACTCTCTCCAGACTCAGCAAACTTGCTAAGCTTGCGAAGTCTAGCGCCGTAAAAGTACAGCAGCCAAATACCGATGATGCCGATGACGCTCAGCCCTCCGAGCAGACTGGTGCCCCTTGCAACGCCGAGATTGTGGAACAGCGGGTGCGCGAACAAGACGCTGCCGCAAGCGAGCGCGCTCCGGAAGAAGTCGTTTGCGGCGAACAGGCTGGCGGCGTACTTGGGGTAGCTGAGCGGGATGTAGACGAAGATGGCCTGCATGACGATGAAGACGGTGGCGCCGTAGATGGTGATGCCGATGGTGGGCACGATCCAGTGGATGGAGGCGCGGGCGGTCCAGGCGAAGAGGAAGAGGCCGATGGTGGGGCCGACGGAGGCCGGGAGGGCCGGGATGAGCCGGTCTTCCTGGACGGGCCAGCCGAACTTTTCGATGCGCGGGTTCATGTAGTAGTAGAGGTAGGCGGTGTAGACGGCGACGCCGATGATGCAGGAGACGAGGATGCAGAGGAAGACGAGGCCGACTTGGCCGAGGTTCATGCCGTAGAAGACGGGGTAGACGAGGGGGAAGACCTCGAAGACTGTAGGGGGGGGATGAAGAGTTAGCATTTGTAAAAAGGTGTTTGGTATAATTGGGGGAAAGAAAAACAACTTACACGAGTAGTAGATGCCGTAGATGATGGCGGTGTACACCTGGACGAACAAAACGGCGGGATCCTTCATGGTGATTTCGAGGGGCTTGATCAGGGCGTCGAGGAAGATGTCGCCCGGGTGCAGGTTGTGCTGGTCAATCTCGCTCTGGGACATGAAGCGCTCGTTGCCGGTGAGCTTGCGCAGGCGGCGGGCGCGGCGGAGGAGGATGTTGGCGCTGCTGGTCTCGGGGAGGAAGAGGAACATGCAGACGAAGACTGGGGCGGAGGCCCAGAGGGACTCGAAGAGAGACCAGCGCCAGGACTCGGCGGGGACAGCGAAACCACTGAGGAGAGGGCCCAGGGCAGCTAGAATTAAGGAAAAGTCAGTTATGAGAAGGCAAGATAGGATCAAGGGGGAGAGGGGGGGGGGATTATCTTACGTCCACAGTAGGCTGCGGCGACCCAGGACATCATGGCATAAGGCAGAGCCATCAGGCTGTACATGTCACCGAGAGAAGCACCGCCAGACGCCAGACACGGCGATCCGAAGAAGCCCTGCAGGAAACGCAGGACCATCAGGCCGGGGTAGTTTGGCGCAAAGGCCGTCGGGATGGAGATGATGACGAACAGGAACATGGTGACGATGTAGACGGGGTTGCGTCCGATCAACGGGATCTCACTCAGGGGGGAGAAGATGAGGGGACCGATGCCGTATCCCAGGACGTAGATGGACAGGCCGAGCGTGGCCTTGATCTCGCTGACGCCGAAGCGCTGCATGATGCCGCCCTCGGAGGTGGTGTAGATGGCCGACGTGGTGTAGACGACGAACGTGTACAGGCAGATGAGGACGTTGATGGCGAGACGCTTGTTTCTGCTCCAGTTGTACGGGTTGTCGGGGTCGTCTGTGTAGTACCAGTCGACGAGGATGGCGCCGTCCCTTGTCGTCTGGGGCACGATGGGGATGGACTTTACCCTTTCGAGCTCGTGCTCTTCATCCTCGCGGAGTCTCCGCGCCGTCATGTCGCCCAGGTCGGAGTGCTGTACGTGCTCGTGCGAGCCGCCGTGGTGGTCCTCTGAATGCCGCGTTCGGGGCTCTGCGGGCTGCTCCTCATCCTTGGGGGCCCGAGACGGGGGTGGCGATGCGTCTCGGCGGGTGCTGCCGTTTGACGGGGTGCGTAGGATGCCGCCCGTCTCTTTATTCTCGGCGGCTGTAGAGGCGTCTGATGTAGATGTGTTGTGAGATGTGAGGGGGACGCCATTCATGAGCTGGACCCAGGGCTCCGGGAGGGTGAAATCATCTCTTTCTTCAGGGTATTTGAGATATCGGTTCTTTGTAACCCAGCGAATGAGCTGCCCAATGGCGGCGTCACGAATAATGTCCGCCATTGTAGATGGGGGTTATTGCTTGTGTTTGTGATGATCGATGCAATTGAACGTGGATGAGTGTGTAAGTTCCGGTTTATGATGTATATATGAATCGATTTAGTCGTCTAATTGTCGACAAACACCGAAGTTTGATGATTGTTTATATATAAGACCGTAGATTATGAGTTGTATCAAGCTGTTTAATAAAACAATCAGGGATATAAGAGGATATAAGAGGTTGCTTCGTGTGATCTCAAGCCCCTCTCTCTCTCTCTCTGCTCAGAAGTAAACCAAAGGTTCTGGAATGTCTTGTAGTCTGACTTCCCGATAGCAAATGGCCACAAGCTTTCCTCTTATATCCCCCCCCCGTTTGCTTTGCGTGTCTCCCAAACTCCATTGCGCAAGTTTGAGTAAAAGCCATGCGGCTCCACACCAGCTGCTCTTTGATCTGTAATCCGGCCGTGTGTAAGAGGCTGTTGGCAAGATCCGGAGAGATTCGCACGGATTCCATAGCTCTGGGACTTGGGATGCTCCATCAGCCCTAGCCATGTTAAAAAGGCGAAAGATGGATCCCGCCAGTAACCCATGCAAGTCTAAAGCTGTGCAAGGGGGTCAGCGCAGAACAGAACAGCCCAGCCCAGCCCCGGCACTGCTTGGCATGTGGGAGATGTTACAAAGCATGCACGCATCATAGCATCATCTTAGAGCACGCCGAGTGACGCCGCCCCGAGGATAGTGGACAGCGATACATAGCAATCTAGCAATCCAGCATTCAACCATCGGACACGGAGTTTTGGGGGGTTAAGCTTAGTAACGCCGGCATTCGATCGGACACCGGAGGTATTGGATCCATCGAGGCTGATTGATGGGCGTGAGGAGTTTGCTGCGGGCATAGCTCTTCCCGTAACTGGCAAACCGTGTCTCCTAAGCCCGAAGTGCGTTTCGGCCCTGGAGATTTGAGTGAGAGATTCGCCTTTGGAGCTGTTGGAGGCGTTATTGGATCAAAGGGCTGGGGGTGAAGCAGTTGGCTGATTGGCCGACCGGCGAGACTAACAAGTGCCGGCTGGGTCGAGGCAAGGGATTGATTTTGCAGTAAAATCAAATCTCTAAGCGGGAAAAAAGAATAAAAGAAAAAAAAAGGGTTTCCGTCTAACGGGCAACGAGGCTTACCAACCAACGACTCAGAAAAGCCCGAGGGTCAGAACTCAGCCTGTCAAGACGCGGCCTAGCGGTCCCGTTTCCGAGGAACTTGACAACAAGTTGATGCGCAATCTGGCTTAGGCAGTGGCCAAGTCTAGTGCAGATGGAGGCAATAGATTGGGTGAGTAATGATGCGGCGAGATTGGCTTCGGAGTAAGGCGACGGAAGCAGATTCGCCCAAGATGCGCGCCAGATGCAGCATGACGTGCTGGGGGTCGGTCTAGAATCTTCGGATTGCTGAGATCAACCTCGTCCGACCCTGGACGAAGACAATGGACGAACAGAAGAGTCAGATTGGCGATTGCGAGTTGTCCCTTGACAAATGCTCCAGTTAGGCTATTCGTTGTTTCGTAATTCCAGCTCTCAACTCCGAGGCAATCTTGCCCCCCGTGTTCCCACGTCAGATTTTGAAACGGGCTCAACAGTCGAAGCCGCCGAAACTCTGTTTGATCCTTCGACTCGTAAACTTCGCCGACGAGAGGAAGAAGAAAAGAGACTTCAAGCTTGTTCGTATCATGACCGCTAATTTGCCCAAATCGGCAAACGCTGTTGCGATCGGCGTCATCTTTGCTTTCAACCTCCTCCCTCTTCTCCCTCTCTCCCTCTTGTTCTCTCATCGCCTTCGCACTCCTTCATTTGTCCGCGCGAGGAGAAGCACAAGCCGCCAAAAAGTCAAAAGGCCCAACATGTGGCAGTCAAGTCTCTCTCCTCCCGTCTTCCATCCTTCGAAACAGACAGCCAATCACGACTCCATCAGATCCCGCTAATCAGCCTCCGTCCCGTCCATGCCCAATCGGAAACCGCTTCGTTCAAGCCCAATCAGCAGCCACTCACGCATTAATAATTCCTCATGGGACTTGTCAGCCACCTGTGACGCTTTCGTAGTCCTTTCTCTCATCGATCCTTCAGCTCTAGCTCCATGCCGTTCAGCATCTTCTGAGCAATCTGGGCTCGCAGAATATTCTGATTAGTGACTTCACCAGCGGCAGGGGAGCCACGTTGCTCGCCTTGCCCTGTTGGGTGAGTCGGCGAGTCACCTCGGAGTGACGATACGCCGTCCTTTGTCATCCTTTGACTCGGGGGGACCCATCGTCGTGATTCGCATTGCTTCTCTTGTTACCCTGGTCGCCTAACCCAAGGCGCCGGTTCCCGTGCCGCCCGATTCACCCGGGCGTAACATTGAACGAACGCCGGGTTGGTTGGTTGGTTGGCTCGTTTCTGAGTTGACTCATCGGACCTTGCAGCTGTTCCCCAATGGGACAATAGTCTTGATAGCTCTGCTTCTGAGCTGTTGAATTTTCATCTTTAGATCCTCGTGCAGTTGCCAGATCAGGAATAATCTCAGTTCTGTATCCGGGCATTGACTCGTCCGGGGCTCGCCCAACAGGAGACTTTTCGCATGTCGCTAGGATATCGGCACATGGTGTTAATCTGCCATCTAATCTGTCATTATCAATTGCTCTTTTCTTCTTCTTATAAATGCGGTCTCCTTTCTCCGGTCGGAAATAGGAATTCTCTGCTGATAAACCGTATATCAAATCGACCGAGCTCCTTCACTACGCAAAGATGTTGACACGCTGGTCATCATTATTGTTGACACGATGGTTATCATCATCACATAACGGATGCCCGTAGACATGCCTTCCGGGAATCATCTGGATTTTCACTGCGGTTCCAGTCCGTCGATGGGGGGGTTCTTATTAGATCTACATGCGCTCATCTCATGGCGTCGTGGTTGGACTTTTTGCCCTCCACTGCGAGGCTAGTTTCGATATCCTCTTCTGCTGCAGAATCCTGCGCACGCTCTTGGCCGTGTCTTCGTCGCCCGTGTTGAGCAGCGAATCCACCACAGGCCAGACCCGACCGTCCTCTCTCGTAATCGCCTGCTCGACCAGGACGCTGATCCATCTCAAATTAAAAGATCGACTCTTCGTAACCCCGCCGGCCACGGCCTGCTTCACGAAGCGGAACGCCAAGTCCATCTCACCAACCTCTGCGCACTTCGTAATCAAAGCACTAAAAGTCGCCGTGCTTTGAGTCGGATCGTCATCTTCTGAAACCTGGTCCGCATACTCCTTTGCAAAGTACTTAGCCGTAGCCTCGTCAGCGCTATGGATGATTAGATTCTGTAGCATCCTTGCATTAGGCGGCTCCACGTCACAGAGCGTCGGCAGGTCTCGGTATAGAGATAACGCTTTGGCGCTGCCGTGGGCTTCTGCGGTTGATTCAACTACCGCAGCTGCGGCCGCGCGAGGCACAGGACGGGCACGGGCTGCCTCCCGCACCACTGCCTCGGCGTTATCCAAGAGCTCCGGACGGCTCCGGACTGCCTTGTGCAGCGTCCTAGTGTAACCACGTCCGATTCTGATGCCGTTTTCTGACATGATGGAGAGGGTTCGTATTGCTGCCGCCAGGTCTCCGCTGCCGGCAAAGGCCTCGACGACGGCTTCGTAGTGGTAGGGTTGGGCTCTTGTTCGCTGTGACACCATATCCAGTGCTTCTGTGGCAAGCTGCGCGTCTGCGTTTCTAGCCGCCGTCCCTAGCACGTTGTCGATGATGCCATCCGACGGCTGCACGAGGTGGTTTTGCACCACCGAGAGCCAGCCAAAGAGAGTTCCCGCATGATGATATGCCTGGCTACACACATCCAACGCGTAGTATATCAGGTTGATGACCATGGGGTCGGTGCTGCCGGTGAGGTTCTTGCGTCTATAGAGGAGTTGCAGCATTTCGTCCAAGAACCCGAGTTTCCCAAACACTAGAATGAAAATGTCGTAGACCCAGTGGTCAACCTTGGCCCCTTGCTCAATCATCTCCGTTAGCTTTGCATACGCCAGCTCGTGCTGGTCGTCTCGCAGCAGTCCGATTGCAACAGCCTGCTTTACCGGCGTGTCGGTTGGAAACCAGTACTCTTGCATAATGTTTCCAATCTCCATCCGCAACACGTAGTCGGGATGATTCATCAACGCTCTCAGGGCGGCGTTGCATAATTCCGCCGTTGGCTTCATCCCCTGCTGCTCGACCATGTCGTCCAGGATGCGGCGCACGCCGTCGACGGAGCCTCGAGGGTGAGCCATGGCGTCCATGAGACACTCGTAGATAAAAGGGGTAATAGGCTGATTCTCGACTCGCATGAGATGCTGTACCAGCTGAACTATCCGTAGATGCTGGTCTACTTCTTGGGTGCTGCTAGCTGGCGTCCATTTCCTCACCTCTCGAAGTGCTGCTAGAATCTCTTCTGTTGTGCTGGATTTGAGTGTCTCCTCTGATGGTGCCGCGGGAGAAAGAAGTCTCGCTCTCCAGGATTTAGGCGTGACATCTGTGAGGCTGTCATCCTTGGTTTCCTCTCTCTGTTGCGCCTCGCTTGCCTGAGAGCCTGGCCGAGAAGATCCATGACCTGATACCACAGTCCTTGATGCAAAACTAGAGCCAGTTTCGTAGCATCGCACATGCACTGGCCCTGCCCTGGAAGCCCTGGAAGCACACTGTCGCCATCCCGCTGATCGTGTGCAAGGCAAGCTCTGTCGATGAACCGCCGTGCGCAGGGCCAGTTTGTCAAAGGACGGGCATAAGCAGCGCCATAGCCCGTCGTAAAGCAATTGGCCGCGCTGCATCTCTCGCCTCACTGCAAAAACGCAGCTTCAACTCCAACCCGAGACCAAATCCAGCTCTGTGTGTCGTTCGATTTGAGGCTTTCAGAAGAATAGTTTGGCGCGGAAAGGTTTCCGACGCTGGCAATGTCAGGTACCCGTCCACACAAAGCACGTACCGCAGTACTTTGTGCAGCCGGGGTCATGCACATGGCGGGGTTCCTCCAGAAAGCTTTCTGACTTAGCACATATTCAGATCCAGCTTCCAACTCGCAGCCTCACGTCCCCAAAAATAGAGCCAACAATCCCTCTTTATTCCTCACGCGACAACAGGCCTTGTCACCGAAAAAACGGCATATTAACAACTTTCCTCGCGCTCTGCCCAATAGAGGCATAATCACCAATCATGGTACGCCCTTGCTTGCCCTGGCCGGCTTCCTCGTAATGCTGCTAATGCGCATCAACCGCAGCTCCCCCTCGGATTGCTCAACGCCGCCCAGGGCCACCCCATGCTCGTCGAGCTCAAGAACGGAGAGACTCTTAATGGGCACCTGGTCATGTGCGATACATGGATGAACCTCACCCTGAAAGAGGTGGTGCAGACAAGCCCGGTACGTCCCCGTCGACTCTTTCAAAAGACGCATCTCCCTTTCCTTTTCTAACACACCTGCCATACAATTACAGGAAGGGGATAAATTCATGCGCCTCCCAGAAGTCTACGTCAAAGGAAACAATGTACGTTTCTCATCCCCCCCTAGCACGCACCACCGGGTTCCTCGCGACCACCAACTGACGCTCTCCGGGGCTCACCAGATCAAATACCTCCGCGTCCCCGACGAAATCATCGACCAGGTCACCGAGCAGCAAAAGGGCCAGCAAGGCGGCTTCCGTGGCGGCCGTGGCGGCCACCAGTCAAGAGGCGATCACGGCGGCCGAGGAGGCGGCGACAGGGGACGAGGAGGCCGTGGCGGAGGCAGAGGAGGTCGTGGAAGGGGGCGCGGCCAGTAGGAAAAAGGGCATGGCCAGTTAAACAAAGGGCGCGGCGGCGACGACAGCGACTGCTACAACGACAATGACGAAATGAATAGAATGTTGAAGAAGAAAGCGGGAAGAAAGCAGGATAGGGACTGATGAGATCCGTGGCAGTAACGAACGCTATCATGTACGAATGTCATACCCAGGGCTGGATAAGAAGAAGGATAGGACGAGCTTTTCAAAGCAATGTTAAACAGCGGCGGGCAACTACAGCAATGAGAGCTCTCCAGACAATGAGATTTTATACGCCAATCGTCAATCTACGAAATCAATTGATACCCAATGGCACGCACGCGTCCGTCACACCTTTGGATATCAGCATTACTGTTGTTGACAGCTGTCGGGTTTAGGGTAATACATGGAGAAACAGGGCGTTTATACGAGACCGTCAATCGATCACAATGGGCATCAGCAGTTGAATGATCAGGCATAATGTTAGAAATCAATAAAAATATGAAAATTTTGTGACCTTCTATAGGGTCATTCAACCAATATGTCTTACTAGTAAATATCTCGTAAATCTAATACCTCTGCTTCCGGTCCATGCCATCAATCCCACGATACATATTAAATAAAAGTTGAATCAATTGGGCCTCCTGTTTAGCAAGCAACGCCCCCTTGATTCGAACCCGTCGTTCCTATTCTAAATGCGTTACCTAATCAAGTCATCATCATTTATGATGCCCCTTTAGAAATGGGCAACTGCTACGGCAACGGCCTGCTTGTCGGCATGAGAAATGGAGACCGACACCTCCTTGACACCGGCTTGCTTGGCAGCAGCAGCGGCTTCACCGTGGAGCTATTGGAAAATGGTTAGCGGAATGCTCTTTCATGAGTCAAAGTTAGGTAAAACAACTTACAGTAACAACAGGCGCGCCGGTGTCGTCCTTGAGAATCTCAATGTCCTTCAAGGCAGCGCCAGCTCCCTTGCTGGCAACACCAAGAGCCTTGAACACGGCTTCCTTGGCACTCCATCGGCCAGCAAATGAGCTCTGCGGGCTGGGGGCAGTCTTGCAGTAGGCCACTTCTTGGGTGGTGAAGTTGCGCTCAATGAACGTGTCATTGTCAATGTTGAAGGATGGAATATCCTCGACATCGACGCCGACGTTGCTGTTCTTGCTTGTTACCTTGTGCGCGAGCGCTTCGATGACCTGCTGCGTCTCCTTGACGGTGGTCGCGGGAGTGATCTTCTCAGACTGCTCCATGAAGTTGGCGGCATACTTGAGCTCTGCCGTCTTCTTATCCTCGCTCACACGAGCATCAGGGTTCAGCAGCACAGCGCTGAGCTGGTCATCGCTGTAAGGCGCGTTGGCCTTGGAGACAAACAGGGTGTTGCTGATCATTCCGTTGTGGAAGTAGCGGTAGGCCTTCTTCTGTCGGGCCTCGACCTTGGCGCGGTACGCATCGTAAACCTTCTCGTCGAGGGTGGCGAACAGGTACTTGGGGTGAACGCCGACTGCCTGGGCACCCTTCTGTCCGAAACCAAACGAGGTCAGGGAGAAAGCCTTGACTCCGTCAGTCTGGATGCTACGGCTGGGGTAGACGATCAGGTCGTATTGCTCCATGATGGGGTCAATGTTGTCGGCATTTCTGTTACCGGGGACCAACCCAGAGTTGAGGATTTGCAGGCCGCCGTTCAACATCCAAGCACCGGCAGCACCCTTGGGGTGACCAGTAAGGAACTTCTGGAAGACGCCCATAATGGCATTGCCCTCGCTTCGGCCAAGGTGACGCAGCTGCTGGCAGATGGCCGCGGACTCGTTCTTGTCGTTGGCACCAGTGGATGTGCCGTGGAACGAGGCCACCTTGACGTCGTCAATGGTAAGGCCCCAGGTTGCAAGGGCACCTCGGAGGGGAGCGATACTCGGGTCGCTCTTCCAGAAGTTGTTGCCCATGCTTCGGAGGAGCTCCTTTTCTTGTCTTGCGGCCTCCTTCTGGATGTGTACCATGCGGTCCTGAGCGTACTCCTTCTCGTCGAATTTGCCGCCCTGGGCCTTCATAGCATCAACCTCATCGTGCAGGAACTCCAACTCAGACTCCTCCCACTGCTTGATCAGCTTCTTGCGACGCTCAATCTGTCGGCGGCGGTAGTTGATATCAAGCAGCGGCGATGGGAACTTGCCAGCATGCTCTCGGGCAGACGTGAGGACACCCTTGCCAGGCGCAGGGACGGATCGTCCAATCTTGTCGGAAGCGGTGGTGGTAAAGGCGAGGATACCGTGAATCGGGACACCCATGTCCAGAGCGAGCTGAGCAGTCATGATGACCTGGACACCACATCCCTGAGACTCCATGAAGCCGTTTCGGGTAGTGGTAGTAGGTCGTGACATTTCGCCAGGTGTACGGCCATGGGCAAACTCATCCACACTGTTGCTGGTGGCCTTCATGTTGGCGAACTCATAAGAGCCTTCCTCACCAAAGTCGTCGAAACCACCGACGAGACAGATGCGTGCCTTGCCTTCAAGAATAGTCTCCACGCCAATGTCGACAGACTCAATAGCAGTAGCACAAGCGCCGACAGGCGTCTTGATAGGTCCAGACGAAGAGAGAAGCAACATGTTGACCCATGCAGCCATGGTGTTGATGAAAGATTCCTGCAAGATGTCGTTCTGAAGAGGCTTGTCGAGGAATCGGGCCTTGTGCATGCCGCGAAGGGCCGCGGAACCGCCCATACCAGAGCCGACAATGTTACCAACCTCAGAGACGTGAACGTACTTGTAGAACTCATATGGGTCGGTGATGCCAGACGATAGGAGAGCCTCGGCAGTCGACACGAGAAGGAACAGGGTGACAGGGTCCACCTGGCTGATGATGTCCTCGGGGACACCATATCGCTTGGGATCCCAGCCAGTCGGGATCTGACCGGCGACGAGTCTGTCAAAGCGCAGAGCCTTGGGGATCCAGAGCGAGGCGCCCTTCTTCACCCGGACAATGTACTCTCCACTCTCGGGGATCTCGAAAATCTCCACCTTGTCGCCGTGCTCACGTCGGAATTCCTCTGCAGTCTCCTTGGAAGCCTCGAAAGGCTCCAGGTCCTCTTGAATGACGACCTCGTGGAGCAGCTGCTTCTTGTTGGGATCGTATCCGTCGAACAACTCGGGCTCGATCAAACGAATACCGGAGTGCTCCAGAATGTGTTTCTCGTACTTCTGCTTGACATCCTTGTCATCGACGGGCTCGCCAGTCTTGGCGTCAACCCAGCCAGCGTAGGGCTTGCCCTTGAGGGGGCCGTTGTGGTTCTTGATAAGGCCCATGATCCAGGCCATCTCGATGCAACCTTCGAGCGAGAACTCGCCATAGGCCTCCATTTCCCATCGAGTTCGGGAGTTGCCCCAGGGACCAACTTCCGCAAAGCCGGTCACGACAATGACCTTCTCCAAGTCAACCATGCCCTTCAGCTGGTCGTTGAGAGGGGCCACCTCCGTCTTCCAGTCAGGCAGGCGAGGGAAGTCACACTTGATGTTGGCACGGGGATCGATGGTCTTCTTCTTGTAAAGAACCTCGGAGTCGGCTCCGTTGACAATGGTGTTCTCGATGGCGCTCTCCTTGCTAACGGCTCTGCGGATTTCGCTAGTCTCCATGATATCCTTGCGGAGCTTGGTCATGGACTCGTTCAGGTTGGGAATGAATTGCAGGCCACCGTTCAAGTCGGCAAAGACAGGCTCTGACTGGCAGAGATCAACAATGGTAGCTGACATCAGGCCCAGCAGGTTAAAGGCCATCTCTTGCTGGGAGAAGGTTCGCACGCCGAAAGCCTCCACACCCTCAGCAACAACGTTGTTGCCAGACATGAGGCCAGTACCACGGGTCCATCCGATAACAGCACCGCAAATGGTGAGGTAGTGGCCCCAGTCCTCAGAGTGCCATCGGTTGAAGAGGGTCTCAAGAGCCAGCTTGGACTCGGAGTAGAGACCATCGTTACCGAAGGTGCCGTGGTTGGGGGACAGAGGGAGGACGACCTGGGCGGGACGGGTCTCAAAGCCACGCTCAGCCTTTTGCGCCTTGACGCAACCAAGCATGCGGATCAAGTTGGTGAGCATAATACGGTGAGCCAGCTCTGACTTGGAATCGATGCTATCAATCTGTCGGCCGTTCTCAGGGATGGCAGCGAAGGGAACGATGAAGTCGAGATCCCAGCCAAGACCGTTCTTGGCGTCGTAGATGTAGTCGACAAGGGCCTCCACATCCTGCTTGCTTCCCTGGTTGAAGGGGACGACGACGATTTGCGATCCGCGAGAGCCAAAGCGGCTGTACATGGACTGGTAGTACTCGGTCACCTGTCGAGAGAATCGGCTAGTGGTAACCACAACCTTGGCACCTCCGCTGATGAGGCCCTGCAGGACCTCGGCACCAATGGAACCGGCACCGGCACCAGTCATCAGGACATACTTGTCCTGGAAGGTGACACCATCCTTGGCGGCTTCCTCAAGGCAGTTGAGGTAGACGGCAGTGAGCTTCTTGCTGTAGTCCCAGCCGTGCAAGGTCTTTCTCTTGAGATGGAGGAAGGGGATGGTCTCGACTCGGCCCTTGTTGGGGTTTGTGCCCTTGAGACCCGGCTTTCGGCCCTTGCCATTCTCCTTGGGGAGGATCTGGCTCTCGTTCATGGCCAGAGAGCGCAGAACATCGCCGTAGAGGCTCTTGATCTCGAGCTGAGAAGTCTTGGAGATCTTGTGCTGCTGCTTGATCAACTTGTAGATACGCTGCAGGTCGTTTTGCACCTTGGTGCGGTTGCCATACTCGGAAATCTTTCCACCCTCAGCCATCTGCTGAACGTAGTGTTCGAGCTTCCTGCAGCTGGCGCGGGGAACTTCTTCGTAGTTGAGGTTGCCACGAGCGTCCACAGTGGTGCGAGGACCAGTGGGGACAGCAACGTCCTTGTAGACAGGAGAAAGGTTCAGAACGTCCTTGCAGTTCTCAATGAGCTGCTGACCAAGTTCCTTGGCCAGCTGGTAGGTCTCACCGCGCTCAGTAGG